TGGCCCCCAAACCGTATCAAACCTGGGGGAAAGGAGAATTATTCCTGGTGCATTTTAAGAAAATTTAATTTAATATCGAGAGACCCAAATGGGGGAGTAGAGAGCCTACCAGGTTGAATATTCTAAATATTTAAATCAATCGATTCAATCAATATTAAATGGACCGGTTCTATCCTACTCCTGGTCAGTGCATTTGACAATCTTCTGCCCTTTCGAGTGTACGGGATCTTAGTCCGTCCGAAAATCGGGGGCGCAACAAAAGGGGGACCAGCCGAGAGGACGACAATCCGCGTTGGCACTGGCAAGGCAAAGACGAATAAGAAGCACGATCATGTTAATCATTCCCCTCTCCAGTCCCCTCCCTCTGATCGGTCGAGGACAGGCTAGATTATGGGAACGAGTCTCCACCGCAAGCAAATAGTTCCGGTTAGCGCCTGGAATTAAGCATCTGTGCTTGGTTGATGCGGAGAAAAAACCCAATGGGTACTTCCCGACTAAGTCATGGCGTCCCAGTCAGATAAAACGGCCGTGAAACAAAAGAGGAATGATGATCTGCTCGCAATCCTTGCTCGCTTTGTGACAAGAAGATCAGGATACGGAGAAGAGTGCTCCCCGTTTTGTTCCATGGATCTATGACCTCAGTCCCTCCTTCCGAGGGACTTGATGCTATTCCCGGTCGTCCGGCTGGCTGGTCGGGTATCGGAGATGGGACTCTAGGTCGTAGCGTACTCCGTGCACAGAGGATGGCACATACTCCGTACATTAGGAATTGCGACCCGTCAATGAGATGATGCATGGTGGACGCAAGGTGCTTCGGTATAATGTATGTGCATCGTACACTCTCTTCCCCCACATTTTGAAGATAAGCAAATGAGGAAAGTGTGATTCAGGACGACGGGCACCGAGTAGTCGGGGTAAATCATATTTCAAACGGACTGTTAATAATTAGCAATAATGATCCTACACATCCCGTACATCGTCATCCATAGCATCGCGACTCGTCATAAAAAAACCTCCCTAAAATGACCTGTCTAAATTCGGAACTCCCCCCCTTTTTTTTCTCCTCTCTTAAAGATACTATGGTCATGTTTCACCACCTCTTCATGTGAAATGGAGAAACAATAGTGCTGTGTCTGTGCAACGGCTCTGCTCTGCGTAGTACTATGATTATCCTCTCGGGCGATCCAGTTACAGGACTCTGTCCCCCGTGCATCGGTGTCTAGGTACAGGCGACTTACGACACTCGACAGGATAACCAGATCCTTTGATACCCAACCAACTGTATCTGGTATCATGCGTTGACGAAGGATCTTCATCCATCTCCTCTCAGCCTCCTTTCTTATGCAATCACAGTCCAGGACAAGGTCAACCAGCCATGTGGTCTTTGACTCTGGCATGACTATTGACCGCTAAATCTGCCACGGCGCCTGGCTTGGGCCCCTCAGGAGGGATCAGTAATCAGTTAACACTTAACAGAGTACAGTAAACTCCGTCCTCCATGCTATTAATATTCCTGTTTAATATATATTAGAACATTGCTAAGGGTCGGGTTAGTGGCTTCTAATAATGCATGGTTGATCTCATTTCTGAACTGACTATACTCGATCCTTTCTAGTGCTGCGACCATTTCATAGTCGTTGCCATTGAACAAAGAACCGAATTGTAATGTAATCATTTCACCTCATCGTCTGGTTAGTTAGTTAACTAACTAATTCATCTAGACCTCGCCTCATCATTCAGCAGCCAGCACTTCAGCCTCGAGCCTCGAGCCACCAGCCACCAGGCTAACGTAGGGCGTTAGTCTGAAAAAGAAAAAAAAAAAAAAAAAAAGAAGAGCAAAGAACAAAAAAAAAAACCTTCAGCCATAGGAAAATTTCAATAGAATTGCTTTTTCGCCATCCTGCAGACTAAAAACGGGACTCCATCGGCAACAACTAACAAGAGGGAAAAAAAAAAAGAAAAAAAATGGTGTTCACACCCTTGTCTAGATCAACTCTGTCGAGCTTCTAGATCTTTTCCACTGTTAACCCAACTCGTCGAATATGATGCCGGTCTAGTCGATCCCCAAGCTGAACTATACTTACGGTGTAAGTCTACTAACTAACCTGGTATGAACAATCTACCTACCTAGCTGATCAATGAATCAACTAATTTAGACCGTACCAGAAAACATCCGGATAATGATATCCACCAGACGCAGTATAGTAAGTAAGTAGCCTGTAGGCCGTGCTCAGTAGGCAGCAAGAAAAAAAAACTCATCGTACTGTAATAATAATTAATAACTAATCAACAACGACCGAGGGGGAAATAAAAATCCCTTTGCCCCTTGCTTGTTAGGCTCAGGGAGTCAGTGTGCTATCGCCTATCAAGACTACAGACTATCAGTTGTGCCGGGCAATGTAGATTGATCGTCTGTCTCTTCACCACCCCCCCCCACTCTATCGAATATCCATTATCCACCTTTAATCTATTATACGGACAGACGGCGTTTGACTATGATGACAAGGGTAAAAGAACAAGAAAAGAACTAGTATGTAGGTGTAATTTTTTTTTTTCTCTCTTACCCCCTTCTCTAACGGTTTACGGAGTCTCCGGCTTGAACCGATGAGGGAAGAATCTTCCATGCGAGAGAGAGAGAGCTTTTCCCCTGTAATTTATCGAGAACTGCAAATACAAATTTATGAAAAAAATTCCATGAGATCAGGTACTGAATGCATCATCTAAACATCACAACCTGACAAAGTCACGACCCAAATCGCAGCAAGGGAGGACATAAAAGTGTAAAAAAAAAAAAAAAAACGAATACACAACCACCCAGAAAAGGAAAAGAAGGGAAAAAAAAGTCTGCCGTCCCCCACAAACTGACAGGGATTCGTTTCACCCTATTTTAATTACTCTTTACGGAGTATGTCATTTTCTAAAATATCTCATCATTTTTTTTTTTTTGTTTTTTCGTTTACTAAAAGAAAAAGAAGGAAGGGGAAAAAAAGAAAACAATAAAAAAAAAATAAAAACGTGGCTCTGGCGTCTGCGCGTGTCTCAACATGATTACTTTTGCGGAAATTTCTTCGACACGCCCAGCGTTTTGCGGCGTCATCTTCGTCGCCATCATTCCAATGCTCAATATCTGATGGAATGGCCTAGTGCCGCGTCTGGCCGGAGGAGCTCGGAGCTGAATGGTAGTTGGATATGACTCTACTAGTGCAGACTGCAGAGTACACCGGTTAGGCGTGGGCGTAGGGGGACGGTCAACGGGGTATGGATCCCATTTACTACTACGGAGTTATCCAGTGTCTACGAGTAGTTGCTTGCTAGCTACCGCAACGATCTCCATTTCGCCCCTTGTATTTCGATCTGTTCTGAACGGTGTAGATCTCTATATTTGTGCTAGCTAGCTTATGAAACAGAAACCCTACGGTGTACCACGGAGAATATGGATGTGATCGATTCGTTATTCACTCACTCGTCACGGCCATCTTGGCACTTCTAGTCGTCTCCACGTCCGAGTTCGAGTCGCGAGGGACTGGACTCAAGGGTACGGACTAACTACGGAGTGAATGGAAGGGCAAGCCACGGAGGACTGCTCTCCCAGGGAAGTTCTACCGTACTATTGTCGATAGTCTAGCGGTTACACGCCCATTGGAGTTAGCAGAGACTGACTACCTTGCCTCATCTTTGTTGGTTAGTACTCCGTAGTTCAGTTACACATAGCAACATATGGGGGCTGGAAATCAGAGCTGCCTCTACGGAGTACGCCACAGACTTGACTTGACTCGCCTGACTGACTAAAATCTGGTCTAGCCTGGACATCGGACGAGGAAGGTGTATAACCATACAGTACAAAGTAGTTAGATACGTGAGAGAGTGATGATTATCCCTTGCGAAGTTAGGGGTCCCCTTCTCCCGATCCCTCCGGGGCATCCCGGTGCCCATGAAGACCCTACCTAGAACTAGGCAGCCCGAAGGGTGAGCGACCTGGGTGCCCGGTAGGACTAGTGGTAAGGCGTAATACCTGTTTAAGACGCAGATCTGCGCAGCAGCTGCGGTATGATGACATGGTACAGCAACTAAGTGGAGCGTGGAGGGATGGGCGATTTGTTACGCAGGACGCGCTTTCTTCTGCTACTGGGCGTGGGGGAGAGAGGTTTCAGTTTTTATCTTACGGTGTAGTTTAATTTTGCATCGAAAGACTGGGATGTTGGATTGAAGAAAGCAAAAATTCAAGGCGTCAAAGAAAAAAAAAAAATAAGCCGATGACAAGGATTATGGAAGGCGTAGATATGACACTAGACTAATTAACTATTGCGTCGGGCTTGATTGTTGATTAAGATGACGAACTCCATCCGGTGCACAGCCTGGATAGAGTAATTGCTCCTACTGCTCTTGGCTATAGTCCCTCTGTCGATCATCGTCCGGCATTTCTCAGCTTGATATGAATGGAAGAAAACTCCGGATTAGACGAATTCCATCGACGAAGGATTCGATTCGTGCGGCTGTTGCGAAGGAATGGCATGATCGCCCCTTTGTCTACTCCGTACTCCGTATCGAGCTTTTAATTATTTCGCAATTAAGACTAACCCGGGCGGTTCTAGATAGGAGGTGGTGAGGATAAGGCATGAGAAACGGTCTAGATACCCCTGAAGCCCGAGCTAAGGATCCTTCGTAAACATGGCAACTGAAACAAACCTGTAAGCGATGTCTCAGTTTATTTATACTTTCGGATTAATGCGATTAGTCGGACAAAAACCGTTACTGTCTCAGCTGCGGAGAAGGATTGACTACAGCCGTAAGAGATCGAAGATGCTTTAGGAAAAGAGTGAAAAAAAGAAATATACCTGAAACGTAATTAGAAGGATTTGCGGTATATGATTGCAATTGATTGTTTAGAATGATGATGTTGATATGGGCGTGGGTATCGTAAGCGTTATTTCTCCTTCGCATTCCATAGAACGCAGAAAGCAGAGCCATAAATTATATGCGATAACTCTTGTAAAGCGCCGTCAGCCTATCAGTGAAACGTCATTATACGTATCTGGCCACATGGTCAAGGGATCAAAATCGTCCATCATCAGGGCATCTTGGAAGTAGCTATCGCTGTTGTCCTCGACGGACCATGACAGAAAGTCCCATTCCCAGTTTCGTAGTGGTTGCGAGGAGCTGTTGAGCTCTGACAGGGACTGCGGTTGAGAAACAGACGACTCCTTTGGCCTGCTCGCATTAGGGTTTGTTTCAACCCCAGAAACGTTGCTCTCCATGGACATCTCTTGTTGACGGAAATTCCGTCGGACCTTGACCTTCCCGAGAAGAGGAACCTGTAAAGTCAAGTCTTGTAAATGAGAAGGGCTATCCTGCTGGAGTAGCCTATGCAGAGAATTGATAGTGGTAACACAGGTGTGAGCAAAATGAGAGCCTGGTGTGTCATGAGATCGTCCGATCATGAGCTTGGTGACTTCTTCGACGGTGCTGGCTGTCTTTGCTTTGTCCGCTGGAAAACTCCATCTGCCCGAGCACGAGGAGCTATGTGATATGAGAAGGAGGACCACCGTCGTAACAAACACCTGGAGATCTAGAATCCGCGCACAGAATATCCCGGGCGGGAGCGTCCCACGAAGGAATCGATAGAGCCGTGCTGCTTCCTCGCATGCATTCATGCATACTAGACGACTGTAGACATACTCTTCCCCAATATCTTGCCTCATGATAAAAGGTAGGTGTGTTCGCACCATAACACTGTTATGGATAAACTGAACCATGTGGTCAGGTTTTACCTCCGGGCCCTCGTCTAGGGCCCACCATTGCTTAGGGGTCTGCGATGTCAGGGACTTGAGCTCTCCAATGAGTGCCAGCGTAGAGCTGTAGAATTCAGAGCCCGAGTCTGGCGTCAGATTGAGATCATCCAGGTGTTGTACCTTTGCAGCGATATCCGTCAACCGACGGAGGTACACGTGTGGCTGGACAACGCCATCGATAACAAGTGCCTGCGTCTTTGCTTGGGGGTGTCGTCGAGTATCAGGAGGAAGATTGATAACCATCCCAAAGAGTCCGTTTCCGGAAATGATCGAGTCCCAGAGCTGCGCCTTTTGATGTTGTGCCTCGTTTCCTTCTGTCCCGATAACCCGGCCGTTCTGGATCGCCTGAGAAGCCTTGGGCAGTCCCATGATCTCTGCGATCGCGACTATGTGTCGCAAACGCACCCATGCCTTTCGGAAGTTCCCCCGGCCTATTTGACTGCTCAAAGTCAGTAAACAGTCAGACTAAAGGACAGGAAGGATATACCCACAGTCGGAAGAAATGCATAGCCATACTAAGCCCAGAAAGGGTGCTCACCAATCTATCATGGGGCAAGATTGTAGTCTCCACAGTATCAGAAACTGCTCGACAGAATTTTGACCACTCGTGGGATTTTTGGGCCTGGGACCCTCGATCATTGTCCTGTCCTTGAACTTGCTGGCCTGTAAGAGCGACCGTGAGTAACCACGAGGCAAGGCTAATCGGATCGACATCCGCTCTGTTCATATCCTCGAAGCTTTCGCCTAGTTCTTGTTGAGTTTTGATAGCCCCTGGTTGGGGAAACAAGCTATATACGAGAGGAAGCCATCGTGAGGCAGAATGTGCAATTGTTAGAACATGGGACTTGGGCGGAATCAACCTCTGAAGAGCTCGCCTCGCTCGGTCGTGTAAATGAGCAGAAACCTTGATTCTACGATCTTGAGAATGTCCGTTTTGTCGCTGGGGGTCCACGCTGAGCCAGTCATTCTGGAATAGAGATCGAAGGTGCGCCGGTTGATCTACGGCGTCGTAATCCGAGTCGCTAGAGTCAGGATCGAGTTCATCCGTACTCAATGTCGGTTCAGTAGCCAGCTCCGTTTGGGAAGTTGATCGATCTCCGGACTTGATTTCCGCATCGTGGACAAACTTGGTCAAGTTCGCAACCTTAGACTCAAGTTGAGCTATGCGATAACGCGAGGGGAGCCTCTGGGACCGTCTGGAATGGGGAGTATATGTCTGCGCAATGCAAGTTGAGCCTCGCTCTTCGCAGCGCCGGCAGGTCGGCGCGTCCTCGGAGAGCCGAATGCACCGAACCTTGCGTCGTCTGCCTGTCGTGAGAGATCAGGTCACTGGCGCCTTTGATAAGAGCACCGGTGCTGGGTAGCTCAGGCCACTTACACTCGGTACAGCTTCTCGTGCCCTTTCGAACCCTCTGTTGATCCAAGCTGCCTAGCATGGCTAGCGAGTGTAACCACCGAGGGGGAGTTTGTCCGACAGAACGGGAGCTTTGGTGAAGTTGTTAGTGAAGCAGCAGCAGCAGCAGCAGGGAAGTCGGACGTTGTTGGCGCGGACAAGTTCTCGGTCCGCGGACGAAAAGATGTCCGCGCGGGGGCTGCTATGACCGAGAAGTGAGGGAATCCTTTCCCAAACCATCAACAACAACTTCCCTTTCTCGTTTCTCGGCCTTCGCGACGATGAATTTTGCCGCTAGCCTTATGGCTCGGACCCTGAAATTGTATTCTACAGATTCTTCTGCCATGCATCCGTGGACATATAAGCAGTCCTCCTGCTGCTGGTACCGTGACCATCACAGATGAAACAAAGCTCACATCGCAAAGACCATATCAAACCCTTCCCCTATCTCCTCAGTTGCAACAATGTTCTCATCGTTGCAATCGCGATCAGGGCCATACGCCTCCACTACAGCTAGCCTTGGAGAGCTCCCCTCGATAACCACCGACGTTCCGATCAGCGCAGTGTTTATCGCCATCTTCATCGCATTCGCTGCAACCAACATGACAATCTTGCAGAAGAACCTCCGCAGAAACCACAAGTTTGTGATATCAGGAGCAATGTTTGGGTTCTGTATGGCACGGATCACCACCCTCGTTCTGCGCATCGTCTGGGCGAACCGACAACACAATGTCCGACTTGCGATCGCGGCAGGCATCTTCGTGAATGCCGGTATTCTCATCATCTACATCGTCAACTTCATTCTGTCGCAAAGAATCCTCCGAGCAAAGCAACCTCACATCGGATGGAATCCAGTCTATCGGATACTCTGCAAAGCTCTGTACTTCGCCATCTTCGCCGCCCTGGTCATGGTGATCACGGCCATGGTTGTATCGGTCTACACGCTGAACCCTCATACCAAGTCCATCTGTCGCGACATCCAACTCGCGTCGCTCACCTATTTCCTCGTCTTCTCCTGCCTCCCGTTCCTCCATATCGCCGTGGCGTTGTGTCTACCGAGATCCAAGGACGAAGAAACGTTCGGGGAGGGCAGCATGAGCGCCAAAATGATTATCATGATCCTATCCGCAGGGCTATGCGTCTTTAATGCCGGGTTCAAGGCCGGAGTTAACTGGAGTCCTCTTCGTCCAAGAACCAATCCCGGGTGGTTTGACTCAAAAGCGTGCTTTTTCGTTTTCATCTTTGTCTTCGAGGTGCTCATTCTGAGTCTGTTGACATTCAGCCGTATCGACAGGCGCTTCTTCGTGCCGAACGGTTGCGGGGGCCCTGGTGACTATACTCGACTTCGAGACCAGACTGCTAAGACCGAGGGTGATGACTCAGGGAGCCAAAATGCTTGAAACGCGAGTGTTGTGAGGTTGTTATGTTGATATACTATGTAGATGATTGAGCTGCTGTATATATATATCTTGGTTTACAACTTCAACGCCATTAGACTAATTTCATTGGTTAGAAGTCTTTCGCGATTAAAATGACTTGTATCTACATTTCTAAGCACTCTGATTTAAGAAACAAGTAAGCCCTATATGTCTCAAGACCTGAAAGAAATGATTATATACTACCTCGTGTATCACAGCATGTGTAGAGCCGGCCCCAGCGAAGGCTAACGCGCATGGTGCACTGTAACCAGATATAAAGTATATTGTGCTGTGCTACATACATGCATATGGTTTTCTTGAAGACCTTGGTACGATATGGGCAGTTATACAAAGGATTAGATATCGAATCTCCGACCAATAGTTCCGGTAGGAAGAAATGTCAATGTCCCCGTATAGCTTCATCTTTTCGATCATCTCTCCACTGACGTTTCATTACAAGTATAGTAGTACATCAGAAGGAGGGTCTTTGTCTTGATTCTATAGCCGGCATGTCTACTAATCTAAGATGCTAAAACTTTCCTCTTTATATGTGCATTGTAGGTATATGTAATAACCTATCTTAAACCTTAGAAAGAAATGATCTCTGGCCAAACACCGAAAGAACTGACCAGTCGGAGCAGGGTTATCTAGAGAAAAGGTAGGGTATTAGCTACAGCATAGCAAATAATATTTCTACATTAGCTGCCTATTCATGCGGGTGTTCGTTTATCTCAAGACGAGGGTTTGCCCCAGTGTCGGTGAATTGGTACTATATCATATGTCCAGTGTAGATGAGAAATTTAAAAACCGAATAATATACATAATTAGCGTGATGTGAATCTGGTCGTCGAATTCGACTACCATGCTTAATTATCCCTTTCCTTCCGTGATGCGCCGTGAGCTGGTCCTCTCGCTAGTTTGAATCTCACAAAACATAAAAAGCCCGAAGATGATTAGATATCGTACAATTTCGCCGTTGAATGCATGGGTATTAGCTTTGGACGATGAGAGAAGATCGTTGAGAGAAAGAGAGTGTGGTGCGCGAGTGACGCAAAGGGGTATGCTGCCCCACAACCTCTTTCATTTACATTCTTTCTTTCTCTCAATTGCCTAGTTGAGTGTCCGGAGTGACTTCCAAATTCTCGGTGTCGGCATCAAGTTCCGCCGTAGACTCGGCGTCTATAGGGGTATCTCTCCGCGCATACGGAAGTAGGAACAGGGCTCCGACCGGGGTAACACCTTCGATACGCCGCGCCATACCGACGCTGACGGGTCGGGCGCGCTCGAGAGCCTGCTTCTCTTCGCTGCTGAGACCGTGGACCTGTTGGTAATCCATATCGGCGGGAAGGAGAAGGCCCTCATCCTGCAGGAATTTCCGGGCGGCGGCCTCCTGCCGGGCGGCGACGTGCTCGTAGTGCTTTTCAATAGCAACGCGGGTTTTGATCTCGGGGGCGAAGGAGGAGGAAGTGTAGGTGGTTCCGGAGGGCGAGTCAATAAAGGGGATCAGGGAGTCGAGTTCGATGCCTTTGACGTGGAGAAGGTCGAGGGCGGAGCGCGTGGAGGAGTCGACGCGAGCCTCGAAGCCCAGGCGGTTCCACGCGTGGGCGGTCTTTTTCGTGTTGTGGAGGAGAGCCGTGAGCTCTTTGATTTGCGCTGCGATGTCGCGGAAATGCTGCCAGCGCTTGTCCGAGACGATGCCCGCCTTGAACGCCTTGGCCGTCAGGCGCATGTCGGCGTTGTCGGACCGAGTCGTGATCCGGTACTCACTGCGGGTTGTGAACATGCGGTAGGGCTCAGACACGCCCTTGGTGATCAGGTCGTCGATCATGATACCGATGAACCCGTCTGCACGGCTGAGGGTGAGCGGCACCCTGTTCTGGGCGGCCAGACCGGCATTGGCTCCGGCGATTATTCCTTGTCCTGCCGCTTCTTCGTAGCCAGTGGTGCCGTTGATTTGTCCGGCAAGGTAAAGACCGCTAATAAGCTTGGTTTCGAGCGTGGGCCAGAGATTGCGAGGGTCAATGTAGTCGTATTCCACGCCGTAACCTGGCTGGAGCATGTGTACATTCTCAAGACCACGGATGGTCTTCAACATAGCAAGCTGAGCATCCTCTGGAATGGTCATGGAAATTCCATTCGGATAGATCACCTCATTAGGCGCGAACCCTTCCGGCTCCAGCCAGATCAAATGACTCTTCTTCTCATGGAACCGGATAATCTTGGACTCCAAGGATGGGCAGTATCTCGGTCCCTTGACCGTCTCGCGAATGTGTACTGACTTATCCAAGTTGGCCCGGACAATGTCATGGGTAGCTTCGTTTGTCCGCGTGATCCAGCACGGAAGCTGGTCTTCTGTGTCCACTTGCACCCTTTTGTTGAGATACGAGAAAGGCTGCGGAGGCGACTCTCCTTGGTGAATCTCTAACGGCTTGAAGTCGATCGTTTTCATGTCTAGTCGCGGCGGTGTTCCGGTCTTGAGCCGACCAAGCTGGAAGCCCGCCTCGCGGAGGGATTTGCTCAGTCCGAAAGTAGCGGCTTCACCGATACGACCCGAGGGGAAAACCTTGAGACCGATATGAATCTCACCTCCCAGGAAAGTACCCGTCGTGATAACCACCCGGCCAGTGGGGATGACTTCGCCGGTTTCGAGTTTGACACCCACGATCTTGCCCTTGGCTGGACCCGTGCTGTTTTCCATCCCGTCCGTCGAAATCACGATATCCGCCACTTTGCCTTCCAGAATACTCAGTCCCTCCGTCTGCAGCAGCTCCTCCTGCATGTATCCTTTGTATAGGTCACGATCGATCTGGGCGCGCGGTCCCCAGACAGCGGGTCCTTTGGATCGGTTGAGGAACCGGAACATTATACCGGCCTTGTCGATGATGCGCCCCGCAACTCCGTCCATAGCATCCACTTCACGGATCATTGTACCTTTGCCAATGCCTCCAAAACTCGGGTTACACGAGCAGACACCGATGTTCGAGAGCGACGGGGTGATCAGCGCCGTGCGGGCGCCGGAGCGAGCTGCCGCAGCACAGGCTTCTGATCCGGCATGTCCACCACCAATGACGACGACATCGTAGGGTCTATCGAAGTCAGGCTGTTAGTACTCTTGACTGGAGCGGACCTGTAAACCAGAAAAACGATCAACATACCGAGCGCCATCGGCAACAGTGGCCAGACCACGAAAGGTCCTTGTGACGCGAGGACGAACGGAGTAACTCCGTGGGACAACGGCCACCGACCGTGATCGAAAGGCCAACATGATGTGGGATTCCTGAGCGGGAGAATTCAAAAGAAATGTCCTGCAGCAGGGAAGGTAGGCAACTCAATCTGTCGGAGCGGCGCAAAAACAACCAAAAGAAAAAAAAGTCCGCGGTTCTTCCGCAATCACGTGGCCCGGGCTTATCTCCGAAGGCGGTGAAAATCCATGGCTGACGTAATCTGCGCGACTCTTGCGCCATCGCCGAAGAACCAATTGCGGGGCAGCATTTTCTCATTCTCCTCAACCCCGCGGGTCTTTTTTCTCTTGATCTCCTTCTCTTTACCTTCCGAAGCTCTCAGTTATTTCCCGTTTAGCATCGAATCCTCTCAGTTGCGATCAGACTCAAGCATCAATATCCACAATGAAGGCATACTGGTACGATAACAAGCCGGTACGTACCTCCAGTTCCCGCGACCCTTCACAACAACCCCTCCACCCCTCGTCTTCCAGGATCTACTTATCTAGCATCACCCAACCGCAATCGCTGACTTCAATGCCTTACGCGTAAAAACAGGGCGACCAGCGCGAGCCCCACGACTCCGGCAACCCCGTCTCCGAATCCTACCTCGCCTCCCTGGGCGTGATCTACCGCCACTGCCCTACCATTGACATCGTCGACGCCCTGGCCGCGGAGCGCGGCTACAAGAACCGCGACGAGGTGACGGTCTCGCCCCAGACCATGGGCGACGTATACGAGGACAAGGTGAAGATGTTCTTTGCTGAGCATCTCCACGAGGACGAGGAGATTCGGTACATCCGTGACGGTGAGGGCTACTTCGATGTCCGCGGCCAGGGCGATGAGTGGGTGCGCATCAGGCTGTCCAAGGATGATCTGATTATTCTGCCCGCCGGTATCTACCATCGTTTTACGACGGATGATAAGAATGTGAGTTTGGGTCTTATCCCCCCTCCTCCCTTTTGGATTATGGGATGTTGGATGAGTTGTCATGGCGGATCGCTGATTTGGTGGTTCTTGTATAGTATGTCAAGGCTATGCGTCTCTTCCAGGAGGAGCCTAAATGGACGCCGCTGAACCGAAGCGATGAGGTTGATGCCAACAAGCATCGCAAGTCGTATCTTGAGACGCTTCCTACTCCTGCTCTTGCTGCAAACTAAATGCTCTGACAAAATTTAAGCGGTGCTTGCCAGACCATGTCTGGCTGAGCGGGTTGCATTTTGAGCATCAATACGCCTGTGGTCATTGGGTGAATTTCTATTGAATGACAGAGCTGATCTTGATGATTTTGTACATATCAAGCCTATGATATTATGACACGTTTTTTCTCATTTCATACCTAAAATGGCCATTCCTGTGTTATGTTATAATGTTCATTTCCCAGATAGAATGCTCTTCTTGAAATCGTTATAAAATTCTCAACACCAGTCTCGAACAAACACCGGCGTGCTTTAATTTGTCATTGCGCCATCAGGCATCGAGCCGGGCATGTGGAATGGATCACTCATGCCTCCGGCACTGTGCTCTCGAGTCATACTGTGGCTTCGGAACCCCCCGGTCTCAACGTTGAAGCTGCTGGAGCGTGAGGCGCTGTCAAACGGTCGCCGCGTTCCCAGCCCTCCCCGATACCGGAGGCCTTCTGGTTCCCGATCGCTTTCGTCGTCGCGAAGCGGGTTGCCCATGTCGGCCGACATGGCGGACCGAGATGCTGCGTTGGAGCCGGTCTCCGAGTCCTCGCCTGTCCGGACTCCTGTTCTGCCCATCCGAGGCCATAGGTCCGGTAACCCTACCACCTGCACTCGGGGTTCAACGACTCGCTCCTCAAACCAGGCATGGACCCGAGCTTCGACTAACTGGGCCACCTTAGGCACATCTTGAAGTCTGCTACGCGACCCGATAAGTGATCGGACGGAAAGATCCAGCCGGTAATCCGGCAGAAACGAGAACGCGACATTGCTCTTCGGAGTGCCGGTTTTTTGTGGGCCTTCACCATCAGCGCCCCCTTGTGTATTGGCGGACTGAGGATGGGTTCTGTCCGAGTTGTTTTTGGGCCGTGAGCTGGCATTGGCAGCATCCGCTGCAGGGGGAGGAGGCGATGGAGACGGAGTGTCAAGGGGAGGCGTAGACGCAGGTACAAGAGATATGCACAATGTCCCCGAGAATCGGACAACTGATATAGATAGGCCCACTGGGAGGATTGCGGAACATGGTTTGGGATAGTTCATCAGCAAAGAGGTCTCGATAGCAATTGAGAGATTGTCATCGCTCAAGTCAACGTCCATCAATGCCTGAAGCCTCCCACCATCGGAGTTGGGATCATCCACCGCGATGATGCGACAATTGCTGAAAATCGGAAACTCCTCGCCAAGGGATATGTCCGTCACCGCGATCTTGTCTATGAATGAAGGCTTCTTTTCGGGGTTGTTTAACGCTGCTGTTAACGAGCTAAGAATCGACGACGTGGGCGAGTCTTTCAGCAGATACGCGGTTTGTCGATACTGGGCAATCGTTTGGGCAATCAGGACGTTGAACCAATCCAACGATTCCGGTTGGTGGGAGGAGTGATGGACCCTGTGACGGCCATGCTTCACAGGATTTGTAGGAATGGCGCTGTAGTAGGTTTTCCGAAGGATGGATCGGGTGTTGGTTGAAGAAGATGGGACTGGACGAAGGACGTTGGAAGTCGAGGGCTTTTCCCTTAACGATCTGGAAACATTGGATGCATCGTTCGGTGAAATGGTATAGATCGAATTGGAGCGACGGTGTGTGGCGGAGCGCAGACCGCGAGACGGCGGAGGCGGTGCTTCACCAAAGATAAAGAACTTGATGAAAGCCCCGATCAGGAGTACAACGGAGAGCTGTCCAAGGAGGAATCCTTGCGTAAACGACAATCTACGGCATTCGATTAGATCCAGCGAGACTAGGGAGATCTGGATTGAGTGACGTACGAGGACGGAGCCGGGACGGGCGAGGGTTCACCTAGCTATTCGTCAGTCAAGAGCTCATAAAGACCAGAAAAGGCGTTGTTGTCTAACCTTGTTGGAAATTCATTTTCCGGCGATGTATCAGTCGATGGGGATGCTCAACCCATTGCCAGGCCCGAAGCTGAAATGGAGGGCCCCACGGGTTGTTGGAGAAGAACGTCGTTCCAGATTATGAAATAATAATTTAAATCGCGAAGACAAAGAAAGTTGGAGCCGCCAAATGCGGACTAGCGCTGGAACTGCCCGATCGGGACTTTGATCGACCTGGCCTGATCTTCCTTCATCTCGACTATAACCAACTAACTACATCTACCTGACACGATCATCTTGCTTACGATGGTATGGGAAACTAATATCTAGCCACTCACTAACCATGCATCACCCGACTATACCGCAGCTTTTCCTGGCTTTTCTCCTACCAGCCTCCGTTCTCTCTTATGGCGGCGCATCCTCGCCAAAACCACCAGGCAACAAAGCCATCCTACTCTCCAATGTCCAGACTTTGACGCTCCGAGGAGATCGACTCACTTCCTCTCGTCGCGTTTCTCCGATCCCCCAACTACAATGCGTTGGGCCATCGAAGAAAATCTGCCAATCGTACCCAATTGATGTGATGCGGTGCACCAACGCCGGCTCCGACTATAACGAAGAAGATGTTCAGTGGACTTGCACCGCTTCACTACCACCAGAACTCAAACTGGGCTCGACGGACGTGATTTGTGAAGGATACCGGAATGCGGACGATCCTTGGGTCTTGAAAGGTAGCTGTGGCGTTGAATACCGGCTCCTCTTGACGGACCTGGGCGAGAAGAAATTCGGACGACAACACGACGACAATTTGTCGCAGGGTATTGCGCGTAATAAATGGCAGAAGCTACTGGCTGTGGTTGGGGATATCATATTTTATGGGTTCATCGCCGCAGTTTTCGCGTATATATTGGTGCCCATGGTGATCCAATGCTTTGGGGGTCAAGGTGATCGAAGACGCCGTACGCCTGGCCGTGGCTGGGGTGGTGGATCTGGTGGTGATGGTGGCGGTGGAGGCGGAGGCGGAGGAGGAGGCCCGTATTATGACCCTCCGCCGCCATATAGCACTCATCCTGATAGCTCTCGTGGATGGAGACCTGGGTTTTGGACCGGCGCGTTGGGAGGTGCCGCGGCTGGGTACAATCTCGGCAGAAGGCAAAGCGGTTATAACTCGTCTGCATTTACGAACCGACAGCCGTCATCATCCAGGCACCGGAACAACTCATATGACTCGGGACAAGGCAGCTCGCGGTCTGCGTTTCAATACTCTGATGCCACTACTACGAGTACTGGCTTTGGATCAACCAGGCGCCGATAGGAATCTCAACCCAGACACTGCCCTTGCTTCCTACATCTAAAGACTGGTACACTGGCCAAAGAGAGCCTCGGAATGCAAAAGAAGATTTCTGAATGAAAAGCCCATGGGACGAAGATATCACAAACATACAAGGCAAACCCAACTTCAAAAGCCGCTGCAGGATATAATCGTAATCATCATAACCATTACCAAGCATGAAGTAAAACTCCTAACCAACCCACCCTGCCAAAGAAAGCAAGAAACGCCAATTAACACCTGACTCGGTATCTCATTAGAACTATGCTAAATCCAAATCACGTTAAGCTCGCGGGTCGAAATCAAGGAAAGTCATCGATCGTGCCCAGGATCTCCTCCTGTCCACCACCCATGTCTTTAGCTTGCTTCTTGTTACGCTTTCCCTTAGTAGGCGCAGTGTTAGGCTTGTCGGGATCCGCCCCTTCGGCGGCGCCATCTGGATTGTGGAGAAGTTCTTCCTGAGCCTGTTTTTCCTTTGCGTGCTGTTCTTCAATGCGTTTCTTTTCTTCATCCAGCTCCTGCTGTATAACCTTTGGGTCGTCGAAGACCGTGTTGGTCATCTCCGAATACGACTGGATATCGAATGTCTCTCGCGGACCCAGTAGGGTGTCTTTTATGCGGCCAGGGTCGCGGCGTTCTTCTTTGTTGAATTTCAACTTTATCTGGCGTCTAGACCTCCCAGGAAATAGTTTACTGATCATCATGAAATCTGTGCCGAACATGCGCAACCCTTTGTAAAAAAGATCCGTTAGGTCCTCGTCCCACGATTCCGTTTTGGTGCGCTTTCCGTAAGTAGACTGATTGATCTTGCGTGTAAACGAATTTTCCACCACATCCTCCAAGTCTCCGTAGCTCCTCGCCGCTGCAGCGTGTCGGTCAACTTGTAAAGACGAAGTATCGAGCACAATCTCTCCATTCACAATTCTCATCACCGGACCATTTTGGGACTGATCTGCCCCATTTTCCCCTGCCGGAGGCTCGCTGGCATTGTCGTTCTGCTTCACTGCGGGTGGCTCCTCAGGTGCACCTTCCTGTTGCGCCGCCTGCTTCCGTTCCTGCTCGGCCAGTTCTAGTTTGCGAAGTTCGGCTTCTCGCTTAGATTTCTTTCCCGTCCGCAAGTCCTTGCATAGTTCTGACATCTTCATGACCCCCGGTGCGATCTCAACCTGTTCAGAGCCCTCGGGAGTTGGCTCACGCTGCTTGCGCGCTCGCGGTTTTCTCTCTCTCGTTTTCGTCGCGGTGCTTCCATCCTTGGGTGCCCTTCTCTTCCTCGATTTCGTGGTCTTTTGGCTTGCATCGGTGGTAACAGGCGGTTCAGAAGTGTCCTGGCTTTCCGTCGTAGACTCAGCTGCAGGAGTCTGCGTTGCAGGCGGTGTGATAAGTTGAGGGGTCTCTATCGAAGGCTGTGGCTCTGTGATAGTAGACCTGATGTCCGAGGTGATCTTGACGCGTTTCGAGGGTCGAATTTCAGTAGGGGGCTCGGAAACGGAAACGCTGCGCGACTCGGGCGCTGGGGGTTCTTCGCGGACATTAGGCCCATCAAGTCTTTCATGTTCAATCACAGGAGCATCGTTTCGAGTTTGCTTATCAGCTGCATCGGTCGAAGGCAGCGGGGTGGGGTCAACGTGTGAGGTGCTAGGTGGGGGCGGGGAAGGCTGGGAAGGCTGAGAGGATTGCGAGGGTTGAGGCGGCTGTGAGGGCGTAGGAGCTTCACGGGGGGGAGCGGGAGTCACTGCAGAGACTGAAGGCTTTCGCGTCGAACGAGGAATCGGGATGGCTGTCGCAGACGAAGATGGTTTTACATTGGCAGTCTGGGTCGCAGACGGCTGGGGAATTGCTGTCTCGACAGGAGCGGGTGGTTCCGCAATCGAAGCTACTTGACTAGGTTCGGGAGTCGCGGTCTCGGTCGCAGGCTGAGGAGTTTGGGAAGGCGAGGGTTGAGAAACTGAGGGTTGAGAAGCGACACTGGGGCGCCGAGGAGGAGCTGGGGCAGCGCGTCGGACGGGGGCCTTGGGGGCAAATTTCTTGCCCGACTTATCTGTAGGAGGGTAGAGGTTAGAAGAGAGCAAGCAATAGGATATAGGGGAGGACCTACTGATGGCAGAGCTTGAGAAGGACTTCATCTTCAACGACGGTCATAGCTGACTGACGGGGGGAGACGGGCTTGTCGGAGAGAGGAAGAGAGAGAGCGCAAAAGTCTAGATGCGCCGTTCGTCTGAACCCCCGGGGAAAGTGGGCGCGGTCACGTGGGAGGCGCTAGAGCGACGCTAACTCGCAGGCCGAAAATCCTCCTGGCTTCCATCCAAGTCTTGCTTATCTCAACTTCTTCCCCCCTCCCCATCACTACACCCTGTCCTCTTTTACGGTCGGAGTCTGTTGCGGTCTCTGCTCCCGGCTTTCTGCTGCTCAGTGGAGACAGCTTCATCCTTCGCATGTCCTTCTAGCCACTGATGCCGGCCGCCGAAGCATCCCCCGTCGCATCTCCCGAGTCCGGTTTTGTCAAGATGGAAGACCGGAAGAGAGCCGCCACGTATGAAAACAATGAATCGGCACCACCGTTGAAGAAGCAGGCGACTTCTGTCAATGGTGGTAGCAAGCCGCATCCTGACGCCGATATGCCCTGGAAAGATGACCTAGAGGTGAGTTCCCCCCTTCCCTATCCATTTGGGGGGTTCATTATCCCAAGGATTCTCTAAATCATATTTAAGCGCAGAACCCACTGCGGCGATTCTTTTAGAAGGGCAGTTTTTATTGACTTCATTCTTTTTTCTTTCATGAACAGCGATTCCAAAAGGATGCGATATGGCGACAGATGCAGGAGTACAAACGTGAGAAGGTCTCCCTGGAGGCCAAACTGAGCCAGATGTCCAAGGCCACTACCTATCATAATGAACATCTCCGTGTGATTGATTCGTGGTATAACCAGGTGAGTCCATTGGTTCCATTGAGAGGTCGTGTTTAATGCATATAACCCGTATATGTAATTTTATATGTGAATATTTGAAGCCAGTGTTCTAACGTCAAAGCCTACCAGTTGATTGACGAGATCAAAATCCTCCTTGGGACACCGGAAGAGAACAAGGGTGGGTGGAACTTCCTGCCGATCGTCATTACCTTTCACTGGAACAATCGTTTCTAACATGGTTCTTTAGGGAGGCCCAGTTTCCAAAGCTCCTTGCTCTTCGATGATTCTGAGAATTTTGAGAAGCATCTAAAAACCCGCTCGGACGATATCCGCGATGTTATCTCACGTTTCCTTTCTACTTCGCCCAAGGTGACGCCCGATGTGTCGGATTTGCAAAATCAACTTGCAAAGAAATTGGCAGAAGAGAAAACGACCATCGCGGAACTGGAAAAGGCACTCTCGGAAAAGCAACAGCTGGAAGAGAGTCTGGAAGAGGCATCTTTACGGTACATGGTGGCCGAGAAGAAACTCGATCGCGCACGCAGCTTGACCGTGGCCAAGTTAGAGAAACAGTACATCTTTGGTGCCCAGCGGCCCGGAGGCGATGGCAGTGCGTCCGCCGCTCGAGAGGAACAGTCCCCCGCCAATGGTGCCACCCCCGGTGGTGACCGCAGCCCGGAACTGGACGAAACCCACCACAAGAAACTCTCCGCCATTTCCGAGAAACAGAAGGAGCAGATCCAGAAGTTGGAGGCGGAAAATGCGACTCTTCTCAGCCAAATGACCGACTTGAATATCAAGGTGGGTTTCGGTTATCCCGTGGCCAGCGATGGCTGACTAACCCATTGGGATTTAGCGTACCAAACTCACGGACGACGACTACGCGCACACGGATCTGTTCAAGCATTTACGATCTCAATACGACGACGTGATCAAGCGCATCAACCACCTGGAGGCGACAAATGTGCAGCTGCGGGAGGAGGCAGTGAAATTACGATCCGAGCGAACCGCCTACCGCAACCAAGTGGACGAGGAAACGCAGAATGTGATCGCCGAAAAGGAGGCGCAATTGATGCGCGCCGAGACCGACTTGGCCCGCATACGGAATGCACGTGATGAGCTTCTGGCCGACCAGCAGATGCGAAAGGCTGCCCAGGAACAAGAGAAGATCTCGTCCATCAAGATCCAGGAACTAGCGGATGCCGGGAATGCTCGAATCGCGTCGTTGGAATCCGAGGTAGCCCGATTGCGGTTGCAAGTCGAAAAGGCGAGGGCGGAACAAGCAGAGGCCGGGGAACCCCCGATAGAAGAACTACGGGCCAACTACCAGAATCTAGAACGCCAATACGCCATGCTCAACACCGAACTTGCATCCATGCAAACGGCGTGCAAGAAATACTCCTCGTTAGCCTCGCAGAAAGTTACTGATCTCAGCGGCTTGGAAGAGAAAGTTGCCCGATTAACGGCTGAGAAGTCCAAGGCCGACCAGAAATACTTCGCGGCCATGAAAAGCAAGGAGGCACGGGAGATGGAAGTCCGGACGCTAAGAATGCAGAATGCGAAGAGCTCGGATATTGTCTCGCAGTTGAAGGAGTCGGAAGCAGCCAGTCGTTCTTTACTGGCGAACATGGAGAAGCAGGTCAGCGAAACCAAGGAAGCATTGCACTCGATGGCCAGCAAGTACCACAGTGCACAGCAACAAATCACGGAGACCGGCATTGTTATGGACGGTTTGAAGGGACAGATTACCGAGCTCAAGGCCTTGTCCGTGTCCAAAGACACCACTTTGGCCAACGCTTCGAGCGCTTGTCGTCAAGCCGAGACGGAGCTTGAGGGTATGAAAGTGACGCTCGCGGATACAAAAAAGAGTCTGGACAACTGGAAGAATAAGAGTCTCGGAAACTCATCGTCTGAATATGAGATGCTACGAGTAAGCTTTTCCCGCCTGCTTGCAAGTAAGTATATACATGGCACTAACTTTCAACCCCAAGACTCTAGCTCTTTGTACCGTGTGCCGCCGAAACTTCAAGAACACCGCCATCAAGACGTGCGGCCATGTATTCTGCAAGGAATGTGTTGAAGAACGCCTCACTTCGCGATCTCGAAAGTGTCCCAACTGCAACAAATCCTTTGGGAATAACGACTATATGCATATCACCCTGTGATTTCGGACCATTGCCAATGGCATTACGTCTTCGTGTACCATAGTTTTTCCTTTCTCCCTGCCGTCTTTTTCATTTATTTCCTTTTTCATTTCTTTCTTATTTTCTTTTCTTCTTCCTTTCCCTTTCGATCTCATCCATTTTCTTTTACTCGATTTTATTGCCCCCTTTTCATTTCTTTTCATTTTATTATCTTTCCCCCCTTTCATCCCCCTAAATCATGGAAAAAAGGTTCATGGTGCGGTGTTTTGCTGCTTGCGGTTTAGCAGGATAGGATTTCAGAAGGGCCGGCGTTCGACTTGTTCTCTTGAGCAGAGGTTCTCTTTGCATACTATGGCGGATCTTCTGGCATCCGGGTTCCCACTTGGGTTTTGTTCTGATTTTTTATCATTTACCTTGTTTCCCTTTTTCTTTTGCTGGAAGTGAGATTCTTTTTTGGATACCCACGTCAAATGTTCGACTGGCATTTCTGTGTGGGAACAACAAGACATGAAGTGTAGGATTAGCTTGGAAGTTGATGGACGAGAATAAGGATGATGAATTGCATCGATATTATGGAGTCACGCCGCCGATGATGGCATTGTTTTGTCTTTTTTTACTATTTTTCCTTCGCAGCAACCAACATGTTGGTATAGAACTTTGTTTTATTAAGAATTAAAAATCCTGCTATATAACAGTTCGTGTCGGCCCACCCATAAATCTAGCGGAGGCACCACCTGCCCCGCGTCCTCGACCGGCGTGTCCCATTCCCGGTCGATGCGGTCTGCGATCATGTCCTGCAGGTGCTTGCTCGCCAGGACATTTTGCGCCTGGTAAGGGCCCATCACCGACGCCCGGACTGCGGCGCTGAGAACCGCCTTGGCGTGGTTCAACATGAACACATACGCCGTCTGATGCGCGTCCATGCCCATGGCCAGACAGACGACGCCCCAGAGCGGCGCCAAATGACCCTTGGGGCCCAATTCGTTTGCGTCCCCGAGCGACGACTTCAGCGCGTCCGCGAACGCCTCGATGGTCTTCACCGCTTGCGCGGCCGTTGGCCCAGCGAGAAACGGCCCCGAGGCGTACGTGCCGCGAAACGCGCGCTCCCAGACCCCAATCAGTGCGCGACCCTGGGCGACGCTCGCTCGCTGCGCCACCACGCAAGGAGTTGATGCGTCCAGGTCGTTGTCGAGAGTTTCCAGCTCCTGTGGGTTTCGGAACCCGGCGAGTACGTACGGAAGCGAGGTGCTTGCCATTGAGGCCATGGAGAGTTTCAAAAAGCGGTGGAAGGATGCGAGCGGTGTGACTGATCGAGGGAGCGGCTTGTTGTGAGCGAGGTATGATTCCAGACCGCTGGAGTAGGCGAACGAGCCGAGCGGGAGGGCGGAATCGGACAGCAGCAACAGCGCGTGCGTTGGGACGAGTGGTACGGCATCTGCGATTGAATCCAATCTCTCAGTTAATTTCTGGATTTTTTTGATGTTTCTTTTTCACGGAAAGCCTCGCGCAAGGCCAGACCTGGACCTGATCCTGTCTTGCTTTCTCACTTACCGGCAGGGAGGGGCAAGTAGGAGGACGATTCGCCACTTTCCCCGGGCTCGGAGTTCAGGGCTAGACGGGTTCTAGCATTGTGTAGACGATACTCGAGATCAGCGATCTCTTTCTCCAAGTCAACTATGTTCGATTTCCCAGGCATTGACACATTCTTTAGGGAGGAAAGTAAAGAAGCATGGTAAAGAGAAGAGAGGAGAGGAGAGGGACCAGAGAGGGCCGACAACCGGGGGGGGCGACGTTCTTATCTATACTTTTTTTTGGTTAATACTTTCGCCGATAAGACTTTCGGCGTTGCCCGATCGGGCGGTCTGGCCCGGCAGAAAAACGGGTCTCGGCGACCGGCTTCGGTGGGTGGCAGTTGGCCGAAGGGGCGGAACGACATCATCATTTTCTCACAGAGTCCCAGCATGCGAGTCAGTTCGCTAGGCAGCCCCTCGGCGTAGGCTCTCCTCCTCCTCCTTCTTCCCCCTAGCCCAGATACTACACCGCTATTATGTCGGGAAAGCGTCTGCTGGACGCCATCCAGCTCCTCAATGTCGCCAAGTCCGTCGCAGGGAAGCACCTTGCTGTGCGCCAACGCCAGCTCGATGTCTTTGCCAGGACGTCCTCGCTCACCAAGGGCATCAAAGCCCAGGCCGACGGTCTGATCATCACCGCGCAGGCGGCCGCCGCGCTGGCGAAGCGATTCAACGAGCCCGATCCCTCTGACTTCTCGCCGAAGTCCCAACCCGCCGACGCCCCTCGTCCGCCGTACGAACCATCAAACGCCGCGGCGTCGCTTTCCCCGGAAGAAGCAAGGAGGTCGCAACGGCAATCGGAGGCGCAAATTCCTTCGAAGGCTGCTGGGCATTCGGTGGCGGATGGCACAAGCAAGGTGGACATCAGTGCGCAGCAGGAAACATTCTACAAACCGTCTCAAGCATCGACTCCGGAACTGTCCGGCCTTCCTCGAGTCAAGGTGCCCAAGAACGCCAGTGATACCCAACAAAATGTCCAGAGTCAGATCAATGCCGATGTGTTTCACTCGTCCGCCGGCCCCGAGAAATCTACTGCGGAAAAGGATGAGATCCCGGAGGAAATGATGAGCGAGATCTTCCACAGTCCAAGAGTGGCTCGGATGCTTTCCAAGAAACCAGCTGCGGAGGCCAAGAGTCCGGTTGAGACCCGCATTGTGGAGGACATCGCCTCGGATATACCAGAGGTGCGTGGAATAGACGCGGTCGAGTAGCAAACTTGGACGCTAACATTCTTGGTACAGACAACGCCGCCAACTGCCGCGGCACCACAATCACGTGAGACGTATAAGATGGTCGAATCGCGAATTCCCTCGTCTCGTCTAGGAAGACTTTGGCAATATGGTGGACTGGCAACGTCGATGGCTTTTGGTGCGGTTGGCGAGGGGCTGCGAAGGGTAACTGGTAGCAAGGAGGACAGCACTGGATCGCTTATACTCAGCGCAGGAAACATGGAACGACTGGTGGCCAAGCTCTCTAAGATGCGCGGGGCTGCGCTTAAACTGGGGCAAATGATGAGCTTCCAAGGTTCGTCCAGCGCGCGGATCGCATGTCTCTCCATGACTGACCTTCTGTAGACTCCAAAATGCTTCCGGAGTCGCTGAACGTGGTCCTCCAACGGGTCCAAGACCGGGCAGATTACATGCCTGCTTCTCAACGCGACAAAGTTCTGGCCGACAACCTGGGCCCTAACTGGCGCGATCTATACTCGTCATTCGACGAGATCCCCATGGCTGCAGCATCGATAGGTCAAGTCCATGGCGCCGTGCTCAAGAAGACCGGCCAGCGCGTCGCGGTGAAAGTCCAGTACCCCGGCGTCGCGGATTCCATTGACTCCGACCTGAACAACCTGTCGCTCCTGCTCACAGCCTCGCGCATGCTCCCTCGCGGCCTTTACCTAGACAAGACCATCGCCAACGCTCGCACAGAACTCGCCTGGGAATGCGACTACATCCGCGAAGCCGAATGCGGCAACCGCTTTAGAGACCTCCTCCGGGATGACCCCGTCTTCGTGGTGCCCGAAATCATCCCCGAGGCGTCCGGCCGCCACGTCCTAACCATGGAGCGTCTGGAGGGCGTCGCCGTCACCAAAATCCAGGACTTCAGCCAGGAACAGCGCAACTGGATCGGCACGCAGATTCTGCGTCTCTGTCTGCGCGAGATTGCCGAATTTAAATACATGCAGACGGACCCCAACTGGACCAACTTCCTCTACAACGCGCAGACCAACCGCCTCGAGCTTCTCGACTTCGGCGCCTCGCGCGAATACCCCGACGAATTCATCACCCGATACATTCAGACTCTGCGCGCCGCGTCCATCAACGACCGCGAGACCTGCCACCGTCTGTCCATCGAACTGGGCTACCTCACCGGCCACGAGTCCAAGGCCATGGTCGACGCCCACGTCACCTCCATCCTCACCCTCGCTGAACCCTTCATGGACTCCTCCCCCGACGTGTACAACTTCAGCAACCAGACCATCACGGACCGCGTGCGCGGCCTGATCCCCGTTATGATCCATGAGCGACTGGCCCCTCCCCCTGAGGAGACGTATAGTCTGCATCGCAAGCTGAGCGGCGCGTTCCTGCTATGCGCGCGGCTGGGAAGTCAAGTGCGCTGTAAGGATCTGTTTGCTGACGCGATGAAGAAAGCCGATGCGTCCGGTCTCGGCGCTGGATCTCAATGAAGCGAGTCAACCAGTACCGATCGGATCGGATCATACCCATTCTACCCTCTGTGTTATTATATCTGCGGCGAAAAGGCAAAGCCAAAGACCCTGTCAACTCCCTGTAAATTATCATATAGAATATGTACGAATATAAATGGTACTATATTATATACATACAGATCATGGATATAATAGATAGAACAAGAATTCTATTTCCAAAAGGAACGAGAAAAGTATAGAAGAATATAAGAGAACCACGATAACCAATATAGACCGAAAAGAGAAAAAGAAATGGAGAAGGAGAAAAGGAGAAGTGGAAAATCGGCCATTTTGCTCGCAGTTGTTTGAACAAATGCATCGTCGACGCATGACAAACGTCAGCAGACAGCATGCATGGGACCTGCCCTGATGAGCTGTTTGTTCGTGTGGAGTGTTGTTCATGCAGTGATGATGTGGATGCCATTTAGTTTGCAATGTCTTTCCTCCCTCGCTTGCTCTTTTTCGCTGGAGAGCAGAAGAAGGCAAAGAAAGGCAGATGACATATTTCAGTGGGCACTGATGACATATCGGCTGACCCGAGCTTTCATAGAAAAGGTGTGGAGTGATAGGGTTGGAGAGGGCAAGAGTTGAGCTCGCCAATATTTGGCTTTTCTGAGACGGTAAGTGAATGTAGTCGTAATCCTTTGGTATCGTTGCCAAGGCAAACAGCTCAGGTAAATGCAATAAACCCAAAAGGATGAGAGGTTCGTAGGTCTGAGCCTTAACTTTCAGATTTGGTATCCATGAACATAGCATTCCAGTACTTCTTGACCCCTTTACAGATCCCCTTCCGGCCGTCCCACGACTTGAACTTAGTTTCCAGTTCGCAGGCCGTCCAGAGAATCTCCTTCCAGAACTGCCGTTCCACGTCTGTGCCGAATCCCTCGATCACATCCTCGGGGATTGTCCAGGCGCGCGTGTAGCTACCGCTCTCGTCGAAGGCCGGATTGACGGCTTGTTCATCGAAGACCGTGGCCGGGTTGAATTTGGGGAAGTTGGCGTGGATGAAGAACGCGCGAGGCGGCGCCGCCTTGGAGCCATGCACACGCCACTCGCCCTTCTGCGTCAATGCGTAATCCTCGATGGGGTCGTACTGGACCATGGCGGAGCCAGCCATGCCGTCCTTGATGCGGTGGCCGATGGCGCAGATGGGCTCGGACACTTGGTAGTAGGGCTCCTCCAGAGCGAGCGCCGCGGCGACGAACGTCTCCTTGTCGCCTTCTCCGGCGGCGCCTTGCGACAGTAGGGCGTAGTAGAGATCGGGACCCCAGAAATTGTAGTAGGTACTGAGGAGAAGCGTCTTCAGGTGCGTTTTCTTCGAGAGTAGTACCTCGCCGGACTCGCTGGACTGGCGGATGGCTTTTTCAGGCATCGGCTGGGATGCGATCTCGTAGTAGTACGAAGAGACGGTGGAGGCCCAGAAATCCGGCCAGGTCACCATGTTCTTGGACTTAAACGGCTCGCTGGTGAACAGCGATTCCGGCTGCCGCAGCGGGAACGCATCGGCGTCGAGGAACAGGATCTCCTCGAAGGAGGAAAACAACATAGCGAACAGCTTGAACTGGTATTTCTGGATGTCCATGATCTTGGGAACGGCGTCCAGGATATGCGAGAGGACCACGCAGCGCGCATTCAGAGATGGAAGGACCACGTCGCAGATGTAGTCCTCATACTCCTCCTCATCGGCCAGAAACACCTCGACTGGCAATTCGGAACCTGTCTGCCGCAGCATTCGTAGCGAGATGACCAAGACCGGCAGATATGAGCCTCCCGCCGTGGAAACCAGCCCCCTCGTGTTGGGCGCATAGTGCAATTTTGGCGCATTCTTCTTGATTTCCTCGACGAACCCACTATGCGCTCCCTTCATCGCCTCGACATCCTCGGGCAGCATGTCCAGCATCTCCGGTCGGTCGTCCGGATTCGCCTCTTCGAATCGGATGGACGGCGCCGAGCCCAGTCGCAGCGGCGGTTCGGTCTTCGGCTCATTGACAGCCAGCAGATGTTGGAGATGTCGCCAGAACCGAATGTGGCCCTCGATGTCTTGCCCGATCATTTTTTGGGGGTTGGATGATGATAATGTCCCGTCTGTAGATATGGTCGATTGCGACTCTACCTGTTGCCGCCAATTCCTCAGTGACCAGGTTAATATCGAGGCGAGAACCACTGCCAGCAGTAAGGTTCGCACCCGCGACAGTGGTCGGGGAAGAAACATTGTAAAGAAAGGATAATCAGTGTTAATGTGAGAATGGAAATGAAAGTGGCGCGACCGGCCGAATCAAGCTGACGAAGACGACCAAATGCGATCTCAGTTGATATACTATGGGATGTTTCAGCAAGAAATTTTGACAGAGTCAATGCGACAAAGTGGACAGGAGTCGCAAGGGTCGAGCAAAAAGCTCTGATGTTAAGGACGCGCAAGCATATGGTCGGCGGAGGAACGATATGCAAGTCCAAGAGGGTCGTGAGTCTGCGAATGCGGCAGAGTGAGACAGGTGTCAAGAGAGTGGCGCAATAGGATCACCCGAGAAAAAATTGGACGGCAAAATAAATCGATAATGAGCGAGGGAGGTGAAAAGAAAAGACGACGATCTCCACGTGTATCCGGAGGTGATGTGATGATGAAACGAGTCGCGGTCCTTCGCTGGTCCCCGCGGATCTCGTCTCCGTCGCTAATGACGTCGCTAATCTTATTTCATTTGGACTGAAATTAAATTGGTTGGTTTAATATGTTTTATCTTTTAAACGATATTATATGATATACGCAATTTTTTAAATCCTCAGTCCATATTCCATTTGCTAATCTAGTCAGAATGACGGTTGACTGTTAACTCCCTGATCAACCGACTGCGTTCTCTCGAGGTCGTCTTTAGTCCTCCAAGTATGCCGAGCTGTATTCATCGTCCTCCTCCAGTATGGTCGAAGTCGAAGGCCCACTCGCACCCCAAGGTTCAAGGGACTTCTTTCCGCCCCATTCTAGACGGCCACCACTGACCAGAGCCGAAGTACCCGGTCTCGCGTATCTCTTGTTTATAGATTCAATATCCGGCTTCAAGGGGGAGCTCGAGACGATGAACCCCAGCCATTGATTGAACAGTTCGACCGTCAAGTGCGTGGTGCAATACAACATCACGCCAAGAACGAGACCAATACAGGCGGCTGCCGTGATGAAGATGAGAATGGCCTGGGAAGGTGATAAGCTACAACTGCGAAGCACGATGAAGTAACATGAGTATGGTGGTTCGCTAACCTCGAATTGAGCCAGGACCCTGAAGGGGAGAAGGACTAATCGCAGCGGATAGCGGGCCAGGCCTATCAGTAAGTTTACGAGTAGTCGCAAGACGCCATATCCAAAGTAGGCGAGATAAGTTATGGGATAGGCTGTCAGAGAGAGTACTGTTGAAACTGCTGATAGCCAGGCCATTATTTGGACGGAGAGAGAGTAGTATCAGCCCTCAATTTCAAGCAAACATGGCTTCTCTCCGTCCCGTTCATCTCAAGACAAGGAGAAACACGATGCCCGCGGACTGCCCGGCAGATGGTTCTCTCCCACCGCCTTCTGGCCCGGCAGAAACCAAGGCTGACCTCGATGCCACCGACCCAACATCTTCGACGGAGTACGGAGGACATAACAAGTAGAATCTGCTTGGAAGCTCCTCTTTTGCAAAGGTCTGGATCATCTTCTTCCACGTCAGGCCATCTGTAGACGTTACAATAGGAAGATGAAGGGAACGTTCTCGGAGATAACGGTCGGGCATTCAGGCCCCGCCGAGCCCTAAGCCCTAGAGCGGAAAGCGTCTGGGCCAGACTCTCCCTCTCTCTCGTCCTCTCTTTCTGGGGTCGCCGACATCGTCATCATCCTCCTCGTCATCCTAAGTCAACTGTCACTGGCCTGTTGCCCCCCCCCCCCACACCGTCAATCTCCTTCGCCCCGTTTTCTATTTTGGTTCTTATTCTCTTCTACCTGCCTGCGCGGGGTTGATGCTCTAATGCTGGTCTACTAAACTACGCCGGCATTTCATCTCGTCCCTACTTTTTCCCCCTCCTCACCCACCTTCTTCCTTTCCCTCCCCCGGTCTGTCGCGCCCTTGCGCTCGTTCCTCTCCAGATGGGCAACAACCCTTCCAAGGGCCCTACCGGGGAAATTCCGTCAGCTGCGAGCCCTTCAACACCGCCGCCCTCTACAGAAAGAAAAGTAACCCGCCAACCGTCGCTCAATGCGTCTTCCGGTACCTCCAAGGCCACTGCGGTCGACCCCTCCGCCTCCAAAGAAACGGCCACGGGGCATTCAACGTCACAAACCCATGCACCGGCGCAACAACGTCTACAACCCCGCAATCCTGCCGATTCGACCGCACGAAATGTTTCCGAATCAAAGAAGCCGGAATCCCGTCCGAAGGACATCTCCGCCCCCGATCCGTCGAACCCGGTGCAGGTGCCGGTCTCTCGTACAGCCGCGAGACGTGAGCCCTACCCGTCCGTAGCACCGTCTGCTCCGCCTCACAATACGTACTACAGTGCGTCCACTCATCTTCAGCGTCCGCCTCGGATGCCCCTACCGATCGGCGATGCGACGACTACGCCCGGCTCGCCCATCATCGGGCCCGATGATTCATACATGGGATCGCCTCCTTCCGACCCGCTGCTAGAGGAGGGCGCCGGTCCGAGAAAATCACAATTGAGCAGCACGGTTGCCGACGACGACGAGATGATAGATGATCTTCAACCCAATGCTAGCACTGGTGTTGGCCGGGCCGTGCCCACGATAATAGAATGGACGGCTCCGGGCGACAAGGTTTATGTCACCGGAACATTTGTGAATTGGGAGAAGAAATTCCGTCTGCACAGGTACGTATCACGCTCTGCAGTATCAGATGCTATCTGGTGATGGTGCTAACAAATTGTCTGGAACAGCGAAAATAATTCCGGGGTTTTGTCGGCAAAATTGAACCTTCGCCCGGGAACACATCATTTGAAATTCATTGTAGATGGCGAAATGAGAGCATCGGATACCCTCCCCACCGCAGTGGACTTCACCAACCACTTGGTCAATTATGTTGAAGTGAGCGCGGGCGATGTAAACCGGTCGCGAAGCCACAGCGACAGGACCTCGCGGAATGCTGCGACTCCAGGCGTGCACACACCCCAAGCACCGTCCGATCCGGTGGGAGCATCGCAGGATGAATCCACCGTGGAGGACCAGTCCGAAAAGGAAGAGCCCGAGGAGATACCTATGGGCGATTTCCGCGGTATTCTTCCGCAATTCCTCGTCGACTTGGACAGGGAGGATGAAACCCAAGAGACCCCCGCTTATCAGCAAGCCGTCAACATCATCGGTGAAGCGCCTACTCCGCCAAGTCTCCCTCTGTTCCTCGGGAAGTCCATCTTGAATGGCACGACGCCGATGAAGGACGACAGCAGCGTTCTGAACTACCCCAACCACACGGTTCTGAATCATCTTGCCACGAGCAGCATCAAGAATGGTGTCCTCGCTACGAGCGTAACGACTAGATACAAACGCAAGGTAGGTTGTTGCAGCTTTGATGCATGCCATTGAGAAGGCTCTTGCTAATAAAACTCTTCGCAGTATGTGACGACAATACTGTATAAGCCGACAGGAGACATTACAGGTTAGCACGTGCTGTAGAGAATGTGCTATTGTATATCTCATCACTCCGTCCTATTCGGCCAGCAGCACGATTGTACTTTCGCCGCACCGAAGAAGCGCCACTGGACATTAGCGTTTCTTTTTCTTTTTTCGCTTTCATATACATCTGGGAAGCTCTTCGTGAGTCACCTTGCAAGTTTAGGAAATGCACTACTTCTGATGGTTGTGAATAAGGACAATTGCTATGATTGTGCAATTGTCGTCTGGTTGCTCCTTGGACAAAGGTCTGTTGTCGTTCATCCCTCCACGGGTGTCGGAGTATGTAGCAAGCCACTTATGGGATCGGATATTTTCCATCTGGTATGTTGATCATGTTAAGGAGCATCAAGAAATGCTGGATGAGCAATGGGGATTTCTTGGCATTCAAAATCGATTTAGCCTGGACCTGTTGTGTTAAGTTAGTTATAACTGTCACGCTAGTGCATTTGTATGCTGGACACATCCAATGTCATTAGCCAATTCTACATTATTTTGTCTTCTAAACTTTTGTGTTTGCCCTTTTGTAATCATGAAAAGAACTCTGAAGACAACGTTAATCCCTCCACTTGACAAACACATCATCCGTCCGGAAGCGCTGCGTGCAGGTGGAGTCTTTCAGAGGCGTCGTGAAACCGGTCTTGTATGCAAGCATCCCCGCCTGCGCAATCATAATCCCATTGTCAATGCAGAACCTCTCATCCGTCGCGTGTACACTGCCCCCTCGATCTCGAGCCATTATCCCCATCATCTCTTGTAGTCTTTCGTTACAGCCGACTCCACCCACGATGAGCACCTCCTTCGATCCGACATGCGCCATCGCGCGTTCCGTGATCTCCACCAGCATGGAGAAGATCGTTTCTTGGAGCGAGAAGCACAGGTCCTCCCGGGTTGGCCGATCGGAATCTGCAGGGTTCCCGTTGCCCGGCTTCTCTTCTCCGCCCAGCCCATATGTCGCGGCCAATCCGTCGACCGCCGCCAGTATCCCCGAGAAAGAACAGTCCATGCCTTTCACCGTGTATGGGAGGTCGACCAGTTGTTGTCCCTTCTTCGCCAGTTGTTCGATGTTGTATCCCGGCGCCGGATCGTTGGAGATGTGTAATGTGCGCGCAAATCGGTCGAGACAGTTACCCACCGCAATGTCCAGTGTTTCGCCGAAGATGCGGTATCGTTGCGAGCTGTATGCGATCACCTGTGTGTTTCCTCCCGACACGTAGAGGACGACCGGGTTGGTGGAGCCGGTGATGAGTCGGCCCATCTCGATATCTGTATAGAGGCCGTTAGTGCTGGGCCTACACATCACGACGGGTTTATCATAAAAAGAATACGACGACAGTGAATCGAATTACAGAACACCATGGTTTTAAGGCTATACGTACGTCCAACACAGTGGTTCACACCCACCAATTCCTTGCCCCAGAGCAAACTCAGCATGCGGGCGGCAATCGCGACGCTCTGCAGAGGGGCACCCATGCCGGGTCCTTTCGTGAAACAAATACAATCCACATCGCGGACAGACAACCGAGCTTCCTTGAGCGCCTTCTTGACCAACTTGACCACCCACGACCGGTGATGGCGGGCCGTGTCCTTGGGGAGAAAGCCCTCGCCGGGCGGAGAAACGTAGGTGTGCCGGATGTTCGCGAGCACCTGCGGGGGGCTGCCATTCTCGGGATGCAACATGATGCCCACGCCAAGCTTGTTGGCAGAGCCCTCCATACCGATGGCGATCATGGTGCCGTTAGAATTCTAAGGTGAGAAACTCAGAAGACAGGGGAAATTAAATCTGGGAATTTTCACTGCCTCTGAAGGGACAGAAAGCGCCGTTCATAGACCACAAAAAAAAAAGCCACCGATAATTGATGGAGGGGCAACGTTATCGATTGGGGCGGCCGCAGCGTTTATCCGACGGGGCCCGTGATTTACTGCTTACTACTCCCGTCAATTAGTGGTCTCTACTACGGAGTACGTCCACGCCGTCTCCATTTACCCAAACCCACTTTACCTGGACTATTATTATTATTATTAGATTCGCTTTTCGCACACATTCTCTGCTGAACAGTCCTGCCATCCTTACGCTGCGGTGTTACTCCCGTCTTGTCTGGACCCTCTTTGTCCTTCCCTTTCGTTCCTTTGTCCCCTGAGAGCCCTCTAGAGTCGGAGACCATTCGCTTGTTTGTGGTCTGACCTCTAGCTTATTCACCTCTTCCTTTGCTCCGCAGCAGCCCTCTTTACGACGCCATGTCTTCCACAGCTCACTTCCCTGATCCGGATCATTTCCAGCATCAGTCAGATGAGTTTCTGCACTGGCTGGCTGGGAAGCCGGGGGTTCAAATCAACCCTAAAATCCGCATTGCCGATCTGAGATCTCAGGCTGCCGGCAGAGGCGTCGGTACGTTCCTATTCCCAGCGAAGACCGCTCGTCCTGGTCGATCTGCTCCACCATTTTCAAGTCACTCGTTCTGAGTTTGTGAGAACGGCTCTCTGATTGTCCATCATCGCTTTTGCAGTGGCTCAAGCCGATATTGCCGAAGGTGAAGAGCTTTTTACCATCCCGCGCGATCTCATTCTGTCGACTCGCAACTCCCAATTGAAGGATCGACTCTCCAAGAACCTGGAAGAGTTGGGCCCATGGCTGTCTTTGATGCTAGTCATGATCTACGAGTTTCTGCTCGGCGAGCAATCTGCCTGGGCCCCGTACTTCAAAGTGCTACCTCGAAAATTTGACACCCTGATGTTCTGGTCCGCCCCGGAACTGCAAGAGCTTCAGGGCAGTTCCATCATCGAAAAGATTGGAAAGGAAGGTGCCGAGAAATCTATCCTTCAGACCATCGCCCCCATCGTGCGCGCCAATCCGAACCTTTTCCCTCCGATTGAGGGGCTTGCTTCTTACGACGGTGATGCCGGCACTGAAGTGCTCCTCAACCTTGCCCACGTTATGGGATCCCTTATTATGGCCTACGCCTTTGATATTGAGAAGCCGGAAGATGAAGAGGAGAATGATGATGGGGAAGACGGCTATCTGACTGACGAAGAGGAGATGCTGCCCAAGGGTATGGTTCCGTTGGCGGATCTCCTGAATGCCAATGCGGACCAGAACAACGTGAGCCTCTCCCAGAAGACCCACGGTTTTTTTTTATTTCAGTTCCCCACGCACATGCTCACATTAACACATGTTCTAGGCGCGTCTCTTCCAAGATGAAAATACTTTCACGATGAAAGCCATCAAACCTATCACCCCTGGGGCTGAGGTCTTCAATGATTACGGGGAGATCCCCCGTGCTGATCTCCTCCGACGGTACGGCTACGTTACGGATAATTACGCTCCTTACGACGTCGTCGAGCTACCACTGGAGATCATTTGCGAAGCTGCTAGCTTGGAAAATGCCGATGCCGAGGAACAGCCTCCGGTAATCATCCTCTCCTCAGTCCTTCAGGGGCTTTCTTCTAAAGATCATACTAACGTGTGGCCATAGCTTGAACTTCTCGAGTACTTGGAACTTCTCGACGATGGATACGTCATTCCTAGGATATCGCCGCATAGTTTGATCGAGAACATCGTTACGGATGAACTTTCTTTGCTGCTCCGGACGTTGACTCTCCCGGTCGAACAATTGGAGCAATACCGGTCCAAGCAGAAGGCCCCGAAGCCCGCTTTCGGTCCGACAGAAGGAGCCATCTTCATGAAAGCTATTCAGCTGAAACAAGCGCAGTATGGCACGACAATTGCGCAGGACCAGGAGCTCTTGGCCCAACTGGCCCATTCCGGGGCCCCTGGCCTCTCTGAAGAAACGGCCCGTCGTTACAGAATGGCTATCCAAGTCCGTTTAGGCGAGAAGGAAATTCTGCAAAATCTAGCCACCTTGATCCACAATCATCTTGCGAACTCGTCGCAGAACGGCCAAAAGCGGGCTGCCAATGGCGACGATGATGAATCCCGAGCGAGCAAGTTTCTGAGATCTTGAAATCTATCTACAGCAGGCGTTGCTTTTTTGATCCGTCGCGCATGATAAGAAAGGTTATATCTTGAATCTTCTTTTTTTCTCGATATGTATCTGATATTAGATTTTTGTTTATTTCGTTGCTGACTTCATAGCTTCGCTATCCATACAAGAGTCTATCGACTGATCGGCGTCGAAGAGAAAAAGAAAAAGAACAAGTCACTATGTACACTAACAGCGGCATATCAGGGTCATGTCATGAGAAAAAGAAAAACCATCCATCTGCGACATTATCCTGAAATTTTTTGTTTGTTTCATCCTGCTCAAGAAGCAGGTGGATGTGGGGGTATGGGGTTGCAATCGAGAGAACTCTCGGACATCTCACGATCAGCGTGTCAGGGGAGTAAAAGTACAAGGGTGCGTGAGAAGAAAACAAGCTTGAAGAACGCCTGTCAAATGCGGGGGAAGGAGTGAGAGGGAAAATAGAAAAAAGGGAATAGAAGGGCGCGAGAGATTAAAAGGATAAGAGGGAGAAAGAGGGGAGAAAAGAAGAAAAAAGGAAGCCCAGCTCAAGCGTCGGCTACAGGGGCAATGGCACCAGGCCCGGGATTTGATCCCATTGTCTGTCCCATGTTTGGTGGGTTGCTGGCCGATTGTTCGGCTTGCAGTCGCCGCTGCTGTGCTTGGGCTTGGGCCTGTGCTTGAGCTTGGGCCTGGGCCTGTGCTTGAGCTTGGGCCTGGGCCTGGGCCTGGGCCTGTGCTGCCTGCGCCTGCGCATGTGCTTGAGCTGCAGCTTGATCCCGGGCTTTGGCCACTATCATGGCCCGATGCTGCATAAGGTTGATGTCGTACGGATCGCACTCATACTCCGGCTCCTCGTCCGAATCCTCCTGGTCATACTTGAATCGATCGGCCTTCCAAGGATCCATCTCTGCTCTACAGCGCGAGGCGAAGTTTCGACGGTCAATCCACAAGCGTCCGCCACGCCCGATACGCCTCCGGAATGCAGGCATCTTGCTCGTGTCGTCACTCAACTCCATGGCATGATGAGCGAAATTATCTCGGAAGGCTAAGGAATTGAAGGTATCTAAAGCTGAACCCGACATGTTCTCTGACGAATCGGATGATGGAGGGGTTGGCAATTGGGTGGTAATTGCCGGCCGGAAAGCAGCATCGAAAGTTCTCTCGGGAGACGGTGAGAGAGGCACGGTGGTGAGGTCCAAATAGCCCTCGTTCCACTTGATGTGCTTGGTGATATTCTGCTTGATATCGCGCATAATCTCGTTCTCTTTTTCCGCTTGCACGTCCTCCAGCAGCTGCAAGTCGTCCGTGACCTGGGTGCTGGCCTTTGGCGGCATCCGAAGTTGGGGAGCTGCTGGACGCTGTGCTGCTGGCACTTCTGCCGGCTTCTTCTTGGGCTATCAATGGGATTAGCATCCGTACCATACAACGATGACCATGATTCGACGCTTACCTTCTGGTTGATGAGGTCCTCGTCGTCGTCCTTGATGTTGAGTTTCCTCTTCATCTCCTTGACTTCGGACCGTTGCAGGAAGACTTGCTTTTCGACTAAAAGCATCTCCTTCCTTGCCAGCTCGCGCTGGCGCACCAAAGCGACCAATTGCCGAGCGTCTTCGAGTTCTTTCCTGAGTCTCCTCAGCTTATCGGCACTCTGAGCGTCTCTGCCACGGGTCTTGCGAATCTGGCGAACTTCCCGCCTACGGAAGCAGACATATGGGTCAGAGTCATCCGTGTCTTGGCCAGTCTCGAACTGTACAAAAGGTTAGCGCTTGACGTTTTGCACGCCGATTTCGAGCTTCGCGATTGCGATTGGAAACAGGGTACTTGCCTTGAGGTTTGACACGAGAGATCGGTTGCCAGTGCCCGTCCTCCTTGACTTCCAATGCTCGTATATGCCCTTGGCGAATTGCTTTACGCTGTCCTCTACGGCTGCGTCCATGGACTCCTGCATGTCTGCAAAACTCAGGACAGGCGGGTTATCTACTGCTGCAAATGGTTGCTTGGTCTGCGTGGTCTCCTCGAAGAAATTCATGACTTCTTCGAATTGGTCCTCGGTGCACGGCGGTTCGCCAGCCTCCCGCTTTTGGTTCATAATCTTGAGGAACACATCATCCTCCTCGGTCATATTATACGGACATCCGCAACAGTCCTCCACAGTGGAGGAGAAGCGGATGTACGTCGCGGGTTGCGAAAAGGTAGGAGGGTAGAGCTCGTCATATCGGAGATTACTGAGGAGCGTCTCCGGCGTTGGGATGTGAGCTTCATTTACTTTTCCTTGGGCCGTTGCACTAATTGCGACTTGAAGATGGAATTCCTATGGGAAAATCGCGTTAGTCGGCACCGTTTTGGGGGGTCTATATCTGGGGTGCGAAATTTTCACGGGGCGGACGGGTCGTGATGATGTCACGTGATATGTGCAGGGATGGGCCAAGCCGATTCGGGGGGAGAGCGACTCACCGACTCCTCCGCCTTCTCAACACCGGTCTCGATCTGTTGGAGGGCATTTTGGACTTCGTCCTCAAGGACATCTATGTCCTGTTCTCGAACTATGGGGATTGAGGCCTTGGAGGTGAGCTTTTTCGGGCGCGTCCTCCCCATTCCCCCGTACCTAGTCATGCGAACTTTGGGGCGCGTTTTAGGCGGCAACCATGGGCGAGGGGGGACAAAATTAATATGGACCGATAGGTCAGATCATGCACGATCGCGTAGACGTATTTTCGTGATGAAAATTGATGGAAGGGGGGAGATATTGACGGCTGAAATCTCGTAGTCTCAGCGCCAGCGGATGAGTTGACGTTGCAATGTCACCCGGCGGTGGCCTGTTTTGGAGCCGCGCACGGCCTCAGGGGTTCGCTTGCCTGTCCGTTTCCGGTTAGTGCGGGGCTGGCCGATATCAAATTGCTGCTCGGTCGCTCTGCCCTTGGCAACTGTTCTGTTGTTGTCTCGCTCGCTCTTTATCTCCCTTCCTCTCCTCCATACCAACCCCCTTCGTGGACCCGAACTAAACTCGATTCGACCGGCATATCCCTTCCTGTTCTTCTACTCCGTACTTCTCGTCCGATCCAAGAGACCGCATCACGGGCTCTTCCCCCACCGCGATGGACCCTTCCGGTGGCCCCAACAATGCCGCCCTGCACGATGCGCGCCGACGACGAGGCTCGGTCGGAACATCCCAGCTGTTCGATAACATTGTTTCGGCATCGAACTGTGAGTTCTCTGCTTTGCTGTCCGACAGACGAAGCGGAAGCGACCCGGTCGCACTGACTCACATCCCTTCTAGTCGACCGCGACGAGGTGGACCGACTCCGCAAGCGATTTATGAAACTGGATAAAGTACGCCTTGACATTGGATTGGAGGTTTGACTTGGAAAGGGAGGATATAAATGCTCATGTTTTCGACAGGATAGCTCGGGGACCATTGATCGAGACGAATTCCTTTCCCTTCCGCAGGTGTCATCGAACCCGCTCGCTACGAGGTACGTCGGGATCAATCCACTCCGCCCCGCTCGTTCCCGGACATGGGAAGATATAAAGGATGCATGAATGGAGGGAGGAAGGATGCGGGGGGAGACGAGGATGAGGATGAGGGAAAACACGATCGACACACCTGCATTTACCCCATCCACACAAACACACATACCAAACAAAACACTCGCGCCTAATCATCACCTCTTTCTCTCCTACAGAATGATCGCCATCTTCGACGAAGACGGCGGCGGTGACGTCGACTTCCAAGAGTTCGTGTCTGGTCTCTCGGCATTCAGCTCCAAGGGCAACAAGGAGGAGAAGCTGCGGTTCGCATTCAAGGTCTACGATATCGATCGCGACGGATACATCTCCAACGGCGAACTCTTCATCGTCCTGAAGATGATGGTCGGCAACAACCTGAAAGACGTCCAGTTGCAGCAGATCGTCGATAAGACCATCATGGAGGCCGATAAGGATCAGGACGGCAAGATCAGCTTCGAAGAGTTTACCGATATGGTGGAGAATACGGATGTTAGTTTGAGTATGACGTTGAGTATGTCTTGCCCTCTCTGTCTTTGGTTTTTTGTTGCTCGGGGTGTTTGGTTTGGGGAGGATGGATGGGGCTAATGGATATCATGCTGACCGTTTTGAATAGATCAATTCTAATCTCGTTTGTGCTTTTGGCGCTCTGCTCTGTGGATTTCCATTCGGTTTCTGTTACTGCAAATATCCGTCCTTCTGCTGGCTCTACCGGAGCTGTAGCCAGCCAGCCTTCTACTTGACTGACCGACTGAACTGATCGATTCAGTTCGATCTCTTTGATATGATATGATTATGACATGATACTAGCGATGATGACCTACCACTTACCTATCTACCTGCCTACCTACGGACCTGTAGTTTAAAATCATAGAGTGCTTCCTTTGACCGTCTCTGTCTTTTTTATCCCCCTTTGTTATCAATTCTCGCCACCCTGCAAACCTGCTAGAACACAAACTACCCAAATTTTGCAGATCTTGCTATATATCAAGACATATATATTGCTAATTTTCCCAAATGGGAAAAGAACTTGGCATATCCTACATTTACGCATCCGGAATACGGTCCATAAGCCTCACCAGCTAAGCTAATATATCCGATTCCACAGGTGTTGATATCCACATCCACGACCAATTGTCTCTTATCTGTTATCACACTGGTTATAACTGCTGGCAGTACATGAATGGATCCTCTGACCGCCTACCCCAATCATATATGATTCATAGTGTTATTGTCCTAAGGCATCTAGATATTCTTGTTCCCTGCTTGGTGTTAGCGTCTCCGTTGTCCGGTAGATAATCTCCAAGTGCTTGTACTGTACAAAGGAAGTATGTAGGTAGGTAGGTAGGTAGACATGTATACACACATACCCACAATTACTCATTCCTCAATATCTAGATCTAGGTAAAGACTGCTTAATCGGTGCTCGCATTTTCATTGTCTGCGGTAGAGTTATGTTCTTAGGTAGATAGGTCGTACTGAACTAGGTTTTAACCTTGGGTTATGGGTATATAGTGCGTGAAAACCCGGGAGATAGGTGTAGGCAGGGTTGAGATTCAAATTTATCTAAATCTCAACGAATGAATCTACATCGTAGAAGTACAGGAATGGCAGTCTAATTTGTAGGTAGGTACTGTGTCGTGTATTACACCTTCTGAGCTATCTACTTTTTTCCCGTGTTGAGTAGGCGTTGATTGATAACTGGATGATAGCATAAACTCTACGGTGTACTCAAGTTAGGGTGTACTTCTTACCCTAAACCCGTAGCTACATACATACCAACAAGGCATGGAATTGAAATAGACCTCTTCTGCAGAACGGGTATCTCATTATTATGTCAAGCCAAGCAACCAAAAAATGTATCTAAAGAAAAGAACAAGAACTATTATCGTACAATTTCATAACGTCACACATACCAATCCGGTAGCCCATTCCACTTTTCCAAATCCTACATCCAGCTCATTTTTCATCCAAGTCCAGTAAGTGATGACTGATGGCTGATGACATCAAACCCGATGTGATGTATCAAATCCGATCGATTGCAGGATCGGCGCCACTCACCAGTGAAGTCACGCCTGACGCCTCACAACACGAGGGACAATCATGCATCCTTCGTGAACAATCGATTAGAACCAAGGACAGGATCCAAAGCCAAAAGCCACCGAAAAATAAAAAAAATATAAAAAGGAAGCTCGGGGATTGCCGACGATCAGCCCGCGTCAGCCCGACGGCTTGGGTCATGCACGTATTCTGATCCTGATCTTGGAACCTGGGATTGGGGGACTTTGGCATCTGTCAGTCTTATCCCTTTCCAAAACCAGAAGAACCAACCCTGTCCGCCAGATGCTGACGCTGACCCAAGGCGAGGATATCGCCTGGGACGAAGCGAACATGTTTGAGGGAAATTGAGGATTGAAAAGCGAAAAAAAAAAAGAGAAGGGGGAAAAAGAAAAAAAGAAAAGAAACAAAATAGAAACATAGAAATATGAAAACACAAGATCTATGTCCTGTAAATTCGCCCCAAGATACGCCTCACTCCCCCGGCCCAAGCTTTCCGCGCAACCCGTGATGCAAAATAAACCCAAAGGGAGAAAGTGCCCCCGGTATATACAGCCCCAGATGATGAGGAAACTTGGAAGAACGCCAATCATGTCCGCGTGACTAGTTGGGGTTTTTGCTTTTTCCCTGTTCTGTTTTTTGACCTCCCTCTTTCTCTAGTGATTTCTTTTTTGTTTTTTCTTTCCTTTTTTTTTTTTTTTTTGCCCCTCACGAGGAAAGGAGAGTGGATGTGGATGTAGTATCCGGAATAGACAGAAGGCATCCGCATGTTCAATCACAGCCCACCAGAGTGGATGGCCCTAATGCAGGAATAAATATGTCGCATAGCGCTAGGCCACTTGATTGCCCAAACAAAAGCCCTGAAACTAAAAGGGGGCCAAGAGGGGATGAGAGGAAGGGGGAAGGGAGATGGAGGTAGGCACGCCGCCGCAGGGATCTAGTAGTCGATAGTTTGGCATGGTCCTCCCAGGAGATGAAGGAACTAATTTAGTTCCTGCGTTAGGTTGCAACTGATCGGTGGCCCAACCGCAAAAGTACGGACTGTACCCGATTCCTGTTCCTGTCAGGTAGCGGACCCCAATCTTCATGCATGGACGCATGGAACCTCACGATCGCGAGGTCGCCGTCGCGGGGACGGAAATTGCTTGGGGACCGAGGACCTCCGGTCGACTGTCCATGAGATCGAGACATTGACTTAGAACTAGATTGACTCGGTTAGCAATTTTCCCGTCGAATCGGCGACCATGCCATTCCGAAGAAAGGGAGGAATAATTAATAAAACCCACCACAGAGAATCTCCTCCTCCCAGATTCCCATTTGGTAATCGACCAAGCCATGCTGCTCCATTCGATCGCATAACGAGATGAGTTCTTTGCCAAGATTCTCCATGACCTCGCCGGTCAGAAGACTTGTCCGGGCCGGCTGGCGGCCCGTCTGAAGGAGTTCCTGCGTCAAATCCTTTTGTTTCTGGCAGACAGCCAACCAGCAGATGTTAAAGTCATTCCATAGTTGGAGTCGGTCGGCATAAAGTACTTGATCGTCACGTAAAATGCCTGCTCAGAAAAGAGGGTACAGGAAGAGAGACCCCGAAGTTAGTCTCATCCAGGTGCTCGGGATTTAATCAAGAAGGATAGTAATGACATAATAAAGAAAAAGAAAAAAACAAGAAACGAAAAAAGAGCATTGGCCACGGACATGCATGTACAATACAAGTGTCTGGGTCGGTGCTTTCTTAGGGGCAGCAGGAAGTGGGTAAATAACCAAGATTAAGGAAGAATTAGGAGGCACGCTAAGGGAGAGACATACCCAGTTCCCGCGCATTAGTCACAAGCCACTCGGAGATTTCCAAGAGTGATCTACTAGCCTCTACCAATCGGCCGGCGCGCGTGTCCGCGAAGGTCTCTCTCAATGCCTGATGAAACTGCCCATACGACTCGTTCGGATGACCGAAAGATTCGCCCGCCGCTGGTTGCTGGGGCTGAGGCTGCGACGGCGGCGACGGCTCCAGGCGTCCGGTCGTGCCCACCGGGGTCATGTCCGGCATGGTTGCGGGAAAGGGCTGGGTGGTGCCAGAGCGACCAATGGGCCCCGGCTGGTTATAAGCAGCCAGCGGTAACTGCGCCAGGTAGGGCGACGGAACCCCGGGTCCAGTCGGCTCATTATAATACTGTGGAACGGCGAATTGCGAGGAGAGCGCATCCATCGCTGCAGATTGCCGTGTTGCATAGGGTGGCACGACCTCGTACGGGGACTGCGTCGGGCCCTGTTGGTTGAGGTTGTAGACCATCTCAGACTCGTAGCCGGTGAACGATGGCTGCACTTGCTGACGTTGGTGGTCGCGCAACGTCGGCGCATACGGCTGTAACTCGTCACCCTGCAGCGAGCCGCCCTGGAAAGCACCGTCGGGGTATTCATAATCTAGGTATGCGGACGTGGACAGCCGGGCGCGTCCCGTCGCCTGGGACGGCGCATCTCCACGTGTCGATTGAAGGGTCGCCTGCCTGAATCGATCCGTCGCGGCCCCGTAGGGTCGCGAGACCGTACGCCGGGTCATTCCTGCCCGCGTCGCAAACTGTGCCTGTTCATGTTGCTTCATACGTCGGGTATCGCCATCCATGCCACCCAGCCGGTCCCACGGAGCGTCCCTACACACGGGGTTGGGATCAAGGGACCAATGTGCCGGAGGGGAGAGCGGCGGACTTGCGTATGGTTCCAGTTTGGCGGGAGTTCCCCTGACGTATCGGAGGGGAAGAAGGAGATGAGGTTTGAAGAAAAAAGACCTGGTTCGTGAGTTTATCTAAGAAAAAAAAGGATAATCGTTTCAATGTCGCCGGGTCTTTTTTTTTAACCCCCTGCCCTTTTGATTGATTTCTGGAAAAGCTTTGGCCCTGCGTGTACCCTTCTCTTTCTTTTTGGTCGGCGTACAACCGAGCAGGGATTGAGATCTTAGCCAGCAGTGCTCGCAGGCTTAAGCACACCTGTATGTCTCACGGAATGACTGTTTGTTTGAGAACTCCAGTACAAATCCAGAACGTGCAATCTGAAGGTGAACAGGGAAAGTTAGTGGCGGAGGCCTTTAAAGGATGACGATGGAGGGGCATGTATGGAGGGGCACGGCTCAGTCATACAAACAAACGGAAATAAGCAGAGAGCCAATGCGATGGAATTGGAATAGAACGGAAGAATCGAGAACAAGAAAAAGATAAAAAAAATGAAGAAGAAGAGAAGTTGAGGAAGAGAAAGAGAATGAGAGAATGAGAGAGGAAGAGAGAGAGAGAGAGAGAGAGAGAGAGAAAGAAGCAAACAAATGCGCGCACACAGAGAGATCAGGGTAAAAAAAAAAGGGACAGGATATACTTAAAGCGCAGAAAGGCTTCTCCAAGGCTTCCCGAACACCGTTGACTTGGAAGGGAATGGAGGCTGTAGAAAAGGATTCCCGGTCGATCTCAAAAAGGAGATGAGGTAATAAAGAGGAAAAATAGAAAGGGCCAAAAAAAAAAGAAATTCAAACAAGACTAGAGAGTGTCGGGTTGCGAGTTGATTGGGGGGTCGCAGATGTTTTCCTTTCAGACGTTTCAGCAGGTCCAATGGCTTATGCTCCGAATTGCAGCCCAAACTCCTATTGGGAAACAATCATGACCGACGAGACAGCAAGTGGAGAGCGAGGCGAGCCAGAGATAGAGTGAGGATGGGGGTGGAGGAGTGTAAGAGTGAGGGTTGGGGGCAATACTTATACAATACGTCTCAGGCGCAAAACAGGATCACCAGATAGCAGAATAGCAGGATAGTAGGATAACAGGATCCGAGATCTTCCAGATCACGACAATTATTGAGAGGGGCTGATCAGCTTGTTTGAACGGAAGGAAGGATAGGAATGGAGTCGACTAAATGAGTAAATAGAGAGAAGAGTTCCATCGTCCTCGATTGCGCCGATGAACAGGACGAGAAGAGCAGCACGAGGGATTGTCTCCCCACAATTCGAGCTAAAAGGAACATGGAGGGGAAGAGAGAGAGAGAAAAAGAAAAGAAAAGAAAAGATCAGAATTCAGAAAAGCAAAGGGAACAGAAATGGGAAGGAGCGAGAAAAAAACAAAATAAAATAAAAAAAAAAAGGAAAGAAAAAAAGAAAAGAAAAGAAAGACGAATCAGGAAAGACGAACAATGGAGGATTTTCTCCCATATTTTCTTTTTCTTTTTCTTTTTCTTTTTCTTTTTCTTTATTATTATTATTATTTACTATTTTCCAATGTTTTCTGTATGATTCACGGGAACATCATCGAAGTGATAGATAAACTCCTCCATTCCCAGTGCCGATCCACTTCCGAGACTAGAGGCGAGAAGTAGATCCTAGTAAGTAGTCTCTACTTCCGTCTTACATTCCAAGGAAAGCGTCGATTAGGTTGACGCCTCCGTTCCATGGCTCGTCCTCGGGCCAATCAATGCCAAATCCAACCTCTAATGCCATCCAGTATCCCAGGCGCCTGGACGCTGGAGCCCGAGAACGCCGATCTCCCTCTTGTCAAGGTGCAGGTCGATCCTGAGGGATTGCCGAACCATTCAGCCGGAACAAGTTCGTCTTACTAGAGAGGGGAGGAAGGATTTTAAAATGAGGCGACGGGGTTGAAGGGGATCAGCCCCGTACTCTCAGCGGAACAGAGTATAGATACACAGTTACCTAGGTACATACTACATCCTCAACACGATAGACTCGATCTGACATCGTGCCTGGAACTAGTCTCGTACCTTCCACCCTGCTGGGAATCCCCTCGAGCCAATAAACTCCGCCTACTCCACCTTTTGGCCCCCCCGTCACGTCGTCAATTTGAAATCATCCTCTCACTCGGATCCTCGAATAATCATAATTATCATTCATTAACTGCTATTCATTACTCAATCTTGATGGTTTCAATTGAGACATCAGTCAACCATATCCATAAATAACCATCATAGAAAGTGAGGCGGTTCCAGCCTCACGCTAAACGTCTTGGTTGCGACTCTGCCGGGCGATGGATTTCTTTTAATCAATCGGTAATTTGTCCTTGAAGGAATCGGGATCGCGATCGGATCAGATCAGGCCGGCCTGGATATTGGATCCGTCATTTCCCTCGCTTCATGCATTCATGCTCTGCATGCTGCAGCTCTTGCTCGTGCTGCTTGGATTTTGGGTCCGATGGATCCCACCCTTCCTCGCCTTGCAGACCGGGTCTTCAGTCTTCAGCCTTCAGCCTTCAGCCTATACCATCGCCTTATTATGATCATCGTCGCCTCTCTCCTGACATCATGCCGCTCCGGCTCCGATGGTCATTCTTGGTGCTTCTTGCCTCAATAGGTCATACAGAACACGAGAGCTATCTGAAGTACGCAGCGCGGTTATCGCTCCGCCGGGACCTCCACCATCCAATCGACGGGTTTCCGTCATCCCAGTCGGCCCCGGAGAGGACTGGAGGGTTCCCTGTAGGATGATTGTCAATCCGTCTGGCTCGCCACGGTTGTCGTTGCTGAAACATCCCTACATTTCCTGCAACCAGATCGTCCCCTAGAGGCCAAGGGCTGTCGGTGGGTCATGTCGGATATGTCAAACTCGATCACCGGAACCGCAGGCCATCCAACCCACCTCTTCGTTATCCACAGCTACAAGTGATCGCAGCGGTGGCGCTTTCCTGGAAAAATTCCCCGACTCCCAAGTCTTAGTCACTCGCGGAAGGAAGGGAGACGGGGGAGGACGGCCGCTGCTTCCCACCTGTGGCACGTTTCGTCCGGGCGGATTCTCAGAATTCCTGTCTCCGCCGGCAAAGTCACGCCCGATTACACGGGGTGCATGTGCAGTACATGCATACTCCTCTGAAGACCCCGTTGCTTTGTTCAGTATTGGGGTCTGTCTCCCCAGCAACGGAGTCGGTCATATATGAATTACGTCTGCCATGGGCCGCGCGACAAGGTGTCGTCTGCCCTGGTGACTACAACCCCTGAAGGCCTGGCGCACCAACCTGTCTCCTACAGGCTCCTCCAATGCACATGCCGTGCTTCTCGCGCTTGGACGAAATTAGGAGGCATTCCTCTTACGGTAGAACCATTTGGACTATCAGATCTCTCTGGCCGAGTCCGAGCGGCGCAGGAGCGTCCGCATATGTCGTTGCTTCCATTTCAGGACACTGGGGAACGACTAGAGGATCCCCAAGGAGTCGACGGACTAATTCCATCTTCATCCAAGTCCGTTCTTTGGCCAGGAGGTCTCGCTGTCTCTGCTGCCACGAGACATCCGGACGTGCATGCACTGATCAGGCAAAGCCCGGCCTCTGTTGGCGAACTCATACCTTGGTGACTGTGACTGATTTAGGCTATTGCCCTCACCTTGTCAATTGTTGGCTGCAATTGATTTTCGTGTTCTTCTTACTAGTATTTTCTTTTCTTTTATTATTATTATTATTATTATTATTATGATTATCTTTTCTTTGTGCTCGTTGCGGCATCTGCAACGGTGTAACCCAACCCCTCCCCTTGATTCGTACGTGGACTCTGCTGGATGCGCGTACGTACGCCGCGTACGTCTCGAGCGGATTTGATTTTACTACATCCATGGTTCTAGTCATTGTGGCTTTACTGTCGTATTTGCTGAAAGCCAGACGAACTGCTGGAGGAACTAGTGCGCCATAGCGTATACTAAGCGGTTTTCGTTGTGTAACGACCGCGTCCTTGGCCATCGATAGGATCAAATAGTCTGGGACCGCTCATTCTGGCTTCCTTTTTCCATCATCCCTTCTCCACGAAATGAACCGAGAAACTTTGCGACACCCGCAAAGATCCCAAATCCATGTCAGACATCGTCTGGCGGTCTTGATTCCCTCGCCGGGGCCAATGGAATGGCCCCGAAGCCTCGTGCAACCCGATAATTGGTCCAATCCGACTTGATTGATTTGGATGAATTAACGCCAATAGTTACATGCTTGTCGCCGAGACCATGCAGTGTCGTATCTTGAAACGACCATGGCATCTAAAAAGAGATGCTCGCAATACAGGATATACAGTCGTCGAGAATCACAAGGATACATCAGAATAATACAGGGAGAGGAAAGAGAAACACAAGGATACACAAGATAAAGGGCATCGACCTTCCACACATACACACATATACCCCCCGGAGAACCATCCGCAGTAGACCAGACTGGCTTTTAACGCTTGACCCAGGCGGGCTTCTTGCGGGCCTTGAGGTGGCCGGCCTTCTTTCTTTCCACGCGACGGGCATCCACCGTGATAACACCGGCTGTAAGAGGACAATTAGCACAAAAGACCAAAGAAGGAGAGAAGGAAAAAGCAAACAAATAACGTACCTTTCCGCAAGACGGGCTTCAGAGCGGGTTCCTGAACCAACAGTGCCCGTCCCAGCGCCAAAGTAATAGCCTCGGCCTGTCCGGTAACTCCTCCTCCGCGGACGGTCGCCCACACGTTGTACTTATCCAGTCTCGACGTACACCTCAAGGGCCACGTCGCACTCTCTCGGTCATGCACCCGAGGGAATGCCTCGAGCAGATTCTTGCCGTTCACCAGAACTTCACCTTCTCCCTCGACCAGATGAACCACGGCCGAAGATTCCTTTCGCTTTCCTCGACCCCGGGCCCGGCCCATCTCATCCACCGTCGGCGGAAGTGGCTTGTTCGCGTAAGGATTTCCCGGACGAACGAACGAATCCAAAGTGGTTTTAATTTCCGCCGGAATCACCAAGGGGTCGATCCGATTGAGTCGTTGCAGAAGCTTCACGAGGTGCTTGTATTTTTTCGTGGGCACGTTCTCCCCGACAAAGTCGCGGAATTGAGGCAACTTGAGCCATGCCTTGCGAGGAGCGTCGGCCGGCGCTACCGTCGGCATGGCCGCGGACTTAGCCAGCATGGTTTCTAACCGCAGCAGGTGGTCGATGAATTTCGGACTGCCGGTGAAGTAGGCGGCCGAGGCGGGAACAATCCGCGCCGGGCGCGCTCTGAACTTCTCAAAGTCGATCTCGCGAGCGGCCACAGCCTCGGTGGCATAACCGCGAGTGTCTTTTCGTTGCTGGGGGATGGAGGACAGGGGAGAGGCGGAGGAGAGCTTCGGGGCACGGAGGACAGGCCGCAATTGAGCCGTCCGGCGGACGGATTGCATCGCCTGGACGATGCAATTGGGGGTTTGCCAGGCCATGGCGGTCGATGTGCCCGGATTGGCAAGGGACCTTTGGGCTCAGCGAGAGAGATCGAGAGGGGAGGAATGAGCCGTGGAGCAAGACAACAGGGAGGGAAGGACAAGAACAGACAGCCCTGGGCGGGCGATGCCGAATGCGTCGGTCACCCGGCCTGAGGTTTTTCGCGCGGTCACGTGGACGAGCAAACGTTCCTCCGGCGCCGACTCCGTCTGATTCGCACAAAATTTCGTTCTTCTCTTTTCTTTTCCTCTTCTCCTTTCCCCCTCCCCTCCTCCCCTCCATCCATCATCCTTCACAATGGCCTTCGGAAAGCTCTACGGTCTTCCTGTATGTATTCCATCCTCTTGATTTAACTTCCCTGGACCTCACAGTGAATCCTTCTGTTCTCCTGGAATCTCTCCGGATTTCGTGGGGTTCAACACTTGCACCCCTCCTTTTGACTCCACGGTTGGCTAATCGGAATTTTTTTCTCCTCTCCAGGACAACCCTCGCACCATCTCCATCCTCGTCGCGGCCAAGGCCAACGATGTTGAGTTGGAGTTGGTTAACACCGAGGCTGACTCTTCCGCTGCCTTCAACAAGTCGGCCGAGTACACCAAGCTCAGCCCCTTGGGCAAGATCCCTGCTTTCGAGGGTGCCAATGGCTACACTCTCTCCGAGGCCATTGCCATCGCTGTCTACGGTAAGCCTTTTGCAACGAGCTTCTTTCACATCGTTCACACAGCGTCTTCTATGATGAGCAATTTTATTATTACTAGTTATCCCTGGCAGAACAAACAGTGTTGATAATTTACACCTCTGAGATCCAAAAATTTCTGTTACCCCGCTTTTGGGGCGGAAATTTTTTACAAAGTCGCTTTTGTGTCTTTTTTTGCTTTGCATTCTCCACATGCGTTGATATGATTCAATCTTTCCACGCGATGAGCTAATTATGGCCCAGTGACCTCCCAGAACGAGAAGACCACCCTCTTGGGTAAGACCAAGCAGGACTATGCTTCCATCCTCCGCTGGTTGTCCTATGCCAACTCCGAGCTCGTCCCCCGCTTCGGTGCCTGGTACCGCCCCCTCATGGGCAAGGACGCCTACAACAAGAAGAACGTCGACGAGGCTGCCAAGGCTGCCCTGAACAACCTCGCCGTTCTCAACACCCACCTCACTGCCAACACCTACCTCGTCGGTGAGCGTATCACCCTGGCCGATTTCTTCGCTGCCGCCACCCTCACCCGTGCTTTCGCCACCGTCCTGGACAAGACCTACCGCTCCGAGAACCCCGCCGTCGCCAGATGGTACCAGACCATCGTCAACCAGCCCGCTTTCAAGGCCGTTGTCGAGAACCCCGTCCTTGTTGACGAGATCATCAAGTACACTCCCCCTAAGAAGGAGGAGAAGCCCAAGAAGGAGGCTGCCCCCGCTGCCGCTCCCGCTGCTCCCGCCGCTGAGGAGGCCCCCAAGAAGCCCAAGCACCCTCTTGAGGCTCTTGGCAAGCCTGAGTTCGTCCTCGACGACTGGAAGCGTTTCTACTCCAACGAGGACACCCGCCCCACTGCCCTCCCTTGGTTCTGGCAGAACTACAAGGCCGAGGAGTACTCTCTGTGGCGCGTCGACTACAAGTATGACAGCGAGCTCAAGCTCACCTTCATGGCCAACAACCTGATCGGTATGTTTTCTTCTCTGTCATGTGAAGCCTTATGATTGCTAACCCCTTCCCTCAGGTGGTTTCCACGCTCGTCTGGAGGGCTCCCGCAAGTACCTCTTCGGTGCTCAGTCCGTCTTCGGTACCAACTACGACTGCGCCATCCGTGGTGTCTTCTTGGTCCGTGGCCAGGAGTCCGCCCCCGCTTTCGAGGTTGCCCCCGACTGGGAGAGCTACAACTTCGAGAAGCTCGACCCCTCCAAGGAGGAAGACCGCAAGTACGTTGAGGACATGTGGGCCTGGGACACCTCCATCACCATCAACGACAAGGAATACCCCTGGGTTGATGGCCACGTCTTCAAATAGACGGTTTCGTCCGAACCCAAGGCACATTTCATGTCACCCTGACCTGTTTTCAAGTCGGGTGAGCTTCTAGATGAAACCCGGCTCCATGAAAACCACGTCTCCCTACCTCTCTCCCTTAAGGTGAAGAGTGCTCCCGGGGCAGCTGGATTATGAAAGCCTCATATCCCGCCTGTCCGCTCTTCTGCCTTCACTCCCCCCGCCTTAATGACTACGCTGTCCATGTGGAACGGTTTACGTGTTTTCATTCTTCGAAGCTTTTTTCTTTTTCCAAAAATTTTGATATCACGTCACGTTTACGATCTGAGATGTTGGATGATGCAGTAGCTAGTATCTAGCAATACAAACAAACAGCAAGCACTATTTGATGCTCTGCGTACTATACATTCTTGCTTTTGTCTCATAAATTACGGATCATAGTTTCTTGTCTTGATAGATCTAATTGAATCTCATTCATCGTGATTCTCACCCTCCATTCTTCCACCCCCTATGCACATCGCGTACAGTCCCAGGTTCATCTCTCACTTTACAGATTGATCAATCAAACTCCATCCTTGAAACCTGACAGCTACGGCTTCAGTTACAGTTTATCATAATTCAATCCTATCGGTACATAAAGTAAGTAATGACATGCTCCCGACGCTCGGTAAAATCCAATCTACAAGGTACAAAGGCAAGTAGGTAAAGCAACGACTGCAGAAACAGGGTATACCATCTCTGGATGGAGCCTCCTCTTCTACAGCTTTTCCTTTTCCTTTTTGTTTGGTATCCGTACCTGCATCTTTCTTCCAGTATAATACAATTGATTCTGTGTGTGTGTGTGTGTGTGTGTATTGATATTGATATTGCTATTCTCAATCCATTCTCATCTATATAGTTATCTACTCTATTCTTACTTTTCTTGGTTAGTCGCTAGGGAAAAAGAAAATGCAGTTGTTTCAAATTATACGAATAACAACTGAGTAATAGAAATTATCCTTATAGATAGATAGATAGGGACTGTGCAAAGATAGAGATTAAGACTGAGGAAGTAAGTCTCAAGGTTCAGTCATTGATTATCACTAATAAAGGTCTTTTTCTTTTTTTCTTCCTTTCTTTAAAAAATAGATAATCAGTAGACAAATAATGTGTTATGTTATGTGTCTTTTTTAAACTCTTTTTTCTTAAAAGAAATAAAGATAATATCCTTTTTAGCAGTCTTAGATGAATATGTTTTATTTGATATCGTAGATATATATACCTTCACCGTGCCCAGACCTTTGATACCTATGATGTACAGGGAGATATCACATTCGCGTATCTACTACTACTACTACAACAACAACAAACTAAACAAACAATAGCGTCACAGTCATCGTAATGTGCTTTCTTTTGGGGGTATCTAGGATGTAGTGTATGTATGTATCTGGTTATCTGTGCTGTGTATGTGCTGTATGTATGCATGCATGCATGGATACCAACCAACGGTCTCCAACAAGTCAAGTCAAGTCGCGATCAAAAGCAGTTCGGATCTAGTCCCAGACTAGATTTAGAAGAATGGTAATGGTGGATGAAGAGTGCGGGAATCAGAAGGAAAAAAGGAAGATCAGAAGTCCAAAAGAACAGGACATACACAAAAAAAAGAAGAACTGGACTGAATCGATCAGAATATGTGCAACCAATCAATCAATCAATAAAAAAGCCCAATGCACCAATGCAAATGTACAGAGTCAGTAATAAAACAAAGCAAAACCGTCATCATAATCAATGCAGCCAAGTCCAACGAAAGTCTAAGCTTGTTCTGTTCTAGGTCAAACATTCAACGACTCTTCTAATCGATCTAATAGATAATTCTCGGATTCGGTTGACGTCGCGGGGGATGGTGAGCGCGCGGCAGCCGGAGAAGGATAATCTGCCTCAGTGGATGACGATGTTGTAGCTGTCGTCGTCGTCGTCGCGGTGGCTCCTCCTGCTACTGCTGTTGCTGGTAGCGGCACGCCGCCGGAGATGATGCCGCTCGACGAGGTCTGGGGTTCTTCTTTGCTGCGGAACTTGCGCTCCTTCTGTCGCGCTTTGCGTTCTTGTTTGCGGATCTTGCGGCGCTCCTTGCGGGCTTGGGCGGTTGCTTCAGGGCCCGTAGGTGGAGGAAGGGGGTGTTGTTGCTGAGTTTGTTGGCCTTGAGGGTTGTTCTGGGTGGAAGAGGTGGAGGAGGGGGTGGTGTCGAGAAAATGATGGTCGATAGTGTTGCCATTGAAAGGGAGGTCGAGGATGTTGGTCTTTCCGGATAATTTCGACTGCCAGTCCCGAAGGACTTTGCTGATGTCGTCGTGTCTTGTCAGGATTTCGAGGACGCGAAGAACCTTGGGGAAAATCGAAGGATCATCAGGGGCATTAGTGAACTCGGGGATCTCAAGGATATTATACGGCTCGCTGACTGCCTTGAGTTTGCTATCGTCGATCAGAATAGTGTTGGTCTGATCCCAGCGGGTCTTGTTGCCCTGAGAGCCCGGATAAGATGCTTGAACCTTCGAGTCCGCCCAGACGGTTTCCAACGTTTTGTAGACCTGAATTTTGGCGCGGTAATGGTCGGCCGATAGGTTGAACTTGTCCCGGCCCCATTCAGCCACAAGCGCTTTTCGTTTGTCGCCGGGGAAGAGCTTATCGCAAACGGCGTCGACGGTTTCCGGCTGAGAGCTAGACCAGATCATGACTTTATAGTCTCGCAGCAATGTGTCAAGGAAGTTTTCTAAGCCGGCCCGCCGTGCGAATGACGGGGGTAATCGCCGATGCTTTCGGTAGATGAGCGTGCCATTCAAGTCAAGAATGATGAGTAGAGGCTGGGGAGAGTGAGACCCGGCAGGTGGTAACGACGATTGCGCAAGGTAGCCCCGGCTTGGCGAAGGAGGGCGAGGAGCTTTGGATGGCGATTTCTTTTTCTGGCCTCTCGGCGAAGCCTCTACGGGTGGGACTTCGGGCATCGCAGGAAAAACCCCCGTGGAACCGGCATTTGCGAGCGCCATGGGGTCAAAGGGGAGGAAGGGAAAACCATTGAACATGGACCCTGCCATTGCCGGGTTCTGTAGGCCCATATTCATCATGAACGCTGGAGGAGGCATCGGCGGGAGTAAGTTCGCCGGGCTATTTATGTCATTCCATGACGGGGTGTTGAAAGATGATTGGTACTGTTGCTGCTGGTCCGACGGGTTGAAAGGCGGGAATTGCAATCCCTGGCCATTGAAGACGTCGGCAGGGTTTGGAAATCCCGGGAAGGGTGGCATCGCGTTGAAATTTTGAAAATCTAACGGAAACTCCGGAGCGGATCCCGTAGTATTCGAAGACATCTGAGAAGGAAAGGCTTGCGACGAAGCCGATGGCACTCCGGGGAAAGCAAACGGCTGCTCCACCTGCGATCCGTACGCCTGCGCTTCCGGATTCAAATGTCGTCCTTGATTCTTGAAATTGCGCGCTTTGCGATTCCTGCGCGAATTCCCAGCATTCGCTTTTTCAGGAGTGTGAGAGGCGCTCCTGTCCGGTTCTCGGTTAGGAGCCGATTTTGGGTTCCAACGTCCTCGATGCGGCCGCCATGCCGCCCTTGGATGGTTGCCATTGGGCCCGTCATATGATTCGATGTTTCCCGGTCGATCTCCGGCTCTGGAGAAGCTCTCCTTTGGGCCTCCTTGGGCTCCCATTCCTGTGTCTAAGGATTCGTTCGCACTCGCACTCGAAATCGTGGGCTGCTGCTTTGGAGTGGCCTGGGGAAGCGATAAGGGTTCGGCTCGTGATATCGAAGTCGCCGTATAGACAGAGATCAACTGCAAGGGTCAGCGATTGGTCGATCTGGTAGAACAATGTGGCGCAGATTCCGCAAGCACGTACCTTGGAGGAACCCCCCCTGCGAGATATGCGACAACAAGATGCGGAGGTCAAAGCTGTACGAGTGAATGCAACAAAAATACAGGACGGTACAGACATCCCAGAAGAATGCCGAGAAGGCGATCAGGGGAAGAGCAAGGACAGCGGCTCAGGAGCAGGAGTGAAGGTAAGGCAACCAAGACGTTCTGATGGACGGCAAAATATCATCAAATCGGAACCCAAAACGGTCAAGATCGGCTGGTGAGAGAAACCCCGCCTTCCTCACCGCCTCAAGACCCGGCAGTATCCTTGAATTTTTTTCAAACTCCGACTTCACCGCCGCAGTCCTCGTCGCATTTCTCGGTTTCTTTTCTTTAGGGTATCCCTGTTGACCTTGAAGCCATGCCTATTTCAGAACTTCTCAATCGCCGGGTGCGAGCTAGACCAGAGGAGGATGAAGAGGATTACTCCGACGATGCGCCATCTGAGGTCGGGGTTCAGAACGAGGACTCGCAGGCATCAGACTCGGAAGATGGAAGTGAAGACGGATCCGAGGGGGCGGACAATCTGGTTTGACTCTCAAATTCTCGCTGGTGCAAGCGCACGACAAGCTAACTATCACCAGTCTGATGGTTCCCAATCGGACAACGCAAGCGAAGACGAAGCGGACGACAGTGAAGACGACGAAGACGACGACGGAAAAGAAGACGTACGAGCCTCCCTCAACAACATCTCCTTCGGCGCCCTAGCCAAAGCGCAAGCATCCCTGGGCACGAAAAGCAAGCGCAGCGCCAAAACCTCCAAATCCACCGAAGAACCCACTCCTTCGCCGATCGACGACATCCGGGCCCGGATCCTTGAGGCGCGCGAGCAGAAACGGCAAGCATTGAAAGACATCGAGAAGGCGTCTCGATCGTCCAAACATGCTCCGATGATCCAGTCGTCCAAGAAGGCCGTTTCCCGCAAACGAACAATTGTCGAGCCCCCCTCTGTCCCCAAATCTCGCGATCCACGATTCGACCCGACGATCGTGAACCAAGGCGGTCGGTCGAACACGGAAGCTGCCGAGAAGGCGTATGGTTTTCTGGATGAATACCGTGCCAACGAACTCAAGGCCTTGAAGGAGCAGCTTGCGAAGACCAAGAATGTGAATGAGAAGGAGGAGCTAAAGCGCACTATTCGGTCTACTTCCGATCGTCTACGTGCCATGGAGAACAAGAGGCGCGAGAGAGAGGTCATGGCCGACCATAAGAAACGAGAGAAGCAACTCATCAGCGAAGGAAAGAAGAGCAACCCCTACTATATGAAGAAGTCGGATCTGAAGAAGCAGGTCATGCTCAAGAAGTACGAGAGCATGAACTCCAAGGAGCGGGCCAAGGCTCTGGAGAGAAGACGGAAGAAGATGACCTCCAAAGAGCGCAAGGAGATGCCCATGGAACGAAGGGGTATGGGTGATGGTGCTAATGGTGAGGGACGAAAACGCCGGAGGATGGAATAAAAGGGTTGCAGGTTGTGTAGTCTTTCTTTTCTCGCTCAAGTTCTCCATTGAAATACCCCAATATCATGACTTCTTAAGGACACCAGCACTAAACAAGGTTGTTACTACAACTGCATGACTCTTATGGAAATATATATGCACTCAATTTGGAAGAATAACAGGCCCACGATTAATCGAGGAAGGAGCCGGAAATTAACTATCCTCGTATTAAAACCATCTTCAACTTTCCATAAAATCATAGCCGAACTCGGTCCAGAAAAGAGAAAGAATTAAGCAAAAAAGCTAAAGATTATAGATCTCCAAACAACTGATGGGACATTTATCCACAATCGTCCAAGGAAAGATGTTATGTCAAAAACTGAAAGCAATCGAATAAATGGTATCCTCGATATAAAAAAGAAACAACAATGTGAGGTCGAATGACCTAACAAGAAAATAAACAAGAGAGAAAACGGATCTGCCGAAAAAATAATGTGCGGAAGAAAGGAAAAAAAGACAACAACCCTAGAAACAGATCTCGACATAACTCTTGGAGGCATGATGTTTGGAAAATTCGAAAACCCGAACCAGAAACGCCGAGCACCTTGTTAAGCGGAACTGACAAAGCTGATTCCAGCTTGCAGTCGCATATGGTATAAGTAATAAAGGGAAAAAACAACCAAAGAGGGAATGAGTGAGTTGGTGAACGAGCGGAGGGAGAAGAAAGGAAAGAAAATGACCCAAGTAGAAGCATAAACCACTATCCCTCCGGATTCGGAAGATATTGTTCATGCCGTTCATATAGATAATCATGGATTTTTGTTTTGTTTGTGCATATCCATCATGTTCAAACGCCAGGCAGATCCTTCCCAACTCAAGAGGAGAGTCAGACTGCCAAATACCGTAAGCTTCTGTACTTCAAGCCCTCAGCACTGTTGGTGCTGTTCAATATAAGCCGGGCTCAGCATAATATTTACCCTGACAGCCGCTCAGGAATGAAACAAATCCCAGGCTCTGGCACACAGGCCCAGAAACTCCTCTTTCTTTCTCCGTTGGGTTTCAGGAGAGTCTCTTCCTGCCCCGAAAGGCCCGTACGTGGCGCCCGCGCCCGAGGCCAAAGCCGGATTGGGTCGGTAGTGCGGCTCGGGACCATGACCCAACGGGGGACTTCCGTTGTCCTGTTCGTATTCACTGCGAGGGCGACGGCGGGCGGTCCCCTCCGACGGATACACCGTGGGCTGAGGTGGCGGAGGAGCGTGTGCGTTCGTCATAGGCCGAGCATCTGGATGAGCCATAGCGGACTTGGGACCATTGTTGATACGCGGCGACGGCGGAGTTGGGGGTTGATGGCCTCCATAGTGAACTATGCGCGGCAACAGCTCCTCCCGACCACCCGAAAGCTCCTGGACAGCTTCTTCGGCGGAGCGGTATTCTCGAGGCCGATTAGAGGCCTGCGTGGCACTGGCAGGAATCCGGGGGGACGGCATGGGGGGCAGATTGTTTGATTGAGACGACGTCGAGCCAGATGCACCCTGATAATACGGGGGGCGGTTCGCCTCTCGGTCACGGGGACCCAATGCGTCAGACCCGAAGACGTCGGACAGTGGTGGAAGACGGTTATTCGTTTGGGTGGCAGGGACATGATGGATGTGAGAGGTCGAGCCCAGTGTCGGACTCTGGTTGACGAGATGGCGGGTTAACGGCTGAGCCTGGTGCCTTCCGGTAAAGGTCTGATTCAGCGGGGCGGATTGAACGACACGCTCGTTGGCGAACTGTGCGGCAGACGGGGGGACGATGGACAAGCCGGGGGGCGGCCTCCTCTTGGAGGAGGCAGTCTTGGGGACCCCAAATGACGACTCGGACGGTTTGATGCCGTCCGGCCCATCATCCTTGGCGGACTTGTTCAGCCGCGACTCGATGATTGATCTCTGTTGATCTCGCACGGACAAACTCCGCTGAAGTTGTTCTCTCATGATGGGATCGTGGGTCTGAAACCCGGGCGACAAACAAGCAATACCGACATTCTGCATGGTGATTCCCTCTCGAGCGGTCATGGGACCGCCTGGGGGGCGCGCTGACAGGCCTCCGGAAGTCGGAAGACTGGTAGAAAGGTCTAGTTTTCGGGGTCGGGGACGAGAGTGCGTTTGCATCGCTGGTGAAGAGGGTGGTTCTTTCTTGACGATCACTTTAGGAGGGTTGCTTCCGTTCTGAGAACTAATACAGGGGAGAAAAAAGGGTTCGTTAGTCTCTTTCACCGATACCTCCATCTTCAAAACCGGACCAGGGGGGGAATTGGTGGCTTACGCCGGAGATGTTTGTTTCTTCCCGGCGGGAGAGCTTTTTGTCGAGGATCCATCACGAGAGGCACCCGACGGCCGAGGCGGGGTGGTGCTAGGCTGATTGGAGGTCATAGGAGCAAGGGTTGGGCAGTTTTTCGGACTTCGATCATGGTTTATATGCGGAGAGGCCAACGGAGCGGCGGTGGCAGGTGCAACGGCGGTCGACATCATGACAACCGAAGCGAAGGAGAACGTAGAACAAGTTGAAATAAGGGATGAGAAAAAGAAGGGACGGAAAAGCGAAGGGACTGGAGTACAAGCGCTCCTTGATATAAATGGACAGGTCGCAAAGTGGTCGAGTTGATGCGGGATGGACAATGGTTCGGACGAAGTGAAAGCCACCAGTGGTCCTGCATGCACAGCGCTGGGTTGTCTCACACAGCCCCCGTATATAAACCCCTTCTAGAGTGGTCGTCTCACTGTGCCACCCAAAGCTTCGTGGGAGAAACAGCCAACGCCAAACGGTATGTGGCAGAGCCGGTATCAAGCTTCTGAGTTGACGGACCTCCGGTCGGAATGGGAGGGCGAGACCGAATCAAAAAAGCGCGCGCGGGTCACAGAGCTCGGCGGGAGGGCGGCTATCGTGGAGGAGGGGAGGAACAAGTTGGAGAAGGAGATTCCCAACCAAACCAGTCCAGGTGGGTACAACTGGGAGGGGGTTTTGGTTTCTTTGTATTTCTTTTATTAACCCCTCGTTCTGTGACAATCAAAAGCAAAGAAAGGAATTAGACAAGAAAAAAAAAAGAGATTCTATGGGCAAAGACGTAAGGGAGGGGGGACCAACAAAAAGGCGAGCAGGCGGATTCGTTGGTCCGACAGCTGTGACAAGGCGTGGTCGGATACTTGGAACAAGCGGTTAACTAAGGCTGGTGGGCGGCAGTGTGACAACGCTGAGAGGTCGGTCAGACTGGCAGAACGATCCAGAGCGAACAAGCGAGCGAAATGGACCGGGATCTCGTTGATGCCTGGCCCAGTGACACGCAGGCAGCCTGAACGGGGAGGGTGGACCGAAAGGAGGGGAGGAGAGAGAGAGGGAGAGAGAGGAAGAGAGGGAGGGGGAGAGAAAAGGAAGAAAAGAAAGAAAAAGAGGAAACAAAGGAAAGCGAGGAAGAAGCGCTGACGGGAGTAGATGGGAGGAGGGGAGGATTATTAGTACGGATGAACTGTAAGTATGGCAAGGGACCGAAAAAGAAATAATCCAATTGAATAATACGGATAAGACAAGATAAAACAAAAATAAAAATAATAAAAAAAGACGGCAGTGGGACAAAGGATGGAGTCAGACAGGGCACTTCCAATCCGATTCAACCAGATCAATCAATTTGAGGGCCGGTAAGCATCCCAGGCGGAGAATAAGACGCCTTAGTCGACGGAGGTACGGAGGACTACAGGATATTTCTAACAGAGTATGCCTATGAGTACCGAGAGAACAGCTCAGTTGGGCTGCAAATGCATGGGGAGGGGAGGGGATTAATAATGAACCGTCTGGAACGAACATCGGTAAGAATCAAATAATAATAATATCAGAATTCAAACGGAAGAAAACAAAAGTAAAACAAATAATCAAATCAGAACTGAAACTCCTGAAAAGTCAGATAGTCGGCGAGGTGGAGCCCGGCCCCCGCCCTGATTGGCAGATGCTGAGACATGCGACGTTTCTGACTTTCTGCCCGCTCGATGATGCGACGCTTGTGTGACCTTTTATTTTGTGACGCCCGCCTCCCTCACCAGTGGAATCGGGAAACAATAGTCCATTGGGATAATCTGATTCACATCGCTCGCTGGTCGGGGCCAAATCGTCCCCTCTCCCCGGTCAACCCCCAAAAAGTACGTGCGCACAGCCTTGAGTACTTCAGAACTCAGAAGCCAGAAATCAATACAGAGTCTGCTATCGCATGCATCGATCTTCGTGCTCGTCGCGCGGAAAGTGGATCGATTGTCTCGAGGGTTCCCCCCTCCCCCCTTGTGACAGACCCCGATGCGGGTCAACCCTCGCATGGTAAAGAACTACATACAGTACAGATAATGAACGGAAATGATTCATCGTAATATGATCCATGTCCACGTTGGCAGGTGTGCTTTACCTCACAGGTAAATCTCCTGGTCTGTGGTCCATCATACTCCGTATAGTCCGCCAAGTCTGCCCCAAGACTTCCCTTTTAATCTATCGCGAGTCACGAAATCCCATCGACCGGACTAGATCCAAGCGTCCTCGTGCCGGGAGGGCTGGAGACCTAATGGATGATAGTCAGATTATCAGGTACCGTTAATTAATCACGAATCTAGTGATGACATCTCGCGAGAAATCAGCTTACGGAGTAGGTATGTCCCTGATGGTTCCATGCAAACAACGAGGATGGCAGGTCTTACTATCTACAGCAACTACTGTGTAAATACTGGAATAGTTCCATGCCAATCCATAATCAATCTCCTGCGATCCCGGTCGAGGTTGCAGCGCCAATCTGCCAATCTCCAACAGATCATATCCCCCTCGGCGGGCCCACGCGTGTTCCTTGCAAATCCAGGACCAGCTGCCACTGACTTGCCCGAGACGAACCACTAGTTTTATGGGTCGTGCTGAAATTATTGATTTCGAGTTCCGTGGTTTGGATTTGGATTCCATATCCAATGTGCTGCCCTGCACGATATTAAATAGTACTTGTCTACTCCGTAAATTGCTGCTCAGGGTAGTATCGCGTTATGGGAGCGAGATTAACCCGGTCGCATTCTTTGTGACTGACTCGTAACCCGGCGAGGACTACATTGCGAAGATATTACCGTCAGTTTATCCTAAGCAGGGATGCTACCCTAATGGTTATCCATACAAGGAAGTCGAATCCCTGCGAGCAAGTCCTTTGTCCTCCGTAGTGAACATCCCGAGCCGTGTATGCGTGGAATTGATGACGATTGACCATCTAAGGTTCAAAACGGTATTCTGCACGGACAAATTGCTAATAATAATCATTACCATAAATCATAATCTTAAGTACGGAGATTGGCATCATCATCATCTCCTCCTTAAGGCTAAACCCTAACTCATCTTACAGACTCACCCTTCAATTCCCATGTGGACGGAAAGGTGGTCTTTGCGTCAAGCGAGCTGGTCCTGGCCGATCGCAATATTAATTTTTTTAAGCTTCCCAGCAGGCTAGCTTCAGAGCTGTCCATGATTCTATTCTTTGCATCGCTAGTGTCCTTAGCGTCTGTGTCTGTGATACTGATGGGGAACGTTGATATTAATATCGACATCTTCGGGAGGGCTGTCATTGTTGGATGCAACTTAACCTGTTTCTTTCTTGTCGTTCGACAATAATCATCCTTCGTAATGGGTCGGTCTCGGGCTCTCCTAGGGTCAGGGCCAAAATAATGGCCTGGTCTGGTGTCTTACGATAATAATAGCAGCTACTAACCAGTAATCACTGGGGGAAGCGACGATCGGTGCTGGGGGCAGAGTCTCGTTCCAACAAAGCCCTGTGGTCAAAGACATACGGGAGTAACTGTTTCCAGATGTCTTACGATCGGAACCATTGTATCAATTTTCTCATTGGCAGTCACGATCGGGGAGCAGCAAACAACTCCCTATAGGCATATCATATTCAGAGTCTACTTCGTACGGAGAGCTCCAAACATCGAGGGATTACTAATGTAGCTGCCTCAGGCCTACCACCAAAGCAGCAAAATGCCAAGACCTCCGACACTGAAGGCGGTCAGGCGTCTATCGATAACCGTTTTTCAACTTTTTCCCCTCAGCCCGTGAAGGTTTGCGACGGGATTTGCATTCGCTCTACAAGTCTTATTTCAACCTTTCGATCTCGAGATCCCAGTTGTCGCCCTTCCGACTGCCCTACAGAAACTCAATCGCCGCGCAAACAATGCCTTCCTCCGTACACGAAGACCAGGACCAGTCCATGATGGACGCCGCGGCCCCGGAAGACCACTACGAGCAAGACGAGGTGTTGGAGATGGAGGAGAAGCGGATCATTGTGGTTCGTTGACCTTTTGCTCAACCCCCATTCTGAGACATGAACCCTTGGCTAACTTGACGGTCTTCCAGCTCCCCGGTGCTACCGAAACCGCCGCTTCGTTCCAGTTCGAAGGCGAGGGCCATACGTTGGGAAATGCGCTCCGTTATGCGATCATGAAGAAGTACGTCTGCCTCTTTTTCTATCTCATATTTAGATCTGTTGCGATGGGATCAGCTGACATTTGCTTTCTCTGAACAAAGCCCCAAGGTTGAATTCTGCGGATATACTATCCCTCATCCTTCGGAGACGAAAATGAACCTTCGCATTCAGACTTACGGTATGGGACTTTTTTTTCCGTTTCCGTTTCCTTGTCTGCTTTGCTTTGCGTTGCCGATGTATTGCAATACATTGCGATTGCCGCTTATCTCTGTGCATGACATCCCCATCCCAAAATCCATACTAACTTGCCCCTTTCTCTCCTCACCAGACTCAACAACCGCCGTGGAAGCTCTGGAAAACGGCCTAGAGTCGCTGATGGACCTCTGCGATGTCGTGGCGGATAAGTTCACTACTGCGCGCAATACGTTCAAGGCTGCCGAGGCGGATAGAATGACCTCGTAGTATGGTGAATTTGCTCTTCTTTTCTTTCCCTTCTTTAAAAAGCTCTATATGGCGTTATGTTACATGTATGTATGTATATCTATTTTTTTGTTCCTGTTATGGGTTATGCATTTTAGGCCCGGTCAGCAACTTAGCATTTGGGGTTATAGAATTCGTTTTATTTGAGGTGTATAACTTGCAGCGTATGCTTTGGGGGTTGGGGCTGCGGTTTCTAGGTGTTTGGTTTGTATACTTCGAGTAATCTCTAGATGTAGGGTGTTATTCTCGGCGAGTCTTCAGGTTCTATCACAGATTGACTGGATCGGTTAGGAGAGCCTTGAGGCTTATGCTCTACTATTGCTATCGAGGGTTGAATGACTAGGTAGAACGCGCTGTGCGGGTTGCGCTTCTGCTTGTTTGACCGAGATCGCATATATACGGTTGTCGAAAACGAGCCTGATTGTCTAAACACCTATTAACAGAGACCTTGGACTGCTGCATTCAGCTACAAACAATGACAGCCCGACTACACGGAAACCACTCAGCAGCATTTCCTATACAACGATATCAAAAAAAGGAAAAACCTGACGTTAGCTAGACCGACAATATTTACATAACACTTTCTATCGCCCCAGTCCGCAGGACTGCGGAGGTCCAACGAGAAAAAAAAAATAAGAAAAAAGAGGAAATAGAACACAGTTTCATTTTAGTTGCGGCCTTCCAAGAAGCCCGAGATGAAGTTGGGGGGTAGACGGGCACCGGGCTCCTCCTCTGGCCGGAAGTACTTCATCACATGTGACAGCTGCTTCCAAAAGTTGAGGGTTTCCTGGTTTGGCGGGATGAGTTAGAATAGGTTCATGTTACTCCCATGTAGGTGCTGGTCCGTAGCAAGGAGAGAGAGAAACATTGGACATCGTCCGAGCTATTGCGCCGACATGCAATGGATTCGAGAAGTCGAGGGTCTGGTCTAGCTCACCTGGAACTCGGAGTGGCTCTGGAACAGCAGCACGTCGACAACGCCCAGCTGCTTCACATATCGGTGCTTCTCGAACTCCTGGCGGATCTTGGTGCGAATGGCGGACACGGGGATGTTCAAGGAGTACATGGTCTGGATCTCCGGGGACTATATGTTCAAAGATGTTGCTAACGGTCAGCTTGCTGGCTTGCTTTAAAATTCGCAGCCACGGGAAGTCCATTCCAGGTCGAGTTTCCAGCTCGGAAAAGGCAATTGGCAATGATATGGTCCATATCAGGTCCGATCGAGCGACCCCAGGAACTGTCCCGCGAGCGAAGAATTGAGATCACTAACCGCTCTCAGCCATTCCCTGTAGGACTTCAGGACACGATATCTGGCATCACCCCAGTTGACGGCTGTTGGGAGCGAGGTGCAATTAGCTCTGGGTTCTCGGCCATTGACATCGCGGCAATTTCTAAAGGTCGGACCACGCCGGGGGAGAGGCTGGCGGGCACGGGGTTGAGGGACATACAGGAGCGCGTGCGCTGCGCGAGGTAGGTAGGGTTGATGGTCATGGTGACGGTGAGAGATCCGCAGGCCGATGCGGGTTGAGCAATGGCAGATTGATGGAGGGGGAGGAGGGAGGGAGTCAATGGAAGAAGATCGCTGGAGAGGAGGAAAGTCGACGTTCCCTTCCGGCATCAGTTCGGGTTAGCGCGACGATGAAATGCGCGGGCGGAGCGGTCCCTTTCACCGCCTGCCTGTTCCAAAAAATTTCTTCCTCTCTCCTGTTGCGATCTTTTCCTGGCTGTCTCAGTTCTAGATCTTGCGCTGGATTGTATTGTTATCTTTTGGATCTGCATCTATTGTGGTTGTGAGTTTGAGAAGAACTCATACGTCTTTCATTATCTTGCTTCTGTTCTATCGATTTTTCGAGTCCTTCGCGGGGACTTTCACATCCTCGAATATCTTCACCCACCGTTGATTTCCGCCGCGCAACAGCACAATGGCGCCGACCAAACCCTCGGCGAAAGGAAAGTCCTCATCGGGAGGCGACGCAAAGAAGGGCAAGCCCCTCTCGTCTGGAACCAAGATCAGCAAGAAGAATGTCAAGCGCCCGCCGCCACAGGAAGTCAAGGCGAAGGCCCGCACGGAACCGTCGCTGTTGAAGAAGACCAAGAAGAAGCAATACTCGGAAGCCGAATTGGATCTACCCAAGCTGAACACGATTACGCCGGTCGGAGTGGTAAAACCGAAGGGAAAGAAGAAGGGAAAGACTTTCGTCGATGATAAGGTATGTTAGGGTTTTTCTTGGTGATCCAAATCTTGGTGCTGATATGGCTATCTATTCATAGGAGGGCATGGCCACTATCCTGGCTATGGTGAATGCTGAGAAGGAAGGTCAAATCGAGTCGAAACTCATGAAGGCGCGCCAAATGGAGGAAATCAGGGAGGCGAGAAGAAAGGAGGCCGAGGCCAGGCAGGCGCAGAAGAAATCCAAGCTGGTGCGTATACAGAGTGCAATCACTCCAAAACCTAGGTCACAGTGTGGTCACTAACGAAATCAAACAGGAGGATGCCAAACAGTCGATTCGCCAGAAGCGGAAGCGCAAGGGCGATTCTGAGAAAGATACCAAGGCCGCTCCCAAAGCCGACGAGGCGGCCTCGAAGTCCAAGTCCAAGGGGAAGAGAAAGAGCGTTTCATTTGCTTGAAGAGTTTTGTAAAAAAAAGTTTATTCTGTCTATACCAAGTCTATGTATTTAGAAGGGGTCTGGCGTTTCCATCTGGTCTATGCTTTTGAACAGTGACATGAATGACAACTCATGACGAATATCGCTGCATCATGATCTCGAGGGTCCAATCTGAAGTTAGTAACATATATTTCGGGGGTGATAGATTCTAGTTTGATGGGAAGATGTTCAGAGATAGTTTGCGGTGGACGGGGTTGAAGCTCGGCTTGGGTGCCGTGTCAAGGTCCTTGCCGGGTCCAGGATGACTCTGAATATGGCAGGGTACGTTTTCTGGATTCTGAACCACCAACGGGGCTTCATGGTCGATTTCCTTGGCCATGAGGTTCAAGAAGTTGGTTACCTGCTCAGGGTGTTTAGTATAGAATCAGGCAGCGAAGGGATAGTGGGTAACTGACCGGCTTAACAAACCATCTTTCGCCTCCATATTCGAACCATCCGAGATGGCCACCCCACGATGTGGTCATCATGACACCGTAGGGGGTTTGTTCAATCTCCTGGAACGGCAAAGCTTTGACGGAGGCGATCTACTAAAGTCAGAATATGGTGCACGTTGCCAATAGGACATGTTTGTGGCTCACCGGGTCATCCTCGGCCTGGACCGCAAAGAATGGGATCTTGATATTAAGCATTGAATCGGTGGAGGTGGCATCGCGATAGTAAGCACCTTCCGTGGGATAACCCCAAAGTGCACATTGCAAGGCCCTAGTGAAATCGAAAATTCAGCGAGAGGCCCCAAGAAATCCTTTCGACATAAAGTCGGGGTGACTGCTTACCGATCAAACTCATGCAAGTAAGTGATCTTCCGCACCGTTTCAACATCGATCCGAGGATTCTTAGAGACTTCCTCCACATGCCTGACAGTCTTAGGGTTAGTCAAGTAGCAGGAGAGGAAAACTGATCTGGGTGACCCTACTGTTCAAAAAGCTGCTTCATGCTGGTACCCATGACCTTGCTGTATACTTCGAGTCCGATCCAGCTACTTTGCAGATTGACAGAGCTGATTTCCAAGTTCCAAGGGCTTGCGCAGATAACGGCAGCCTTCAGCTGGCAAGACTCGCCTTCTTCTCCCAGATACTATACAAGGACAAATTAGAATAGATTTCATACGCACATGAGAAGTGACTTACGTTAGTAAGAATGTTGGCACCGAGGGAGAACCCGATTCCGAACAGAGGCCGGTTGGGGAATGTCTTGCGCAGCCACTTCACGGCCTGACGAATGTCCCACGTAGCTCGTGCATTATAGAGCACGCCAGTTGTGATTTTGGTTTGAGCACAGCCTCTGGAGTTGACCACGCAGGCTTCCCAGCTCTTATCAGCAACCAAGGGCGCAACGATGTGTCGTAAGTAGATTTCGTGGGAACCACCGCTTAGGCCATGGAGAACCACCAGCATAGGCTTCGTATCATCGGAGGGCAAGGCAGTGAATTCGTCCTCGGAAAAAAACGAGGTACGCTCCGGTAGACCGGACGGCTGGGTGTACTTTCTCTCTGGATCCGTGAGAGGACCTTCTTTGGGAGCTTCATATGGATCTACCACAATATCCATGGCGAAATGTCCGCTAAAGGTCGGGTTCTCCGCCTCAAAGACCCGGCGCTTGTAGTATACCGGCACGGGATCATGCTTCACCGTTGTCCATGCCGTCTGCAAATGACCATTGAAGAGAAACGGATTCAGGTCGCATTTCGCCGGGGTGGCAGTCCGGCAAAGATCCGTCAGCGTTATCTGATCTTTGGCACCGGATTTGCCGGCCTTCTTTGCCAGCAGCAGACCATTGTCTTTCGAATGGTAGAACGACACCCGTCCACTCGGTCGAAGCCACGAAAGCAGGCCCATGGCGAGCAGCCCCGAGACCAGGAGCGGAATAGACAATGAGCTGAAGATACCGGCTGAGATTTCTGCGGAAGCCATCAGAGGTCGATGTCGATTGGGAAGAAGGTACGACAAGTGATCCCCCTCTCCAAGAGCCTGAGAGAAAGAGAGGGAAGCGGGGAGAATAATGAAGATGAGGCAAGGAGACGAGCGACAATTTTTGACTTGCCTGTTCTATTTTTTCTCAAACCTTCAGCATCGACAAAACATGTCAAATCGCATGTGCCTCGGCATCTCTCCCGATCGGGACGCCCATGACATAAGCACCCTCTTATCGCGTTCTTATCGCTGCTTATCTCAGCTCCGCCCATGGCAGCCTCAGGCAGCTCAGCATGTCATGGGATGCCGTCCATGGACGAGTCACTTGATGGCGCTCACGTTCCCTCCCCCAAAGTGCTTCCAGTAGGCACGTCCGGTTTTCCACCCTCCCTTACGGACCGACCATCAGCAGCCATGGTCCCTTTCCGTGGATCGAGCGCCCCCGGTTGCTGACCCGCCGCCTGATGCGGCACTCTTTCTCCGAATGCGGAAGGACACTGTAGGATGAATTCGTCCGGATGGCTCCGTCGACATCGACGCTCGAGGAAAGCCGTGCTGGATGAAAGATCCGCTTTCTGAAGATCGACCAGGAGAATTATTAGACGTGCCTCGTATGGATGCGGTTTTCATGCACTGGCCTCGAACTTAAAAAGCGAGTTGTTTTTAGCTCAATGACGAAGGAAGCCGCTACGACGTCAGGTAATGCCGGTAATGCTGATAACATCGACCTCACTGTGACCCTGGCGCGTGCTCCGTTTGCGTGCAAGACTCTGCCCGTATGCCAGGAACTACTACTTCAGCCGGCCATAGCCCTCCTCTCTTAACCTTTGGGTTTTCTCTTTTCTCTCGATGATGCTCCTTTGTCACGCGGTCTCCCCGTCCATAGTATTTGTATACACCATGAAACCCCAGAGCCAGCAGGCAGCAAGCTGGTTTTCATTTCACTCATGAGTTATTGTCAATCTCCTCTGGAAGACTGCAATTCGAAAGCTTCGAGGCGCTGGAAGCAACTGGAAAAGGCATTCTCCGGTCCCTTTCGCGGTCAATCCTCCAACTTCGCAATCGAAATGGCCTATGGGCTGCGTCGTGCCGGAGAGAAGCTCAAGATCATCTCCAAAATGAACCGTTGGACTCGCAATCAGGAAGAGGAGCAGAGTGCAGAGGTCCAATCCTCTAGACGGTGCCATCTTCTCGAATTACCCACCGAGTTGCTTCTAGAGATCATTTCGCACCTACCAGTCTTGCCTGAAGCTTGTCTGGCCCTCACCTGTAAACGCATGCACGCCATATCCGCTACCATTCTGGACTCAAAATCCCTCCACTTCAACCGAGACTTCGCGCCGTTGTTCCACCACTACCGAAATGGACATAACTTTGTGACGCCGCGCTGGCAGTTCGTCAATCTGCTCGAAACCAGCAAATGGCGCGCCTGTTCCAAATGCCTGAAGCTTCATCCGCGGAGCTCGTTTCCATCGAGAGAGCTGAAGAGAAAGCCCGAGGAGAGAGCTTGTAATTTAGGCTCTCTTGGCGGCATCGTCGACTTGTGCCCATGCAAGAAGCTGACTTTCGCCGACAAGTTAGACCTGATCAATCTGCTCAAAATGCGCCGGAATTCAGTGGCAATCTTAGAAGCTCAGTTTGGAACCGGGGTCCAAGAACGCTTCTGCTGGCATTCTTGCAATGAGAATTACGGGACGACGCAGCTGCAAGTCGACATATTCCCCGAGCTGGGTGAGGATGACCAGCTCATGATCAAAACCGAATATCATCTATCTACGGGGTCCGGGCAGCTTGGCAAAGAAGAATACATGACGCCGCGATTTGGATGCGCCCATCGATCCGTCGACCTATGGTTGTCCAGCGTCTGTCAGACCACTATTTGTCGCCAGTACGACAGCTTCTGTACCTCGTGCAAACGAATCTCTGTCTGCAACACCTGCAATTCCACCCTGAAATGCCCTCGCAAACAGCCTTTACGGATCGATCAGGGATCTGAGCAAGCTACGTACTATTTCTGGACCGAACGATGTCTCGGAGGCCCATCACCTATTCCCGACCAAACGTGGGCTGCGCAACGGATTCACCCTGCGGAGAACTTGATCGATGTGGATAACTGCAGTGAACTCTGTCCGTGGACCGTCCGCGAGCACCCACCCCTCCCCAATGCTCCAAACCTGGACATGGATATCCTCAACAACGGCATTCAAGATCAGTCGATGAGTCAGCTGTATTCTTCGATCAATATGATTTGACACCAATGACTTTAATGGAAGTATAAGAATGGCTTTCGATGACAGGTTCAGCTTGGCGTTTCCGGTATAGGACTGATACATGAGGGAATTTGGCTCTGTTAGATATGTACTGTATTGCTGTGTGATCATCATGCATTCGTTCATTCATTCTTCATGTCTCGTATACTCCGTACTCTGTCAGATAATGCATTAATAGTTAAGTTAGTTATGCAGCACTGCTGAATCATCTGCTGACCGCCCGCGGGTTTCTCCGATCCGAAACGGAAGCGGAAAAGGGCGATGATCAGATGGTCGAAGCGCAACAATTCACCTCGTCGTGTCCAAAGCCAGTGCTTTACTTCTAATTCCCAGGACTCGCAGAGTGCAAGAGGCTCATGGGCATCATCTGCATCCTGGGGCGATGAACTATTCAGCACATAACGGCCAGTATCCCTCGCAGTACCTGCAGCAGCCCTCCAATCTCCCGCCGCACCAGCAGACCATTCAACCGCAGCAGCTACTGTATAACAATGCCCCCTCAACACCTTCGCCATACTCCTATGGCAAGCCTGTGGTCTATCCCCAGGTCATGATCCCGACATACTCGCCTTATGCGCAGTCATACGGTCAACAGTCCCATCAACCTCCGTCTCAACCCCAACCGCCGCCGCAACCACCGCCGCAGCAGCAGCAACCGCAACAACAGCCGGCACAGCCACCGCAATATGTGAATCCGTCTGATATCTTCCAGCAGCCTCTCCCTCCGATCCCATCCTCATTCACTTCACGCACGCCCTCTCAATATGGAGTACAACCCGCAGTTTCCGCTCCCAGTATCACCCATTCTCCCGCGCTTTCGACTGCTGCCGTTGCACCCCAACCCCAACCAACAACCAATTCGCCAGTACTTTCTACCGCTGCTACACCCCAATCAACGTACCATACCACTCCCAGTGCTGCTCCCAGTGATGACCAAGCCAGTAAACCGCTTGGAAATGCCACTCAGCCTCCGTCCAACCCCCCGACAGCAGCCCGGCCCAACCCTATCGCCGCGACTCCCCCAGCGCCATCGCCGAAACCCATACCTCAGGTGTTGATTCCAGCTCCTTCGCCGGACGTGCAACAAAAAATGCAGCAAAAGCAGGCCCCAAAGAAACACATGCCACGCCCCGCGGCCCCGCAAACTGCACAGAAGCCGGCAAAATCGGCCATAGATTACCAGGTATTGCTGCTGGCCATGGCGGACGAGTATCTTAACGCAGCCCACGGTCACGGGACAACGGTCGCATTGATGAGGCGTGAGATGGAGGTGGATGAATACTATAAATTAGTTGCCTCCGGTCTCGGTTGTCTGGAGGCTGTGCTCAAGGTTCGTTGACTCTCTTCCTGGTTCGGACTTGTATGGATTGTCTCCGGCTAATATTTCTCGGTTACTTTGAAAGAATTGGAGGTTACAACCGCGCGTCGAAGCCCTTGTCCGGCTTCGGTATTCTCGAATACTGTTTGAAGAGACGGAAAACGACCTTGAGGCAGAGACCGCCTTGAGTAAAGGGGTACGTTCAACTGACCTAACGTTTTTGCCCTTCGTCCCTCTAACTAGATTACTGACTCATGTTCCCTGCTAATGGATAGATTGATCTGTGTGAACGGGTGAGTCACGCTTTGCATTTACCTCAACGCATTTTAGACATCAAGCACACTTACAGAGATGTAGAATCGCATGTTAGATCTCAAGTACAGTATGCAGCATCTTTTGGCACGGATGCTGCACAAGACCAACCCAAAAGCCTCGTTCAAAGCTGTGGATGGGATGATTCAGGACGTAGAAGCGTAAGTTACATCCCAGCTTTTGGGGACTGGACTATATACTAACCGACCAAGGTATCGCCATTCTGCCTGGGAATACGCATTCCGTTTTCTCCGAGTGTCTCTCTCATTGTCGTCCCTTTCCCACCAAGATTCGGTTTCAGCAATGCAGCATCTCCATAAGATTGCCAACATGGCCAATCGCAATGGCGACAAAGCTGTTTCCTCGATGGCAGCCGTAATCGAGGCCTTGGCCCACTTGCAACAGGGGACCAGTTTCGACTCCATCGAGCAGGCGCAACGTGCCGTGGCGATAGCACGAAGCCACCAACTCAACGACGAGCTGCGCCATATCCCACAGTTGACGACCCTGGTTCAAATGGTCGACATTTGCTGCAGCCTTCTCGAATATGATATCAACCAATCTTCCCATAAGCTGAAAATCCTGCAAGACATGATGGATGAGAGGTTAAACGACCCAAACTGGCGGGCTGACGGATCATTTTCCATTCCCCTGAACGGCAAATCGGCGGGCCCCTCTTCCATCGACACGGGCGATATCCTTCAAGTTCAAAGTGGCACGCTACTTTTGAGCTTCAACTGGCTACCACAGCATGACCTCTACGGGCTTTGCTACTTCCTCAGTTCCGTGACTCTGAGCTGCAAGAACTCACACGATGGCCGCAAGGCAGAAAAGTTCCTTCATGAAGGAATACGCATGATTCAAGGTTGGTTTCTATCTTTCTCTCGGCATGATTTGATCAGACAAGATACTTAGCATGTTATATAGGGAGCTTCAAATCGCCACAAAATATCACCGAGTCGATGGTCAACGCCAATAGACGTGTTGAATGGCGCCGAACTTTGTATTGCAATCTGCTTCTCCAGCAGGTATTCCTTGCGTGCAGTCGTACGGACTGGGAACTAGCGAGCAAGGCGCTGAACGAGCTACGACAGGAAGCACACAAGCTGGGCGAAGGTCTTCCCAATACAATTCAATGCTTGATAGAGTACGCGGGCGGCACGATCGCCCAGGCTACTGGGGATCTGCAGACCGCTCTTGGGGCTTTCCAGTCACCATCCCTCTCGCTGGCATCGTTCCAAAGCAAGGCCGCACGCAACGACCCCTGTCGCGACATTGCCATCCTCGCCTCTCTCAACACCGTCCTTATCATCCGCGAGCCAACCCACCCCGCTCATTACCAACTCCCAACCATTCTGTCCACCGTGGAGTCATTCTGCAAGGGCAGCCCTAACAAGTACATCCAAGCCGCTTACTATCTCGTCTGCGCCACCGTCCAGACCGACTCCACCATTCAAACGAAACAATTCCTGCAACAGGCCCTGCAATCCGCCACGGCTATCAGCAACAGCCAGATCACCTGCATGACCCTCACTTTCATGAGCTGGAAGTACTTCCGCGGCGTGGTTGGCGAGCAGGCCGAGAAGAGCGCCCGCGCTGGTCGCGCAATGGCGAAGAAAGCCAACGACCGACTCTGGGTCAGCGTCACGGACGAAATGCTAGCTGAGACCCTCGAGCGACAAGGCAAGAATGAGGAAGCAATGGGTGTCCGTGAAGAAGGCCATCGCGTGATGATGGGATTGCCGCCAGCCTTGAAAAGATCCACTTGATACGAGTATGAGTGGAAGTGGAGGTGGATGGATGGGGTGGTGGCCTTTTCCTTCTGATTTTTTTTCAATCTTTTTGATTTGCTCTATCTTTGCATTTTCTTCTGGCTTTTCTTTCTCTTTCTTTCCCTGTACTGGTGTGTGTCTATAGGGCTTCAGTTCATGATACCATCTTAGTGTCTACGGTGTAGGGTGGCGCAATTGATATTTCCAAGACATGTGAAAATGGGCTCGGTGGGAAGGGTGTAATGGGAGGTTCTTTCTAGACTGCTTTTTTTTCGGATCTTTCATTTATATCTACGTGTGATTATATTGGTGATTCACTTATCCTATATAGCGGAGAGGATTTGTGTTGAAGGGGGGGCGGAGGAGGATAGAAAAATAAATAATGAAATAAGCAGTCTATTGGCATCTCACACTGACTACTCCGTAGTTAGTTGTCCGAAGTTATGTCTGGCTGTTGTCCATTCACGGCCTGATGATATGTTTTTTTTGTAGATGGTTGATTCCGCATAAGTAGGGCATATATATTTTTTGGGTTGAGCTCTTCGCAAACCACAATCAATCTTATGGTAAATCTAGTACAATATCACACCACTCCACGAGACAAACAACACCGTGAACTACTACTACATCCATTAACTAGACCAAAACCCTCAGCTAGGCGATGGCCAGTCGTTGCTATACTTACCGTGTCAATGAATATTCAGATCTTATGCATCATCCGAAATAGACCAACTCCCGTTCATTGTATTTGTATACTGTATAGTAGCAGCAGGAAATACATAACTAGTTAGACTTATCTTACAAAACAACGCAAAAGGTAGAAGATAAGACTTCGCTTCATCAAACACATCCCGGAGCCATGGCATCGGGAAACCAAAGCAACGAAAGGAAACAATCAAACAATCACTCAATTAGACAAGTAGACTAGACAGACAATCAAACATCGAGCAATGAAAAAGCAGATTCGAACCAGACTTCCTCTGCTGTGAACTGAATGAACTCCGTCCTTTCCCCAAATACGCCGGTACCCCTGTTACACCAAATCAACAAGCCATGTGACTCAAACTAGATCTTCCTTGAGTCGGGTATGAGTAAGTGAGTCAGTGAGTCGGGGTTTCAGAATGAACTGATGGAATTATAGTATGTTATGAGACTTTCAAGTTTCAACGGGTTCTTGTGAAATGGAGTATTTCCCATATTTGCGTTTCATAGCTGGTGGTCCTCCTTTTTTCGGTTCGTTGTGTATTTTTTTGGGGTTATTATTTCTTTTTTTTTTCTTTCGGCTTGCTTTCTCAGCATGTTCCACTTTCCATATGGTCGGTTTCACGAAGTTAGAATCAGCCCAAACCACCCCAGACACCACGGATTCTCCTCGCGAGTTGAATATCCTTCTGCATGATCGTGACACGCTTCGCATGCAGGGCGCACAGGTTCGTGTCTTCGAAAAGGTGGACTAGGAAAGCCTCTGCAGCCTCCTGGAGGGCTTGGATGGCATGCGACTGCCAGCGCAACTCGGAGCCCACGTCGGCAGGGAGCAGCTCGAGCGCGACCTCGCGCACCAGTCGGGCGAACGGGAGCTTCTGGATCAAGAGGTCGTAGGTGCGTTGGTATTTGCGGATTTCCTTCAGGGCGACCGTTCCGGGTTTGTAGCGACGGACGCGGCCGTGTGGGGTGGGGTCACCGGCTGTGGTAGTGAAGAAGTGTTAGTTATAAGTTACTTACTTAGGACAGATACAAGATGCTGGTTGGGGGGAAGCGAGCATTGAAGGCCGGTAATTGGACTTGTGTGTATGCGCACAGGCAGAGCACGTACGTTGAACATTGGACTTCCGAGGCGAGGTCGCCGGTCGCTTGCCTCCTCTCGATTTGCGCCCGCCTCGGGTCGCCGGCGATGCGGCCGCTTTGGAGGGGCCTGCAGCTGGACTCTCCTTTTCCACGCGACCGGCGCTAGCCTGTGCTCGGGGGGCCGAAGCTATCTTGCGGCCGCGTCCTGTCTTTGGGGGCATGGTAACCGGTGTTTGGGGTGATGTGGGATACCAATTGGATGGAAAGGGAGCTGGTATCGCGATACCAGTGAGGCGGAGAGCAGACGATTATGCGGTTTCACTCGGGTCGAAGATGGTTTGATAATTGAGTCTGGGTCTCTGTCACGTAACGAGGGTGGATGAAGATTGTTTATTTCCGGCTAGTGGAGAAGGAAGCTTCGGATCGACAATGCTTCTTTATTTTTGTTTTGGCTGAGGATTGCAATTGAATTGACCGTCCAATTCCAGTTGGGAGGGCCGTTAGAGATGCACCGTCAGCATACAGACAAGAACTTCTCCGAAGGGAACCACCAGGGGAGAGAAGAGGGGGGGAGGGGGCCGATATTCGAGGTGGCTGGGAGAAAAGAGCTTCCAGCGGGCAATGCGATATCGACCCCCGGCGCGTGGCGCGTGTCTCCGCGGAAGCGCGCGTCAGGGCACGTGAGACGGACATGACATGGGGTCGGGCCCAAAGTGGAAAAGGCCACCTTCAACTACTCCTCAAGCTTGTTTGTCACTTGTTCCTCGAGATTCCGGATGGCCATAGAAATATAAACAAGTCGCAGTCCTTATCTGTCACGTCCCCTCTCACGCCAGTTTCGCATTCTCTCATCCGCTCCGCGCCTGACCGCACCCGCATCGTTGGTCTGCTTGAGCGGTTTTATTGATCGTCGTCTGTTTGGCGACCCGCAGCTCCTATCTACATCTACTAGATACCGACGGAATGGCCGCCATCTGGGGTAACGGGGGGCAGGCCGGACAACTCCCCCTGGAGCAATGGTTCTATGAGATGCCTCCCGTGACTCGATGGTGGACTGTGGCGACCGTGGCTACGTCTGTCTTGGTGCAGTGCCATATCCTAACTCCGTTCCAGCTGTTCTACAGCTTTCGAGCCGTCTACGTCAAATCCCAGGTATGTCTCACTTAAGCTTCCGTGTTGAATGGGACAGGAGGAAGGCAGGGAAAAGCTAATCATCCCGCAGTATTGGCGACTACTGACCACCTTTCTATACTTCGGCCCGCTGAATCTGGACTTACTTTTCCACATCTTCTTCCTGCAGCGGTATTCGCGCCTGCTAGAGGAGACGTCGGGTCGCTCTCCGGCCCATTTCTCGTGGCTGCTTTTCTACGCAATGACCTCGTTGCTCCTGCTGTCGCCGTTTTTGTCCCTCCCATTCCTCGGCACCGCGCTGTCTTCGAGCCTGGTCTACATTTGGAGTCGGCGAAACCCCGACACTCGCCTTAGCTTCCTGGGCATGCTGGTCTTCACGGCCCCATATCTCCCTTGGGTCTTGATGGCATTCAGCCTGGTCGTCCACGGCATTGTGCCCAAGGACGAGATCTGCGGGGTGGTTGTCGGCCATGTCTGGTACTTCTTCAATGACGTTTACCCCTCCCTTCACGGCGGTCATCGTCCCCTCGATCCCCCTGGGTGGTGGATGCGCTTTTTTGACTCTAGAGCTGGCACCGGCGATGCGCGAGGAACCGACACGGCGAACTTCAACCGTGATCTGGCGGCTGCAGCGGCCCCGGAAGTTCGATGAATTTTACCCCCCCCCCCCCCCCCTGCATCAACCTTACTCCGCGCCCCTTACATCTATCTACCTCGTGTCAGTCAGTCACCTCGGAAGCGTAACTCCGCCCACACTACTTAAGGAGACCCCTTTATTTCTTTTTCCCACACAGCATATACCCCAAGAAGAGGTTCTCGGATTTAGAACAAAACAGAACAGGCGTCTGCGATCTAGCGTCCTAAGCACGTGGACTCGAAGATCTGCCTACTTTGAAGGTCCGCCCTAATCCGTGGTTAAACTTGACTGCGTGATCTTGCTTTTAACGGAGAAGGATTGTGAAAGACAAGAAAAGCGTGGTTCGACTCAGTCCACAAGATTGATCCCTTGTGGGGGAAATCGGGATTCAGCAGCGGTTGGAAGAAGCCAGGTTGCTCAGATTTGAAAAGACTTGAGATCGACACCATTTCGAGCTGCAATGAACGGATAGAGGAACAACACAGAAGGAAGGATCATCTTCGGGCCAGCTTTACTTTCAGCACATGTCATGGGACGACCGCTAAAGCCCGTCTTACCTTAATTCTATTTATGATTCAGATAGACCAATCGTTCCATCGTATCGATGCACGGGTGGATATCAATTCAGCCCTCTGGATTGATTTCTGCAGCCTAGACCAAATAATCCAACACTCCGACAGCATAATGCCTGTCTCTATGACGATCAGCCAGTACTCAGACTTCTTAGCACCCCGGAGAGGGTCGAACTGTCAGTGCACCGTTGATGCGACGTCATCCCTAACATCCCCGGTGACGGATCATTGATCGCAGGGACGTGAGCGTATTACGTAGTTAGGCGCCACTGGGCTTGGATCTCACTCTGTACCCTGTAGCGTGGACCGTATATCGAGAAAAAGGTGGCTAGGGAATTTGGTCGCCTTGCACTCCGCCAATCTCGGCGAATCGCGTGCCCGAGTCGTGAGAACTTGCAAGGGCATACATCATCCTGCGTGGCCCGAGTCTCTGGGATGGCCAACGTGGCATTTGGACGCTTCTTGTTGGTAGATAATTTCCCTATCTCGGCTAAAGGGATCACCGCTGTCTGGGCTGGGAACCAAGAATATCCTCTGGGTTGTGGGGATGGACAATGGTAAGCAGAGGTCAAGGGACCCACGAGCATGGCTGGTGCAAAGGGATCCCTTGGATGACGATGAGAGAGACGATCACACGCGGCAGTTTGACGTCAACGGGAGTTCAGCCACTTCGAGTATCATCATCTGAGCGCTCCGACCGACAGGATAGTTCACTGGAAGGAAGCGCTCGATGCGAAGACGACGAGTACGTAAGGTAGTACGGATGGATAATTGCAGGTACCGATGCTGGGGGACCGGCCATCACTGGCCACATCTTAATGATATTCTGCTGCCTCAGAAACGAAGGAGTGGGGCGTTGCGAAAGCGACATGCAGTCGTGCATGGAAGCTGCATAACTTGCACAGCCATCCTGGTGGGTTCCCCATCGTCGGCACTCGGTGATTGGAGCCCCGTGGTGGGTCGCCATGTGCCTGGCCTTCTTGGTCTTTGCCTCTTTGCCTGCCCTTTGCGAGGCCAAAAAAAGAATCCCTCCCAGTGTGGCTTCGTCCTTTCCTGTTTTAGGCCTCCCCTCACAGTTACACTGCCAGACATGCATGAAACGTCAGTCAGCACCATTGTTATTTTTGTTTCATCAGATTCAGACATGATCACGCCCCGTTGACGCTGTCCCCCACGGCCCACTCCCCCTCGGACGTCGAGGATTCATCGAACCCATCAATCTGATATCTCGTGGAACGGTTCCGACTGATAAAGAAAGAACCGAAGAAAACGGACCCGATCGGTGTTCGGAAGCCCGCCGTGACAGCGTCTGGAAGTCGTACCCGTATCTACACTCTACCCAAGTCATTCAAGTCTGCATCCTCGGTTCAGGTTGAACTTACATTGGGGACAACTTTTAAAAGCCAGCGGCTCTTGGCTCTGGCTTCCCATGCCCGTGGTCGCAGCTCCAAAGTTCGCAAAGCCAGCCAAGCCATAATGGGGCAGATCTCCTCATTTCCGATGCGACACCATGTATGATGATCAAATTGCCCGTACGGAGTAGAACAGGCAGTGTCTCTAGGGTTGGAGATACCGGAGGGTAGATGTAGGAAGTAAAAGGTAAACGGAGTGCACAGAATACACTGATAGAGCATCCGTAGCTTCGGTATTCGGTGTTTTCTGCCTGAGGCAATCAACTGCGCGCCGAGCAACTCGGCCACGGCCAAGGATTGGCATGAATGAAGGGCTTTCAGTGTTTCACTGCTGTCTCTGGCGGTGATACCATTTACACAGAAATTAATTTTCTTACTACGACAATTTTATTATTGCTTTTTATTATCACTACGGAATGATAAAAGTACTGTACTTGCAGCACCCGTGGACCTCTACATCCCGCGACCGGTGAATTCCAGGCGGTCCAGAAACTTCGAAGGCGACTCCTTGTCCGTTTCATGTTTCAACCAAGTATGGGGGACCTTACTCTGTACGATTACGAGCAGTGCCAGCGACACGCTCAAGAAAGTGAGTGTTTCTTGGTACGGGCCCAAAATACGAGCGGTCCAATAAAGCGTCGAGTGTCAACCTCAAAACGGCCCTGGGGTCGGAACTAAAACCCCCCCGTTCCTAATTAGCAGATACTAAAGTAGTGGTAGTACTACTAGTTCTACTGTACTCAGTAGTTTGTTGATTGAGATTCCTCAGGGGTGATATTAAGATTAAGCTAGTTATTCCCAACAATTCCAATTATCGAAACGACCGATCATCTTCAACCACATACTCTCCGAACGCACTGAAGTGCAGACTACATACCTCAGTACATACTCCATACAGTACATAGCATATAGCGGAAGGCGATGACATCGGCCGATGCAATTCCAATCAGGCAACACCAAAACCAGAGCACTGTGAGCACGATGAGAACATGGATCTTCTACCCACGCCCGTGGATGAGTACCAAACCGCCATAATTGGTAGAGATCGCGAGGTAGAGGGGACGTCGAAGTCGAACTGCGTAATCTCCCCTCTACGGTATGGATCGGTAGCCACTTTTTATCTGTTTTCTTCTTAGCCCGGGACCTTTTTAGGGGGGATGGGGGGGAAATTATTATTAAATATTATTATTTATTTCAATTTTTTTTAAACCTTGGCCCCACGCTACCAGTGCCAATCACGCTTATCCTTTCCTGGATCAGCGGAGATGGAAAGCGCCACAGGGAGAGGCTGGAATAATCAACCGCCAAGTCGAGCATCATGGCGTATTACTTAGTACTTACCTACAAAGTACACGGCTCGAATCGTGTGAGATGTCAGCGATCAGGTGAGATCACCACACCACTTTACTTTGGTGTACACCGTAGTCCACGGACACACCTCGAATCAATTAATCGGATGGAATGCGACAAGCCAGGCCCAAGGAGGTTTAGCGGGGGCTCGGCTAATAAGCTACAGCGGCCCAGTGACTGGCTGTCGTAGTGGCGGAGGCTTAGCCTTGGCTCCGGTCTAAACCTTCTCCAAAGTCCAAACATGTCCTGTCCTGGACCCACGACGGCGCCTCGGTCTTCCCCCCCCCTCTCCAACTCCACTCTCCAGGCGCCCCCCCTTCTTCCTTTCCCCTTCCCCTTTGGCCCTTTGTCTTTAGTTTGCATCGCTTTGGCCTGTGACGGGTCGCCCGTCTAAACCATGGACCGTTGTTGACGCTCCGCCGCCTTCTGCTTTTTGTTTCTCCTACCTTTCTCCTTCCTTTTCTCCATACACTTTTTTTTTTTTAATCGATTTCATTATTTTTTTTCTTTTTGTGTTTCTTGCACCTCCTATTGTTCTTTCACTCTCTCAACTTTACTTTCCTTCCCCCCCAACTGATCTCCGCCGCTCCTTTTTGGTTGATGCCTTTGCTTGGTTGCTAAGGCGTCGTTCGTTCCTTCTTAGTTCCTACCTGTCCCTTTCTCTCGCGCCTCCGTCTCTCTTCGCCTCGACAGCTCCCTCTTGCCTCCTCTTTTTTTTTTTTTTTTTTTTTTTTTAATTTTACTATTTCCCCCATTGATTAATTCTTTTTTTCTTTTCGATTAAAACGTCGCCTAACCCTCTTCATTCCTTTTTCGTCAATTGCTATTACTATTTTTTCTCTCTAGTCGCTTTTAATTATCATTCGCCTCGACTCTTCATCGCCCCATATCCCCCGCCCTCCCTTTCTCATCCTTGAGGGTTGTGTCCATTCCTTAAATTATTATCCATTGTCATCTCGTGCTGCTTTGGTCGGAACCTTTTGACGCCTGTCCTTTCCTTGTTCTGCTACCTACTCGAGTCCCGCTTGCTTTCTTAGGGCTCCAGTGCGGATTCATTACCCCAGAAACAAAAGTCAGGGGAAAAACTGAAAGAGAGAAAAGAAAAGAAAAAGAAAAAAGGACAATTGACACAAGATTGACTGCGACCCTATCTTACTGAACTCTATCTCCCTGGACATCTGTTCCGTTGTCGCGCCAGATCCTAGCCCCGTGCTTGGAAGACTCGCCGCAAATAGGCTTCTTTTTCCGCGTATTGTCCAGCGGAAATCGCAGTTCCACCGCATCTGTTGCGCCTCACTTGCGCCAGATCAACGAGCTTCAATTGCGCCAATCTGTGTTCAAAACCAACATTGGTTCACCATTCCCAATTCTTTCCATTGCCATACCACTTGAAACAGAACTCGACCTTCGACAATATCTCTCACGATGCGGAGAGGCGTCTTAATCTTCCTTCTCGTCAACCTCCTTATCCTGTCATTCCTAGTCCGCAGCGTCTTCACCCTGTTATCTTTGCTCGTGGAAGATGCCTCGGCCGATGCCATCCACCGCGCGGAGCTTCCTTCGCCGAATTCCAGTCTGATCGAACAGCGACCGCAGGTCATTCCCAAAATTATCCACCAAACCTACAAGAACGAGACTATTCCCGAAGTGTGGAGGGAGGCCCAACAGAGCTGCATCGACCTGCACCCGGACTACGAATACATTGTATGTGGACTAACCCCTTTCTTGCTAAAACCGCTCCGACTAACGCGTGGTTTCTTTCTAGCTCTGGACGAACGAGAAGTCTCGTGAATTTATCGCTAACGAGTACCCGTGGTTCCTCGATACTTTTGACGGCTACAAATACCCGATCCAGCGCGCGGATTCCATCCGTTACTTTGTGTTGGCGCATTATGGCGGAACTTACATCGATCTCGACGACGTATGCTTCCCCCGTCTCTTGTCCTGCTTTTAACTTTCCGCGCGCAATAGTCGCTGACTTAACATCATCAGGGCTGTAACCGTCGCCTTGACCCTTTGCTCGCATATCCCGCCTGGGTGCGTCGTACCGTGCCGACGGGCATCTCAAACGATGCTATGGGATCTGTCCCGCAGCACCCGTTCTTCCTACGAGTGATCGAATTACTGCAGTCCTACGACCGCAGCTGGTTGTTGCCCTATATCACAGTCATGTACTCGACCGGCCCTCTGTTCCTCTCGGTGATCTGGAAGGAATACATGCAGGAAATGCCGAGCGAAGCTTCCCGGGTCCGGATTCTCATGCAGGAAGAATACAACAAGTACTCGTGGAGCTTCTTTACCCACCACGTTGGCAACAGCTGGCATGGCAAGGATGCTCGTTTGATCTTCTGGATGGGACAACACTGGGTCTTCCTCACCTTCTGCGGCTTCTTTCTCGCCGGCGCCGTGGGATTTTGCCTTTGGTGGAGCTACGGGCGAATGCTGCTCTTGAGCTCCAAGTATCGCTACCGATACTCGAAATTGCCGGCCTTCCTCACGGTTCCCGGCCTCTCGTCCCCTTCGCGCCGGTCTCGACGTGCCATGCCCCCCTTGCTCCGCCGGGTTAGCTTCAAAGAAGACGAAGAAGCGGGCCCCATCGAAACATCTTACGAACTTTACAGCCGACGTGACTAAGCGGAGTCCATCGCCGTGCTCATTGTACTTGTGTGTATTTCTTCTTTTCCCGTTTGCTTTGAAAATTTTCTTTTGGCGTCGGCATGCCTTCTTGAGACGACTTTACACCAATCTTTTTGCCTGCTTGTTTTCCTCCGACATCCCATGTGGGACTGTCCCGCGATTCTGTTTCAATCTGGTGTGCATGTAAGGAGTTTTTTGGGAACCCGATTTTGACCGCAGCGCTTCTTGGGAGCAACTGGTTGCTTTGAGCATGTTGTTGACAAAATACCTTCGATCTGTATGGGGAGTGGCCTGCCATGCCAAGCAGCACTTTTCCAATCTTGTCTCTTTTCACTTTTCCATTTACAACCCTTTTAACTTTTTTTTGGCCTGACTGTTCCTTTCTCCCTTGTCATTTGAACCTACTACTTTTTTATCCCCCACCTGTTCTTGTCTTCTGTCCTTTTGCCTCCTTCTTCTTTTTCATACATACATAGACTTGTGATCAGATTGGGTAGACGGATGGATACCTTGCGGCCGTTCCAGCCCCAGACGCCGAGAGCCAGCTGGACTCGCGGAATGAAAATAATAATCATTACTTTGTGCCAACGAAATGACCAGGGTAGAATCATGTAACCCACAAACCCCATATGACTCGGGTGTCAAGGCTAAAGATAGACAGGATGCTACGCAAGAGGCGAGAGCAGTTTAGCGGAGCGAACAGAGTCCAATCACCAAAACCTGGCACGACTGAGAGTTGGCCTTTGATGAGTGGGGGTGTTCGGTGCGTTTAGAAATGGGGCCTTTCATGGAATTCATCTCTGCAGGATCGAGGCTTGTCCTGCAGAGATTCTTCAGAATGGGTTGAGAAAGAGACCCTCAGAGATTAAGGGGCAAGTCGACCAACAGGTTGGGCCTGCGTGATTTGTGTGCTGGACAGCTCCGTTAGCTCTCCGTTCGAGATGAGCCAGCGTCTAGGCTGATTGCAGTAAGGTAGGGTTCCATCGACTAGAGACATGGCGAGATTTGGCCCAATGACTGCACTCACGCCTGGTTTAAGTCGCATGCTAGTCGGCTCCGCCGGGGCCAATGATCATCTGGGAGGGCGAAACAAGCACTGTTGGTCTGACAGGCAAGTATATCCATTGCCCTCTTTTGGCTCTCTACGATGGGGTCGTACGGAGTATGGCTCCATTTGGTTCGATTCAGACCTTGTTGGTCCTTGATTGTGTGCTGCTTTTCAGTCGACTTGCCCACTGCGATGGCGTTGCATTCTTTCTTCCGCCCCCAAGTATGTGAAGGGGAATGGATATAAAAGGGATTCCCCGGTTGCTGGAGACCGTCGAAAGAGAAGACATTCAAGACATTCTTTCTTCTTCCTGAGTACTTGTGATTGATCAGAAACAAAGAAAAAAAATACTCACAAGTTACACAAGTTGCAGTAGCTGGAACTACTAGTCAATCCCTCCACTCTACACACACACACACATTCATACCCACAAATACCCTCTTTCTTTCCCTCTTTATCTCTTATTACACATCCCCTCTCCTTCAAAATGAGATCTAGCCAAATCACCAACGCCCTGGTGGCGCTCTCCGTGTCCTTGCTGGCTGGCACCGCATCGGCTTCCACCTTCGAGGCTCGCGATGTCCAGCTCACGGCCCAGCAGATCGAGGCCATCGCGCCCACCTCCAACACCTGCGACGGTGCCCCCAACCCTGACGAGTGCGCCACCTCAGAGCAGGCGGCCCTGAACATCGCCAAATCCTTCGAGACCTACGAGGTCACTTCCCCTGCCGAGCAGGCCGCCGTCATCGGCCTGATGGCCTTTGAGAGTGGTGACTTCAAGTACAACCGCAACCACTATCCCGGTGTCCCAGGACAAGGCAGTATGTGCACCTGTTGTTTCCTTTACACATAGCCCCTTTGCCTCCCTCCCTCCCTTCCTTCTCCTCTGTACAGTACACCACAGTACAGTACAGCAAGCAGTCACTAACCCATACCGCCACACCAGCCCGCAACATGCAATCCCCCGCCTTCAACGCCCAATACGCCGCCTCCCTCTCCGGCATCGCCGACCAGGCCGTGTCCCTCGCCGCTGACCCCGCCGGACTCCTTGACCTTCTGCTGGAAGACGAGGCTAAGGACTTCGGTTCCGGCGCCTGGTTCCTCACCTCCCAGTGCACTCCGGACGTGCGCACTCAGCTGCAGTCCGGGTCGGTGGACGGCTGGGCTAGCTTCATCAGTGGCTGTGTGGGTACTGAAGCCAGCGGGGATCGTCAGGCTTATTGGCAGCGCGCGGTCGAGGCGTTGGGGGTTCAGAATGCTTAGGTTGATGAAGGGTTAGAGTGCGGGGGTTTCTCTTCTTGACTGGTTTTGATGTGTATTATCTTCTTCATCTTCTTCATCTTCTTCTTGGTTAATTCATTGATTGCTTGGTTGGTTGAGTTGCGACTTTCCTTCCGGCGGATGGGAAAATCAAAGCGAACGGAAGGGAAGGGAGTATGTGAAATGTAAATTGATCTCTCTTTCGAATTCAAGTCTATCCATTTTGGTTTTTTTCTGGGGTTCAAAGCGATAACCCTGCATCATCGTAACTTCGTTTCCTCTTTTCTTGGATATAGTAAGACAACATTATAGAAGGGGGCCGCGGAGAAAGACAGAAGGGCTATCCTTCACTTTTTGGCCCCGGTTTTAGTTTCGCATTGCTTGCTGCTGACCGAGCTAGCGAGCCTTTATCCCTCCTCCTTGCGCTAACCGGTGTAACCGTTCCGTTGGCTTGGTTTACGGAGTAGTTTACAACACCCCCTTGGTGCTGACCACATCGCCCGCTCCAACCTCACCGGCGACACGTCGGGCACATGCCGTGCGGATCGCCACCGCCAGAGCCTTGAAGGCACTCTCGGCGCGGTGGTGGTCGTTGTCGCCGTACGTGCAGCCCACATGCAGCGTGACGCCGGCCGCCTGCGCGAAACTCTGCAGACCGTGGGTGATCATCTCCGTGCTGAGGTCTCCGATCTTCTCGCGCCGGAAGCCCAGGTTGATCACGGCCCAGGGCCGGCTCGAGAGGTCGATCACCGCCCATGACAGCGCCTCGTCGAGGGGCGCGTCGCCGCGTCCGAACCGGGCGAGCGATTGCCGCGCGCCGAGCGCTTTCGTGAAGGCTTCGCCGACGGCGAGGAATGTGTCTTCGGTGGTGTGGTGGTCGTCAACTGCGGGGAAAACCGGGAGAAAAATGGTCAGCTAATCCGGAACCGACATAATTGTTCTTGTGGTGGGTATGTTTGATGTCTTCTACGCACTGTACAAATCGCCCTTCGCCCGCACGGCCAAACTCATCCCCGAGTGCTTCGCCAGCGCATGCAGCATGTGGTCCAGGAACCCGATCCCCGTGCTCACGGTGATCTGCTGCGTGGCGGTGAACTGGGTGGCATGCCCCGCATCCTTGGGAGGCACGATGCCGTGCTTCGCGGCCTCGGCTTCCTTGGGGTCTTCGGGCGCGGGGAAATGTTCGGTGGCGTCGTAGGGAGGGAGCACGCCTCCGTCTAGGGAGAGAGAGACTTGGATCTTGGTCTCGTTGGTGACGCGCGAGATCGTCGCTGTTCGCTGGGCGAGGGGCATTGTGAGGATGACGAAGAAAGGATGAGGGGTGGTGGTGTGAAAGTTCAATTCCGGGGTGAGGTTGAGGGGCAATTGACGGGGGATGAGCAGGTGAGAGGAATCCCGATGCGAATGCTCCGTAGGAATAGTAATTCGTGAGTAGGGACTAGGGACTTAGAACAGTAATGAGCGAAGTGTGATTCGACTTCTTTTTCCTCTTCAGCCGGACTTCGGAGGTGAGTTGATCCGGCTCGGCCAATTTGCGTCATTCGCTTCGTTGGATGTTTTCTTCTTCTTTCACTTCGTCTCCTTCGATACTCATTACTCGACACCTGATAATCGATACTTGTGCGACTATGCCTCCCCCATCCAGTCAAAAAGGGGACATCGAGCCCCCTGAGGAGATCACCTCCGAGGCGGTGCGCGGCTTTCTGACGGGCGCTTTTCGGGTACGTCGTTCCTTGCGATCATCGTCCAGGACATGATTGACAGGACTTGGACTTCCATTGTCTTGTCAACTCCTGTCAGATCCTCTCCCCTTTTTTCTTCATTCCACGTCATACTTCATCCATCACATCAACGATCTTTCCCAATCGAAGAGCCGGAACTGACGAGGCAATTGTGACATCAGTTTGGCTCCGTTTCGATCCTCGCCCACATGATTATGATCCTCCCTCATCCCTTCAAGTTCTCTCCCTCTGCGACGCCACCAGCGCCATCGCAAACTCAATCGCATCATCCGAGCCCCAGACCGTCGCCCTTCTCCAAGGAGTTTCTCCAGAATCGGCTCTTTCACCGCCCGCTCGAGGGCTTCTCGGACTGGCTGTCCCCGGCCTCGCGGGTCTACCGGGGCCTGACTCCGCAGTTTAAGGTCTTCCTGCAGATCGCTGCCATGACTCTCGGGGGATGTATCTGGGCCGAGAGACGAGTCAGCGAGTACATTAATGTCATCCGCAAGGTCAAGCGAGCGGAACGAGTACAGGCGGAGAGAGCATCGCTCTATAAGGAATAGAAATAAAGTCCAACAACAACCGGGTCTGGTATGTATGAGTAGAGTTCGAATTCTTTTTTTTTATCCCGTTGAATACCTCTTTGAAATCGCAGGGAAAAGCCATTCGGCGATGAAATTTGTGTTTGTTTTTATTCCTCTTCCTCCGTTGGTATTCTGTCCCATTTCCCATCTCCTAATTCCCACCCACGACGAGGCTTAGTTTGTTTCACGGCTCGATCTGGCCCAGGAATTCCACCGTCGGGGCCACGGGTATAGGAGGGCCCCCGTAGCTCCCGCTCCACCAGAGACCCGATGCTACGAGGTGTGGTCCGCCAGGGTTCAGGTCCAGGTCCAGGTCTAGGATCATAATCTCATTGCCGCGACCCGGTCTCGGACGAGCTATGAAGTACTTGTCTAGATTCTAGAATCTCGACGGCGACAGGGCGTGCCTCGTCCCGAACGAGCGACTTGTGGAGATGGTAGGGCGAGTCCAGTTTAGTTCCCCCCGTTTCGTAGATCCTGAAATTTGATGAGGATCCCCGATCAGGAGGAATTGCTCTTCTCGAAAAGAGTCTAGTCCGCACTAGTTTTGCACCGGAGGAGGACGAGGTTCGTTCGGGAAGGAATGGGCCAGGTTTTATTTTATTTTTATTTTTATTTTTATTTTTTTTGCCACCGGCCTTCAGAAACATGAGCAATGGCATAATGACTGAGTACTCCGTCATGTTGGCATCGCCGAGATTCATCCAGAATGAGGCAAATCCGACTGGCGATGTGATTGGTCTCAGAATCTCTGGCAACTGTCATATTGAGAATTGCAGTCTGGCATTGTCCGGAGACGGCCATGGTCCAGTTCCCATTCCATTTCCCCCCTGGACGAAGGCGGTGCTCTCGGCGGGGATCGAGTGGAGCGCGAGGGCGTCTGGAATCGGGATTGAGGATTCTGGACTGGATTCTTATTCAGTACTAGTCGAGACTCCGTACTTCGTACTCAGGGCGAGATTGAACGTTTCAAGCGGAGGCGATCATTCTGGTGAAGACGATGAAACAGGAGGCAACGAGCATGATCCGCGATGGTTGAACATTGAATATGGAATCATCGACAATAATATTGAAGGGTTGTCAAAGTCCCCAAAAGTCCCAAGGTTCCGCGGGCGGCAGAAGTTCCCACTTGCCGCTCCGTCTTTGTCTTCCTCTCTCTTGCTGCTCTCTCAGTCTCTCCTCTTCCTTCCTCTGTAGATCAGTGTCAATTCTTCATCATCATTAGCATCATCATCGTCATCGTCAACCATTGATCATCCATTGATCCTTGACCAGTGTTCATTTGTTCATCGGTCACTTCCCCAATATCCATGTCGTTTGCAGCCAACAACAACCCAAGTCCGGCCTGACATCATCTCCCCCCCACCTCTCCTGCTCCGTCCCTTGGTTGCTTGTGTTTTCTGGTCGAATGAGAATTCCCCCCGATCTGCAACTGTCTGATCTCATTTCTCCGGATTCTCGCCAGGAACTCGCGGCCTTCCGTTTCGGTCCCTTGGGTTGCTGCTTGACCTTGACCCGTCCCTTGTTCGGTCTGCGTTCGGCCTCATCCTTTCCTCTTCCGGGCGCTTCGTGAGCGCTCGCGATCCCACAATTGCATTGTTGAATTCCTCCACGTTCGGCTGGTGGACAGGTGGAGGTGGATGCTGGTTAGTGGTAGGTGTGTCTGTGTTTGTCTGGATGAGCTGGAGCTTTTAATTTCTTTTTTGATTTGACTCTTGTCTTACTTAGGTTTGCGTTGCCTCCTAAAGCGAGATTCCTTTGCCCCCCCTACGGTCCCTCCTGAGCACTTTTTTTTTTTCTTTTTTTTCTCCCCATCTCCACTTTCTTTAATATAACCACCGACGACGCTTTTTTTTTTTTTAATTTTTAATTTTTAATTCTTGTTTCCCTCGCTATCGCTGCCTCTACGCACTGTCCGTATTGCGCGAGCAATCTCTTTCCTTCTCCCTCTCTCTCACCCTCGTCACTCTCTCTCTCTCTCTCTCTCTCTCTCTCTCTCTCTCTCTCTCTCTGCCAGCTCAGTTGCTTCTCATGGCATCGTAACGAATTGCTGTATGTTCCACTTTCCTTCTTACCCCCCTCTTCCCTGTCGCCTCTTATTTGTTTACTTTCATCCTGGCTCCACCTGGCTAGCTCGCTAGTCAGCACTTATGGTTCCCGATCTCCTTGACTTGTCTCGCAGCATGTCATTCCACTCTTATCGTATGGTGATAATAGCTAACGGCAGCCGCTCTTTTCTTTTCTCTCTCCTTTAGTGAGAAGCGACTCCGAGGTCGTCGATGTGATTGATACCCGTCCACTCTCCCTTGTCTTCCCTTTTCCCCCGTATCCTCTCTCTGTTGATAGTCTTTTCTTCGTAAATTATTCTCTCCTTTTTCTTTCTTTGTCACGGTCTCGGTCTTTCCCTCCTCCCTCCCTAACGCGTGCTCTCACACTCGCATCCTCTCTTTCTCCTCTCCCCCCAATTCTCCGCCCTCCCTCCCCTCCCCGTCATGGCCGACAATCTGGGGAAGAAAGAGCGGAGAAAAAGCCTGAGCGTGTTCAGTCCCTCGGTGGCCTCGTCTCTATCAGGTCCGCCGGCCCATGATCGATCTCCGTCGGACGATGCCAATGTTTTAAAGAAAAAGCCTCGGCGCAATTCCGGCTTCTTTGGCCGCAATGCTAGCCCGCCCAGGAATTCTGGCCTTCGCCGACCCGGAACCGCCGACTCGGAATCCACCTGCGTGGCTTCCATGGCCATGCCACCCCCGGAAGCTCGACCTCGACGCAAATCGATGCAGAAGAAACGGGCATCGGTCTTCGGGTCCCTGCGGTCGCTACACTCCCTCGACGATGACGACCGTTCGATAGGGCGCTCCAAGGGGTCGTCCGTCGATGACGAGGATGCCGACCAGCGCCAGGGAATCGGATCCATCATTCTACATCACGGGGAGATCCAGACAACGGGCGGCATGTGGAGGAAGAAAAGCCAGTACTTGGTCCTGACCGACACCCATCTCGTTCGATTCAAGAACCAGGCCAAAGCCGCCGATATGTACCCTTCGATCCCGCCATCCTTTGCCCGCGGGGCGGGAAATCGCCAATCCATCGCGTCGATTAGTTCGCTGCAGGATCCGCTTTCCGCCCCGACAGACGCCTCCGCCGGCATCCCGCTCAACAGCATCATTGCCGTTTACATGTTGGACGATGGCCGGCCCTCGTCGACGGTGGAGGTTGCCTATCTAGACGAACGCACCTACAAGACCACCTTTATCCAGATGCAGACACCCGACTTCCAGGAGCTGAGCTTATGGATGGTGGGAATCCGTTCTGCGGCGGAGCTGATCCGACAGGCCGATCCTTTGCCCTTCGATCGGAGGTCGGTGGAGTGCGTCGTCAGGATGCTGGACTACGAACGAGACTACGATCCCGAAACGTTTCGCATGTTCCGCGTCATTCAGATGGCCTCGAGCAAATCCCCGACGCGGGCTTCGTCGGAAGACCTCACCAAGCTCTCCCCCACTGGCTGCTACCTCGCGCTGGGCTCCCACAAGCTTCATCTCATTCCGCTACATAAGGTCAACAATCGCAATTCGGTGGTCTCATTAACCGATCTCGACACCGCAACGTCCTTCGGCCTGATGAACCTTACTTGCTTGTCCATGGAATGGGGAGACGATAGCCTGCATCTGACGTTCCGGTATTTGGCTCTCTGATCTTGCTTCCCCTACCTGCCCAGGTGGCTAACCGTTCGTAACAGAGTCCCTCTGCGCAAATCGTTTTCGGTCTTTCTAGCATCTGTGCATTCCCTCGAGATTGCCTTCTGGATAAGGCAGCAGACGGAATTCCTGCGACCTCTTTGGATCAGACAACCCTACGATTTCATCGTCCCCCGCGACTTTGACAACGATTGCAACTTCCCACCGGTGGACTTAGAAGAGGATTACGGTTGTTTTGATCGAACCCTCGTTGCCTATTCGGCCAGCTTCGATATCGACACTTCCAACATCCGATACACGATCGATGTGCAATGCGAGGATGCCCCCTGCTTCCGACTTCTCCCCCCGGCAACGTCGCGCCGCCAGAAATACTCCGCTCTCGAACTCATCGCAGTGATGCGCGCCCTCCGATACAACGAATCGTTCCGGACCATTTCGTTCAGCGGCGTTTGCTTGGACGCGCTTCAAGGCGTTCACGATTTGCACGGATTCGACACGGATATGCTTCTCAGTCGCGCCGGCGCCCCGATTCACATCACCGGCCAGGAAAACTTGTCCGTCCTATCGCAGGAAGTTCGAGCCCTGACTCTCAAGAGCAAATGGCTTCGGCGCCTCGACTTTTCCTACACGCTGAGCCGTACCCCCAAATCCGACAGCGAAAGCCATGATCCCGGTTGCGGCATCCCCGAGGCCATCTTCCCCATCTGTCGCCGGGAATTGACGAGTGTGGACTGGATCGTTCTCAACGGCATCAAATTGGGAGATTCTGACCTCGACTACCTGGTCGATGCGGCCTCCCAACGAGGGAGCCATCTCCGGGCGTTGGAAGTTGGCAATTGCGGTTTGTCCGTTCACGATCTCGACTTGCTCCTTTCCACCACCATCAGTCAGGCATCGACGCTGGAGGCGGTCAACATTTCCGGCATCCAGGGACGGTTGAACCCGGATCTTCTTCAGCAGTACCTGGGATACTTCGGCCAGATCCGTAGACTTGACTTGTCCCGAATTTCCAGGATGTCGGGCCCGGAGCCCTTGATCACCGCAGAGACCTTGTTCAACTGGCGACTGGAAGAACTCTCGTTGAGCCGGACCGCAGTGAACAGAGAGACCGTCGACTCGATTGCCACCTACCTGGCCAGCGATCGGTCTCGAAACCTCCGCGTTCTGAAGCTCGACCAGTGTGGGCTGACCGGTCAAGACGTCGCCATTTTCCTCCACTCGATCGCGGCCTTGGAGAAATCGCGTAACATTCACCTCCACGTGAATGAGAACCGACTAGACCAGGGCTGCTCCTATCTTTTCAGCGCCATTGCCCGAAACAACACACCATCGCATCTGTCGATGCGGATGATCGATTTCAAAAAGGAAGAGCAATTTCAGGACCTCGCGGAAGCGTTGCGGAAGAACCGAACACTAAAGTACCTCGACATCTCGAAGGCGTCTCTTCCGTATGATGCCGGCCCCGAGACCTGCAAATCGCTGCAGCTGATGTTCGAAGAGAACGACACGCTGGAGGACCTGGACATCAGCGGAGAGAGCGCACACTTGGACGTCGCGCGATTTGGCATTGGTCTCAACCTGGCACTGACTGGTCTGAAGAAGAACAAGTCGCTGAAGGTACTCAAAATCGAGCACCAGAAACTGGGGTTGCAGGGTGCGAACACCCTGGCATCCGTGCTGGAGGAGAACACCTGCCTCCGGGAGGTTCATTGTGAAAATAATGACATCAACCTCCAGTCGTTCACGGTGCTGATCAACGGTCTCCAGCGCAACAAGTCCCTTTTGAGTCTCTCGTACATGGATCGCGACCGCACCAGGTCCCTTGACAAGGTGCGCCGCGAGATAGAAAGCGTGAAGCGGGACTTGAGTGTTCAACAAGGATCCACCTCGAGTTCCCTTCGCCGCTCGTTGCACGCGGCAATGAATGTGAAAAGCGGGCATAAGTCGAACAAACCTGGTCAGCTTCGATCCGGGGTCTCGGTGCCCTCGAACCTTGCTTCGTCCGCCGAGACCTCGCCGTTGTTGACTCATGACATCGAGGTCATCCTGGAATCACTGGGCAAGAAGTGGGATCTCGAGGTGGGTCGTCTTCGTCGCTATCTGTTCCGAAACTACAACCTGGCCCACGGCATAGACGATGGTACTCTGGCACCCCCTAGTGTGGATGATGCTTCCAGCGATGGACGCCCTGCCACCGCCACGAGTCTTGGGACGATGCTGGACAACCTCAAACTCGAGGTCGCCGTGTCTACCAATGAGGTCTCCTCGACGAGGAAACCCTCGCCCCTGAACACCAACTCGCAGCCGTCACCCGACCTGAGTCCTACCGAGACGCCTCCCACCAACCACTTGGAGATCTTCCAGTGTCTTGATTCGGACAGCAACCTGGAAGCCGAACTCCAGAAGCGACCGCAGACGGCACCTTTCTCCTTCCCTGAATATGCCCCGGGGCCACAGATCTTGCACCCGGAGTATGCAGGTTCGGGGACTGGCTCCTCGCGCCTGGCCGTGCCTGTCCCCGCCATCCCGTCCATCGTCAACAAATCTAGCAGCGTCCGCAGCGCTCGCAGCTCCAGCACCGCATCTACCAGTGCCGGCACTGCCACAAGTTCCCGGAGTGCCTACGGAACGGCGTCATCAGCTCTACGGGGCTTTCTGTCCGGAGGCGCGTCGAAGGAGCGCCGCAGGATGGAGAAAATGAACTCCGGTGCTGTGTGTGTCTCGAATGACCGACCTCCAAAGCTGGAATGGGTGCCACCACATCTCGATCTAGGCGACTTTCGTTAGCCATCCCTTTCTCCCCCCTCGACCTTGAACCCATGGGTCGTCCCCTGGCTCAATTCAAACCCAGGGGTGTTCGCTCCTAACCAACGATTCATGAATTTGTATAACGACTACTATCATCGAAACTCCACTTCGCTAGTCGAACAGACGTCTTTCCTCTCATTTTAGATTGTTTCATTTCCTCCGCGGAAAGTCCATGATATCCACCTTCTTTTGTTCAAGCAACAAGAAAAAGCATTCTCATTTTGAGTGTTGACATTCCCTACCTTATTTCCTTCTCAGATACCAACCACCTACCTCTCCTTCTTGGTTCTCATTGGTGTGAACCTTCTTCATCTCAACCAAATGGCGTTTACATATCTCTTTTGGGTCGAAGCCTGTCAAATACCTCATCTGCTTTGTATTTTTTTCCCTCCATCTTTCCGGTTCCCATTTCATCATTTTGCCTCGGGAAAGGCAATTTCAATCAGCAATTATTCGATCATTCCAGGAGCAGGAGATTTATCTGGTGTTTGGGATTTTGTGTGATTTGGTTTGGCGCATGGACTTTTTTTTATCTCGAACTGGCAGCGTCTTCTCCTTTTTTCTGTGTCTGTGTGAATGGATGGGTTTTATTTTGGGGAGAAATTTAAAAGGAATCGAGTCATTGACCAACCCCCTCCTTCCTGGCCTACCTTTCCTTTCCTATCAAATCCTCTGGCTGGAGTTAATTGCCTTTTTGTTTGCGAGCATCTGTAAAAAGATTTATCGGGTTTGTACTTTGAAATTTTATGTATGTGCCTCTGGCTGGCTGGTTTTCTTGTGTGACTTGTGAAACATTACTACTTACTACTCTACGTGGTCGATTTCCTGGGAAAGGCTGTCTCTTACTTATCTCATTTCAATGTCTTAATTGTTAATGGTATAGAACTCTATGACTTGTCTGTCTGTATCTTGACTGTCTACCAATTTGCTTGAAGCGTATATTGTATTCGATTAACTGGGATGATCAAAAAGGATTCAGTTATGGAATAAGGAAATCAATGCTTTCTATTAACTATGTATATTCGATTGTATAATGTCCAGCTCCGAACCGTTTTCCCTATCGCTGCACAAAATACATGACTCACAATAACGATGATGATGATGATGATAATAATAACTGAACCGAACAGCAGCTCCGATCACTGGGTCCCAGGTTGCCAAGATATATCAAAACAATAATTGTAATATAGTACATGAGAAGAATAGATCCAAGGAGGATCTCTATCTATAGATATTATGTATTCATGTATGCCATGCCATGCACACACCCACACACCTCCACCCCAAAAGAAAAAGGAAGTGAAATGGAAAGAACAGAAAAAAAGTAACCACTCACGCTTTCTTTCTTTCTCTCTTCCTCTTTTCTATTTTCCTTTTTCCAACCACTCCTCTATTTCACATCGTCAAGGACAACAATACCCTCGTTCCTGTCTTTCTCGTCTTCCTTCTTCCGGAAGGCTCGGCCCCTTAAGGTGATATCACGCAGTTTTTGAAGATAGATCTTGTTTGCGATATTCCCGTCGTCCTCGTCCTTGTTGTTGATGGCCTTGGCGCGTCGGATCTGGCACGCTTTGTAGGTGAGACGGGCAGCCTTGTCTTCCATGTCGTTGAGGCCGTACTCGACGACCCATTCATCCTCCGAGGTCAGGCGCTCGGGTCGGGCCACGAATTTACCATTGACCTTGTTGCGGATGATGAGGTTCAATCCGAGCAGCTCCTTCCCGTTCTCGGGGTCCTCTATGCGCTCCTGGGCTTGGTCGGCGACGGTCGACTTCTCGTCCGTGCGCTTCGAGGATTCGTTCGCCAGCTCGCGTTCTTGTTCTTGTTTTCGTTCTTGTCCTTTATTCTTAACGGCGTCCGACTGCTGCTCCGCGTTGTTGGCGGCGGCAGCGTTTTGGCCGTCTTCTAGGGTCGAAGTGGGTTGCTGTTCGTCCTCGTGCGGGGCAAGGTTCAAGATACGTCGCTGATAGGCATCAATCTCCTCCTGGTTCTTGGTCTGAATGGCGTGGATTTCTTCATCGGTCACGGGCTCGGCGAAGATGTACATGAATGATGCGGTCAGCTTGGACTCGCGGGTCTCGAAGTGGAGGCGGACAGATTGCTTGGGAAACCTGGCCGTGACCCTGTCGAGAACCTTGTTCCACAAGGCGACACTCAGCCGGAATTCTTGGTCACCCAACTGTGTGTTCGTCTGGCCATGGAGAGTGAGATCCATCTCGGGCAAACTCAGATACTGGAATCCAAAGATGCGCTGAATGTTGTGGAACGCCACGAAGATACCGTCCATGCGACCGATGCGCACTTGGAGGGAGTATTTGAGGAAGGCTGCGCGGATCATGTCGTAGAATTCCCGCTCGTACGATTCAAATCCGCCGTAATTGTGTCGGATCTCGTAACCAACGCCGTCTTCGAAATTCTGTGCATCCATTCGGATGGACACGACGGCCCGAGTCTTCAGATCAAACATTCCGGTTCCCGGGAGCCTCGGGTCGTAAGCGTCCAACTGGGACCGCATGACGAAGTCGCCCAGGGTAGAATAATGGTACGATTCCGGAACGGCTTGCTCCTCCTCCGCAGAGATCTTGTTCGCACTAGATCGTCGATAGCGTTCAAAATCCTCCTTGGGTAACGTGAGAAGTTTCTCCATCGACTTTCCCAGGTTCATCAGGATATTGGCCGAGTCGAACTCCTTATCCGCATCGACGGCGTAGACTCCATCCTGATACCTCAGGAACATGGCCGAAGGGGCGCGCAGCAGTCGCGTGAAGGTCCGCAATTTTTCCGGGAAGGATTGGGACATGTTGCGAATGTCGATCGGTCTCCATGCCGAGAGGAGGTAATGGAAGTGCGAGAGCGCGGACGTCATACTCGACGAAGAACCTATGTACTTCTTTTTTTCCTTTACGGCAATGTTTCGCAAGGTGTCGTCCTTGGAGGAGGTGATGTAGTCCTTCAAGGCAGCAAAATCGAATTCGGTGACGGGCATGATCGAACCCAGGTAAGGGTCAAAGTTATAGACGCGAGACCGGGGGTCGCGCAGAGTGTAGACGCCGGGACTAACTCAATCGCATAAGTCAGTGAGGAAAACAACATGGGAAGGAATATAATAGGGGACTCGACCTACTTGAACAGGGCTCTTTCCAGACCATAGGACAACCGAGGCACTGGCGACGTCTCCACGTCAAGGGCTAGGGAAATGTTAACGAAGATACCAACCGGAGACATTGAAAGATCAGGCAAAACGTACGTCGAAGAATGTGATCTTTGGCATTGATTGAGCCACCCTCCTTGGCACTAAGATTTCTCGTGAATACCGAGTGGGGGGGTTCGTCAGTCGCTTGCTGGGCATCAGACTTGGGCGCCAAGGCGTGCGCAGTCTGCGCTTGATTAGTCTCCAGAAGAAAGATTGCTTCTGAGTTCTTTGGGCTTACCAGAGCTGGGTCTACCGCTTTGGCATCCTTCACGATCTTTGTAGCCTCATGGACGTCATGTTTCGAGAGTACCTTTCGAACTTTGTCGGCAGAGCCTGTCGACTTTCGACGAGGTCTCCTGGGTTTAGAGCGAGAGGCGTTTTTATCTTTGTGGTCTTTGCCACGTTTCTTCTTGGGTTCCTGCTCGGAGGATACCTGGATATGGACTCGATGTCAGGACAATTCACGATTCACAACAGGCAGCGGTGCTTGTCATTGATGCTGCGGGGAAACCTAGGAAGACTCGCTCACATTATTAGATTTAAAAATGGACTTGTTCGCGGAACCCGATTTCAGCGATGCAGCGGTACTGTGGAAGGGGCGGAGGGCATAGTTGCGACTGCGAAGGCCTTGCGCCAAACAGGAGACGCAGACATGTTCACGGACACGGTCTGAGACAGACCGCAGAGAGACCCGGAACATTCAGGCCACGAGTGTCGGACGGTTTTGGGGCGTATAAGGACGAGACCAGATCAATTGACAGGGACGGAAATGGATCGAGGGAGGGACGCCGGCGGATGCGAAACGTTGAAAACAGCTCTTTGCCTTCGTTTTTTTTTTTCTTTTCGCGCCGGGACTTTTTTTCTGCCGCTAGATTCTCACCGCCTAGCAAATGTAGAATACCCACCGCCCACGATATCGGGGAGTCTGTCTGTAACGCTGTATTCAATACCCCGTGGGTGTCTTGGTGCCTGGATGCCTGGAAGTCACTCGCATGGGAACCCATGCATAGGATTATGTTAGAACATTCATCTTCAGTTCCCCGCAGGAAATATCTGGGAAATATAATACTCTTTACAGAACCTACAATTGTATGAAGTCCCGAGAGATATACTCCGTAGAAGCAATCAACTATTCATAGTCCGAAGTGATCCAAATCCGGGGTCGGAGGGGGAGAAGAGCCCCGCCAGTCAAAAAGCATATGCGAAAAGGAAAAGAAAAAAAAAGGAAAAAAAAAAAAAAGGCCGCGAGTCTCCCTCATCTTTGGAGGGGTTCCAAGCTCTCCATCTTCCCCCTCAAAGTCCTTTCCATCCCACAATTTTTTGTGTCGTCGGATCTCTAGTGAACTCTCGTGTGAGGTGAGTCTTTCTGTCTGTCTTGTCCTCTTCTGTTCCTTTTCCTCGTGGCCTTCGTGCAATGTCCCATCCCAATGTGACGTCGAGATCGGTGAATCATGAGGGGCAGCCGAATAGTCTCATTCTCCTCTCTCTCTCTTGTCCTCCCCGGCCTTCGTTCTTCTCGGTCTAATGGATCGCCCGCAGGTTTTCTCGAGAACACGACATCCAACAAGATGTCTCAAGATCAATTGCGCGTGCTCATTGTCGGCAATGGCGGCCGTGAACATGCCTTTGCCTGGAAGTTGAGTCAGTCCCCCCGGGTCGAGATCGTCTACGTCGCTCCGGGCAATGGTGGTACGGGGCTGGGTGCCTCCGGCAAGATCACCAATGCCAACGTCAAGGGTGATGATTACCCCGGCCTGGTGGCTTTCGCTCAGAAGAACGGCGTGAACCTGGTCGTCCCCGGCCCCGAGGCCCCTCTCGTCGACGGCATTCAAGGATATTTCCAAGCAGGTAAGTGGACGCCGTCCATCCCCTGGACCCTCCCTGACTTCCCGGTCTCGAAGCTGTCTTTTTCCTAACCCATTGCATTAGTTGGTATCAGATGCTTCGGTCCGTCCAAGGCGGCAGCCCGCATGGAGGGTTCCAAGACCTTTTCCAAGGACTTCATGAAACGCCATAATATCCCCACGGCTGTCTACGAGAACTTTTACGAATACGAACCTGCTCGCCAGTACCTCGATTCCGTTTCCCACAATGTTGTCATCAAGGCCGACGGGTTGGCCGGTGGTAAGGGTGTCATCATTCCCACGACGAAGGAGGAAGCCCACCAGGCTCTCCGTGAGATGATGCTCGACCATCAGTTCGGCGAGGCCGGCAACGAAGTTGTCATCGAAGAGTACCTCGAGGGTGACGAGCTGAGCGTTCTCACCTTCAGCGATGGCTACACCATCCGGTCTCTGCCGGCGGCACAGGACCACAAGCGTATCTTCGACGGCGACCAAGGTCCCAACACCGGTGGCATGGGCTGTTACGCTCCCACACCCATCTCGTCCAAGGAGGTTCTGGCGGAGATTGACCGCACGATCGTGCAGCCCTCCGTTGACGGCATGCGAAGGGACGGTAAGTGCTGTTCTGCCTATACCCCTCAAGAACAATGGGCCTGACTTCCCACTCTCAAAAAGGTTTCCCCTTCGTCGGTATTCTCTTCACCGGTCTGATGATGACCAAGAACGGTCCCAAGGTCCTTGAATACAACGTTCGTGGTGGAGATCCGGAAACCCAAACGCTCCTGCCTTTGCTGAGCGACGATACCGACTTGGCCGAGATTATGGTGGCTTGTACGGAGCATTGGCTGGATGGTGTCTCCGTCAATGTGAAGCCCAACTTCTCGACTACCGTGATTGCCGTGGCAGGAGGCTACCCGGGATCGTATGCCAAAGGAAAGGCGATCACCCTGGACCCCGTGCCCGAAGACACCCTAATTTTCCATGCGGGAACTACTCTCGTTGGCAACGAGCTGCAAACGTCGGGTGGCCGAGTTATTGCGGCCACCGCCACTGCATCGTCGCTCGAAGAAGCCGTCCGCAAGAGCTATGTCGGCGTCTCCACGATTCATTTCGAGGACATGTTTTACCGCAAGGACATTGCGCACCGCGCCTTCAGACAACGCGATGCCGTTGCATCCCAACAGCAATCGCTGACCTACGCCTCTGCCGGTGTGTCCATTGACGCCGGCAATGATCTGGTTAACAAGATCAAGAGCTCCGTCGCGCAGACCAAGCGCCCCGGAACCGACGCAGTGATTGGTGGCTTTGGAGGCCTCTTCTCTCTCGCCGCCGCCGGTTCCGCCTACCACCCGCATTCTCCCACGTTGATCGGAGCCATTGACGGCGTCGGCACGAAGCTCAAGATCGCCCATACGGTGGGTATCCACGACACCGTGGGTATTGATCTCGTCGCCATGAACGTGAACGACCTGGTGGTCCAGGGTGCCGAGCCTCTCTTCTTCCTTGACTGCTATTCCTGCGGCAAGTTGGACGTCAACACGGCTTCTGCCTTCGTCACCGGCGTCGCCAACGGCTGCGCCCAGGCCGGTTGCGCTCTCATCGGCGGTGAAACCGCTGAGATGCCTGGTCTTTTCATTGACGACACCTACGATGCCGTCGGCGCGGCCGTCGGCGCCATCAACACCTCCGGCGACAACGCCCGTGCCATTCTGCCCGAGACCGCCGCCATGAAGGACGGTGACGTCCTGCTTGCTCTGGCCTCCTCCGGCCCTCATTCCAACGGATACTCGCTGGTTCGCAAGATCGTCGAACGGTCCGGACTCGGCTACAGTGACCCTGCTCCGTTCTCGATGCCCCTGTCCACCTCCACCGAGCCCCTGTCCCTCGGACGCGCACTCCTCACCCCCACCCGCATCTATGTCAAGCCCCTACTGAAGGCGCTTTCGATCCCCTCTTCCTCGTCATCCTCCTCTTCATCCGCCATCAAGGGTCTCGCTCACATCACGGGAGGTGGTCTGGCCGACAACGTGCCCCGTATGCTTCCGTCCACCCTGGCCGCGCACATCAACGTCGGCTCGTGGCAACTTCCCCCCGTCTTCTCCTGGCTGAAGAAGAACGGCAACGTCACGGCCACCGAGATGGCTCGTGCCTTCAACTGCGGTGTGGGCATGATTATCGCCGTCGAGAAGGGATCCGCGGCCGCTGTCCAGGAACTCCTGCAGAAGGAAGGCGAGACGGTGTACGAGATCGGTGAACTCAAGGCCAAGAAGGAGGGTGAGGAAGGATGCATCCTGACGGGATTGGAGACATGGGACGCTTAGAAAGACGGATCTCATTCATCCCTTCCCTTCGTTTTTCTTTTATTATCAGTTTTTATGTTTGAACTTTCAACACACTTTCCAGAATTCATGACATACCTTTATATATTTACTCGAACCTGTTTATGTGACTTTGCCGGGATTACTTGCTCCTTGCAACATGTGCGACGATGGATGAAACTAGAAGAACGCTAGAAAGGCGAGGAAGAAGAAAAGCAATGATAAATGCACTACGTTGAATAGATTGTTGTCACCCGATCACAGTGCCGGAATTTGTCCCCGTCCCAAAAGGGAAGGAAGGGGTAACATCGCATTCCACAAAGGGAAGGCACGATCCGTTTGTAGCTACGTTGGCCTCGAATTGGTCTGGACACCGATGACATCATGGTTGTTCTACGAATTACAGAGTACTCACAGGAGACTCGGAGTGGACTTTGATCAGGATGTGAGACGCAGAAGTCGGCGGCAATTTTTTGGTTTTAGGAAGATAAGAACTTATACCCCAGTCCGAAGAGGGAGATTGTTAAAGAAAAAAAGGTCAAACGCGGGAAAACAAGGAATTCAAACATGAGCGTAGAACTATATGAAAGAGAGCTTTCACCGCACTGTCCACAAATCCCATGTACAACTTTCGCCTGAATACACCGCATCCGTTTCACTCTTCAGGATCCCCATGACAGCACGGGCTGTCGGGGTAGAATTGTGCCGAGTGTGACCAGCGTTTTCAAGAATAAACCGTCTCTATTCCACAGCTAAAATAAAAGTTCCTTTTTCAGGCGATCTTTCCTCCTAGTGCGAGTCAGAGAAGGCCCGCGAGTTCACCATTGCCTCCATTCAGTCTTTTAATACATCAGGAAAATCCGACAAACGAACCGAATCACGCGCACGAGCTATAGTACAAGGCGGTTAGTCCGATTCTCCACACGGAAACAGTCAAGTAAGCCGTACCTTAGAAGCACTTGCGGTGAACGATCGAGGGACCGCTCTCGTCGTACTCCTGCTTGGAGATCCACATCTGCTGGAAGGTGGACAGGGAAGCCAGGATGGAACCACCGATCCAGACGGAGTATTTACGCTCGGGGGGAGCGATGATCTTGACCTTCATGGACGAGGGGGCCAGGGCGGTGATTTCCTTCTGCATACGGTCGGAGATACCGGGGTACATGGTAGTACCACCAGACTGGGATAGAGTTAGCTAGAGCCGTCGAGAAACCTGGGAACAGATACATACCATGACGATGTTGCCGTACAGATCCTTACGGACGTCGACATCACACTTCATGATGGAGTTGAAGGTGGTGACGTGGATGCCACCGCTTTCCAGACCCAGAACGCTGGGCTGGAAGAGAGCCTCAGGAGCACGGAAACGCTCGTTACCAATGGTGATGACCTGTCCGTCGGGCAGCTCGTAGGACTTCTCGAGGGTGGAGCTCTGGGAAGCGGTCTGGATCTCCTGCTCGAAGTCGAGGGCGACGTAGCAAAGCTTCTCCTTGATGTCACGGACAATTTCACGCTCAGCGGTGGTGGAGAAGGTGTAACCGCGCTCGGCCAGGATCTTCATGAGGTAGTCGGTCAAGTCACGACCAGCCATGTCAACACGCGAGATGGCGTGGGGGAGGGCGAAACCCTCGTAGATGGGGACAACGTGAGTAACACCGTCACCAGAGTCCAGAACGATACCAGTGGTACGACCGGAGGCGTACAGGGACAGGACGGCCTGGATGGAGACGTAGAAGGCGGGGGCGTTGAAGGTCTCGAAGACAATCTGGGTCATCTTCTCACGGTTGGACTTGGGGTTGATGGGGGCCTCAGTCAAGAGGACGGGGTGCTCCTCGGGAGCGACACGGAGCTCGTTGTAGAAAGTGTGGTGCCAGATCTTCTCCATATCATCCCAGTTCGTCACAACACCGTGCTCGATGGGGTATCTGAGGGTAAGGATACCACGCTTCGACTGTGCCTCATCACCGACGTACGAGTCCTTCTGACCCATACCAATCATGATACTACTCTGGCGTTAGCAGGCATTGTCCGGTTTTTGGGGGTGGGAGCCTATTGGCACAGGGGGAAATAATTACCCATGGTGACGGGGACGACCGACAATGGAGGCTATGGTATTGAGTCAGCTTGATGATCTCCTGATTTTTGGGCGCCCGAGAGAAGCTGCACCCCGGAAGATGAGGCTCTCCGGGGACCAAAATGCTGCCATCTCCAGGACTCCACAAGGGCAAAAGAAAAGATGACGGATGATGGAAGGGTTGACTTACGGAAGACAGCTCGGGGAGCATCGTCACCGGCGAAACCGGCCTTGCACATACCCGAACTACGCAGGAATCGTCAGCATCTCCATAAAAAACAGTACCACAGATGAAATGTCGGTCATTTTGGGGGTCTTCCTAGCTTTCTGCGGTCGCAGAGGTACTGGGAAGACGGCATCGGCGCGGACAGTGGACAATGGAACCATCGCGACCGGGGCCGATGCAGTTGTGTGTGTTTTTCCCTTCTCGGATGACCGAGGCGGGACACCACCCCAAGCAAGGACAAGTATCATCAAAAACGAGCAAAACCATCAAGGAATTCTCAAAACATACCCATTGTCAATAACGAGAGCGGCAACTTCCTCTGTACCGACGAGATAAGATCGTTAGCGATGGTGTAACCCGGCGGTTGGACGAAGGGGGAGGGGAGGGGAGGGGAAGGGAAGCAAGCGAGATGCAAGGCGCTGAGGTGGCAGGAAACCTTACCTTCCATGGTGACGGTGATAGGATTAAAATGAACTACGAAGAATGAAAAGAAAAAGAGAGAAAAAGTTGTCTCAAGGGAGATGGGAGGGAGGAAAGATGGGAGGAAGGAAAGAGGATCACAAGGGAGATGTGGTGAGAATGGATTGAATGGAGGTTGGAGGTAAAAGAAAGGGAAAGGGAGGGAAGAGAGAGAGAGAGGGAGAAGGGGAGAAAGGGAGGAGGCAGTGGAAGGGGGGAGTGGCAGTAAGATTTAAGTGGGTGGAGAGAGGGAGAGCAGGGAAAGGAGCTGGACTGGGCCGTGACTACTACTAGTTAGTAGTGAGTCTAGTAGTGAGCACTCCGTAGTGGGAAAAAGGAGAAGGCGGGTGGAGTTGGTTCGTCCTCTTTGGGTTTGGTCGCTGGTCGGGTCCGCGGGCCCGGTTGCTGTCACCGCCACGTATATTAGTAGTAGTATTTGCCAATTGCGTTCCCAATGTTGGATGGAATAGGAGTCTACGGAGGAGAGGACAGTCCCCTACTATATATACGGAAGTAGGCAACAACAATCCAATCCGCTACCCTCTGGTATAGGGAACTCTCCGTGGGAGACGTCCATATCCACGCGTCCATTAATGCTATGCCTAAGAACTACGGGATGAGTCCTGATGAGAGTGAAGACACTCTCTGCCTGGTGATTCTACCCTCTTGCCTTCTTCCCTTTCAACAGTAACATCCCGGCGAGACATCGCAGCCATGGTTGCCTCTCAGGCAGAATGATTCTCGAATCGCATCCAAGGTGTCTGGGGTGACGATGGCAAATGCAATTGCGCATCCTCGTGGGGCAAATCCTGATCTCAGGGCGGTTTATCTGCGAAATGCTGAACGAACTCCGGGCCGAACCAGAGAAACAGGGTCCATCATCCAGGCGCCCGGATTCCCCTGGCCCCTTGCGCCTTCCATCCTTCCGTGGTGCCGGGTTGTGGCTGATGACAAGGAATTGCGAGTGTGCGAGAATGCATGACCTGAACTGAACTCACTTGATCTGATCTGACTTGACTAGGTGAGAGATCGCTCGAGGTAAAACGAGAGAGAAAGAGAGAGGCTCCCGCTCGTTCCCCGAAGACCGGGCTGGATGTCGGCGTAGGTAATCTTGCCTACGGTAACCCCGTGACGCTTACCGCCTTTTCACCCATCCCATCCAGGCCAACAACAACGGCCTCTCGCTTTCATCCTTGGGCACCCAATGACCCGGTAGGGCGGTCCAATTGGCACCCGGCACTTTCTTCCTGTGCGGTCTACTCAAACTGCACGACGAAGTCCCTCGTCGATCTCCCCTACGAGGCCAATCTGCCAATAATCAGCCACAGTTGACAAGCCATGGCGGGGTTGACCGCATGGCGGGGTATTGCGGTCTTACATAATACGCTGTACCGATTTACTCGTACTCGTACAGGTGGGGGGGGGGGTGGTTTCTACATTGAACCTGGTTTTATTTCTAGATTGCGAGTATATTAACACACAAGCTATCAGACTCAATGCGAAGCTGAGAGAGGTCACCAGGAGGTATTCAAAGTAGTATACCTAGAAGTATGTCAGGTGGAACGTGGTGGAAGGCCCTGGCAGCCGCATGAATCGCCGAGAATCGTCCTTCCGCCTTCTCTTTTGAGATTTGCCCTCTCGATTAAATATTCTTGTCGGAACCTGCGACAACGTGCATTGCTTGACCCTCAACCCACCAGTTCTTTTTACGCTCTATAAACTTAATTCTTTACGATTTCTCGCTTCATTCTCAACTTTCTTGAAACCTAATAATTACCTCACATCATCCTCAATCACCATGGACGCCAACATGAACGGTCTCCTCAAATGGAGTATCCAGAACTCCACCAACGCCTCCGACCCTAATGCCTCCAACAACAACAACAACACCAGCACCGCTGTCACTGATGCCGCCTCTCGCGGGATCAACGCCGAGATGATCTCGACTCTGTTCGGCGGGCCCTCCGATGCCGATCTGATGAAGGCCTCCATGGAAGCCCTGCGCTCGGACGAGGTCGACCTGGAGAACAAGATGATCGCCTTCGACAATTTCGAGCAGCTGCTTGAGAACATCGACAATGCCAACAACATGGAGCCGCTGGGCTTGTGGACGCCGCTGGTCGAACTGCTCCGCCACGAGGAGGCTGATATGAGACGTATGGCGGCATGGTGTGTCGGTACGGCCGTGCAGAATAACGAAAAGGCTCAGGATAAGGTATGGTGTTCACCCCCCCTTGTAATCGTGCAGATCTAACCGTTCGTTTCTCTAAAGCTCGTTCTGTTGAACGCCCTGCCCACCCTCATCTCGAATGCCACCTCCGATCCTAATCCCGCCACCCGCAAGAAGTCCGTCTATGCTATCTCCTCCGCCGTTCGCAACTACCAACCCGCTATGGACGAGGCCGTGAAGCACCTCCCTGAGGGATATCCTCGCGAAAAGGTTGATGCCGGAGATATGGAGGCCGTGGATGCGATCATGGACAAACTGAGAGCCCACCCGGTCGAGGCGTCGGCTTAAGCAAAAAAAAAAAAAATTATCTTCTTGACCAGAGGGTTCGTTGAGAGTTTTTGACGCGGTGTCTCAGACCGCCCAAAATAATCCCGTCCGGCGTGGGAGAATAATTTCGTCGAAGGATACAGGCCGATCCGTTTGTTTTCTGCAGCCACAGGCCACATCAATGTGGCTCCGTGATGGTATCGGAGAGGCGCTGGCCTAAGATGACCGCTAAGGACGCTGCGATTGCGATATGCCGTGATAGGCTCCCCGTGGGGAATCACTACGCAGGTAGTCCCGTTTGATATCCTGACGTTGGCGCGTTCAAGAGTATACGATGCATATGACTGGGGACTTTTGCTTTAGTGGCCCACGTGCAGCTGGGCCATTTACTTGGAGTACATAAAAAATAGACGAAGATACAACAATATAAGTTGCCTACATGATGAAAAGAAACCCTGAATACTTGCTATGCACGGTGTCTCCTAGAGCACCCCCGTAGATTGCTGTCTTGAGGGTCCGTTCCCATCACAAAACCGACTACAACTACTATACATCTGCCCTCAGAATGAGTCAAAACGCTCGTATGATATTGACTAGAAATTCTACCGATAGCTGAGATCCGAAACTCGAGTAGCCCGACAAACAAGAGGCCCTACCGGATCCAAACAAAACCAACGGCGACAGCGAACCAGATAAAGACAAAAAGACCATACAAAGGGCCAGTCGTAAGGGATTTTCGTAACAGAGGAAGCAGAATCACCCCGACTTACAACGCAAGGTTGTAAGTGAAGTCATCTTCTATGTTCTGGGAAACCCAAAGGACAACGGAGCTGGAGAGGAAGAGCGAACAGGGTCAGTTTCGAGTGATATTGACTGGAAAGGGCGAGCGCGAACGGGGTGTATTTACCTCAGCATGATGAGTCCGTTGGCGACAACATTGGCAATGCCAAAGTAGAGGGTCTGCAGCGGGTATTGTTTGATGAGGTACTTGAGAACCATGACGGTCTATGGAGCGTAGGATGAGGGGTTAGCTCTCAATTCCCAGGGTTGTTCTTCCGCCATGGAGACCGTGGGTAGTCTCTTGACGTGGGGATGGGAGGAGGGGAGGGGGGAGATGGGACATACTACACTGCCAGCGAGACCTCCTGCCAAAAGCGCAAAACCCAGGAAGAGCACGAAGCGCGCCTTCCAGGCGACCCCACTGCCACTATAGCTGAAGCTGTCGGCCTGCAGACGCGACTTCTCGATGGAATTGATCACCAGCATGCCCAGGGCAGAGCAGATCCCAGGAACCCAGTCCACGAACTTCACATGCACGGACGAGCCATTCAGGGAGCTGTGGGAAAAGGCGGCGGCATCAACGAGGAAGAAGAGACCGAGAGCGAACTAAAGATAACGTCGGGTTAGCGGGCGGTTGGTCTTTGAGAATGACTCGAGGGGGCTGATAAGCTTACCAGGGCACCCGAAGTATAGACGCCCGCATTGCGAACGGTCGAGTTGTTGAGCCACTCGGGTTTGGACCAACGGAACAGGCGGTTGTTAGAAGTTTCCATTGTGCTTTGAAGGCTCCTGTAAGGGTCGTGAGGGCTGCAAGTTGAGATGGAAATCGGAGACGTGCTCTGGCGTTGATCAGTCGTAGCAGCGGTAGCTGTCTGGGGAGCAAGCAAGCAAGCATTAATGAATGATGCAGCCGGCCGGCCCCCGGAAACCGGAAAATCCATTTTGCCGCGGCACGCTACTGCGTCATTTCAAGGATTCTACAGGCAACTTCCATTATATTATCCAAGAAGACAAGCGTATATTCACTAGTTACTTCAAGACTTTCCTTAGTCATCTATCTAATTCATAAAGTCATGTCTCATTCAGTTGTGCCCCGCACTATTAGGTTTCCTCGCAGAACAATCGCAGGAATTCATCGATATAGTTCATCGCCTTCCCTTTGTCCAACACCGGCGGTAATACCTTCGAGTGGTCACCGTCGGCGGGTGGTTCTTTCAGGTATTTTCGGAGCGCAAACGTTGAGGCGCGGTAGGTGGCATGGTACATTGCCTTGAATTCATCTTCGTCTGTACCAGAGGCCGACGTGGGCAATGGAATGCCATCCGAGGTCAGACGAGAATCCTCGTCAGGGGCGTTGATCCCCGTGGCGGTTTTGCTTGATCCTCCAGATCGGGACGTGGCTCTGTTGTATCCGTATAACCGCATGCATGTCAGAATAGTACGCGTGATGATATTCTTGTTGTCCATAATGATACCCTCGGCATCCTTTGGGGTCGATGAGGGCTCCTGTTTCCCTTCAAAAGATAGTAATGCCGGCGATGGCTCTCGTTTTTCTTTTACGATGGACTCGATAAACGGATTGGGGGTGTTCCTCCGCGAGACGAATTCACGCGCTTGGCTCCGGTTACTGCTGGGCCGCGGAGGTTCCGCCCGCGCCTCCAACGGTTTGGCAGAGAGCAGATTCGTCCCGACCGAGAGAGACCGTGACCGCTGCGATGCGTTGCGATCCAAAGCCAATAGATTGGGCTCCTCAGGTTCCTCTTTCACCCGGAAGGTCTGCAGTTGTTTCTGAGAGGACTGTGAGAGCGAGTGCGCCATCAATTGGGACACGGCCTCGCCACCCTTCTGTCGTACCCGCCGGTGATGTTGCGCAACCGTTTCAAAGAGGGTTGCAACTCGCTTGCGCTTGGGACTTGGGGATCGGATGTCCGGTAGAAACTCCGCAGGTCGCCCGTCGCCAGCCAGCGCCTCCGCCCGATCCGGAGACGGAAGGCATTGCGCTTTAGAGATGAGAGATGCAGATAGCGGCGTGGCGTAGATCCGCAGCTCCTGTCGGATAGTTGGGCCAGCAATTCCACCGGAGCCTGGCAAGGATGATGTAGGCGGAGTAGGAGGCCGCCCGAATGATGTCGCGCTCGATAGGACACCGTGAACAAGTAGATCCGTCGTGCTGGACGCCGTTTTCGCACGTGTGCAGTTGCTGATACTGACCAGAAAACCTACAGGGCACTGGATAGTTTGGAATTTATCCAGGTCCTCCTCCTCTAGCCAGACCCCACCGAGCAACTTCTCCTTCAGCCATTGTGACGTTTGCAGGTGCGTTGTATGCAATTCCAGGTTCGGACCAACTCTCGCATATAGTGGTATTAACGCGGGGTTTACAAAGGTTCGAAACCCGAGCGTGCAGTCTCTTGATAGATCCGATTGCCAACTGGAGGACCGGTCAATGAGCTGTAGACCTGAGGTTGTCAGTTTAGAGAGGCGCTCAGCAACCCTCAAGTTGTCGCGTGAGAACCCTTACCTTGGAGTTGGGACTCGCTGTCTAGCGCAAGGGCTCCAGACCAGACATTCATCGTAATATGGTCATTGATATCTCACAGCTCACATTTTCTGGCCGCGAATCTATATAGTTGCAGGGCAAAAGGCCGCTTTCCTTGGTATAATGTTCGTGAGCAAGGAATGATTCCCATGACGCGCCGCCGGGGGAAAAGGCAGCGCGGTATCACGTGATGCGATGCGCGGCAGGCTTACGGCACCGACACCCTCGTGGATGCCTTCTTGTCATACATACCCTGAGAGCTTGTGAGGGGCAGCAAGACATACAGAACACTCGCAATTCATCTGGTCGAATTTCTCTATCGCATTGCTGTGGCTACTAATACATCCAAACACATCGCCGAACAAGAACAAAATAAGAGACATCAAAAAGGCTTAATGAATAGGGAGTACATTTTACTCCAAGGGTAGATCAAAGCAAGTGACGGTTTCGTAAAAGGGATCATGGTTGCATATATATAGATATAGGTGCTAGTGTTAGGGGGAGAGACTGGATTGAGAGAATCCGCCAAAGAGATCAAGGGAACAGTCAGCCTTCCTGAGATGACTATCCTCCGATAACAGCTTAGAATTCCTCCTGCTCCTGGAAAAACATCGAAAAACTAATGATAGTGCCATAGATCAAAAGTCCTCCAAGAATCGACATGATCATCGCGGGGACCTCGATAGCTCCGCTGTGGGCCAAGACGGCGGGCAGAGCTACAGTAGAATTCAGAATTAGCATGGTTGAGGCGGATGGAAAGACTGAGATAAAAGAAAGCCTCAGAAGCAGCTGACTTGGGCATATGCGATCACTAATACGGTGAAATGCGGCCGTTGTCGAAGCTTGCCCCGGGCAGCGTCCACGTGAATCTCCATCCGGGGAACTTACCAATGCCCATCAACACAAGGAAGCCCGTAAGGAAGCGGCCAAAATCCGCTGCCGCGTTGCCAGAGCTATCCATAAAATCGTCCGGGTTGGCACATCGCGAGCAAATCCAGTTGGGGAGGGGCGCGACAACGTAAGTTGCGACGACAATCAGTGGCAGGTAGTTGTGCCACAGGGCGGAAGAGAGGATGACGAGAAGGAAACCAATGGCAAGCACCTATTCACATAGAAAATACATTAACACCGATCTGGGACGATGAGATTGCTGGACGGAAGATGCATACAAATGAAAGCGCGATGATCGTCTTGAGTCCGGCCGTCATGATTGCGGTAGTTCAAGGACCGTCGAGGTCCAGCAAAAGCTCACAGCTAAAGGCAGCAGAAAGAACGATAAGATGGGTGGATCAAGTTTAAGCAGCAGCAACAGAGACAAGGCGGGTGCTAACGCAGCCCGTCTGCATGGAGGATAAGGAGGTGGTCGAAGGAGCAGGTCGGTAAGTCAGTCAGTCATAGCGTAGGGTAAGAGTAGGAGGAGTCGATGGGCGACGGGAGTGACGTTTGGCGGGAACTTGCAGCGCAGTCAGCCTCAGGCGCCAGGGCCACACGGCAACGAGGCATTAAGGCACCAAGGCCACGAGCCCGGCGTACGGTAACGTAATTACGGCGAGAGGAAGGCACGTCAGTCGCTCTCTGCCTGCTCACCTCCAGCTCCGTCGCACCTCTTCAACCTCCATCCTCCACCCCCGTGTCATTCGCATCCATTCGCTTCTTTCATTCTCCGTCCATCTCATCTTCTTTTCCCGTCTCGTCATCTCTCGCTCGCCATGTTCAGGAACAACTACGACAACGATGCTGTCACCTTGTATGATCCTATCTCTAGCTCCTTCCGGCGCCTCCCCTCCCCAAGCTTCCCAGAAACCAGCTAGCTAACTGCTTTTGTTTTCATTCGTGACAGCTCTCCGCAGGGTCGGATATTCCAAGTCGAGTATGCACAAGAAGCCGTGAAGCAGGGATCCGTGGTGGTGGGATTGGTCAACAAGACGCATTCGGTCCTGGTTGGCTTGAAGGTGAGTAAATCGATCAGAATCAAACAGTCGATGGCTACGAAAGTGTTCCGACCCCAGGCAGGAACAGAAAAAGCTTAGTAGCCCCTTAAGAACAAGAATAAAAGGAATCTGACGTCTTCCCTCCCCCCCTCTAGCGAAACGCCGAAGAGCTCTCCTCATACCAGAAGAAGATCATCGAAGTCGACTCTCATATGGGCATTGCGATCGCCGGTCTGGCCTCCGACGCCCGCGTGCTTTCCAACTACATGAAACAGCAGTCTCTCGGCTCTCGAATGACCTATGGTCGGCCCATCCCCGTGGACCGCATCGTCACTCAGATTGCCGACCGCGCCCAAACAAACACCCAGCAGTACGGAAAGCGACCCTACGGCGTTGGCCTGCTCGTGGCCGGAGTCGACGAGGCCGGCCCTCATCTGTTTGAGTTCCAACCGTCGGGCATGATCCACGAGATGGTGGCCTGCGCCATCGGCGCTCGCTCCCAGATGGCTCGGACGTACCTCGAGCGCAACCTCGACCAGATCTCCGACAGCTCCCGCGACGAGCTGATCACTCACGGCCTGCGGGCGCTCAAGGAAACCCTGTCTCAGGACAAGGAGCTGACGGTCGACAACACCTCTGTGGGCGTGGTTGGTCTTGCAGGCGAGGAAGCTAAGGGAAAGATTGAGAGCTTCAAGCTATACGAGGGTCAAAAACTGTTACCGCTGCTGGAGGCCCTGGAGCAGTCGGATTCGAGCGAGACGAAAGAAGGAGAGGCGACGATGGAGGTTGACTCATAAAGTACTTTAACTAGATGCATGTCCGTAGCTTACGAATCTTGATCCTTTCTCTCTGTGTGCGTGTGTTTGCAAATCTGTCTATATCGGCATTGGGGTAATGCCGCTCTCTACTAAGTGTGCCACCAATTGTCATGGATAAATTGAGAGTCTCTTGATGTCTAGCTTTATTCGGTCCCGTCTATATAAGAACGAAGACGATTGTAAGATGTCCACGCCTCCCGATCCTCTTACTCATCGGACCAATCCAGCTGCATTCTACCATTGCTGACCTTGTACCCGGTCAGGCGCGGCCACACCTCGGCGACGGTCTTCGCCTCGACGAGGATATCGCCGTTCGCCTCCCCAATGTATCCCTCGCGGACGGCGTTCTTGACCCAGGTCAGCAACCCATCCCAGTACCCGTTGACGTTGAGCAGCACGACCGGCATCTGGTGAATACCCAGCTGATTCCAGGTCGTCATTTCCATCACCTCCTCGATGGTCCCGAACCCGCCGGCCAACGAGACGAAGCCTGACCCGGGCCCGCCCTCGCCCACCTTAGTCGCCATCAGGCGCTTGCGCGTATGCATGTCCGGCACGATCGTCGTGATGCCGTACTCCGACGCCGCCGTCGAGTCCGTCACCACCCGCTCGGCCTCCTTGCCGTCGGCCGCCGTCGTCGACTCGTCGCTCTTCGTCTGGTCGTATCCTTCCTCGATCCGCACCAGCGCTCGCGGAATGATCCCGTGCACGGCTTGCGGGCCTGATAGCGATACCAGCGTCCGCGCCACTTCGCCCATCAGACCCCGCGTGCCGCCGCCGTAGACAAGGTGTACGTTGTTTCGGTGGAGCTCGTGTGCCAGAGCGCGCGCGGTCTCCATGTGAGCGGCATCATTGCCGGATACGGAGCCGCAACTAAATAGAGGAGTTGAGAGACGTTAGTTGGGGTTTTAGGACCATCGCGGGGAGAGAGAAAAGAAGGCCGAAGGCGGGGAGGAGGGGAGGAGGGGAGAAGGGAAAGGCGGACTCACAACACACAAACCACGGCGGGCTTCTCTGCTTGAGCGGTCGCCATCTTGCTTCTTTGCTTCTTAATTCTTTTGATTTAGAGAAGATGTGGTGCAAAGGCCGGTTCCAATTGAATTAGAATAAGGTACTCGAAGGTCGGAAGAAGGTGGAGAAAGGAATGGAGAAATGATGACAACCTGGGAAGGCAGGAATCCACCGGCGTCAAAATACCAACTGCATGCCAGTCCAATGAGTCATCGTCGAGCTGCCCAACAATTCCTGCGTTGGTGGCTTCGCTTTATCAGTTCCTTCTTCATGTGAGATGTCCTGTAGAGATAGGTGCATATCGTGAAAAGCCCCGCGATCCAGAAGAACCATTCCAGCAACTATCGGAACCTTACTCGGATGGACCGGAAAGAATCCATCTGCGTTTTTCTTTTTGGCTATGGGTATCATCCATTAACAATTAAGTATCTGGCTGGCGTTGCACTCAACTACCGGCTCTGGCCTTCTTCTTCCGCATTTTACTAGTCTCCTCCGAGCCCGTCGCCCCCGGGGTGCCCTTATCAGGAACCTTCCCCGGCGTGTCGACCTTGACTTGTGGAGTCGCAGCTCTCCCCGGTACACTACTTGGACGGCTGATGTTCGACGATGGCTTCGGCGCCGCGAGTCGGTCGGCGTCCCCGGATTTGGACAGGATGAACGACCCGGGTTCTCCTACCAAGGGATTCTCGTCCATAAACTCGTCTCCAAAACGGGACAGAAGAGAAAACGACTCTGCCAGGGTCTTTGTGTCTTGGAGCGCCAAACCGGCGCTGCTGGTGTGGGCGCCCACGAGCGCGTTCCTGGTAGAGTCGGCCTCGGGCAGAGGTGTGTTCTCCTTGCTTTGTTGGGACGAAGCCCCGGGCTGACTGGGGTCAGTCGATTTGGGTGCGGGCGGCAGATAGGTGTGACCGTGAGAGGGGGTGAACGTCGGCAGTGTGGATGCAGTCTTGAGGAGACTCGTGAGTGAGGTGACCGAGGATAACTGGCCATGAGTTAGTCGAAGTCCAGCCGCGGCCTTGGGAGCGTAGCACGTACAATGCGATTCCCAACAACGCTGGCCACCGACGGAGCCATGTAGATACAGTCGCCCATCACAAAGTAAGTCGAAAGAATGACAACTTCGTCCTCCAAGCCGGCACGCTTTCGCCTCGTTTGTTTCCTAATTACCCAGACGTTGGACGGCTCGTGGGCAAATTGAGTGTCCGATTGCGCTGCTGCTTGTAAGGGGTCATAGGCGACGACGAACTCCAGGCCCTGCATGGTTTTCAATCGCGCTTCAAAAGCATCCCGAGTCTCCACAAAATGGCGTAGGGCTTCGTTGTAGTTCGCCTGGATGGCCAGAGAAGCATTATTCGAGGTAGCATCGAAGAAAGGCGATTCGGCAAAGTAGAAGAGAACTGTTGTAGAAGAGAGGAAAAGTTCCCTGCATCAGTGCAACGAATACAAGGCGAAAGAGAAGAATGGTTCTTACTGTTGTTCGAGTGAAGATAGCCTCCCATCATCTGGACATGAGGTGGCGATCGCCAGAGGATCTCCTCCATTGAGGCATCCTGATTGCCGGCCATAGGGACAGTCTGAAACCAGGTTATTAGTTAGAGGACGCTGGGAGGGTGTGTCAAGTTGGAATTGCGAGGTTGAGGTGGGTTTGGGGCAGAGGGGAGAGCAAAGAGACAAAGCAGAGCGCCCTCTCCGCGGAGCTTCAAGCTGTTTGCCTGGTTTGCACTGCACCCCAGTCAATCTACTACAACCAGATAAGATATGAAAGATATATATTTCGTTAATATAATTTTAACAAACGCCCGCTGAAAATGGTCCATCGCTAATATGTTGAATCCGACTGAATGCTGTCTATGCTTGATCCCCCAGAGACTGGTCTATGCAACTGTTGAAAAGCGTTGCGGTGAAACACCTGAACATATCAAAACAAAGAGTGTATACAAACATCCCCTAAGGATGCAAGGGTGCGAAGATACCAGAAACCGTCCGAAGTTTGGTCAGCATTTCGTCCCATTCACCCTGCGCGGTACTAAGGACAGTCACAGCGCCGCCGGCGCCAATCCGCCACCGCTGCTCATCGCTCTGATCATCAGCGCAGGTGAACGCAGTGCGGATGAGAACCGAGAAGCTGCCCCCGCCGCCGAGGTCGAGAAAGCCCATTACCCCGGAGTAGACGCCTCGCTTGCGGTTTTCGATCGAGGAGAGGTGCATGCACGATCGTTCCTTGGGGGCTCCCGTCATGGAGCCGGGAGGAAGACATCGCTGTAAAGTTGTAAGCCCGTGGACGGACATGTTCGTAGATTGAAACTGTGGCCTGTCGCGCACGGTGAAGCCCGGCCGGTTGGGGTCGACGGTTCCTTTCACGTGGGTGATCATTTGATAGACTCTTCCGTGATCTTCCACCTCGAGAAGTTTTTCCACATGAACACCGCCGGAGCCACAGATCCCGTAAAGGTCATGGCGGATCAGGTCTGCAATCATCAAGTTTTCCGCCATCTCCTTGGTCGATCCGAGGATCTCCTTGGCTTTTTCCAACGTCATGTCTTCGGATTTGCGGACAGTGCCCTTCATGGGTTTCATCTCGAGGGTGGATGTTCGGTCCCAATTGAGGAAACACTCGGGACTGCTGCTGACGATCCTGGCTCTGCCCAATCTTGCATAGGCGCTGAATGCGGCGGGGTTATACCGCCGCAGCCGTTTATATAGTTTCCACGGGAAGACTGCTCGACCACTTTCGGTAGAAGGTGCAGGCAGTTTGACTGACGTTTCGCAGCTCAGACATAGTTCGTATGACTCGCCAGCTTCCAACTCGACCTTACAAGCATCGACCTTGTCTTGATAGGTGTGCTGGCTGGGAAACTGAACCTCTGCCTGCCGGAGAATGCAATCCAGAAACTCGGAGTCGTCGGATGTCCCAGGTGCATCCACCAGAGAACTGTCCGTCAGTAATTGAAGGGTTTCATCGAGCCAGCCTGTCGGTACATCGTCATCTTTTCGAATTGATTGTATAGTGACGCGACCCGTCTCCTTATCGACAACAATACTCCTCTCCGTCCATAGCAGGTTGACGTCCGCAGGGTCTTCACCTAGGGAATCGTTCAAGGGACCTTTTTCCAGATCGTGGTTCTTCGGTCGAGCGAGACAAGCGAGGCCCAGTTCGTATGAAAAGTAACCCAGGAAACCTCCCCAGAATGGAATTGTTCGGTCACCCAACCGAACCTTTTTCATCTCCATCAGATACCTGAGGACATCCCAGACCTGGGTGACGGGCAACTCCTCTTCCACGACCATTCCTTCCTGTTCTGAGCAACGACGAGATATAGAGGAATCCTGGAGCTTTTCTAAGACCAGGTTCTCAGTCTGGGTGTAGAATTCTAGCCTCCAGCTGGACGGGCTCGGTACCGAAATGACACTGAATCTATCGTTGGACTGAAACAACACCGTTGGCGAGGTGGGAGTATTTAATATTTCGCAAATCCTCTCGGCATCCAGTTTGCCAGCCGGAAGGGTGCGAAAGGCAGCGTGGTCCGAGGTGGACGCAGTCCAGTCCAGCATTGTAGAAGCAATCTCCGGAAGAGAGGGCATATCGCTCGACGGCTGAACAAGGTTGCTCGAAAGAGCCCTGTAGCCTCCGCGTCCATTCTGCTTGTTGTAGATAAGAGACATCTCCCACCACCTCCTCAGGATCCTGTTGCAAACTTGGCGATCTGACTTGCAAGATTCCGGGTGAAACTGCACTCCCCAGAACGGCTTGCTTTTGTGGCGTGCTGCCATGGGGATCTGCGTTCTCGTGCTAGACCCCTCTTCCTCAACCAAGAGCCAGGCTAAGAAATCCAGGTCAGCGGGGCTCGGTTTCTCTCCATTGACGCCGTTACTCGAGATCGAGCCGTCCCATTTAGCATATAGAGAGTGGTACAGAGTGACCTCCACGTCCTGACAGTCCACGAAAATGTCTTTCTGCGCCGAGGCAATCCGACGGACCTGGCCATGGAGTGGATACGGCAACCGGCCGACAGAGAGTCCATGTTGAAGGCAGAGGCTTTGAAACCCAAGGCAGATTCCCAGGACGGGCAAGATGTCAGCATTGCGGAGACTCCAGATATCGCGCATAATCCCGATATCTTCTGGGACATTAGGATCGCCAGGTCCCGGGCCTAGGACCACCGCTTCAAAGTGTTGAAGATATTCGATCATGTTTCCTTCGGGCCATTGCGAGTCGATCATCATGACTGTTACTTTCACTCCTAGCACTTCTTCGAGCATGGCCACGACATTGTAAGAAAATGAGTCGTAGGCATCAACGTAGAGCACATTTTTGCGAGAACCAAGCCCTATCGACGGCGAGGATTCGTCATGCCCTAGTAAAGGAGCCATGCTGTAAGGGTTGTGGGAGGAAGCAAGCTCGCGCCTAGACCTAAGGGACTGAGACGACAGGTTTATATCAATCCTCTAAAATTCTGACTGAAAGGAGAAAAACGAAGAAAAATCTTTAACAAAATCATACAAAGACAAAGAATAACCTTTCTAATCTTCAGGGCCGAGAGGCGACAAGACAGGCAGACCACGGACGAGAGAAATCTGGACCAACCCAAGAGGGCGTGTGGAGGTGGCGATGGTTCCACCTTCAAGAAAACTTGGCGCAAAGATTTTCCCTTATTTCCGTGGACCCTGCATGATTAAGCAGGGAGGGGTATCATATCAATTAAGGATTAACAAGTAAAATTGAGAAGCGAGAGAAGAGAGAGAAAAGAAACAAAAGCAGTTCGCGGGGTTGACGAGGGAGAAGGAAATTTGCTGCGGCTTCGGAACGGCAATCGACGGAAGGGCAAAGCTTGGCTGAGAGAACAAATACTACACTGTACTGAGTAGAGTCGAATTAAACCAAATGACTTGAAATCAAACAACACCAATTCACCTAACACATGTAGATCCTAGATCCGTTTCGTTTATATGTACATGTACACGGAGTGTCGGTCATCATCGCCATTAACTTCTAAGTAATAGTCATCATATCTATGCACAATTGCACATAGATGCAACCAAATGCTTAGGTCCTAATTGCTGGGGGCTGGAGCGGCCAACTTGGTGGCGATTTTGGGAAAGTACTGCGCAACGAATCCTTCACTACAGATGGGGGGATCAGCAAGATGAGTCAAATGCATCGAGGCAACAGGGTCAACATACGTGTAGTAACTGTGAGCAGAGCTGTGATCGCCGACCAAGTTATGAGCCAATTCGTGACAGAGAATCACCCACCAATACACCAGGGCGTCGCTCCGGTCGGCTGTCGAGCTCTGGAGCAACTCTTTCTCGTGCAATTGCTGGAAGTAGAAGTAATTGCAGAAGATGCTGCCACCCCGGTTGAAAGCGATGGTCTTTCCACCGGGATCGTAGAAGACGCTGAGAGTGTTTGTGCGCAGGGAAAAGACTCCGGCGCAATCGATCAAGATCGAGGCGAACATGTTGATGCCGCTACTATTCTGGGCCAAAAAGTTTGACCGGTCGGGCAGGGTCTTGACGAAGAGCACATGCATCCCACAGGGAAGAGTCGCCACAAACTCCAAATCATGACTCGGCCGCTCGTCACAATAGGACTTGGATTCGCTGATCTGGTTCGTCTCCGGCCGACTGTAGAGCCCCGACGATCCGTGAGGCCGGCAGGCTTGGACCGCCGACAGCAGCTCGTTCTGTAGACGGTGCGGAGAGCTGACGGTGACTGGCGCCTCGGGGCGCGATGACTTCTGCGGGTCTTCCGGTGAGTATGGGGGCGGCGGAGGCGTGGGCGAATTCGAAGATTCCGGAGGCGTAGGCTGGGATGGCTCGCTGTTGAGCGGATTCCAGCTCGACCGCCCGCCCTCCAGCCCTAGGCGTTTGCTCCAGTTAGCAAATAGCCCCCGAGGGCGCCGGTCTTGTTGGTCGGAATCCGAGCTGTTGTCCGGTGGTGCGCTAGGGCCGGCGGCCACTTCTTTGTTGGACGGAGAGTCTGGGAAGTCGCCCGGCATTAAAGATGGCTGCTTTTCCTCGCTCTGCAACTGAGACTGACGTTCCTGTGCCCATGCAGCCTCTCTTTCCTGAAGTCGTTGTCGCTCCTCCTCTAATTGTTTCTGCCGACGATCTTCGGCCATCCGTGCTTCCTGGGCCTTCTGTTTGAGAATGCGTTCCACGTTATATCCACGCACCTTGAGCTCCATTAAATCGGTCTTCATCAACATCTCAAGTGTCAAGATCGAGTGAAGCTTCGGGCGAACAAGGAGGAGATGCACGAGGGCTTGGCTGATCTCGTAGATGTTGAATGTGCCAGGACAAACCCACAGGCACCAGGATCGAGTTTGCTGCGTGATGATGGCACTGCGTTTCTGCGTATGGGAGATACGACGGCCCCGGAGAGAGCGAGTGAGCGAGATGGAATGTGCCACCTGGACCTCGAGGTTCTTGTCCAGCCATCGAACATCATGGCGGATAGAGCTGGCAGACTGTTCATGGAGAAAGAGTCGACAGCGCTCATTGACCAGTTTCTTTAATTTGGCCGCTGGCCGCTGGTCGGCGACCATTGCACCACAATGTGTACGTTCTTCAACCAGGCTGCTTAGCGGCATTGCCCCGAGGGCGATGTAGAAATTCTCAAGCGCCTCCTCCTGCGGTGCCGCTAGGATATGTTCCTTAAATAGACTGAAACTTTGGAAATCATCCACCACGACAGCGTCTTTTGCAGGAGTCAGCACCCATTCTTTGATGCTTTGTTCATCGTCGTCGTCCTCATCGTCGGATCCGTGGATTTTTCGGTCCTTTTCATGGGTTCGAGAGGAGACATCTCGACTAGCGAGAAGGAATGCGGACCTTCTCATCTCATTAAAGAGCTCTCGGTCCCTCCTCAGCACCGATACGTTCTCCGCCAATGTTCCGAGCAGTTTGAGGTATTTCTCCGAGCTTTGAAATGCAGACGATATCCTAGCAGGCTCCTTGACTAGCATTTGCGCGAGCTCGATCTTTGTGGGCTCCCGCTTGGAACCAACGGCCATCAGGAAAAGATTGGCCTCCTGTCCAAAATCGACAAAGTCGAAAATATCCCGATAATCTTCACCTTCCCCGAGATAGCAAAGTCTGGGGGCCACACGCCGAGGGCTTGAATCTTTGGTTTCCGTGTGGGAGATGGGGACGATCCGTGCATTGCTAACACGATCTATATCACGCGCGCTGAGCTCAGAGACGCGCCCAGCCAGGTATTTGAACAGCACCCTCGCATCTCGCTTTGTGGAAGGGGGTTGACGAAGCAAGAAATCTAGGCACTCTGTGAGGGCAGGGTGCTGCTTGACTCCTAGTTTGGAAGAATGGGCATGAAGGTCTCTCCGTAAGATAGGTAATCCAAACAAGGTAGCACCTTCGTCGGTGAAACATTTGCTTGGAATAGTCAGAATGCCGTCGGCCCCATCAACCGGTAGAAATGGAACATTGACGGTAGCACAGTCAAAGGCTGCGTAGCCGTTATTGTGGTACTCGGCGATGTAGTACGACATTGCCTTCCCGTGGAGGCTCCAGTCATTATTCGCCGCCGCCTGTGCCATTATCTGCACCATTTCAGCGGCTGATGGGGAACTTCTCAAGCCTAGCATGGCCAAGAATTTACCCTCACTGCTACTAGTCTGGTATCTTGTGGGCCATTCAAGCACAGGTAATCCGAGTGCTCTGAAGGAATCCTTTGGCTCGAAAAGTTCATATATTTTGTAGCGCCGGCGAGCAGCCGATTTGGAATCGCCTGGCTCAGCGGTGCAGATACTGGTGTTCCGGAGTCTCTTGATATCATTTGCCGGGATGTCATCACGGACAGAAGCCAGATAACGGACGAGGTCAACATGGCTCCATTTTCCTTTGTCACTGCCACCAGATGATTCCGAAGTGTCTAGAAGGCGCTCAAAGATTACACCCAACTCGACCGTCTTTCGCACGCCAAGGGCCGCCAGAAACTTCTCTTTCACGCTGTTGAGACCATGCACCACTGGCAAATCATCGAACAGTCGCACGGACGAGAAATAGGTTTCTGCCGGTCGTCTCATGCCGAGCCTTGTTGGAATGACGGTATGCGGTTGCAGCAAGTTGATCACAGTCTGTTTGGAGGGCTGACTCAGTGGCTCCCATTGTTTGGAAAGAATAGGCATGACCTGCGCCGAAAACGATGGTGTCTGTGTGATATCTTGATCCAAAGCAAGAACATTCCGATTTCCTGCATTGGTGATCAGCCAGCGGAGCCAGGGGACTATCTGAAGCTCTGCCCAACCGAAGGCCTCTAGTTCGAGTTTTCCCAAAGACTTGGTATATTTGAAAGGCATCACTGACGGCGCCACAGGAAGGTCGACGGGTATCTTTTGCGGGCTGAGGTAGCTGTTGACGTCTGAAAAGACAATCAGCCGTGTGGTCTTGCCGCCACTGTCTTCGTCGTTGGCCACCGCAACACTTAACAGGCTTTGGACGGAAGAAAAGTCGAGCTGCCCTGAAGCGGCCCTTCGACCTAGCCAAGAGAGAAACTCGACGACCTGGTTTGACCGCAGCGTGCTGGCTTCTAATTCCCGCTTGATATCAGATACAGTAACGTCAGTCACCAGTCCAAAATCGGTCAGCTTTCGGACAAAGTCCTTCGCGCCGCCGACGAACTCATCTGGTAGAACAGGGATCGAATCCATGAAGCTCAGGTCTTTGGGCGCGATTCGCGCCTGGTGACTTTGAATGACGCCGCATGTCGATAGCACGTCTATGGAGGCATTCTTGTTGCACGTCCAAAATGAATCCTCGATCGTTTGTCCTAGAAGAGAAGACGGCGTCGACTCGCGGAAGACAAACTGATTCGCGGTGTGGATGGCCTCGGGCAACACTCCAGCAATATCTTCCTTGCGGATTTTGGAAGGGTGTGATGAGTGAACTTTGGACCTGATCGACGCCATTTCTGCGGACCAGGCAATTCGACAGACAATCCCCGCCGCCCTGAGCATTTCCAGGTTCCACTTGCTGATATAGCGGGTATTGAGATCGATGCTCTCACGCTCGACTGTGGGGATGACGGAGGGAGCAGAGATGTGTGCGTTCAGTCCGGTGGTCTGCTGGGTGGGAAAGCCTATAAAAATTCGCCCAGCTTTCGATGGAAGAATTGAGGCCAGCACCTCTGATGACTGGAACCCGGCCTGCCCAGATGCGATGCTTGTATCATAGGAAGGAGTCAGCACGGCCAGCGTCGACTTCTTAGGCGGAGGCTTCCGAGTGGCTCGTTCGAGCTCGTTGCTCAAGGACTGGCTAATAGAAGATTGAAGGCTCGCAGTGTTGATGTGTAAGAAGACCGATGCCGTTGCATTACCGTTCAGTTCTTCAGCGGTATTGTTGACTGACGGCTCGGGGTTCTCAGGCTTTGCTGGATTCTTCTCTTGCGTATTTTGACCCGTGAGCCGAGAGAAAAAGGTCCGCAACGATCCTGCCGTATCCCTGAGGCCTTCGCGAAATACACTGGCGTTGGGGTTCCATTCAACAACCCGCATCCAAGAGGCATCCACTTGCGCGACTTCTCGCGTGACATTTGTGATCTTCATCAGGCCTTGGGGAGTCTTTGTCTCGATGTCCCGCGGAATAGCAAGACTGACGCTTGGAGCGGTCTTCTTGGTGAGTTTCAAGAGATTCCAGTCATCTAGCCATAGCTCTATACTCTCAAGACTGACGAATGTCAGGCTGCTGGACAAGAATTGACAGAGCTGCATTAGAGAGGGAATAGGGGATGTGTCATTGCGATAATCCAGAACAAACGTCGTTTCAGGGTTCCCTGAGGTGTCATCTAGTTGCAACCGACGGGTAAAGAGCGCATTCCCTTTCCAATAAAATGCCATCGCATCCTTCCCGGATGATACGAACGGCTCTTCACAGTCATCGAAAACACTGTAGAACCCGACGCCGAACGCGCCGATCTTGGTCTCGTCAGGATTCCCATCCGCAATTCGTTTTAATCGTGCCCAATCCTTTTCGCTGAACGGAAGACCGTTGTTTGATACCAAGAGGCGCTTCAAAGTATGATGCGAAATTGTATGCTTGAGTAGCGTCGTGTCGTCGGCGGGAGAAGGCAACGGCACAGTTACAGATGGTAGCGTCTCAAATTTGATCGTGACTTTCGTGGCATTCGCATCGGCGGCGTTTTGGATCATCTCTCGTAAGACCGTCCTATTGTTCAGTTAGCATGGTTCTGAGTTCAGTCTACTAGGCCGACATACCATTTCCCTGAATACCGAGCCAGGACTTTAGAGATCAAGCCTCTCGTGTCGACCGTCACAGCCTCTTCGTCGTTTCCCGAACCCATCGTGCGCGCCTTCAGCGCATTGAAATCCAAGCCCGGCGCCATCTTCGTCGAATCAGCTCGGCCAGCTAAACTTCCCTGCGAAACAAGATCCTAAACTCAATAAACCAGGCAACAACAGTAGCAGCACGCCGATAGCGAGATTTTTCACAGAGTTGAGAAGAAACAAGAATACGCTCAAATGCTCACGGAAAGATGACGCTCCAAAAACCACCCAACGTGGCCATCCTGATGTTGTTGACGGCGGAGACGGAAATGAGCGGCGATCCGGCGATGGGTTATCGGGGCTTATCGCGCGGCTTATGTAAGGCGACACTTGGACTAACTGGTTCACTACGGAGTAACTGACAAGACGAAACGAACCGCATCACCACCATTAACTCCCTGCAAGTCAGTCGACTTGATTGGGGTCTTAGTTGGTTGTACAGTTCGGGTTCTTTGTGATTTTTATATTCTTTCGGATCCTCTGCTTTCCTTCCTCGCATGATTTCCAGGACCTTGGACACCCCCTGGAAACAGTCCCGAGCAGTTCGCAGACTGTCTCCGCTCCACATCCTGTGCAGATGACAGTATGGGTGTCGACCCTCTGTCCCCTATTGCACCGGTGCGCCTTAGGGCGCTGCTGCTCCCGGTCGGAAAAATCAAACGCTCGCGGTTCTTAAGCTTTGCCGCAAGGCTGCAGGCCGAAAATGTCGTTCGTTTGGGAGACATTAGTCCGGATGCGCGACCCAATCGAAGTAAGCCATGCACCGGGGAAGATGCCCATAACACGATGCCCATACTGATCGTCGGGTAGATATGTTCTCTCCGTTGGCGTTTCCTACGGGCATGATTCTCTACGACCTTTCCTTCTCCGTGCCTCCAACGTCGCATCTCGAGCTCTTTCCCTTTGAAGTCTTTCGCGAACCGCTCGTTGTCATTGCGATTGCCGACGGAGCAGAATTGGGGGACGGGGAGAACGGCGAGAAATTAGAGCAGGTCGGCGGACTGGACCAGCTTCAACAGGAGCTAGAGGTCGCGCGAGGGCGACACACAAGGGCATTGGTGCATCAACTCCTCATCTTCGATTATAAAGGCGTCGACAAGCTCTCGAATGGACCGGGAGACGTTCTATGGGTACCACGCCCCGAGGCGTCCAAGGCAACTACGATGAAGACCGTCTTATGCGATATCACCTCCTTGCTACTGTCGGAGCTGGATGAGTTCGCCAAAACCATACAAAACATACCTTCCCTTGAATCTCCCAAGGCCTCGTCTTGGGGCCCCCAACGAGGTCCGGATCTACGCCCGCGTCCCACCGACAGGTTATTTCATCGCATGACTATGCCTGCGCACCTCCCCTCCAAACCGAACGGTACCACACCTGAAACTCCTGGCGCCAGTTCGAGCCAGAGCTCTCCTGCTCCTAGCGACTATGAGACGCCGACAACCTTTGATGAAATTACGCGATCAATACAATTGTCCAACCGGGCGAGCACGTTTGGGAAACCTAATTCCCTACCCTCATCGAAGGAACACAGCCGTGATCGGATGTCGGTGAGCAGCATGAGTGCTACTGACCGGACCAAAAACCGTATCAAAGGACGTACGGGTCTCGTGGTAGGGACACTCTTCCTTCAAGCTGGAAGATGGCCAGACGCTCTCAAGGAGCTTGTCGAAGCCGCATCAAATGCTCGAGCAAGCAGCGATTACGTCTGGCACGCCAAAGCCCTTGAATCCATTCTCCTGTGTCTATTAATGTTTGGTTGGGCAGGGATGGACTTTCAGGTATGCTACCTCTTTGCGGTCTCAACCTTTTCATGCAATAAGGACACAACTAATGGAATAGATCCCTCCCATCTGCTATCCGGTGGCCGACAAGTCTGCGAAATCATCCTTCAACCTGGACCCGGGCTCAGGGCAGTCCACACCTGGGAATCGTGTGATCTCTCTCCAGAATTTGTCGAATCTCTTGCCGGATCTCTCGAATAATATAATGAACCTATATAACCGCGCAGCAAATATTACCGACGAACCTCTGCCTCAGCTTGTTTTCTCTGAAACCGTGATCCGCTTAGCGAGGATCTTGGTGGCTGCGCGCATTCGGGACGGGGCCTTGGATGATAATGCCCTGAAGCATATTGTCACGAATGAGCCTCTCGTGCCCTTGCTCCGACCAGAACGTCCCCGTGGGCTGGTCATTCTGCGCAAATCTGAAATTGCAAATTTTCTGTTCCGTGCCTTGCCACTATCCCCTGGGTCGGACCTACCGGCAACAGACTCTATACCGATCATAATAGGTGTCGTCTCCGTTTTGAACACCCTGGATCTACCACGGAAGAAGGCCTTCATTTTGAGGGAGCTGTTATCAATAATGGTGCCAACTCTTGTTCAAGCCCGTAAAATCGGCGCGGCGGAAGTAGGCATTCATCCTGCCGCCGGTCTTGCTTCGCTGAGTGAGACAGCCTTTGATATCAACGCTCTTGATGTCGGTCCCGGGAACATGGAAGAAAGTGTGCGTTCTCTGCTTGCCTCGATAGGGGAGATTTACGGAGTGCAGCCTTCTTCCTTCTATGAGTGGGAAAGCACTCGCTCTTCAACCCAGTCGGTTCCTGAATATGATTCAGTCGCCTCAATTGTTGAGCGTTCCTTTAGGCACGCTGTTCTGGACAAATATGGTGACCTAAATTTGAAAGTTGATGTCCTCAGAGCCTGCATTAATTCATGTGAAGCCCTGCCAGATTTTGGTGGTGTCCTCCGCTTTACGGTGGAACTACTTCAAACCATCCGTGGAGATCTCATGCTTACCGAAACACAATACACCCCTCCGTACTTGCCTCATGATGAACAGGTTCGCCTGCTCAACAATATCAAGCGCACGGTTGGCGCAGCCAACAAGCTGGGAGCATCAGGTCTTGAAGCGGAATATTGGGACGATTTTTTGGTCCGTGGAATACAAATGCTACCTCTATCCGATACCAAGAAACCAGTTCGCCGCTCCAGGCCAGAACTTGATGCGGTGACCGTTGAGAAACCCAAAGATCCGTTCCTATATAATCCCTTCTCCAAGGCAAACAACAAGGCTTCGGAGCTTCTGATCGTAGCGGGGGAACACGCTGCATTCCAAGTCACGCTTCAAAACCCTTACGAGTTTGAGATCGAGATCGAAAGACTCCGGCTTGATGGCGAAGGCGTACCGTTTGATGCTGTGGCCGAATGGATCATTCTGCCGCCGCTCTGTTTGCAGCAGGTGACCGTGTATGGAATGGCTCACGAGGAGGGGAAAGTGAACATCACCGGCTGCCTTGTCAAGGTTCGGCATTGTAGAGAGCGAAAGTTCCCCATCTTCCAGAATTGGTGGAGACCAGAGGCTGAACAGAAATTCAAACGAACTGGATTAGCGGCCAAGAAGCCCTCAATGGACCGTCCTCTCTCGTGGAGCTCCACGACGTCGAAAGATGGGAAGCCACTTCCCAAAAAGGGGCCTGAAACATCGTCTTGCGAGGTCAAGGTGATCGGTCAACAGCCGTCTTTGATCATTGAATCGCTTTCACTATCGCAATCGGCTGTGATGGTTTTGGAGGGCGAGCTCGGATCCTTTCAGATCACACTACGGAACACGTCACCATGTCCTCTCGACTTCATCCTTTTTACATTCCAAGACTCCACGACGAGGCAGATCCAGTCTGCCTTGGGCAATAAAGACCTACTGCCGGTCGAAGTGTATGAGCTCGAGCTCAAGTTGTCAAAGCCAGCTTTGCAATGGCGCCGAGAAGGCGTAAATCCAGGTGATCACACCATACCAGCAGGCCGAAGTGCCACCTTCGCTATTGATATCATTGGGAAAGCCGGCCTACAAGACACCACGGTGCAGATTGATTACTCCTGCGTCGGATCTGCTGATCTTCAGTCACTTCCGGACGTCTTCTACACTCGACAGTTATTTGTACCGCTTACCGTCACAGTAAATGCCAGCGTAGAAGTCGCCCGTTGCGACATACTCCCCTTCAGTGCTGATTTTGCGTGGTGGAATAGCCAAGGCGCCGACCCAAAACCGGGACCGGCTCAGGCTTTGCCTTCGACCGACGACAATTCCTTCTCTCCCGTGCTCTCTCACCTTGTCCAAGGCGCGTATGGCCCTGAACACTGCATCATGCTCCTCGACCTCCGCAATGCTTGGCCGAACCCCCTATCGGTGACGCTAGATGTGAGCGACAATTCTGTGGCAGATGAAACTAACACAAAGGATGACCGATATTCTGTCTCTGGGGAGCTTCAGCCCGGCCAGCTGTCGCGCTTTGTTTTTGTCCTGCCTCGTGTTCACCTCGATAACCCTCATGCTTCGATACCACTTCTTAACACGGGAGTCAAGAGACAATTTGTTGTCAGTGCCAACAAACTTACATTTGAGGGCGAGGCAGCGTCACGCGAAGCGTTTTGGTATAGAGAAGAGCTGCTCAAGAGAGTGAGCGGATCCTGGAAGGAAAGCCCAGCTGGGCGTCAGGGAACGATTGACCTGCGAAACTTGCGCTTCAGCGCACGCATGGTGGACGCCTTCCGGCTCGACGATGTCGACGTGACCTTTTCTTTGCTCCCCTCTTTCGCAGACGACGCATCCGCCGGTGTCACCCAGACTGGACGGTCGAAATATCTCGTCCAGACCGATGAGATGATGAATCTCACTGTCACTGTCCGCAACCGCTCCTCGCGGTCCATTCACCCTCTCCTGCGACTGCAACCGAGTCTTCGCCACCAACCCAGCAACATTGCCCTAGATCTGTCACGACGTCTCGCATGGACCGGTATGTTGCAGCAGGTCTTGCCTATCATCCACAGCGGTGAGAGTACGTCTGCCACGATCGGAGTGACGGTCCTCTGCAGGGGCGAATACGAACTCGGAGCCACCGTGGAGGAAGTCCGTCTTCTAAAAACCTCCACGAACCGGAACTCTCTACTTCCGGTACCACACACCTTCCATGAGGACGACCTGCCGATCAAGGATACATTCGGAGCGGATGTGGCCAAGAAACGACGTATTTGGCATGCCAAGGAGATGTGCATCATGGATGCGCACGCGTGAATTCAACGGAAAGGAATCACGCCTTAATTGACAACGAGTACAGCGGACTCTTTTTTTGTCGGCTTTCTTCGGTTACGATAGTCGTGGCGACGAGGATTCTATGATTCTCATGAATGTTATGATGTACTTGTGAGATACGGGGTAAACGTTGGCGGTCATTCTAAGCAAGATTTTACGATGCAGTCGTCTAGGGGAGTTGTAAATAAGTCGAGTACGAAGATATTTTGTTTCGCGAATATAGATAGAGCTATTTGATCGGATTCTGGTGGTTTGTATATACCCTCGGGACGTCAATGAAATATCCAATCACAATCACTCTTAATCAACCGCGTCGTATACGACCCTAAGCTTCAGATCCTACGATCTGGTCCGGATCGACGCGGGAAGAGCGTATGGCACACGCACTGCTCTGCAAGCACTGCAAAGGTGATGGTGCCATTCAAGGAGCATCTGACCCGGGACTATGAAACGCCGAGGCAAAGAAACCTCAGTGCGTTGAGGATGGATGGCTTCTTTCTCTAAAGACAGTCGTGGCATGCAACTGTCAGCTCAAGTGGCCGCCTCACCATCTTCTCTTTCGTGGAGATGAGGCGCAGAGGGTCTGTCCTTCGCAGGCGAAGGGCCTGGCTGCTCTCCCTGAGGGAAACTGAGGTATTTCCAGTCTTCGATCTCCTCGATGATACATTTCAGCCGATCCCGGATGCTCTCGACGGCGTACGTTCCCAGGATAAGGCGCAGGGGAGGATAGGAACAATGGCCCAGCTGCCAGACCAGGTTGGCCGCTTTGACGGCACTGGCGGGCTGCTTATCGCCGAGCCACATCAGCATGCGTTTCGCATGCGCTGCAGGGGAAGTTGGCGTGTCGTATGGCTCACTCGGCGGCTTGACGAGGAAATGGCCGTACAACGGCAGGGGCGATGCCAGATCGTGGTCGGGATTACTGGCCGTCAACGCCGCAATGGGGTCGTCCGACGCCACGAGGTCCCCAACGTCGTCGCGACGCATGTGGCCCGGTTCCACGAGCGTCGTCTTGATGTTAAAACTGTCCACTTCGTAAAGCATGCTCTCCATGAGCCCCTCGACCGCGTATTTCGAGGCGCAGTACGGGCCTAGCCCCGGTACTCCCAGGGCGCCCGATGTCGAGCTGAAGATCAGATAGCGACCGGCCCGTCGCTCGCGGAAATGCGGTAGGGAAAGCTGAATCATATTCAGCGTGCCGGTGAAATTCGTCTCGAATTGGTCGCGGATGTCGTACTCGTCCTGGTCTTCGCATGCGCCGATAACCCCGTATCCGGCGCAGTTCGCGATGATGTCAATGCGACCAAATCGTTCGATGGTGCGCTCAATGACGCGCCGCACGGTCTCGCGAGCGCGCACATCACATAGGAGGCCCAGGCAGTTTTCATGCTCCTCCTCCAGCTTCTTCATGCGCTCAGGGCTATCCTCGAAGGTGCGCCCCACCGCCGCGACAAAATCATCCCGGGACAAAGCGGTCTTGACTAGCGAGCGACCCATGTGACCGGTAGCGCCGAAGATCTATCCAAAAGAGAGTAGCGAGTCAGGAGCCCGTCTTAAGGGACTGGGGATGGTGTCATCATACCAACCACACAAGCGGCTTTGGCGGATTTTGGGGACCTGGGGGGTCAGTAGTCGAAGGAAGACGGAGCTTTGGCTCTCGCATCCCGGAGCCCGAAGGCGACGAGGCGTTGGGCTCCATCTCAATTGAATCTGATAGTAGCTGCAGGTGCAAGACCGATGGATCCGGAGTTGAGGTTGACCGCGGAATCTCCACACTGAGAGAATCCGGGGGTCTCACCGCCGAGGATTATATAATTCTGAGAATAACAAGCCAGTCAACTATACGAATTTCGACTCCGTTACATTTGTGATGTGACATCTGGTCGATGTCATTGCGGTATTGCATATTATGGAAGCTGAAAATACTAGGCATCGAACTACTACTCATATATTTACCGGTCCACCTCCCTCCGAAGCCGTCCAGCGGCCGTCGAGGGACCAGGCTCCGGCCATCCGCTCACAGCGTCGTCGACTTCCTCCAGGAAACTCGTGCTGTTGTGGATGGTCGTACCTCCGAGGACTACTCGCACCCCTGGCGAGCTGGCGTTGACCTGGGCTACCATCTTGGCCTCCTCATACGTCGCTCCGCCAACCATGAATATAATGATGTCCTGGGGCTTGTCGCGGATGTGGCCTCCGCCCTCGAGGAAAGGATACTGCAGCTCTTTCAATCGACCCTTGATGAGATTCTGTAGCGTCGCCTCCAGTCGGGGGGAGTGTTGCGTGTAGACATTCTCGACTCCCTTGAGTCCCTTAAAACGATCCCGAGCCCCGGAAAAGAAAGAAGTCGATTCAAATAGATCCGAGAAGCCGCCGGCGACCGGAGGTGCTTGTAGGGAGTGATGATAAGCAAGCAGTTTCGGGATTATGTTCACCTTGTAGGAGGGTACGTTGCCCGCCGTGATCATCAAGTCAAGCAGGATGGGGAGGGCGTTGTTCGGTTGTTTCTCATATCGGATGGCGTACAGAGCCACCAAGCGCAATTTGTTCTCGGCGGGTACGTTAGGAAGTTGTATAATCCTTTGTAGGTTCTGCGAGGGTGAGTCAAGCTATCTGAACATAAAAAGGCATCCAACTTACCTTCAGATCATTGGCGTGGTTCTCATTGCAAGCCAGGCTCTGCTCCAACTCGCTTGCATCCAGCAGATCATCCTCGCCGACTCGCCGACTGAGCTCCCCAACAAGAGTGACGTGCTTGCTCACATTGCCCGAGAGCTTGCGGAATTCAGGATAATCCTCCACAAAGCGCTTCATATCCGCAATCGACTCGATGTTCATAGTGTTCTGGGTCTTCACCTGGTACTGTTCGACATACTCTTTGATGTTTTGGCCCAGATCGCCAAAGTTCTGATACATGTTCTTCTTGAAAAACGGGTCCTGATCTTGCGAAAGAACAATTTCCCGCAGCTCGGGCCGGATTTCTGGCACGTCTCGCAAGTCCACCCGCCCGTTGTGAATACCCATTAATTCATGGACCATGGCCTGGTACGTCCACTGGGTAAGCAACGGGGTGATAGGATCATCCCGACGGTCGAGAATTAGCAAAATCGGCGGCGTATCGGTCTTGCGAAAGTTGAATAGTTGTTCTTCTTGGGTCAATTGATAGCGGACCTCGGTCGCTAATTTCTTGGCTAGAAGACTGTTTTTCTCGAAGCGAATCAGCGGATTCTTCTTGAGAGATAACAGCATAGCAATCACCCCCTCTGTGGCTCGTTGCAGTGCATCCGCATTCCACAGATCTGGCGAGTGGCTCCATAGTCGCTGCTGCGGGAAACCTAGGTTGAGAGAACACAGGTCCGGATTAATGACGAGGAAATCGGCGAAATGCTCTTGAACAACGCGAACAACCTCGTGGCTGTCTGCTTCCGCCAGTCGTTCCAGCGAGGATTTGCGGATGATGTTACTAAGGTAGATGTAGTATTCGCCGTACTTTGGCTCGCGCAGTTCATCGATGAGGAATTGGATGGAGGTCGGAGAGGGCCGTACAAAGCAGAGACATCGTAAATGTCGCATTCGCTCTCGCGCTGCGTTGTCCAGGCGATCGATTAAGTACACGTCATGGTTTAGGAGGGCAGATTGGGTGATGGCTGTCGATACAATCGGTACCTTTTCAAAGCGCATGTTAGCCAATTGGGATCATCCCGCTAAAATTTTAGAAGCGCGGTCTCCCACTGTCTCACTGTCCAGAAGCAAGATCTTCATCTTGGTCGACGATGCTGTACCCGACGAGGAGGGATCCCCCGCGGTGACCATCTTGGAGATGTACCCCGAAACCGCCGCGACGACGTCCATTGTGCAGGTTGAACAGCGCCGACAGGGCGCGGGGATAGACGGGCACGAGTTGACGAGAAGGAGCGCGAGTAAATAAAAAGGGGGGGTAAGATTAAGGGGAGCAGTGGAGGAAGGGTGGGCGGAAATGGAGAGTGATGGAGGGCGGCGAGGAACAAGAAGCGGGAACGCCAAGCACGATGACATGTGATGCTTGCAACTTGTTGAGAAATCGCAGATCGCCGCCTTTTTCTCTTCGTCTTGTCTTTCAACCCTCGTCCTCATGTCTCTCGTGACGAGACTCTACATCCCAACTCCTTGACCTCTTTCTTAATTGTCTGTCCTTGCTTTTCTCCTTTTGCTCTCTTTCAACGCCCCGCCCCCGGCTGCACGCCCAGCATGCTGCCATACATCAACCTCCGTGAGTCCCTACAAGCTTCTACAAGCTTCTGAATAGCAATCTCTCGCCCATCACCCAATTTCACTGACACGAAAGTTGAACTGTATAGTCTTTGAATATCCTGCGGCCCTCACTGGAGCTTCCGTGGATGAGTGTATGCTCCCACCAAATTTCTCTCGCAATGACCTCAGACTAATGATTTCATTCTGGCAATAGTGAAGCTCATCGCCTCCTTCCTGCTCTCTTACCCATTGGCAGGACTGCTGAAGAGGATTCCCGACTCCCAGCCCTGGCAGAAAAATGCATTCACTATCGCGGTGTCGTTGTTCTATCTGGTGGGCTTATTTGACCTCTGGGATGGTCTCCGGACGCTATCGTACAGCGCGGCCGGTGTATATGCCATTACCTACTACATTGACGGGTCGCTGATGCCCTGGATCGGTTTCATCTTCTTGATGGGTCATATGTCCATTAGCCACATCTACCGACAAATTCTGGACGACGGACAGGTGGTTGACATCACGGGTGCTCAGATGGTACTCGTCATGAAGCTTACCTCGTTTTGCTGGAACGTTCATGATGGTCGGTTACCTCAGGACCAACTTTCAGATCCCCAGAAGTACGCCGCCATTACGAAGTTCCCGAGTATTTTGGACTACCTTGGATACGTCTTGTTCTTCCCCTCCCTCTTCGGAGGCCCCTCGTTCGAGTATGTCGACTATCGCCGGTGGATTGACACTACTTTGTTCGATGTGCCGCCCGGAACAGACCCATCCAAGGTGCCTCCGACTCGAAAGAAGCGCAAGATTCCGCGCAGTGGCACTCCTGCGACGAAGAAAGCTCTGATGGGAATAGGGTGGATCTTGGCTTTCCTGCAGCTGGGCTCCGTGTATAACCAGGAAGTGGTTCTTGGGCGGCAGTTCTTAGAATACAACTTTATCCGGAGGGTCTGGATTTTGCACATGCTGGGTTTTACGGCCCGACTCAAGTACTACGGAGTGTGGTCCCTAACGGAGGGAGCCTGCATCCTGTCGGGGATGGGATACAACGGCTTTGACCCAAAGACAGGCAAGGTTTTCTGGAATCGTTTAGAGAACATTGATCCATGGGCCCTTGAAACCGCCCAAAACTCGCATGGCTATCTGGGGAGCTGGAACAAGAACACCAACCACTGGCTTCGAAACTATGTCTATCTGCGAGTGACGCCGAAGGGTAAAAAGCCAGGCTTCCGTGCTAGCCTGGCCACCTTCGCGACCAGCGCCTTCTGGCATGGGTTCTATCCCGGGTACTACCTTACCTTTGTTCTGGGATCATTCATACAAACTGGAGCCAAGAGTATGTCACCTTCCCCTTTCCCTTTACAGACCTCCCCACTGACCTTCTGCAAGACTTCCGCCGCTATGTTCGACCTTTCTTTCTCTCTCCAGATGGTCAAAAGCCAGGCCCTTATAAGCGGTACTATGATATTCTGAGCTGGCTGGTGACGCAGGTCACGCTTTCGTTCACCGTGATGCCCTTTATCTTCCTCTCCTTCAAGACCTCTATCGATGTCTGGCGGAGTGTGTATTTCTACGGAATCCTAAGCAACGCCGCATCGTTGGCATTCTTCGCTAGCCCCGCCAAGGGCTATCTCATCCGAAAGCTGAAAGTCCGTAATAAGCCTCAGATGACGCGCACTTCCAGCACAGAAAGCATGCATCAGCCTACCCTGGGACTCCCAAGCGATGCGATACAAGAATTCGACGATGCTGTCCAAGAGATTCGGTCTGAGATCGAGGCCAGGCGGCGGCGTGGAAGTACCGTCAACATGCCCATTGGCGAAGAGTTGAAGGCTGCAGTGGAAAGTAAGATTGGTCGAAAGTTTTAATAAAGGGGTTGGGAACGCCTGAACAAGAATAGATGGAAGAATGAGGGAGACAGCTGGACCTGGTGTTCATCGGCTAGTGTTTTTACTGGCATTATGGATGTTTGTCAGCGTAAAACTTCCCAATATTGTTCAGAAACCTTGAGGGTCCCGAAGAGAAGGCGAGTTCTGTCAAGTCACTTCCCTTGAAACACTCGATATATATAGCTGCCCAATAATTGTCAGCAGAGAAACAAGTTTCGCAAACCGAAGTCAAAAGCAAACATATGTATTTTGTATATATAGTGTTTCTGGTACAAGATGGTCCAGATAATGGTTTGATAGATACAACAAGGAAAGGAAAATGACAAAAAAGGAAATAAAAAAATAATAATAATGGCATATATCCATGAAGTGTCGTAGACTTTGATCGTTCAATTGTTCCCCCAAGGATTCGGAATAATCCACATTGGAAATAATCGCGATCAATGAGTGAGATCAATTGTAACCAAAGTCAAGAACAAAAGAAATAATGAAAAAAAAAAAAGCATTATACACATTATGTCGTATCGTCGTGTCGAGTGGTTCTCAAATAATATAACAAGTGGACAAAGAAGTGAAAAGGGGGGGAATAGTAAATCAAGGTATCAAGAGGCGCAGCACGAAAGATAGGGTATAGGCGAAGCGAGCAGAAAAAGAAGACAAAACAGGAGTTGCCTGCAGGGGGTTGGCTTAAAAAACGCTACAGTCTGATTGACTGACGAGTATTTAATTTCAAAAGCCCACTTTTGTGCCGACAACAGCCAGTACAACCTGCAAGGGGTCAGTCAGCTCCAGATACTAGGTTTTAGACTAGGACAAAGGGTGAATACTCACGATGACGATGATGATCACCAGGCCCACGGGATTCATCCATCGGTTTAGGTTCCTCCACCATCGCGCATTTTCATGTCGTCTGCGCTCAATGTCAAGAAGTCGCATCCGAAGGGCTACTTCGAGCTCCGGTTCACCTTGTTCATCCTCTACCATCTCCGGTTTGGGCGGCAAAGGGAGAAAAGCTGCGATAAGCCAAGCTAGAAATCAAGTCAGTCATGAGACATCTTAAGATTACCATTATTTTAAACGGCATACCAAACGGGAAAACGAATCCCACACAGAAGGACCAAACTTGAATGTTCCTTCGCCCAAATAGCGGTTCTGTCCTGGAATCCAGAGAGGGAGCGCCCCAGGCACTACCTCGTTGACGAACTGCGCGTCGATCAGGAAACAGGTGAGGAGACCAGCTATGCCGTAATTGCTGCCGAGAGCTCCCGGGCCGCTCATCCTCTGGGTTCCGGAGCCAGTGACTCCTAGGATCACGCGGGTCTGGTCCCCACTGTACGCTTTGGCGAGTCTCGTTGGTGCGAGTTCTTTGCCGATTGACAGCGGCAGACATTCGCTCAAACGTGGTAAGCTTAGATCGTGCAGAGGATGGACGAGCGCCGTCCGCTAGGGACAGAGAGGAGTTGACGTTCTGGCCGCCATCATGACCATAGTACATCCGGGCCCATGTGGGGAGGAGATTGAAAGACGTAGGCGGTCGCGTAGTGCTCCGAAAGCTACTTTGCCTTGATTCCGAGGAAAGACTGGGGTGGAATCGTGAGTGCTTGGCGCGGGCCGGAAGGTTGGTGACGTTGTCCATATGTTCGTCATTGTCCACATCGTTTACGAGCCATAGCGAAGATGACGTGGGTTTTTGGCGTACAACGGCTGCTGAAGGTCTGGATGGCTCCTGTGCAACTTCCAGTTCGTCGGCTGGTGTAGGCGACCTCGAGTCATACTCAGCGGACCACCGGGACGTAACGGTTGAGAGGTGGGATTTGAAGTGGCCTGATGAATGATCTGCCGTAGTAGGTTCTTGCTGGTTCTGATCTGACAAGTCGGAAATGTTGGTCACATCGACCCTCGAGCTTGAAGACGAGGGCTCGCGAATGGTGGGATACTGGACAAAGACCCCACTGTCCACAATCCCTTGGATTTCGGAGGGCGGGTCACTTCGAGACGAAGTAGCGGATCGAGAATGACTTCTCTCGCGAAGTCGGGCTGAGGATGAACGCACGGACGGCACATACGGATGAGCCGGGTTGGATCGGAAGGAATGAGATCGCGAGCTTGACTGCTCCGAAGAAGAGTGCGCCCACGGGGCGGCCCCCGCATATCGAATCACGGTTCCCAACGAGTTGAGTGAAGATAGCGAGTTGGAGCGCGAGCCAGAGTCGGGATTCGAGGAAGCACCGAGAGGAACGAAGTTTAGACTCGAGCTATCAAGCGCAACGAAGTTGGGGCTGGACGGCGGTCCGATGGGAACAACGTTCGGACTGGAGTTACTCGAAGTTGCATTTTCTGGTTGGGATGTCTGTCGGGACGAGAGATCGGAAGCAACAGTTTTAATGGTCGGGACTGCGGCAGGTATCGTGATCGGCTCCTCGTCTGAGTACGCGGCGACGGATCCCTCATCGAATCGGCGATCGATCGATTTGTGCTGTTCCGGAAGATTCGGCTCCGGGAAAGACGATTTACTAGAGCTGGGATCATCTTCCCATACCTGTGACGGGGTGTTCGCGGCGTCAAAGGTTGACGACAAGTCCCATGGATCACCGATAGATTGATCAATCAGACTGCTGTCACCAACATGGCTAATATCTGTGGACAGGGTGCCGGTAGATTCGTGGGGTGCCTCGTCAAGATGGAATCTAGAATCCGGAATGAATTCATGTCCCTTCCCTGGTCGTGGCAATAGAATGTGCTCCGGTTTGGTCGGATACGGTGTGGCGGTATAGATATCGTCTTCGTCCGATGTATTTGGGCCAGAAACAACGCGCAGAGACTCGGGTGGTGACGTCTCATTCGTCTGAGAAGGCGTTCGCTCATGAAGAGCCCTCCGCCCGGGAGACGAGCTGGCTGAAGGTTCGAATGAGCGCATGATGTTCAAATGAAAACTAGTTCATGGTAAATCAACCCGGCGACAAAGAATATTAGGCAAGGTGGGGATTGAAATGGCCTCGACAGAGGTTGTTTGGGGGTTAAAAAAGAAAGAGAAAAAAATAAATTGGCCCGAGATTAGGTAGAATCGAAATTAGAAGTGATAAACGATCAACGATCAATGGCGGCCTGGGCCAGAGTAGTGGGGAAAGAGAGAAAGAAGGGAAGAATCGAAATAAAAACAGAGAACCGTAAGAAGTATAGTCTATGAAGAAAACGATCAACAACTTTTGTTGTGGTTGTTTTGTTGTTGTGGTCTATAATTCTTGTGATGCAATAAGGAATGCCTCGACACAAACGACGTCAAATGAGCGACAACAACGGTAAATGAGCGTGGATCCGACGGCAGGACAATCGTGAATATTATCTGGGTCAACGAGTCATGCCAACCGACGAAGCAGAACTAGAAAGAGCGATAAGGAAGAAAGAGCGTCAAGCCCGAGATCAAAAAATAGCACCAAAAACACGTTTCTAAAAGAGCGACAAAAGGCAGAACGACTGGAAGCGCAGAATCCAAAATCTGAAACGAACCAGCGTGCAAGCCGGGCCTCGCCGTAATATTTAAGGATATTTAAGCGGCACCGGCATTCCGTTGCTTAGCGGCGGTGTGCGCTGTTGGCCTGGGCTCTGGGGCAGGAACTAAATCCATCCAGGGGGCATGCAGCCTGCACGCTCTAGACTGGTAGAGGGCTATTTGAAACCGGTCGATTGGCGGAGGATGAAAGGGGGGAAGATTATCCTGCAGTTCGTCGCTTATTTCGGGAAGATTTGCCTTCGCTTTTCAGGTGCGAGATAGAGTGAATGGCTACTAAGCCTGCGAGGAGTCTGAAAACCGAAAGTCCCTCGCCATTTTTTATGATCCTGATTAAGGTATGATCTCCAACCTCTAATGACACCGATAGGGATTGCCATCGTCATCAGGGCGAATCGTTCGGTATTATACTCCGCATCGGAGCAACAGACGAAAAAAGCTCATCTCGCTGGATCCGATTCCCCTCCATTTGTGGAGGGTATTGTGATCAAGCGAACATTGGCCAGGGGTTCGATGATCTAGGAAGACTAGAATACACCCCTCCAGGCTACTCCGGAGGTCGTACGGGGTGCTCCGTAATGCTGAGGGAAACTGAGAAACTCAACTCTTCAAGTCCATGATGACCTCCAATGTTCGACCGGCGGTTAAATTGAGCGATTCATAACGAGCGAGGATGCAAGGTCCCTCCCAGGTGCATATGTGATGCGCGTCCGTACTCGGAGCACATGCTCCCTGCAGGCCTGCACGTACTCCGGTGTTGTACGGGAGAAGTACTTTTGTATGTACTCCGTACTGTGTTGGATATTATTCCCATCTAATATCACATTATTGAATTTTTCTGAGGCCTGCCCACTCGTTGGTATCCACGAGGACGCCGGTCGGATTTGTGACCGGCCTCAACGGTGGAGTTCGAGACCTCGAGGGCCGAGGGGAAGACGGAGGAACCTGGCCATGAACCAGAGATCGATCCACTTAGGCATTGTGGCTTGGGAGGGTAAAAGTAGGTCGAGGTTCCAGGACATTTCATTGGCTTTTCCCTCCTTTGCTCCATACACAGCCCAGTAATAACTGGGCAGAAATTCGGGTGACAACTCGAGTTGACCCGTTCAGGATCACCCAATGCTGCCAAGCGCCAACTCAGCAGAAGTGGAGTCTGTCAACTTCCTTTCAAGTGTTTAACGCTCAACTTACCATTGATGCTTGATCCTTGGGATGTACTCCGTAATCTGAAGGGAAAAGGTTATGTGTGCTGCATGTGCATGGTATTATGATCATAAGTGTTTAATCACCTGAGAGGAATATAGAGAGAGACTATTGGGCCAAGTAAAGGCTCCATAGATAAAGGATTTCTAATAATTATGTGTGTACTCCGGTGTAAGATAGCGATTTACTGTACTCCGTGGTACCTGTACATACTAAAGTAGTACGTATGTGCGGAGTGAACTAAGGAAGAACGAGAATGGTGTATGTGATAGATAGACTGGATGGACAGGAGACTGCGGGTCGATGAAAAGGAAGGAACGGAAGGGAAGGAAAGGGAAGGGAAGGAGTCTCGTGACCCATGACTAAGGATTTCCCTTTCAGGTCGTCGCGTCCTTGGTTTTTCATGCCTGTGGGATCAGGCAGCAGCTGCGGTCCGGACTAAACCCTTTTCCTCGTTTTTCTTTGTCGTTGTCTTCATCAATCCAAGAAGATCGTCGTTGGGTTCGCTTTCAACCCTTTCGATGCTTCTCCCTCTTTAGTCCCCGACGACGACCACGAGGCTGGGTCTCATACATCTTTGCATCCCGCGATTCCCTCTCTTCGTTTATCGTACCTGCCCAAAATTCAACAAAAAAAGGGGAAACTATCATTAACCAAACTGCTGTCCATATCATGGCGCCCGTTAATATCATGGCGCGTCTCAAGTCTTTGTACTCGAAACATTACGGTAGGTCTGGAAGCTCGGAAATTATTGTTTGAATCTAACTGTTGGGCTTCAGACGAGCCGGTCATTTCGGTCCAGGCGGCCGCTTGTTTTTCGGTAGGTTTTATTTCCTCTAGCCCTAGCGTGAAGGCATCTATATAAAAATAGTGTCATCGAACTTCCGTCCAGGGGAAATAAAAGGGGTTTCCCTTTCTCGGACCTTTCTTTCGTTCTCCTTTTGTGGATAACAGAGGAGAAAATCGTCATTATCGCTCCTGTCTAATAGCAAAACCCACTAACCAAAGTTTTCTAGATCCTTCTAACCCTGATCTATGTGGTCCCGTTCTATGTTTCTACCACTACTCGGCCATCTCCTACCCTTAGCCGAGATGCCCCATCGGTTATCCGGGCTAGAATCCGGGCTGTGACTTCTTCCTGCGTCATCAGCACCTTGGCCGTTTTCTGGTTGATTATCGCTAAAGACAATGCCCCTGTTTCGGAGGCTCTCAGACTTCTAGGATGGTGGCCCGTCGGCCTCCTGGAAATCGCTCGTTCCCTGGCACTGACGGCCATCCTCTTTACCGGGCCCCTATTCGAACGGGGGATCGCCGAAGGTGAATGGAGGGACTGGATCAGGGGCCGTAGGGTTTCCGAAACACTTCGAGGCTGGATTGGGTGGAGAAACTACGTCGCTGTAAGCTGGTTCCATGGCCCCGGAATCGGTTCTCTTTCCACTAATGGCGAGATCCAGGGTCCGATCACCGAGGAGATCATGTTCCGTTCGGCCATCGTGCCTCTCCATGTACTTGCTAGAGTGTCCCCGGGTCACATCGTTTTCATGGCTCCCCTCTACTTCGGGATTGCCCATGTACATCATTTCTACGAGTTTCGCCTGACTCACCCTGACACCTCGATCATCGCGGCGATGTTTCGGTCTATCTTCCAATTCAGCTACACCACCATCTTTGGTTGGTATGCCACCTTCATTTACCTGCGAACTGGGTCTCTCCCAGCTGCTATTCTCGCCCACACCTTCTGCAACTGGTGTGGCCTTCCACGTTTATGGGGCAGAGTTGAGGCCGTGTTGCCCATCGATCCGCCTCTAGTCAAAGGTAAAGAAAACCCGGACCGGCATATATTATATGAATATACCCAGCTTGGTGTTGGATGGAGCGTCGCGTACTATGCTCTTCTGGTAGGAGGTGCCGTTGGATTCTATTGGGCGCTGTGGCCCTTAACCATCTCAAATAATGCTCTGGTTTCTTTCACCCCTAGGTGATTCATCAGCCAGGCAGAACGAAAATATATTCCTACGCGATAACCCTCTCATCTTGCTGAATATATACGGCATACTATTCAATCTCCTCGGCAATATCGGCGCGCCTTGTTAATTTGTGAATTGGGGAAACGGACAGGCAGAGACGTTGATTGTTGGCTTTGATGCGGAGAAAGTAATGATAATGAGATATAATATGTACAAATTTATCTGACTAATATAAGAAATAATTGACCATCGTCAACATGTTGCACCTGAACAGCTAACTGCATTGGCCAACTTGGAACCAACTTAATTATCTATACTCTGTGCAGAAGGTAAAATGTAAACATCCTACCCAAAATGCGCTGGGCGACCAAACCACCAAACTCCGTTATCTCCGACGCCGCCTCGGAGACTCGGACTTCCTTCCTCGCCTACATATCGATAACTACATGCGCGTGCTTCTAGAAGTCGACCCCGTTGTTTCCATTGAGGATTCTACTAACGAACGAATCCACTTTCTACTTTTCTTAGAGACTGAAAAAGCGCGGAGTTTTGTGACTCATGATGGTGCGCTCGATACACTGCTGTTTGCCCAAACTCGGGCGCAGCAGAACATCGCTAACATTCCGCTTTCTCTCAACCACCGCATACCAGTCAGCGCCGCGACGAATCCCTCTGGATATACCTCCTCCGTTTCCCGTGACAAAATCTTGCCCCGAATCGACATGCGCATGTCCTCCGACGCCGTCGATGCCCGAAGGGCTACCGATTGACCATAATCAGCCATTGAATGGAACAATGGCGGCCTACGCACAACAGATCCTAATCTGTACCGGTCAAAGAGATTGGACAAGTCGCATTGAAGATGATGGGAAGAATCAAGGCTGGGGAGAACTTGCGAGGGGTCTGAAACGTCTGATGGGCCGTGGAGGGCGTTATGCCGACGTGAGTAGCCCGCATGCAAACGTTGACGCAAGACTGACGGTTTCAAGCCATTTAACAACATCTTGGTTAGCAATTCGTCCTTTCCTGCAGCTTCAGCATCGGATGGTACTTTGTCCTCTGCGTCAGCCTTTCTGTTCCCTTCTTTCAAGTATTTCCCATCCATTCCCGTCAACGTGGCGGAACCGCCCGATGCAGAGACCGACCTTTCGACCTTTGTTCGGGCCTTCCTCCTTCCTCAAAAACTCAGTGCGATGGCGGACTCTCTTCCGGAATCCCGGCGGGCGAAGTTAACTCGCAAGCCTGAATTAGCATCGGAGTTCTCGGGTGCTGTCGAACTTCAGAAATCCCCCGTGGTCTTGATTTGCGGCCACGGCGGCCGTGATATGCGATGTGGCATCATGGCGCCAATCCTTCAAGAAGAGTTCCGCCGAGTCTTGCTGGCCAAAGGGTTCACGTCGGTAACTAGTGACAGCCACGTAATCGACAGCCCCCAGCACGCCCACATTGGACTTATCAGCCATATCGGCGGGCACAAATACGCTGGAAATGTGATTGTGTATATTCCGCCTGGAATGTTGCTCGAAGGTTCTTCGATGCCGCACCCGCTGGCGGGTATGGGCATCTGGTATGGGCGTATCGAACCCAAGCATGCGCAGGGGGTGGTGGAAGAGACCATCTTAGGTGGCAAGGTGGTGGGAGACCATTTCCGTGGTGGAATTGATCGAAATGGGAGTATTTTGAGACTATAGAAAGGACTGATGGGATTTGGTAGATAGATTTTCTCACTTAGAGAACCTGTGTACTATACATTTTCCTGGTATATCATCATGAATCACTGGCCATACCAGGCGCGGAATTCTCGGAGAATAGATTGTGATATATATATTTTCAGTCCTCATATACTAATAGATGAATCACTAAACATGAGAAGTCTTTGCACCTACAAAAAGGCCTTGTTTCCCGACAGCACCACTTGCTCAATAACAAGCAATTACCAAGCTTTCTGAAGTGTCTCTCCACCTGCCAGGTTCATATCGTGTAGCTATTATTTCGTACTTCGATGCCGATGGACTGGTCAAAGTGCGCTAATCCGCATTGGGACTAAAGGCCGTATGACCTCAACCGGCAATTTAATGTTGATTGAAAATCGACCGCGTCAACCTTGCAAGTAGAGCACGCCACTCTTTGTATCCGACGACACGATGATTTAACTGCCGAAATGCAATCCCTTATTCGCCTCCAATCAAGTTCGACTCGGGCGCTTCTTGCGCCAGCACGACGGAGATGCGGTTATCGTCCTTCCCCGTTCCATGCCTTTGCTCGGTTTGCGACGACAAAGCCCCCCGGCCCTACCTCCGGAAAACTCGACCTCCTAGCGATCGATAGAAAATGGCAGGCACAATGGCAATCGGAGGGACAACATTCTACTGGCCGAACGGACGCGACCGACGACCGACCAAAGTCATACATTCTGTCCATGTTCCCGTACCCATCCGGCACGCTACACATGGGTCACTTGCGAGTGTACACGATCTCGGATGTGCTGGCGCGCTTTTACCGAATGCGCGGCTATGATGTCCTACATCCGATGGGCTGGGATGCTTTTGGACTCCCGGCGGAGAATGCGGCCATTGAGCGAGGAATTGATCCGGCGGAATGGACCAAGGACAATATATCTAAGATGAAGGAACAGCTTCGAAGCATTTCGACGTCTTTCAATTGGGATAGGGTATGGTCCGCGTATTTGGTCAGGTCTGGTCCGCTAACATTTGTAGGAACTGGCAACCTGTGCGCCGGAGTTCTACGAGCATACGCAGCGGATATTCCTCATGCTCTACAAAAATGACCTTGCATATCAATCGGAAGCACTCGTTAACTATGACCCGGTTGATAAGACAGTGCTGGCGAACGAACAAGTAGACGCCAATGGCTTCTCATGGCGTTCTGGCGCAAAGGTCGAGCAGCTGAACCTGAAACAGTGGTTTTTCCGCATCACTGCGTTTAAAGAAGCTCTTCTGAAAGACCTAGACTCTCTGGCGGGCGGATGGCCGGAGCGTGTCCTCTCAATGCAGCGCAACTGGCTGGGCAAATCGCATGGAGCAAGGGTCACCTTCCCGGTGGCGAGTGCTGGGACGGAAGTGAACGTTTTTACCACACGACCCGACACACTCTACGGGGTTGAATATCTTGCCCTTTCTTTGAATCATCCTATCGTCCAAGCCTCAGCGGAGAAGGACGCAGAATTACAACAGTTCCTAGAGAAAGCCGAATCGTTGCCGCCGGACTCGAAAGCTGGCTACAAGCTGACCAACGTCACTGCTTCTCATCCGCTGCACATTATCGACCAGGAGTGTCCTCATATTGCCCGTGAACTGCCCATCTTTGTGGCGCCCTACGTCCTCGGCGACTACGGTGAAGGTGCCGTGATGGGAGTTCCGGGTCATGATGCCAGGGATTTGGCGTTCTTCAAGGAGAATGAGAACCCCGAATATATTCCGATTGTTATCGGACCAGAGCGCTCGGTTGGAACCGACCGTGCACCGGAAGAAAACGTCGCGTCTGCGAGTGACGCAAAGGCTTTCACTCAAGAAGGTTATCTTACGTCGAGATGTGGCAAGTACCATGGCCTTCATTCCCGTGAAGCCGGGGAACAGATCGTCAAAGATCTTCAAAGTGTCGCTCACGGCGAGGCCGTGGAACAGTGGAGGCTGAGAGACTGGCTCATTAGTAGGCAGCGTTATTGGGGCGCACCGATCCCAATCATCCACTGCGGCAAGTGCGGGCCTGTTCCCGTACCGGATGACCAACTTCCTGTTCAATTGCCCAAAATAGGCGGAGAATGGTTGAAGGGGAAGAGGGGCAACCCTCTCGAATCGTCTGATGAGTGGGTACATACCGAATGCCCAAGCTGCAATGGTCCTGCAAAGCGTGATACCGACACTATGGATACCTTTGTCGACTCCTCATGGTATTATCTTCGATTTCTGGATTCGGCCAATAAGGAAAAACCGTTTTCGCCTTCAACCGTGCGACCGGTGGATGTGTATATTGGGGGAGTAGAGCACGCCATCCTGCACCTCCTCTACGCTCGCTTTATCTACAAATTCCTCTCCCAATCCGAATTGTTTCCGGAGCTGGCCCGGAAGGGCAACCTTGCCGCACCCTTTGAACCTTTCAAAACACTTCTTTCCCAAGGTATGGTGCATGGCAAGACATATTCAGAGCCTACCACCGGCCGATTTCTACTTCCTTCCGAGGTAGACCTCTCAAGCCCGGACAAGCCGGTTATCAAGGGCACACAAATCCAGCCCAATGTATCTTTCGAGAAAATGTCGAAGAGCAAGCACAATGGTGTCGATCCGACTTCATGTGTCCTGAAATATGGCGCGGACGCCACCCGCGCCCATGTACTGTTCTCTGCGCCGGTCAGCGAGGTCCTCGAGTGGGACGAAACGAAGATCGTGGGCATAGAGCGGTGGTTTGGTCGACTGTGGAAGGTCGTGCAGGATACGCAGCAAAGTCTGATTTCGTCGGGATATGCTGTGAACCCAGTCAACCCTGACCCCCTTCCCGACCGCTTGCAGGGTCTCAGCGATAGTGACGCAAACGCTGTGCTTTCTACCCATCGGACTATTGTCTCCGTCACCAACTGCGTCGAAAACAACCCCTACGGACTGAACACCGTCATTTCCGATCTGACGAAGCTCACAAACTCACTGGTGTCGTCGACGCCCACCTCGCCCCAAATCTCCTATTTGTGTACATCCTCTCTTCTCCGTCTTTTGGCACCTGTTGCCCCGGCGCTGGCGTCCGAATGCTGGGAAATTCTTCACCGCGACTCGACGGGGTCACATGCCGAGAGTGACGGCGGCCGAGCTCACGTGCCTGCGGTGTTCGACGCTGGATGGCCAACGCCGCCCTTGAGCTCTCAGCAGGCCGATGCGCTGTCAGCACGCGGGGGTCAAGTCGTGGCGGTCCAAATCAACGGGAAGATGCGGTTCACAGTCACAATTCCCCGACGGTTGTCGCCCACCACGGTCGCCGAACCAAGCGGTAAGGCTGGAGTCGCAACTGACGAACAGGACTGGATTATGTCGCGAATCCTCGAGACCGACGAAGGGCGTGTCTGGCTGCGGGAGAGAAACGACTGGGAGAAACGAAGGCGGGTGATCGTCGTCCAGGGCGGGAAGTTGGTGAACATCGTCTTCTAGTCCCGGCGCGTGAATTGTCGCATGAGTGTCGCATCGCATGTACAACCATCTCAATTCCGTAATTATAGAATAAATGTATTATAGATCTCGTATGGTTTTTTTTTTTATGCAACCGCGATGGTCGCGACCTCGTCCGACGTGCATTGAATTCATCCGAATCATTGCGATCGCTTGAGGGGCAAGGCCGTGCCCCAAATGAAATCTAGGATCCCAAAATCTAGGATCCCTCCTCATTCTCATCTGACCTGTCCAACTCCGAGGAAATTACCTTCCCAGATAATTTGGGGATCAATTGGAGGCGTTCGATGGCTCGCATGATGTGGTAGCATGGGGAAAACAAGGTGGGGGGAAAGAATTTCCCCTCATGGGCGACCGGACCTTGGTGGCTAGCGTGAGACCGCGACGACGTCCTGTAACATGCCGATTCACAAATGAGGGCGAACGAGGGGGGAAGAGAAAGGGAAGAGAGGGCGAAGAAGCGGGTCTTGGATCGATTCTCTGTGTTCGGTGGAATCACGGCTGAAAGTCGGATCACCGACCAACCCCCCCCATGTATGCCTGGACGTTCAACGCCAGTGACCGGTTCGGGTGGATGCTTTTATGGAAATCCATGATATCGGCCCCATCGCTGGATCAAGCTTAACGTCAGTGCCGAGTTTAGCTCTCAATGAGGGGAAACATTGAACAACGGCTTGGGGATGGGCCCAAACTAGATAGCAAACTGCATGGCACCACTCGCGAGGATACAGACCCGAGATCGGCTGTTGCGGCGAGGCAACTGCTTGTCGGAGGAGCATCCGCGATGCCAGGCCAATATTATTGTTAGACTCAAAGTGGGTTCTCGATCGCCTTGATGATCCCCTCATTCCCCGCACGAGGGGTAATCAGCCCAGTCCAAGTACAGATGGCTAGGTACTGCAACTGCGTCTAACGGAATTTAGGTAAAAAAAACCCTCGGCATGGGAGCCGGCCTTGCGTGGGAGTAACTCAAGGGAGGTGGATATCTTTGGAAAGCCAGATGGTTCCCTCAGATGGTAAAAATAAGAACCAACACTCCCTGTGTAGTGTGTACTCTGGTCTCTCCCCGCACTTGTCTACATACGTAAAGACCTGCCCCGCACTAGTGGCGTTAGTCAGCGCCATCTAGAATGCGTCTGTATGAGGGAACTTTCTCCTATGTTGTCTATTGTTGTAGATAGCAAGGTAAGGTACCTACATAGTAAGTAGTCAGTAGACAGTACTACCGATCAAGACTAGTGCATTGACAGGTGGAAAGGCAGGAAGGGGGACTCAATTCCCCAAAGCCGCACCTTCCGAGTCCCGCGTGCGGAGAGCTGCTTGCTCTCCTCTCCTCCTCCTCTCCTCCTCATCCACTCTCCTTCGTCCCCTCCTCCCCTTCCCACCTTCCCAGTATTCCCGCCCCTAAGCGGTGATACGAACTCGTAGTGGCGTCCAGTATCCAATGGTGGACCCTCCGATGTCCCAGAGTAGTGACCCAGTATCCCATCCGATGGATGAACGGAAAGTAAACGAAGTGCCCCGCGGAGTTGGCCTATTTATTGGGCGGATTGCCCGGCGGTTGGAGGCTTTCTTTCTCATCGACATCAACATCAGTTTCATCTTCTACCAAGAGTCTCCTGCATTCCGCATCCGGTAAGAAACTCCTGCCTGCTGTTCTCCACAGCATTACATCTGCCTCTCCCCCGCTCGGTGTCAAGCTTTCACCTCTTCTCCAATTAACGTCGCCAATTGGCATTCGACGCAATCCATTCATCCCCCCGGTACCGTCAGGTTTAAATAGCATGCTAATCCTCTTGTCAAGTGCTCAATCCTCGACTTCTCATCTCTCGCAATCAATTCAATCTCTCTCTACTTCCACTTAAACACTCAAAATGGTATTTATGCGCTCTTTTTCCCGCCAACTACGGCGGCCTGCCACCTCGCTCCTGTCCGCCAAAGGCTCATCCCTGAGGCCGACTGGAAGTCCTTTCCAGGCGCTCCCCGGGGTCAATTCTGTTGCTGGTGCACGAACGCTAACCGCCTCTGCGAGCTTACAGGGTAAAGTTCTTATGGTCCTTTATGACGTAAGTCCCCAGTCATAGACTTCTTTCCGTCCTCGACCCGCCTTCCCTGATTAACGTTATCTTTAGGGCGGTGAACACGCCAAACAGCAGCCTGGTTTGCTGGGAACCACCGAGAATGAGCTTGGTCTGAGGAAGTGGCTGGAGGACCAGGGCCACACCTTGGTCACCACTTCCGACAAGGAGGGCGAGAACTCGACCTTCGACAAGGAGCTGGTCGACGCCGAAGTCATCATCACCACTCCCTTCCACCCCGGTTACCTGACCGCTGAGCGTCTGGCTAAGGCCAAGAACCTGAAGATTGCCGTCACTGCCGGTGTTGGCTCCGACCATGTCGACCTGAACGCTGCCAACAAGACCAACGGCGGTATCACCGTTGCCGAGGTCACCGGCTGCAACGTCGTCTCCGTTGCGGAGCACGTTGTCATGACCATCCTCACTCTGGTCCGCAACTTCGTTCCCGCCCACGAGCAGATCGCCCGCGGCGAGTGGGACGTTGCTGCCGTTGCCAAGAACGAGTATGACCTGGAGAACAAGGTTGTCGGAACCGTCGCCGTCGGCCGCATTGGCGAGCGTGTCCTGCGTCGTCTGAAGCCCTTCGACTGCAAGGAGCTGCTCTACTACGACTACCAGCCCCTGAGCCCCGAGGTCGAGAAGGAGATCGGCTGTCGCCGTGTCGATGACCTCGAGGAGATGCTCGCTCAGTGTGACATTGTCACCATCAACTGCCCCTTGCACGAGAAGACCCGTGGTTTGTTCAACAAGGACCTCATCTCCAAGATGAAGAAGGGTAAATTGAATCCCCTCCCCAAACTTCCTATATTGCAGAACTAACTTCATCCAGGCTCTTGGCTCATCAACACCGCTCGTGGTGCCATTGTCGTCAAGGAGGACGTTGCCGATGCCGTCAAGTCCGGTCACTTGCGCGGCTACGGAGGTGACGTCTGGTTCCCCCAGCCCGCTCCTCAGGACCACCCTCTCCGCTACGCCCAGCACCCGTGGGGCGGCGGCAACGCCATGGTGCCTCACATGTCCGGTACCTCGATCGACGCCCAGATCCGTTACGCCAACGGTACCAAGGCCATCCTCGAGAGCTACTTCACCGGTCGTCACGACTACAGACTCGAGGACCTCATCGTCAAGGACGGTGACTACGTCACCAAGGCTTACGGCCAGCGCAACAAGGCTTAGGCTTTTCGGTCGGACACGATTGAATGATGTTTTTACTTTCTTTTTTGGCGCTTGTTTCATTGTCTGGGGACCATTTCAAAGGGAAAAGGCATTCCACAGTTGATCATTTATGATACCTGACAAATTTACGAATTTACAAATAAAAGATTTCTGTTATTCATCTGATATTTTGAATATGTTGTCGTAGTTGGTTTGGTTGCTGTTCATCCCCCCTATCTAAAACTGGAGGGGTATGATGCCTACCTGGTCATGGAGACGACTCTATAACCGCTGGAATGGTATATAGCATGAAGGCAACGTATACCACTCTAAATGTAAACCCTCTGTATTCCGGTACGGCGAGAAGCCTAGAATGAGTAGTCTTGCATAGGACCTTCAATGAATGAGTGAAGCTGTGATTCGAAATTTGTCATCAGGGGTACCTAAATTAGTTACGGTTTATGCGCTCGATTACTTCAGGACCAATACGTCATTAAATCGAAACCCCCCTACGGAGTACATCATGCTAGAAGCACTTCTCTTGCTCCGAAGCTAAGCTTCAGTCCGAAAGTATAATATGAACATGTAAGACGAAAGAGAAGACCGAAAGTGCCGTTTGTCTATTTTGACCCATATACCGAACCAAAAAAAAAGAATAAAACAAAACCACGGATTATATATACATAAGGGCTTAGGATGATTGGAACGCCGTCTCAGCGGCGGTTGCCGGGACTCTCGTCCTCGTCGCTGTCGTCCATGAAACCCTGCTCGAGCTCCCGACTGAGTCGGTTCTCTGGCTCGGCAGCCGTACTCCGTCGTCGTTCCAGCGCCTCCCTCCGCGTGGGATCCATGCCCATGCCGACCATCAATTCTCCTTCCTCGTCTAGTATGCTGATGTTATCGTTGTGGTCGTCGAAGTGGGCCTGCTGTCGCCAGGATGCCGGCAGGAAGAACCGCATCAAGGCATCGGCGATGCGATCCCGGAGCGTTGAGGTATGCGCCGAAATCGCATGTAGAGGAAGATATTGTGAATATCGTTGCTGATAGCGGCGGAAGAACGGGATGATCACAAATGATAGGAGAAGATAGAGTGACAGGGAGATGACGGCGGGGATGACAATGGTCTGGAGAAAAGCGCGGCAAAAGTTAACATGTGCCTGAGAATGAATATATCTGATCTCTACTGTACCTTGGCAAAACCGGACGCAGAGCCCATGCTGACTGACTTGTGGAGGACCCTCACTCCACGTTGGGAATGTCAACCCGTTTGATACTTTGCGACTCCAACCCTCGCTTTCAGACTATTAGGAAAGCTTCAAGAGATAATCTAGAATGAGGCAAGGAAGCCAGGAAGAATGTCCGAGTTCAAGAGGGGTTGCGGCGGACAAGATGAATTGGGGAAGGTGGAAGGAGATGAAGCCGCAGTGGCTCAGCCAGTCCGTGGTAGTACAAGATCTGGCAGGCAGACGTCTAATGCTGCGCCACGTGATCCCCACCATGCCGCCGACTCTCTCATTTTCAGGGGAGGAAGTTGATCAGCATTTCGGAGGGAAGTGAAATTATAACACCTGGAGGACGAGCAACTGTCTCCTTTTGCGCCCACTGCTTAACTGGCCGCTTCGATCGGAGACCGGCCACGTGATGCAAGGGCCGCGGCGATTGCGGTCACGTGCGGGACCGGCGTTCTAGAGCCGCCCGCCTTGTCGCCCCCTAAACTATTATTATTGCGATTATTGAATGGCCGTGCTTCTGAAGCGACACCAGGCTCGGCCTTCTGGAAATCGATACCGATCGTTGGGTCATCCGCGATCTGCCTGTACTGTGCGTATTGCCCTTTCCATTCTCTCTTGTTTCTTTGTCTATTTCTCCGGTGTTGGATCGGGGTGAGAGGCTGAAGAGACCAAAAACTCCCCCCTCCGCCCTCACGCCGCTCCGCAGCGGGTATTCACTAGTGCTGTTGGCCACGAGTGTCGAGGACAACAGATCGTGTGAATCGGTGGGAGAATTCCATCGCTGTGATTTGACGGGAGTGCGAATCAAGCAAACCATACAACCCGGGGGAGCTGACCATTTTCTGGAAATAGAACCTGACTGGCGACAAACAAAAGAGCTTGGGGTGGACAACGCTCATGCTTGCGTCCTGCATCCCCCCCCAGCGACGCCCGTCAAGATGCCAACCACCACGCCCGCACCTGACAAATCGAGACAAACCTCGGCTGGCAAATCGTTTTTCGGAAGGAAGCTGCATAAGGAACGACCGGTTGATGACAGTCACAATGGAGGATATGACAGTCTCGCGCCTCCCGGGAATTCGGCCGGTTCTCGTTCGTCCCGACACTCGAAACGGTCTTCTGTCCAGTCGGTCGATTACCCTTACGACATCGACCCGGCCGGGCTCTCAATGACAGCCGGGGTCATCACTTCCATTCCATTTGAGAGTTTACCCGCAGATACCAAGTCGCCAATCCCGGTCGACTATCTCTCCAAAGCTGAGACGTCGCCACGAAAAGAGCCGTCACCACACCATCTCGCGAAAGGAGGGGGCGACTTTCACCAGTACCCAGCTTGGAATCCATCGGCCGTCCGAGACACCAATAGCTATTCACACCCCACCGGGCCCCGCCCACCACCGCATGGTTCGAACGTGACGATGTCTGGGAGTGCGACGGGAGACCGAGGGACACGGTATCAACAGTGGGGAGCACGGCCGGGAAGCTCTTCTACGAACGTCGGACTCAGCCACAATTCATCGTTGTCGACAGTAGATTCTTCCTCGAATTCACGCATGTCTCTGGACCAAGCCAGCATCCATTCATCACTCTCCTCGAACACAAGAGGCTCGAGCTATCTCTCGTCGGATGGATCTTCCCGCACGCTTACAACCTCGCATTCCGCGGACCGCAACACTTACTTTCCCAACGGGAACACCAGCAACAATCGACTATCCAATGCACATATGGCCTGGCAGTCCGCCCAACCGCCGCCGGCAGCCCAGCCGAGACCGAACAACCCTGAACAGTACTTGACTCGACCGAGAGATGACCGCGTGGTCGACCAGCTTTTCCTGGAGTTGATGCAGAAGCGCGGATGGCAAAACCTCCCCGAGCAAGCCAAACGGCAAATGCTCTCATATCCCGCTTCGAAGAAATGGACCTTGGTCCATCAAGATCGGCTCACGGAACTGCAGGGAGAGCAGAAACGTCGACAGAACGCTCGCCAGACGCATGGTCACGATGGCCCGTCTGGAATCCTGGAGCGAGCCGATGAAGAAGGGAGTCCGGAGTGGTACGTGAAGAAAGTCATGGACGACTCGATCACGTCGAAACAGCTGGCCAGTTTGAGTGTCAGTCTTCGAACGCAACCAATCAGCTGGGTGAAAGCTTTTGTCGAGTCCCAAGGACAGATAGCGTTGACGAATGTGCTTGCCAAAATCAATCGTCGGAAGGCCTCGGGCCCTGTCCCGGCCCCGCCAACAGGAGACAAGGATCTGGATCGAGAATACGATATCGTGAAATGTCTCAAGGCCCTGATGAACAACAAGTACGGTGCAGATGATGCATTGTCGCACCAGCAGGTGATTGTGGCTCTCGTGAGCTCGCTATTGTCTCCTCGATTGAACACGAGGAAGCTGGTCAGCGAAGTGTTGACCTTCCTCTGTCACTGGGCTGAAGGGCACGGCCACCAGAAAGTTCTCCAGGCCATGGATCATGTCAAGAATCACCATGGCGAAACGGGTCGATTCGACGCGTGGATGCGCATTGTCGAGGTCACGATCGACGGACGCGGCAAGATGGGCAGCTTGGTCGGCGCCAGCGAGGAGTACCGAAGTGGTGGAATCGGAATGGAGAACCTTCTGATGGAGTATGCGGTCTCGACGATGCTCCTGATCAATATGCTGGTTGATGCGCAGGAGCATGACGTGCAATTGCGGTGTCACATCCGGGCGCAATTTATCTCGTGTGGCATCAAGCGTCTCCTGACTAAGATGGAGGGTTTCCAATATGAAGTCATCGATAAGCAGATTGAACGTTTCCGTGAGAATGAGGCGATCGATTACGAAGATCTTCTCCAGCGAGAGGGCAGCAGCATGAAGGATAGTATCGAGGGTGAGGTGAAGGACATGAGCGATCCGTTGCAGATCACCGACGCCATCGCATCGAAGATCAACGGCACTCGGGCGCATGACTACTTCCTCTCTGCCATGCAACATATGCTCCTGATCCGAGAGAATTCTGGTGAAGATGGCCTCCGGATGTACCAATTGGTGGACGCAATGCTCAGCTACGTCGCCATGGACCGCAGGCTGCCCGACCTGGATTTTCGGCAAGGGTTGACGTTTACCGTGCAAAGCCTTCTGGACCGGCTGCACACAGATGCCGAGGCCAGGCAGGTGTACGATGAGTCTCTGGAAGCCCGCCAAATCGCAGAGGCTGCAATTGCCGAACGTGATGAGATGAAGGCGCAGATCGAATTGGGTGCCGATGGCCTGGTGAAGAAGTTACAGAAGCAAATCGACGAGCAAACCGGGATCATAGAGCTACAGTCGAGACAAAACGAGATGGTCAAAGCCGAGCTCGCGGATGTGCAGAGACTCCGCGCACAGGAGCTGCAGCGCAACGAACTGGAAACTCGAGAGTTGTACCTGATGCTTCGCGATGCCCAGGACATCGCTGCCTCGAATGCGATGAAAAACAATAATCTGGCGGAAGATGACCCCTCGCAGATGAGGGGCATATTGGACCGCGAGAAGCTTCTGGGCCGGCTGGAAATGCAGCTGGAACGGACCAAGACACAGTTCAAACTGGAAGGCAAGGTTTGGGGACAGCACGGGCCTTCGGATCGACTCCGTGAGTTGCGAGAACAGATGGACGGGGAGTCTGGGCCGAACGAGGAGTTCGAGGAGCAGGCTCGTCGTAACCTGGACAGCAAGGCTTTGGGATCCGCCTACCGGAAGAGAAGCCATGTCGCTGGCGGTGAGGGACAAGAAGGGGACCAGGAGGCGCTTCAGGTCGATGAGAATGGTGAAGTGATCTATGAGAAGGCGCGCCTCGTGGATCTTCAGCGGCCCCGAATGAACCCGAACCAAGCGACTGGTCTCCTTGGAGAAATCACCTCCAAGGTGCCCAAATTTGATTCCGATGAGAGCGAAACTTCCCATCCGACTGTCGAAGTTGGTGGTGAATGTAAAGATGACAAGGCTGGAGACCAACCACCAGCTGAGGCTGCTGCTCCCCCCCCTCCTCCACCTCCGCCTCCGCCGCCGCCGCCTGGTATGCCCGGGGCTGTTCCTCCCCCTCCTCCGCCTCCACCACCTCCACCTCCACCCCCAGGAGCGGGTGTCGGAATTCCTCCGCCACCGCCGCCTCCTCCACCCCCTGGAGCGGGAGGTCTTATGCCTCCGCCGCCGCCACCGCCTCCTCCAGGAGGAGCCTCGTTTGGTGCTCCTCCGCCACCACCCCCTCCTGGCGCCGGGTTTGGTGGCTGGAGAGCCAATTACATGGCTTCTCAAGGTCTTCCGTCGAAGCCGTCAGCTGCCATGCCGTCTATCCGGCCTAAGAAGAAACTCAAGGCTCTTCATTGGGACAAGGTTGATGCTCCGCAGGTGACTGTGTGGGCCTCTCACGACGCGACGCCCCAGGCCAAGGAGGAGAAATACACCGAGTTGGCGAAACGGGGTGTGTTGGATGAAGTTGAGAGGCTGTTCATGGCTAAGGAGACGAAGATCTTCGGAGGTGGCGCCGCATCTAAGCAACGCAAAGACAAGAAGCAAATCATTTCGAACGAGCTGTCCAAGACCTTCCAGATCGCATTGGCAAAATTTTCACAATACCCTGCCGAGGAGGTCGTGCGGATGGTTATCCATTGCGATGCCGATATCCTCGATAACATGGTTGTCATGGACTTCTTCCAGCGGGATGAAATGTGCACGATTCCGGAGAATATTTCCAAGACGATGGCACCCTACAGCCGAGACTGGACTGGCCCGGATGCTGCCAGTTCCGAGCGAGAGCAAGACCCGAGCGAATTGACCAGGGAAGATCAGATTTATCTGTACACAGCCTTTGAACTGCACCACTATTGGAAGGCCAGAATGCGTGCCCTTGCGTTAACACGCTCCTTCGAGCCGGACTATGAGCACATCTCGGCAAAGCTTCAGCAGATCGTCAAAGTCAGTGAATCTTTGCGGGATTCGGTGTCTCTGATGAATGTTCTCGGCCTGATTCTGGATATCGGTAATTTCATGAACGACGCCAACAAGCAAGCCCAGGGTTTCAAACTGGGCTCTCTTGCTCGTCTCGGGATGGTGAAAGACGACAAGAACGAAACGACATTTGCGGATCTTGTCGAGCGAATTGTTCGCAATCAGTACCCCGAGTGGGAAGGCTTCACTGACGAGATCAACGGCGTCATTGCCATTCAGAAACTGAACGTGGACCAGCTTCGAACGGATGCCAAGAAGTACATTGACAACATCAAGAATGTCCAGGCAAGTTTGGACGCGGGCAACCTCAGTGATCCCAAAAAGTTCCACCCCCAGGATCGTGTCAGCCAGGTTGTCCAGCGCAGCATGAAGGATGCGAGAAGAAAGGCCGAACAAATGCAGCTCTACCTTGATGAGATGGTCAAGTCATATGATGATATCATGGTCTTCTACGGCGAGGACAATGCAGACGAGGGCGCCCGGCGAGACTTCTTCGCCAAGTTGGCGGCGTTCTTGCTGGAGTGGAAGGTATGTTATTGAGCCCCGATCATAGATCACCAGCTAACAAGAGCAGAAATCCAAAGAAAAGAACATGACCTTGGAGGAGTCGAGGAAACGGACCGAGGCGTCCTTGGCTCGCAAACGCATCAATGCCGGCCTGGCGAACAGTGCCAGCTCTGCTAGCGAGGCACCCCAGTCGCCAGCCACAAGCGGTGCCATGGACTCGCTGCTGGAGAAGTTACGAGCTGCAGCACCTCAAGCCAGGGATCAACGTGATCGCCGTCGTCGTGCAAGGTTGAAGGAGCGACACCAGGTCCGGGTCGCATCGGGACAGAAGATTCCGGACCTTTCTGGGTCTGATGGTGCGGACGCCGAGAAGAACAATAACGCGGAAGAAGGCGCCAGCAACACTGCAGACAATAACAACAATAACGATGCCGATGCCGCCGAGACTGGACTCCTGAGTCCTGCCGTTCCGGAATCCGATACGGGCTCCATTGGCAAAGAATCCCAGGTGTCCGAAAGCGAGGATGTGGCAGACCGTGCCGCGAGTATGCTCCAGGGCCTACGGGACAACGCCGACGGGGAGCGCACGCGAAGACGAAGAGAGACCGCAGAAGAGGAACGCCGCAAACGCAGGTTACGGAGGCGAAACGGTGCCACCAGTGGAAGCAAAGACAGCGCCGATGGCTCAATCCTGTCCGGCGCGCCCGAACCGACGTCACCTCGGACGGATACAACAGAGCCTCCTGAAACCATTCCGTCCAGTCCTCCTCCAGCCGAGGACGATGCCGCCTCTCAGCCACCCCTGACCCCGGCCATCATTGTTTCTCCTACAGCCGACCAGCACATGCGCTCGCCGGGCAGCAGTCGCGGTGACGACGAGCCTACAGACGGTCCATCGGGCTAAGCCTGTGGCACTCTGGCTTCGATCACTCTCCCCCCTAACTCCATCTCCGTTCTCCTAATATAATGTTTGATAGACCTTACTGATGTCGTCTCGGAAACATTTACTATGTGGTTAAGTGTATAATATCCTTTTTGCCTCAGCGGCGACTTGCCTGACACTTTCGTCCTTCTTTATTCATTTTTCTTTTCTTTCTTCTTGCCCTTTCTTTCTTTCGCCATATCCCTCATTCTTCTCTCCTGTCTACCCCCTTTTTTTTTTTTTTTCTTTTTTCTTCCGCTGCGATTTTTGTGCTTCCCGTGAACACATTCTCAGCCCGCTCAGTGTCACGATGTTTCCCTTCTCTTCAGCTTTTCCTTATCTACTCCCAGTCGACATTTGTGGGCATCTAGTTTGATGTCACAACGCCTCACGCTTTCAAGCTCTTTCATTTTGCTCCTGTTTGAGTTTCCATCTTTTTCTGCTCTGTACATAAATCCCTTCTGGCTGTAGTGCCATTATACACGGTGGAGAGACTTGGGGCGGCGTCTTTCGGTGCGCGGGCGTGGCGAAGGGGCGCCTCTGCGATTGGTAAATCCTCCATACATTCATCTGCTTTCTATCTTCTTGTTTCTTGCATGCGCTCCAGTAGAAATTTACGCTGTAGGGTCTCTAGAATGCACGTGATTTGGAGATATACATCACGTGACCACGGGCATTGGCCCAATCATTGGCCTCCACTCTCTTTCTTCTCGAGTGATTCACCATCGAGATTCTTTGGCCGTTGTCATCTCCGTTGAGCTCTGTTTCCTACGCTCTACCGATATCAATTCTGCGCATGCGAGCATTCGCGCTTCGCAGTCTGCGGAGGGCGATACCCTCTCGCCCAGCAGCCCGCAGTTGTTTCTCCGCAGCGGCTCGGATTAGGCCTGGTGTCGTCCACCGCCATCTTCCCTCCATACCATGGCATCGGGAGTTTTCTGCCTCAATTCCCAATCAATTTATGTTAGATGGGGACTCGACTATTTATGCGCTCTCGACTGCACCTGGTCGCGCTGCCATCGCCGTGGTGCGGGCTTCTGGTCCCGCCTGTGTTCCGGTACGCGTGAAAGATGCTCCCCCAGGCTGCTTCGCAAACGTAATAACATCCATCCCCTCCAGATCTATCGGGCTCTATGCCCCAAGGCGCCACTTCCACGACCACGGGTTGCGGCAGTGCGCACCCTGTATGACCCCACGGGAGATGTCACTTCCAACCACAGCATCCTTGACTCTGGGGCCTTAGTTCTGTACTTCCCCGGACCCAAGACGGTCACTGGGGAGGATGTTCTTGAACTCCATCTTCACGGCGGACCTGCCATTGTAAAGGCGGTCCTGACTGCGATCGCCAATACAAGCCGACCTGACTCTCTCATCCGGTACGCGGAATCGGGCGAGTTCACTCGTCGGGCCTTCTTGAATAACCGGCTGGATCTTCCGCAGGTCGAGGCGTTAGGCGAGACGCTGACGGCCGATACCGAGCAGCAACGTCGTCTTGCCGTGCGAGGGACCAGTGATGCTCTGTCCAAACGGTACGAGCAATGGCGGCGACAGCTTCTCTACGGACGTGGCGAGCTCGAGGCGCTAATTGATTTTTCCGAGGATCAGCACTTTGACGAGTCATCCGACGAACTCATTCTTTCCGTCGCGTCGCAGGTGCGCGCGTTACGGGCTCAGATCGGGCTGCATATTCAGAATGCGTCCAAGGGCGAATTGCTGCGCCACGGAATCAAGGTGGCCCTGCTGGGTGCACCCAATGCCGGCAAAAGCTCCCTCCTCAACCGGATCGTGGGCAAGGAAGCCGCTATTGTCAGCACAGAAGAAGGCACTACCCGTGATATCGTGGACGTCGGCGTTGATCTTGGGGGCTGGTATTGTAAGCTAGGCGATATGGCGGGCATCCGATCGGAAAGCAAGCAAACCGGTCAGGAGTCCGTGGTGATCGGAGCCATTGAGAAGGAAGGGATCCGCCGCGCCAAGGGCCGCGCATTAGAGTCCGATGTGGTTATAGTGGTGGTCTCCTTGGAGGGGGCTGATGACGGCGCGACACCATATCGTCTGTCTGCGGACCAAGAAGTCATCGACGCAGCGAATGATTGTGTGCAGGCGGGGAAATGTCTCGTCGTCGCCGTCAACAAATGCGATCGATTACCCACGGTCGAAGACCGCAGTAATCGACTGCCGCCTCCCCTGTCCGCCACGCTCGGTACCCTTTTTCCGGCGGTGCCGAGCTCGCGCATCTTTGGCATCTCTTGTCAAGAAGCGCAGGAGGAATTGTTGATAGACCAGACGGATCCGGGTCATTTGCAGGCCTTCCTTCGGGGGCTGATTTCAACATTCGAGGAGATTGCCTCTCCATTGAGCATTGGAGGAGAGGATGGTGGGCAGTATGACATGTCGTATTGGGAGGACTCTCTGGGAGTAACTCATCGACAAAGCTCTAACTTGCAACGATGCATGCAACATTTAGACGACTTTTTAGCCGAGGCCTCTGAGGCCCAATCACCACCGTCGACATCTGGTAGCCCTACGGAGACAGAGGTGGACATTGTCACGGCAGCCGAGCATTTGCGGTCTGCGGCCGACGCGCTGGCGAAGATCACCGGCAAAGGGGAGAGTGGAGATGTGGAAGACGTTTTGGGCGTCGTTTTCGAAAAGTAAGTAACGCTCCAATCTGAGGAGGTTCTTCATATGGCTGACGGCGTGCAAGATTCTGTGTTGGAAAATGAGCTGTCTTCCCACGAAGCTATAGGATCGATGACGCCGATTCATTCCATCCCACGTGTCGCCTCTCTAACGCCCTTTGGCCCCTTTCAAAGGGGCCATCCCAAAGAGGACCTGTCGCAGGCATCTACATGGTTTCACGAGTCCTCGTCGTATAGGTCGTTGTAGCCGCCGCGTCCCTTCATGAATGACAGATGAGGGACGCCAAATGCTAGAACTAGAGCAATGATCAAAACTGTGGAAACTGCACGATTTGGGGATTGATATACGGCTCAATGGCTCGCAGAACTAGTCAGCCGTTCGGTCGATAAAGAATTGGAGTTGGAGTGTTGGAAAGAGGTCGTTGGTAAGAACCATTGAACGGATCAGAACAATTTCTCATGAGGGGCATGGGGAGGAAGAATTTCTTAGGGATTGTATAGATAGAACCTGAATGTATAGTAGTATTTATGGTATTCTAGAAAGTCGGATCGTAGTTGAACGCCTTGACTAAATAAAGAACCCAAGGCGATTGATGCCTGCCACATGACGCACCAGGCATCCACCCGTCGCAGCCCGCCTTGTCTGCTCCTCAACCTGTCTGCTCTTCAGCTTGCATGTTCCAGGAAACATAGCAGTCCTCTGCACTTCTCTCACTTTCATGCAGATTATTGTGGTGACGATGGTGGTGACTCACCAATGCGACTAGCGTCATTGGCTGATTCGTGAGGCTTCGAGGTCAGGTGTATCGCAGCGAAGAGTCATCTCGCTATCTTACTCAACCCGGAGGATTGACAACGAAACGACAAGGCCTGTTTCTAATTGAAATTGTCTAGATCAAGACGCTAATTCTGATGACAAAGGAATGGATACCAGTCAAGTGGGTGTGGACTCCTGTCGAGACAGAGAGAGCGGGAAAACACGGATGGAAGCACGCGAGGATCTTGGTATACACGTCAGGTAGGCCTCGTCCCGATGCCTCGAGAATGTTCTCTATCCATTTTCTCAGGCTTCCTATGACCATCATCTCCCGTACGCTGACAGGGGGTTCTCCCCATTAGGCGTTCTTCTAACATCATTTCCCCAGTCTGTCGCTCGCCGCCTGTTCGGGGGAGCATTCGCGGCCGAAGTTGAAGCTGATCACTAGTACCACCCAGTCTCATGAGCACAGATGCCCTCGCAAGTACACCCAGCTCCCTGACCTTGTCCATTATATTGTTGAATGGAAGAAAAATAATGTACACACACATTTCTATACTATTCTACAGTCGTTTTGTCTCTTCGAAGCCATCGATTATAGCTTCCACACAGCCCAGTCTTTCAAGTCGAGCTCTCGAATGATCCCAGCCAGCGGTCCCTGCAACTCCATTCCCTGTGCCCATAGCTTAGGGCCGGCCATGTAGCCAATGAACCCTTCCGGGCCTGAAACCAGGATCATGTTGCGAGGGGAAGATCCGCTGGTGGAGGATCCCGACTTTGTGAATTCTAGGATAGCATTCTTCTCAATGAATGCATTTTCTTCGTCGACATAATAATCCACCGTGACCTGACCAGGGTATTGGGTCTTGAGAGCCTCTAGCTCCCGGACCATGGGCGAGACATGGGTGGGAGGAGGCGCAGATGTTGAAGTTGACGACGGGGAAGACCCGGAAAACCAAGACCGTTGAGGTTTGGCTATCGTGGTATCGTTGACACCGCCGGCACAGTCTTCCCGGCGGCGATTAGCCCACAGAATGTGAATTCGAGGCTTGTGAGTACTGCTGGTGCGGCGAAGCAGTGTATATCCCGCCTGAAGAGCAGGGGCTATACCAGTGCCCCCAGCGATGAACAACACCTGCTGAGTGTCGGCAGGCACCAGACACTCGATCTTGGGTCCACGTATTTCAATGGGAGTCCCTACGTCCAGACTATGCAGATACCGGGATACTTCGCCAAAGGGGTCTCTACGGATAAAGAACCGCAATTCGTCCTCGTCCTCGTCCTCTTTGCCAGTGGATACGGACGGCAAGGGGGTATAGTCCCTTCCAATCTGCAGCTGCGGCTGTTTGAACATAACGCTCCATACCCCCGTCCTCCAAGCTTCATCATAGACGGCATGATTGCCCTCGTCGGGCTTTGGCGGCTTGAGTGTGAAGACGCTCCCCGTGGACGAGACCGGTTCCCTTGATATAAGATAGTAGGGGGTGAACCGCTCTGGATTTAACGTAGTCGACCCGGAGTTTTGCTGAGATCGGATATACGCCCCGATCCCCGCCGCTGCGATACTCACGAGCGCAAGTCGCATCCATCGACGCCGCGGCGGCGGAGAAGAGGGCGGGGCGGAAGCACCATAGCGACGGCACTGCGGACGATGGAGGGAGTTAACGGGGGGACATGGCGGGCGGAGAGAAAAGAGGGTGGGATTGGAAAGGCGAGACTTCATGATCAACACCAAGCCGAAGAAGGAGAGACAATGGACGAAGGGGACGAGGGAGACTCGAAGATAAATGAGATTGCGGAGAAAGAAGGCAAAAAAAGAAGCGCCCGGCAGGCATCAACCCGCTAAGCCTCTTTGGGGGCCGATCGTCATCCTCTCCTTCTTTCATTGTTCCCTCTTCTGCTTCAACTTCCCACTTTTTGTCCTTTTTTCGTGTTTGGCCAGTTTGGGATCCCACGGAGGACGGACACACTTTTTCTTCTTCTCTTCACTTCACTGCCCTCCTTGACCTTCCACTCGCCCGCCCTTCGATGGGATGGACCCCTTCTTGCCTTACGATCTTTGACCTGCTCACATGTCAATCTCGCCTCCCTGTCTTCTCTCCTTTTAATCCTCGATCGCCATGTCCCGTATGCCTTTTTCCGGTGCTGAAAGCCGGTCAGACCATCATCGGGCTCCGCGCGACTCACTAGAACTTGCTTCGCTCGCCTCCTCTCCTGCCGGCGCTGGGTCCTCGCGCTCCTCCTCCCCCTCCGGCATTTCGTCGTCGCGCAAGCTCTCTCTCGAGGAAGAGGATCCTCTATCAAACTCCTATCAACACACAAATTTCGACTCCGGGCGACCTAGGTCGGCTCGATCATATTCGGTGTCGTCTGCTTTCGATTTCGGGAGAACGCTCTTCCCCCTGTCGCAGACTGCCGGTGGTTATGCTCCCTTGGGCGCCCCATCGGCACTAGATCGAGAGGCTGGAGCCGCCGATGGCTCGTTGGAGAAAAACAAGACCCTGACATACCTAAATGGGCTCTCATTGGTCGTGGGCCTGATCATCGGCTCCGGGATTTTCTCTTCTCCCAGCCAGGTCAATGTCAATGCGGGCTCTCCGGGCGCATCGCTGATTGCTTGGGTGGTCGCCGGCTTACTGGCATGGACGGGAGCGGCCAGCTACGCGGAGCTTGGAGGCGCGATTCCTCTAAATGGTGGGTCCCAGGTATACCTTTCCAAGATCTTTGGGGAGTTGGCGGGCTTTCTCTTCACCTGGTGTGCCGTCCTTGTTCTTAAGCCAGGCAGCGCGGCGATTATCGCCATCATATTTGGGGAGTATGTTGTCCGTGCCGTGGTGGGGGCCGAGGTCGAGCAGGTCAACCCCTGGATCAACAAGGGCGTCGCCGTGGGAAGTGTTTTGGTGGTCACCCTGTTGAACTGCGCATCGACCCGGGTGGCTACCCGCCTCGGTGACGTTCTCATGTTCTTCAAATTCATCGCCTTGCTCGGAGTTACCGTCATCGGCATCGTCGTGGCGATCACCGGTCTGTCGTCGAGTGGCAGTGCGAGTGAGGAGTGGAAATCTGGCTGGTTTAAGGGCACGAGTACGGACGTGTCGGCGTGGGCGCTTGCTCTGTATGCAGGCCTCTGGGCCTTTGACGGCTGGGACAATGTACGTGTCTGAAGACTTGCTTCATTCGAAACATTTAAGAGCTAATGAACGAGCAGACAAACTATGTGACGGGCGAATTCAAAAACCCTAATCGTGACCTTCCCCGTGTCATTCACACGACCATGCCGCTGGTCATTCTCAGCTATCTACTTGCCAATATCTCGTACTTCCTCGTCCTGCCCCATTCCACCATCGAGGCGAGCAACACAGTTGTCGTTCAGTTCGGCGACAAGGTCTTTGGGTCTGTTGGGGCTCTGGTGTTTGCGCTGATCGTCTCGGCCAGCTGTTTCGGCGCCCTCAATGCCACAATCTTCACGAGTGGGCGCTTGGTATATGCCGCCGGCAAGGAAGGTTACCTGCCCTCGGTGTTTGGTCATCTGTGGACCCGGGGATCACCTAGCAGCGGGTCAAGCAACCGATTGCAGCACCGCTCGTGCGCTAGCAAAGTTACCGCGCGCATCTTCGGAGAGGGTACGCGGATCGGTTACACCCCGATTTACGCGATGGCTCTGAACAGTGCTCTCACGCTCATTTACGTCGTCGTGGGTGAATTCAGGACGCTGGTCACCTTTTACGGCGTGGCCGGCTATACCTTCTACTTCCTCACCGTGCTCGGCCTCATCGTCCTGAGGATCCGCGAACCGCATCTGGAGCGGCCGTACAAGACGTGGATCTCCAATCCCATTATCTTCTGCTGCGTCAGCTTGTTTCTTCTAAGCAGGGCGGTTATTGCAGAGCCCCTGCAGACCCTGATCGTTGTGGCCTTCATCATCGCCGGGGTACCGGTCTATTTCTGGCGCATCTACCAGCGCGATGGCCGCAAAGCATTACCAGGGTGGAAATTCTGGCAATCGCGATAGCCACCAGGACTACCTGGCTCGGCTTTTTATGCAAGCTCTCTATCCCTTTTCCTTCTTCCTTTTCTCTCTCTCTCTCTCTCTCTCTCTCTCTCCATAACTCTCCCGCCAAGGTCTATCATTTCTAATCCTCCGGCGGGCTGAGACGACTTTTGCATCGGTCCGGTGTACTCTGGCATAAATATCATAAACGACAGGCGATTGTCGCCGCCTTGCAATGCAAGGTCGAGTTGTCTCCTTTTCTCAACATGTTTGATAGAAGCGGAAGAGTGTTTATAATCATGAATGGGTGGGACGGGTACATGAAATCTATTGATACACATAATTAATCAAATAATGCGATTCGATCAAGACGTTTCTTACAGGCTTCACTTGCAGACTGCAGTCCAGTGGTCCCCACCAGGAACCATGGCTGGGAGGACGATTTCCGGGGGTTCCTCGGGGAAAATCAATCCCTCGTGGGTCAAAATTAGGCAGCCAAACTTGCCAAAGTCAATGCGGTGGCGGAGACGCAGGCAACGCGGGCCAGGTGAATCAGGGGGAATAACGTTCTGCAAGCATTCGGCCAATTGTTCGAGTTTAGGCGAGATCGGGACCCTGAGATCCCGGAAGACTGTATCGAAGCCGCCCATGTTGGGTGCAGCGGAGTGGATCTGGCGTTCAGACGTTGTTTATCTGAAATTCCACGTTCTATACTATTTCCGTAACCGGCGCCGGTGAAACATTTCCTGATTCCTGGGGGAGACGTGACTTGAACCGATCTGGGGAATTCTGGCAAGGTCTCAGTCGATCCTATCCCACTGCTCCACACCCTCGATTTCTCTCACGAAATGACGTGAAATCTTCCCGTCCCGCGAAAGAGGCGGTGGTGACAGACAGGCCCTGTCCCTCCGACCTCATCGTTACGCCCTCCCAGATGACGGCCTCGTTGAACTCGAAGTTATCAATCGACTTCCACCGGGCCATGTCAAGCTCAAGCAAGTCGACCGAGGTCCAACATGTGGACTTCCCGGACGAGATGATTCCTGCGTCGACAGGGAAGTCGGCCGTCAATCTCGCGTTGATGCTGGCTTGCGTGGTCTTCGGGGCTGCGTCGTTCTTGTTTGGCTTCGATGATAAGATCATATCGCCAGTGGCTGCGCTGGAACCCTTTGTGAGTTCGCTGGCATACCCGACGGTATATATGTACAAACATACATATCAGAGCTGATCCTTTTTTGAAAAATTTAGGTGGATCGATATCAAGGCCTCAATCCTAAAACGGGCGTCTACTCTATGACGGCTCGCAATCAGACCATCATCTTCTCGGTTCCGCTGGTGGGCTCGATCTTTGGAGGACTCGCAGCTTCGCCTCTGAACTTCCGACTGGGTCGCAAACCACCCGTGCTGATTGCATATGTTATTTCGGTTGGCGGCGGGTTGCTTCAGCTGTTCGCACCGAACCTGGCAGCTTTTGTCTCGGGTCGGTTTCTGAACGCCATCGCCATGGGCATCGCCAATGGCACTGTTCCCTTATACTTGTCCGAGGTGAGGATGAGCTCAACCTATTGCCTCAAGAGGTCGTCTGGTGTGACTGAAACTTTGCATTTGACTAGATAGTCCCCTCCTCGATGAGAGGCCGGAGCGTTTCGATGATCAATATCTTAAATGTGATGGCTGGGTTGATAGGAACAATTGTGGTATTTGTGACCCAAAAACTAGGGGGCAGAGAGTCGTATATGATCCCCTTGGCGGTTCAGACCGCCGTCCCTGGAGTTCTCTTTATCTGTACACTCCCTGTCTCGGAGAGCCCCCAGTGGCTGGTCGCCCGAGGCCGCATGGAGCAGGCCCGGACGAGCCTGCAGAAGCTGCGCGGGTTCGACGCACAGGCGGTAGAAGAAGAGCTGGGCATCATTCAGCTCAGCGAACAGACCGAGCGAGAACTGCGAGCCAGTGGGAATTTCTGGGAGATCTTCACGCGACAACACCTTCGGCGAACCATAACTGCCGGCTCTTTCTACTCCTTGAATCAGATCTCTGGCGTGATCCTGTCTACGACATACAGCACGGTGTTCCTGGCTGAGATGGGTACCAAGGACCCCTTCTCTCTGACCGTGATCGCATCATGTTGCACACTTGCCGGGGCGATAGCCGCACCTCTCGTGATCGACCGAAGGGGACGTCGTCCAACCGCTTTAGTAGGAATGAGTGCCCTGTTCATCATCGACGCCGTGGCCGGGAGCCTGGCGTTCAGCCGAGGCGACGCGCAGTCAATCCAGGCAATCGCAGCCTTGTCCTTTATATTCAATTTCTTCTGGGCCTCTTCGTTTGCGTCGTTGTCCAATCTGATGCCCTCGGAGATTGCCACTCCCAAGCTCCGCCACCACACCATGGCCTATACAATTGCCTGTGCGCAAATCACCGCCGTGATCACTACGCTCGTCGTTCCGCAGCTAACGACGGCTGACGCGGCAGGCCTAGGAGCCAGGGCCTACCTTATTTTTGCTGGATGCATGGCGTGCATTCTAGTGTTTACCTACTTCTTCATGCCCGAAACCAAAGATCGGACCTTTGCAGAAATCAACGAGATGTATGAGGCTAAAGTACCGGCGCGGAAATGGCGACAGTATCAGACTTCAGAACGAGCCCGGACGGGCAAGTGTTTTCCACATGGACAGACCGTAGTATCTTCGAGCAAATCCGGGTCCTAAGCCTGTGGGGGTGAGGGACAATTCCGTCGTCCTTGGCGTGTATGTATATCAACCTAATAGACACAAATTCCTTATCCTCGGTAGCTTGAGATGTGCGCAGCAATCGGTTTGGTCCTCATCCAGGAGTTAATGCGTCCCACTTAATATATAAACATGTGTATATCGTATCGCCGCAAATGATAGCGACAGAAAGGGGAGGTATCCAGATAAAGAGAGGGGAAGAAGAAAAAATTACAAAACACATGTTTCGAAAGACATGCTTTATTGGGGAGTCCAGCTCGCGTTTGATTTGTCGTCTGTATGCGAAGTACCCAAGAACGTCTTGTACTTTTCCAAGAATGGGTGGTTGCCGCCCCGAAGACTGCCAAGCAGCAATAAGAAATCCTCGGCCAGGGAATGTGATAGCGGGGCGGCACGTGGAGATTGCGACATCGATCCTGTCAGATTTGTAGACGATACTCCAGAGCCAGACGCATTCTCAACGGCGGGACCGAGAACGAATCCATCTCCTCCGGGGGACCGAGCGTTGGGCGATACACCGATGGCACTAATGGCGATATCGTACAGTTTTTCGACCTGATCTGGTAAGCTTGGAGTGAAAGAAATGTCCCCTGCTGATGTTAGACACTCACAAGGCCTATTCCATGTGCCTCCATGGAGCTAAGACGTAAGGACTGGCAAATCTTTAGTGTGTCATTAGCGACTGAAACAGCATACGTGAAACAGAGTTCTTCGTGATCTGACGTGGGCTTCAAAAGACCATGCGCAGAGCATAGAACCCATACACGATTTTGGAGCCACTTTTTGGTGATAAAGACATCGGCGCACTGGGTCTCCCGCAGACCCATGGCCGGATAGGCCCCGCGAGAGCCACCTGAAGCGGACTTGCTGCGCTCAAACCAGTCGTACCCCTTATATCGCTCCGATTCACTGACACGACTGAGGTTTTGGTGGATGGCTAAGGCCTTCGCCTCGGTAAGCCTGTCGCAGTATCCAGCATTTATGCTGCATCGTCGATTCCAGCAATCAACAACATCCTCATCAACCGCATCAAATAATTCCATCAAACGGGCCAACCCCATCATGCCTTTGGCGTCCTTTTCATTGTGAACAATGATACCCGATACCAGGCTATGCGTTGCGCTGTGGATGAAATCGTGAACCGAGCGCATACTAAACCCTGGCTTTCCCCAGAAGGTTATAGGATGTCTGCGTTGCAGTGCATAGGCTCTTTGGGTTGGGGGAACAAGCAAGTTAGATTGAAGTGCAGGATAGACAGAGAGAGAGGAGAGAGAGGTGGCTTACCTCTCTGTGATGGATAAGACAAGGTATGTTCGCAAACGTTGACCCTTCTCTTCACTAGAAAGCTCCCTATATGAGTCGGGGTTGTTGAGCCCCAAGGTAGCGGCAAGATCAAGAGCCTCTCGTAAGCGGAGCCACGCCGCATTATGCTGGTTGCTGCCGAAGAGACAGCCAAAGAGGAAAAAGCTCGTTAGGACAGCCTCGATAGTCGGATGCTCCCCAAAATCAGAGCAGCTCCGCATCTTGGTGGCTTCGTTCATCATCAATCTAGCCTGACCGGCGCGGGATTGGGATGTGGGGCGTTCATCAATCTCAATTGGCTGGGTTAAAGAAAAGGCACACAGCGACAATAACATCGAACCAAACTGCGGGTTCCTCCGATGCTCCTGCGACAACATTCGGACGAATAGGGACGATCGATTTAGGACGGGCAAGGTCGGATGCAAGCGGTCAAAGTAGACGTCGATCCATGGTATCATGTTTGCTTCGACAATGGAAGGGGGCCATATGGTCTTCAGTCCACTCGATTCGGCGTGAGGGGCCCCAACGCTCGACACGGGGAGATTCGAAGCTTCGACGGGTTGAGGTATCCGCGCCGGGTCCGCCGATTCGGTTTGTATGATGGACGGCAGGGACGTCTTGAGGTAGATATTACTACCCGGGAAATCAAAGATTGGCATCTGGCCATCCAGATTATCGGGCAGCCAATACTCGACATCGTTTCTCTCATTCCAGCTGATTCCGCTATTGCTACGAGAATCAACCGAGGAGGCATCTGCGCCCCATCCGGTGGCAATGGAAGGAGGGGCATGGGCCGGCGCAAGGTCGACGGGCAGATGATGAGGTTCAGCGGACATATGCCACGGCGCGGCCTCCTGCATGGGAGGAACCGCGCCGAGCTGTTCTCCCTGCGGCAACGGCGCCTCCGGTGGATAGGGAAAGGCGGGGGCGGGAAACGATTGAGGGTCGGTTTGAGGCCGCGGGCTTTTGGCCGGCAGATGGGTTTGCTGCTGTCGGATTTGCGATACGCGACTTTTTGGGATCCAATGACATTGAATGATAAGAAAGAATCCGACAATCGATCCCCGACGAGATTCAGTTGGTTCGATAAAACTCACTGTCCGGTTGGACCCCGTTTCTTCTGTGGTTGGAAGAAGGTACAATCAAAGCCCATGGAAACGCAGGCCTTACATGGGTGCGACAGACTGCACTGTTGAGCCGTACTGACTAGGTTAGCATCCACCCCCACTGTTGGAGTGGCGAGAGGAAAGGGGAAAGACGTCTGCTTGCCTTGATCTTGCGGAATTTGCATTGGTCGCACGCTCTTTTCGCGATAGTCCCCGAGGCCTTCCTTCGGGAATCTGTGCGAATGGCCCCCGTCGGGGTTGGCACGGCGGCATCCGAGGTCGGGTTCATGCTGGCATAATTAAATTCCAGAACAATTCGATTAAATGACTTGAACGGAGTAGACTAGAGCGACTAGAACCGGTCCACAATCGGCGGGACTGGGGTGTTGGCTTCTTGATGCCTCTCACAGATAGAAGCAAAAAAATCAATAAAAAGAAGGGGGATTATGCAGGAGCATCCGAGGTGCAGAAGATCTGGAGAAAAGGGCAGGAGAGAGAGAAAAAACGAAAAAAAGGACCGGCCGCGGAGGCCCCCGCGTTACGGGAAGGGAAAGACAAGGCATCAAGGCTCGTGTCCGTCGGACCGTATTGTCCGTCCGTCCTCCGGTATCGTATGGTACGTCATCTCCCTGCACTTCCATAGTTAGTTATGTACCTACGGAGTATACTTGTGTACTTTATACCTCTGTCCATCTCTCTATCCATCTTATATGTACTCCAATCCTCTCCAACTCCTCCACTTAATTAGAATATGACCTTATCTCGACCCCACCGTATAAATAGCTTCAGTGATCACATTCATGATCACATACTACCTATACCTTCACATCAATATCCTCAGCCTCCGAGAAACACAACATGGGTAGTCATCAGTCATGGGCGCAGATCGTCGCCGAGAAACGCTCCCAGCGCGATCGCTTGTTAAAGCCCTACATGGTCTCGGATGTGGACCAGCGACCCCCTCAGGTCCGCCGCTTGCAGGATCGCTCATGTCTTCGGGACGATCCTCTTTCGCAGGAGATCACGGAGATTGACAATATAGGCTCCTTGCTCGAACGCTTAAAGACTGCCAAATTCACCGCCGAGCAAGTTGCCCTGGCTTATATCAAGAGGTACCCGGTCTTCCCCGCGGGATTGCAGACCCTGAGTTGAACTGACGTTCGTCATCCTAGGGCTGTGATAGCGCACCAACTGGTATGGATTGATGAGAGGCCTTGTCCCCTTCGGAGCTCTGATTAACCACGGTAGGGCATCGATAGACCAATTGTCTCACAGAGGTGGTGTTTGAAGAGGCATTGGCACAGGCTCGAGCTTTGGATCGCGAATTCCAAGAGACCGGCCAACTCAAGGGACCGCTCCACGGTATCCCGCTCACCGTGAAGGACCAGTTTAATGTCAAAGGGGTAGACACCACTCTTGGCTATGTGGGACGTTCCTTTGCGCCTGCTACCGACGATGCCGTCCTAATTCACATGCTGAAAGACATGGGTGCCATCGTGCTGGCTAAATCTAATTTGCCGCAGAGCATCATGGTATGCCCCCCTCTCTAGTTGGTCATATCACGAAAGACTAAATCTAATCAATTGCGAAGTGGGCAGAAACGGAGAATCCTCTATGGGGCCTGACTGTCAACCCCCGAAACCCTGCATTCACACCAGGTGGCTCGACCGGGGGAGAGAGTGTCCTTCTGGCCTTACAGGGCTCTCTGCTAGGCTTAGGAACCGATATAGGCGGTAGTGTCCGGATTCCTCAGAACATCATGGGCTTGTACGGATTCAAACCTAGTGTGAGTGTCTCGCCGTTGCTTCCCACCTAGAACAACCCTCTTCCTGAATGATGAATCCCAACTCCTGGTACGTAGTAATAACCTCGGAGCAGAGCGGCAGGCTTCCATACTACGGAGTTCCAGTCTCCACTGAGGGACAGGAACACGTTCCTTCCGCCATCGGTCCAATGGCTCGGGATCTGTCTTCCATATGCTACGTGAGTCGGCTGATAGCTAACGCCAGACCTTGGGAGCGGGATCCCAGATGCGCTCCTCTCGAATGGAACGAGGGGGTTTTCCAGTCCGTACAAAGTCGACCTTTGGTAATAGGCTTGATTCTGGATGACGGCGTGGTGAAAGTCCACCCTCCTATCGAGAGGGTGCTCCGGCAATTAGCAACGAAGTTACAAGCCGCGGGCCATGAGTTGCTTGTCTGGGATACATCAGATCATCTAGAATGTATCCGGCTCATGGATCGTTACTATACTGCCGATGGCTGTGAAGACATCCGTCGCGACGTTGATGCAGCCGGAGAGCCACTCATCCCCCACGTGGAAGCGCTCGTCAAGCGCGGGGAGGCCATTTCGGTCTATGACTACTGGCAACTCAATAAGCAAAAGATTGCACTGCAGAAAAAATACCTCGACAAGTGGAACGCCGCACGATCGGCGTCGGGACAGCCAGTTGATGTCCTCTTGTCCCCCACCATGCCGCACTTGGCAATTCCCCATCGCCAAGTGCGATGGGTTGGCTACACGAAGATTTGGAATCTGCTTGACTACCCCGCGGTCACTCTTCCCATCGACCAGGCGAGAGAAGGTGTGGATGACCTTCCGGCGGAGCCATATCAACCACGCAATGAGCTTGACGCCTGGAACTGGGGCCTGTACGATGTAAAGGCCTCGGAAGGCCACCCAATTGGGGTACAGGTCATCGGGCCGAAGCTAAATGAAGAGAAAGTGCTAGGAGCTGCAAGTGCTATTGAGAAAATTTGGAGAGGGTAATGCGCAGGTAACAGTACCTAATCCGCCTGATATCTGGGAACTACTGAGTAGTGTGCACATGGTGGAGGTTGCCCTGAAGAGCCTCCCCCACTTTTCGGTTCTCGGGTGGGGGCATGCGATCACGGACGTTGGGGTAACAACCAGCGAGTTGGAGACTTGGAGTAGATGATGGACGATAAGAGGAGGTCGGAGACAGAGATGGCTGCTTTAGTAAGGGTTAATGCCGCTCGATAAGCCATGGGTCTTATCATCGCTGGGCTTCCCCACTCTTAGATAGTTTCGTTTATATAGAATTCAGTCTCCCCTCCGAAGATCGCTCACTGTTCTGATCGTTTCCTTCAATCGTACTCCATACTCGGCGCATTTGTTCCATCGGTTATTCCTGCAACCTTGTCGAGCCCTTTCTAAGCCCAACCCGTACCTCATTCCTTCAACTTGAAAACAGCAAGAAGAGACCATGGGCAAGAAACGAGTCTTGGTCAGCTACGGAGTAGATATCGACGCCGTGGCAGGTTGGCTGGGATCATACGGCGGCGAGGACAGCGCTAATGACATCAGTCGGGGTAAATTTGGTCGCCGTGCGAATGCATAGAGTACCGACACTGATACTGATTTCTACCGGCAGGCTTGTTCGCCGGCCACATTGGCACCATGCGCCTGCTGAAGATGTTCCAGAAATATGACATCAAAGCAACGTGGTTCATTCCTGGTCATTCTCTCGAGACCTTCCCGGAAGAATGCGCCAAGATCCGGGACGCCGGCCATGAGATTGGATTGCACGGCTACAGCCACGAGAACCCCTCAGATATGACGATGGAGCAGCAGCGGGACATCCTGGATAAGACCTATCGTATGATCCTAGACTTTTGCGGCAAGCCACCTCGCGGGATGGTTGCACCGTGGTGGGAGACGAGCAAAGAGATGACGGATCTCTTGCTCTCCTATGGGGTGGAATACGACCACTCCATGTCCCACCACGATTGCCAGATGTATTGGCTCCGTACGGGCGACACCTGGACGAAGATTGATTACAGCCAGAAGGCTGAAACATGGATGAAACCCTTAAATCGCGGCCAGGACACCGGTTTGGTAGAGATCCCGGGTAACTGGTACATCGACGACTTGCCTCCGATGATGTTTATCAAGTCAGCTCCCAACAGCCACGGATGGGTCAATCCCAGAGACATCGAGGATCTCTGGAAGGTGTGTATTCTTGTTCCGAATCTCCCTCTAATTGATCTGCAGCTGATCGGTTTATCTCAGGACCACTTTGACTACTTTTATCGAGAATATGACGAGTTTATCTTCCCCATGACCATCCATCCGGATGTGTCGGGCCGCCCACATGTTCTTCTCATGCACGAGAGGTAAGCTGATCGCGATCATGACGATCGATGATAAGCTTTTGAGTGCTGATCAATTTGTAGGATCATCGAGCATATCAACAAGCATGAGGGCGTGGAATGGGTGACCATGGAACAAATGTGTGATGATTTCAAGAGCAAAAACAAGCCGCCGGAGGGCGCGAAGATGCCGTCCGCTCCTATATTGAAATGATAGCAAAGTATGCCATGGGTTCAGCTTTCGTCATGTCCCGCAGATCTGTTGTCCCTCTCTGCGTATCGGCTGTATTGTGATTTATCCTAGTCTAATGTGAATGTGATAATACCTAACACCTTTCTTCGAGCATCAGGTCTCCTAAGAACCGTATACAACTCGCATGTTGGAATTCAAATAAAGAGTAATTTTGCCTGTGCTATCCCAACGCCCAAAAACACCAACCAAAGGATATGCCAGGGAAGAAATGTCGTTTCGGTCTATTATTTTCTTTTTGTTCGTTGCTTAGGCCTTCGGAGGCTCAAATAGCTGTGGCTTCATGTTGATCTTGCAGAGTTTCGATATGCAACCGCTCAACTGAAGCAAGGATTGTACGCCGTCCAAAATGCGCATATGGGTAAAACCGATCTCTCGGATGAACTCCAGCTTTGAATGCTCTGACAGCGTTGGGATGGTCTTGGTGACACGAAACATGGTGCTGATGATGTCATGAGAGGAGTATCCTAGGTCCCTATAGGAGACATTAGTATTGCTGTTCTTGAGCTCCTCCAATGTATTCCCTGATCGTAGAACATACCACAGCTCATTCAGCGATTCCAAGGCAGCATCCACCTTGCCTTCCCAGCAAGCCTTGATCATTGCTTGGACCTTGATAGGATGGGGGCTATCAACAACCCGGAAGACATTGTCTCCACTAACAAATCCGAAGCCAGACCATGTACTCTGAAGGTTGTTGATCGCTTGACGCATGTCTCCTTCGGCACTAAACACCAGCGCAGCAATTCCATCTTCGGTGTGCTCCACCTTCTCGGCCTCGCAAACTTGTTTCAACCGTTTGACAACCTGAGCATCGGTTAAACGGGCATAGCGAAGGATGGCGCATCGTGACTGAATAGGTTCGATGATCTTATTTGACTGGTTGCAGGCGAATGCAAATCGCGTGGTAGACGAATAGATTTCCATCGTTCGTCGCAGCGCTTGTTGAGCACCAGGCGTCATACTAAAGACGGATGGACACAGTCAGACACAAAACAGTCATGGGTAGCCCCGTCTGCACACGTACCTATCCGCTTCGTCAAGGATGACAATCTTGTGACGGCCCGGGGACAGCGTGACTTTCTTCTGGGCAAATCCCTTAATCCGATTGCGGACCACATCGATACCTGGAGGGCTTGTCAGACGCCGATGACCTCCCGGATCTCTAGTGAAACATTTGCAGTTGCATACCTCTCTCGTCACTAGCGTTCAGTTCCAAGACTGCCTCCTTATATGCATCGCCCAATAATTGTCTCGCCAAACACAGAATTGAAGTCGTCTTTCCGATACCCGGCATTCCGGAGATAATCACATGCGGCATATTTCCATCTTTCGCGATGATATTCAACCGTTCGATGGTCTCTGTGTTTCCGACGATGTCATCGAGGAAGACAGGACGGTATTTCTCGACCCTGCAGGTAGCTATCCGTCAGAGCTATCTTTCAGGGAGACGAAAGGATTGGTCGTATGCATACCAAGGCAGCTCGTAGTCGGGCGGAGCTCCTGTTGTGACAGCCTTGAGGCCATTGCGGGCAGCGCTAGCTGACGATTCAGCTGGGGCCATGATGAAAGAACTGGGATGCGTAGGGACAGGGTGGTGAGGTAGCAATGCTGCCGGTGTCGAGAAGGACGCGAAAACCGACGCGTCGAGCTTCGATGTGGATTTGACCCGATTGGGATTAATTCTCCATTACGAGACATGACGGAGTATTACATACTTTACGTTCTGGACAGGGCATCTGTACGGTACAGCACATACAGATACGGGCATCCGTTCCTTCTCCGCCTTTCTCCAACTCACGTCTACTTCACCAGACATTTTCAATAGTCAATTGCCCACCCATCGGCATCGCTTCCATATGGTAGCGCATTTTTATATTTTTATCCCACTCGATTTCCACCGTCAAGAGAACTGACGTACTGATTCGCAATGGGAGCAACCTCCGTCCGCCGCAATATCTTTCATCATCACCTCAGCAGGCGGCCGGTGTCTACCGCCCCTTCTAATGCTTCAGTGCCACCTACTGGCAGCGCCGCTAACCATGGTGGCTCCGGTCTTTCCTCTCACATGATATCTGCCGCCGCGTCCGAATCCACATCCTCTCTCAGCTCTGGCCCGATCGACAACGGAGAAATTGTGACCCGCGACAAGAATGGCGGCTACAAGCTTGACATCCCCGTTCTTCCGCCGATTGCTGGACGGGAGGGCGAAGAGGAGATGGAGGATGTTGAAGGCGGGGGCGTCTCTGGAGGCCCTAGCGCTGGAGGTACTGATTCTTCGGGGCAGGCAGGTATGAGCCAACGTGAAAAAGAGAGTACGCTGCCAACATCATTGCTCCCCCCCTGGCGAAAATGAGATGATGCTAACTGTGATCCTCCGGAACATAGAAATGGAGGCGACTTTAGTTGAAATGATGTGCCGAAGCCGTAACCGGCAATTGAGCAGCGAGCCAGCTGGTGAGTGTCATTTACAGTGTGATCGCCAATCTTATAGCCTGAATAACCTTGCCTTCCATACCGGCCACCGCCGACTCCAAGCTAACCTCTGAAGAAATTCTAAACCTTGTCCACCAAAGCCTCCGAAACAAAGTAGCTGAATTGGACGAAGACAATTGGATGTACGAACCGGACGCAGGGCTCTGATAACAGTGCAAGCGGACAAAGATGCATGCTCGCCCGCAACACGACCCCCGCGCATACCTATATTACAAGGAACCGCATTCTGTTTAGTCGAGCTCCGGATTCGCCGGTGCGGCCTCAACCTTTTTCGATTGAGCCCGGCCTCCTTGTACCCTCCGACCTCCCGCACCCTCTTGACCCCCTCCGAAGAACATGCTGCCCATCATATCCAACAACGGGTTACCTTGCCGGGGGATTTTGATCGCAAAATACTGCTCCCCAATCTGGGCCAATGCGTCATCCCATAGGCCCACCTCTTGGATTTGCGCCGCATAGTGCGCGGTGAGCTGCTTGAACAGGTCTGCGCTACCCCGCTGAATCGTAAGAAGCAGCATATTGAGGAAATTTAGCAGCGGCAGCGCGGGAAAGACTCGCACATCGGTACTAGCACTGCTAATCCCTTGCGAGTTAAGAGTGGGATTGGAGGCAGAGAGCCGCGATGTGAAGATAAGGAGGGCTTTGTTGGCATTGCGCAGGTTTCCCGTTAGAATGTACGGGAACACCGCGCGTGATGCATAGATAGCCGCAGTATGCGGTTCATCATTAGTATACCATTCATACTCGAGCTTGGCCAGAGTTTCGGCGGATTCAGACGTTCCGAGGATAAGATGCTTCTCGGCATCGTACGGTTCATGGTCTGCAACTTGTAATTAGGAATGAACGATTTCAAGATAAAAGGCTCGACATGAATACGGACCTTCGGCGTAAACGGATCCGGCTGCGTGATGCAACTCCGGGTCTCCTCTCTCCAAGGGCCCAAACCGCCCACTCCAGCCGATCAGCTCCTGGATAAACCGCTTGCGAGTGGGTTCCTCCGGAGGGAACTCATGAAGAAGCTCGATAAGGCGCTCTGTTATGAACGATAAGTCGTCAGCCAAGGCGCGCCCCATCCATAGCGGCTTCGGTACTAACTCTTCCGAGCACGGCCGTCTGTATCATTATCGCCTCCCACGATTTCCCAGCCTGCTTTGGTATACACTTCGACAACCAGCATAATGGCGAGATCTCCTCCACTAGCGGATGCACCTTGTTGCGATCCGGCTCTCAAAAGGGCGGTCGCGCCACCAGCCAGAAGCTCCGCGGCAGCATCGTAATTTGCTTGTTTGATGTATCGCGCGGCGATGACACGTAGTTGCTGATGCGCTTCGTAGTAAGCCCCGGAGGCGATCCTGGAGGAGACGACATATCACGGTTAGTATCGCTCGTAGACATGATAATTGAACCCCAGCGTAGAGCGTGGGTTAGCCAAGGACAAACATGGAAAAGAGTCACTTTTCTCGTTGACGGGCAATAGTCTTGTCGATGCGCGAAGTCATCTTGATTTCTGAGCTCCCCGCGAGAGCTGCAAACAAGTTTGGATACAGCAAGAGGATAGTAGGCAGTCGAAGCAAATCGTTGGTGGTTGCACTTGTTGCCAGAATCCGGAAGGGAATCACAAGTTCAAGGTGGGGGGAGAATTGCTCTGGCACGTTACGTTAAGTTACCTGCCAACGCCAAACTCCGGACTTACCCTTACTTAACCACTACTACTACTAACTACTACTAGATTCTCGACTCTCACCTCGACTATCTCAAGTGTTTCCCCCAATATCCAGACATACATAACCAGCCAATGCACGGCTTCGCAAAAGAATTAATTGAATCATAATGGCTCGTAGGGTCTTTAACATGCAGCCCATCGGCCGATTCTATGGCGCCAGCACCTCCATTCGACGTCCTAGGGTGCGCTCGTTCCTCTCTCTTTTTTTGTAGAAATACGTCGGGCTGTTAACGATCGTCTAGGAAATTACTTGTTTCTCGTACGATGATGAACATCAATTTCATCTGGGAGAGCCGTCCCTGCGGTACTACTACCCGCCCAGTCTTCCCGCAGATTTAAATCGCGGCTTTGATACCTTCCAGAAACTGGATGATGCAGCAGATGAACATCTAGATGCCCTTCTTGAGACGATCATCGCTCACGAAAAAGAAACGGGGAAGAAGTGTGAGACCGACATCATCACCTGGAGAGGCATGATGACCAAGGTCAGTAGTCGAACCATCGACCAGGTTCCTTGTGGAAGTCTTCTCTAATGGCATCGCCTAGATCTTGACCGCTCCGTTTGATACGATGAACGGGTTAGTGAGCTCTACCTTTTTTGTCTGTTTGACCAGCCTCGCTCACACAAGTGTAGGTGGGAAATGAACGCGACTAATTTTCAGGTGAGTGAATGAACTCCCGGCGTCCTGGTCCCTGGTAAATTTGGCAATTACCGGCTGACCTTCAAATTTCAGGGAACGATGTATGTAGGCCTCGAAACTTACCATCCTAACCAGTAATGGCTCTGACAGGTGCTAGATTCATCGAAGAAAACAATGCCTATAAAAACCAGCAAAAGCAAATACAGCACAATCAGAGAATGCCTCCGGGAATGGCTTCCCAGGAACTAATGGCATACTGGGGTACTGTCTATACAAGCTCCGTCCCCGCTGTGTCATCACCCTCTAACAATATGTAGGTTATAAGTTCGAGACACTATCCCTCCTCAATCAGACATGGGATTCGACTCCCCGCAGCGAGATTGAGGGTCGTGAAGACTTGGTCGTGAACAACAATGCACAGTACTGCTCTATTGTTCGGACAGGAATAGGTAGTACCCGGCTAGTTATCGGTGGAGAGGTCGATGCCGGTATGTAAGAATTCAAGAACGGAAGCCTTTTTCTGTTACTCTTTCGATCTCGGCTGAACCTTCTAACCTTATCTGATAGTTTGGGATTCCAAACCTGACCGCAAAGAAGATCCGATCAACTGGGTGGAGCTTAAAACCTCAGCCGAGATCAGGAATGATCGGGATATGGTTAAATACGAGCGGAAACTTCTGAAGTTCTGGGCTCAGTCTTTCCTACTTGGCGTCCCCAAGATTATTGTGGGCTTCCGTGATCAACAAGGCATTGTCCACCGGCTCGAGGAGCTCGATACGGCCAGCTTACCCGGCAAGGTCAAGAAATTTGGGAAAGGGACATGGGACGGAAATATCTGCATCAACTTTGCGGCCGAGTTTCTCGACTGTATGACTCGTCCCCTTGCTCTCGATATTGGTAATAACCTGCTAATGTGCACGAGGGTTAAAATCAACAATATGTGAAGAAGGCACGTGGAGAATTCGAAAGCCTGAGAAATCGTCAGTGATCGAAGTTTTCAAGACCAAAGAGACCGGGACAGGTGATATTCTTTCTTCGTCGTTTTCGACTTGGCGTTCTTCGTCTTGATCAACGCCCTGCCTGTGCACCTTTGACCGTTGGCTCCATGAAGGTCTGCAAGTGCGAAGCATCCCTAGCCAACGAGTGCTATTCCTGAAGCGATCTCATGAATGCCTCTGGCCAGCGAAGGGCACAAACTACGCGCAGATCTTCACTGGTGAACTTGTGGCGTGGCAGTTCCCAACACCGTTCTTGATATTATGTCACGAACGGGTACCTCACACGCCATTGGATTCGAGATGCAGGTGTGGGCTCTATGTATGAAAGGCGACGGCCGTGAGTTCTTGTTCGGATGCCTGAGAACTATAGTTGCAGCTGACTAGCTGCATACGAGGGACTAAATTCTTGGGAGGTATGACTTGTCTTTTTGCTAATATCCAAAACCATGACTGTACAATAGTTAAGATGATATCTAATGAAAAAGCAGGCCCGCTGTCTTGGGGTCCAGTGCTCAAATATTAATCCATAGATTATCCGTAGCCCCCAGTCCACCCAGTGCCTTTCGGCTAGAAGCTAGGATACTATACAGAAGACGGGCAGCTGTCCTTGGGGGGCTCAGTTCCCGAATCTTCTTCCTGTTTTCTCCGCAGCTGCTCCGCCTTCTTTGCGGCATATTTGAGCATTCTTCTGTGGACCTGCCCGTTGATGTGAATTTGCCATTGCTCCTCGTTGGTCATGGTCTTGTTGCAAATGTCACACTTCATAGCTTTAGACTCTGGCCGTGGACCCTTCTGCAATTGCGCCTCTTTTGCACCCAACGTTTTGCTTGCCAATTCTGAGAGAGATTTGGGGTCAGGTGTAGCTTCGTCCCGGAGCAAGGATTGAACGAGAAGCTCGGACGGCTCAGTGATGCACTTCTCCCAATCATCAACGTCGGTGCTGTCCAAAAGGAACAGCCGGTGTGTCATACCAGCCTCGGCTAGGGTGTTCCAAAGTTTGTTTCGAATCCATTTGATCTGGGATGCCGAATATTGACGGGTTGCAATCTTGATGAGTTCGATGCATGACTTCTTCAGATCCTCCAGTTCCGTCTCACTTCGGAGACCACTATGCAATGCTTCAAAGTAAGGCGCCAGTTCCTTGAATCCAATGGCAATCCATACTCCACGGGTAGGCTCAACGGTGATGCCTTGCTTGTTCTTCTCTCTGAGATACTCGAACATCCGCTCCGCTTCTGTCATTAAACCTTGTTCCATCATACTATCCACACGTTGATCGAGCCGAAAATTCAAGACATTCTTATCCGAATGGACCCAGAATATCATAGTCGGGAAGCGTAGCTGTTGCGCATCCCCTTGCGACTTTTCATCGGACACGCCTTGTTTCAGGCGTTTCTGCTCGGCATAGACCTCCGATGCGGGCCTTCCCGTCTGGAAATAAATCTCTAAAGAGCGGCGGATTTTCCGCGTCTCGTTTGGATGCCAGCGATCGGCCATAACCGGGTCGACCTCTCTGAGTTTCTCCAAAACCGCATCGGGATGCGCATCAAGAATTGGCCATTTGGCCGCGAGCTCCGCCAATTGATCGGGAGCGTCTCCATCCGTATCCTGATCAGTCGAGGACTCCGCAACGAGCTGATCCTTCAGCAATACTGCTTGCGTATAGTAATGAGTGCCCCCAACAAGTATCGGAATCTTCCCCCTTGAATGTATGTCCCGGATCAGCCGAAGGCATTCGTTCTTGAACAAGCCCACTCGCCACGGCTCTTCGCCCAGTCCGATGCAGTCGATTAGGTGGTGCGGAATACCATTGCGTTCCTCGACTGGAATCTGGTTCGTAATGATGGGAAGACCGCGATACATCTGCATCGCGTCTCCATTGATGATCTCACCATTGAAGCGGGAGGCAAGGTCCACTGCAAGCTATCTGCAATTATCAGCTACCGGTTCTTCTTCATGGGAAACTCTAGTCGCCGCTCCAACTCCGGTTTCACTTACCTTGGATTTACCGGTGCCAGTGGCACCAACGACGGTGAGGAGGGGCTCCATTATCGACAAGGGCCTGATAGGAGAGAGACAACGAAAGAACTGACGCATGGGAAGAACGTACGAGGGGCACCTAGCATCTTCGTCTCTAAGTCTGAGGGCACTATGTCAGAGAGGCCATCGTTTTCGTATCCAATTCAATCAAATGAGATGGGGCAGGGGGAAGATAGAGGGGAAAAGGCGCAAAAATTCCGACTGATCGGGGAAGGCGGTGCGGTGCGCCTCCGTTATCGACGGTCGCATCCATCGCGTGATAATGGCCTGCCATTCTTCTATCTTCTTCTTCTCTGAGTCACTGCTGGTCCTTGATCAAGGACCATAAATATCTAGAAAAGATCTTGTGATTCTTCTTCTACCGTTCGTTGCTTTCGATCCTCTCTCCTTGTGTGATATCTCAGGTTCCATCTAGTCGCAATGGCCGATTCCCCCGCACCTTCGATTCATGTTCAGAACCTGACGTACCAATTCCAAGATGGATCATCTGGTTTGACGGACGTGAATCTCCAGGTACCCTCCGGGAGCCGGACTCTACTCATTGGAGGTAAGAGAAGCTACTGCGCCGTATGGCTCGAGACTATGGATACTAACAGAATGGCAGCCAATGGCGCAGGCAAAACCACGCTGCTCCGCTTGCTGGCAGGTAAGCGTCTCGCTCCGAAGGATACGATTTCGATTGGAGGCAAGGATCCCTTCACGGACGGCCTCGAAGGGGTGACATACCTTGGGATGGAATGGGTTCTCAACGCCATCGTCCGCTCCGACATCGATATTCCCACCCTACTGGCCTCGGTCGGCGGGGACGCCTACCCCGAGCGAAGAGACGAGCTGGTGGAAATCCTTGACATCGATCTCAATTGGCGCATGCATACCGTCTCCGATGGCGAGCGGCGTCGCGTGCAGCTGGCTATGGGCTTGCTCCGGCCCTGGCAGGTGCTGCTTCTCGATGAGATCACCGTCGATCTGGACCTCCTTTCGCGGAGCAATTTCCTCGCTTTTCTCAAGCGTGAGACGGAGACCCGGCCGTGCACGATCGTGTATGCTACGCATATTCTAGACAATCTGTCCCAGTGGCCGACTCATCTTGTGCATATGCACTTGGGAAATGTACGGCAGTGGGGTCCAATGGAAAAATTCAACAACGAGGTTCCGGAAACGTCGCAGAATAGTCAACTCGGTGAGCTCGTCCTCAAGTGGCTGAGGGAGGACCTGAAAGCCAGAGGACCTCGGAATGGGCGACAGGGCCAAGGCAAGACCTACGAATCTCTCGAGGGAAAAGGTGGATATGGGTTTGAAAAACGCAATTGATCATGCGACTTTCCCTTCACCTCTCTCTCTCTCTCTCTCTCTCTCTCTTTACGAATCATTCAACAGTGATTCATGTCAACCTTACTGATATGATCTGCATGAACGGGGTTTACGGCATCAACGGCGTCGTTTGCATTTAGATCGGGTGGATAAATTCAACATCCCCAGGAGTTCTTTTAACATATATATCTCTAGCGAGATTTTCACTTTTGTACATACCTACCATTTTCTTATGAAAAGATATTGGAAATGTCATACACGCGCATCGAGGTATCTTCACTCGCGACAGCGAGCTCGAACTTACGCTTGCCCACCTCTTCTTCCTCTGTTCCGGTAGAAGGCCGCCAAACCAATTGCGTAATGGTCTTTGAGGGGCTCAAACGTCGATCAACGCTTGCCAAATGCTTAGGTTCAAGGCTGTCGACGGCGATTTGGTATATGGATACCTCGCCACTATCTTCTCCGGCCGCAAGGACGAATGAGTTCTGCTGTGTTTGGGGGTAGAATGAGATGGCACTGATGGAGGTTTTGAGAGGCACTGTTGATTTGCACACGAAAGTGTCTTCTTCCCTCTGCCATATTTTGATAGACTTGTCTCGGCCCGCCGTCGCAAATATGGCGTTGTCGATGGCGGGAGCCCAGGCGGCATCTAGAATCATCCTAGAATGTCCCTTGGGATTTGATGCGAACAGAGAGAACGTGGACGGATCTTGCTCGCTCCGGCAAAATACTGCCCATTGACGGTCTCTCCCCACACTAAGAAGATAGCGGTCATCTTTAGAAAAGGAAAGGCTTGTGATCGTCAAAGAATGTGCTGTGAGGGAAGGTCGGATCTCGCGCCAGTCAGAAGTAGAATACAAGCGAATCACCGCGTGGTCTATTGAGCTGGCTTTGCAGGCGGTAGCGATAAGGGTACGGTCATGGCTGGCGACCACCGCTGAGATTTCGTATCCATGGCCATAGAGCTTTTCATGCTCAGGCCACAATGTATGTCGGGCAAGTTGATCCTCAAGGGGAGGTCGATCTGCATCTGCTAGTAGCGTCTGATTTGCTTGAGTATGTACCATCTCCGGGCCATCTGGACCGTTTCCTTCCACATCCACTGGAGCTTCGTCACCGAGAGCTTGGTTCGATAGCCCCAGAACCGGGATCTGCGCCGTATCCGGGAGCTCATCGTCGTTTGATGGCCGGAAACCAGAAAGCCTTCCCAGCATCTGAGCAATGGGTTTTGGTTCGTTGAAGACCCGCAAGAGTTTTTCATCTGCACCCGACACAAACCGCGCCGGTCCCAAAGTATCAACACAATTCAGATCATATCCATGAATCTGCGGTCGGGAGAATTCATGCCACGAACTAGAGTCCGCTCGTAACCATTGTGCATGAAGCCTCGTTGTCTGGTCGGCACTAGTCGACATGAGATACCCTCCGGTGGACTCCCACTGCACACCGTTAACCGATCGAACATGTCCGGTGATACCCAATGACTGCAGCCAAAAATCGGCTGCTTCGTCGTAGTTCCATAGCCTCCAGCTACCTGTGCGGCCGAGACTGACCACACCCTTGCCATCTGGTGCCCAGAGACCGATCCAGAAGCCACCAGTGCTCCCCGTGGCAGTAGTAGATCCCTTTTGTACACTGATTTCACCCATCCTCTCGGCGGATATCCAAACTCCGGAAACCGAATCCTGTTCCCAGATGGTCAATGTATTGTCCGCAGAGGCGGACAAAAGTTGCTGACGCTCGCTGTTAGGGTTCCACGCGGTGGTGTAGATCCAGTCTTCGTTTCCAAACAAAAGTGCCTCGAATGTGACAGAGTAAGTCGATCCCGATGTGTGTAGTTGGTGCGCCTTGTTCTGTAAAGTTGGTTCAAGACCCGCTATCATGGTGTCTTCATCATCTTGCGGCAATGACGGAGTTACCACACCCCGGTGGAACCTCCACAGTCGTATGTATTTGTCCTGGCTGGCAGAGGCAAGCAAAAGGTCGCCGACCTTGCTATTCTTGTCATAGGTAAACGACAGGGAGCGTACCCAGGCCTCATGGCCAGACAAAACAGCGGAAAGCTTCATATCAAAGTCGACAAGAGTGCTTTCGGCAGTGTACAGTTGAATGACGTTCGTGGTTCCTGCGACTGCCAGCACAAGAGGACTATTATTCGCTTCTTTCTGGAGCCGGGTCAAGGCTAAAGCCAAGGGAAAGAATCGTGGCTTCAGGATTATTGTCTGAAGCAGTTCGCTTTGGCATCCTTCCTGAGAGGCAATCCTCCAAATCTTCACACTCCCATCCGCTGCTCCCGACACGACGACATCCGTACCGTCGGCAATCGCAAGGGTATTCACCGAGCCTGTATGTCCTTCCAAAGTTTGTGCCAGCGAAAAATGGCGCTTGTCATCAGAATCCGCTCTCCAGAGCCGTAACGTACGATCAACAGAACCGGTCAGAAGGAATTTCTCGCCTGTGGTGGGACAGGTGTAAAAGCGCACGGCGCTGACCTTGTCGGTATGGCCAACGAGAAGAGCATAGACTCCACGAAGCGAACTTTCCTATAGGCGCAAGATTAGATCGAATACTAGCGACGCATTGGAGCATAAACTTGGAATGCTTCATACCCGGGGATCCCACAAAGCGACATTATTGTCTGCACCGAAGGCGAGCACGCCCGTCTGCACGTCCCAGTCCGCGGCAGCGGGGTGTCGGTTGCCGCCAACACTGATATAGTCGGTCGTAATGGAGACCATGGAGCCCACTTTTCTTCTTGAGCCCTCTCGAGGCAAGTCTATAACAATTGACAAATTCGTCCAGGGCCGCTGGTCGTGCGGGGTTCAAGGAGCAGTCACAAAGTCCGGAGAAAATAGAGGGCGGACTTTTTGTGCCGCAACTTGAATCTTATCGATAAGCGGGTCAATTTCCCCTCGACAAAATAGAGCCCCTCCTGCTCTCTCTCTCTCTCTCTCACACACACACACTCTCTCTCTCTCCATGTCTCTCGTCTTTCTATATTGAAAAGCAAACCCCGACTTTAACGGGTCAATTATCACCAATCCCTCTATACAAAATGGCTGCCTCTGCGCCTGATCATATCTCCATCACGGTTGAGTTTACGTACGTTCTCAACATCTTCAACTCTCTAGTTCCTTATTGGGATTGAACAAAACCTGGTCAGGGGTGCTAACTTCTTGAAAGTGGTGGCTTAGAGATCCTTTTTTCGAATCAACGCAAACATGACATCACACTACCGAGTCGCTTGGATGACGGTAGCCGGCCCAATATCACCTTCCTTCTCGGATACCTCGTCGAAAACGTCATGAAAGACCAGCGAAAGGAGCTGTTCATCCTAGAAGATAACGTGTACGTCCGGGGAGAACCACATAGCTAGCGAGGTACTAACATCGTCATACCAGGCGACCTGGGATTCTTGTTCTCATCAATGATGCCGACTGGGAACTGGAAGGAGAGGAAAAGTACGAGCTTCAACAAGGTGATAATATTGTGTTTGTTTCTACATTGCACGGAGGCTAGTGTATTTCCGGTACCTTTGCACATACGGCCACCAATATCACGGGCTTTGATCAATATCAGAAAGGAAACTCTAGCCATGTTCTATGTCGCTCGCTCGCTCAGTACTGTCTATGTTCACGCGAGTGCTCCGATCTAGACAACATCTTCGACATGCTGTTGCGAAATCCTTTCAGGCTCACGAGGAGTGCGAAGGCCGCTCTGCGGGGTCGAGAACCCTTCCTTCGGGCTGCCTATCCCACCGACTAACGGAGTATTCACTTCACTGGGCACAGGGATCTTTATATCCTCCGGTGAGCCTGGAATGATCTCCTTTGGAAGTCCGGGAATGTGAATTCTGCGCGCCTCGTTCTGGTAGCTTTCGGGGATAATCTGCAAGATTCAAGTCAGCTAAGCCGTGCATTGGCCAAAGAAATGTATTTCTCACCTCAATGATCTCGTCACGTGGGAACTCTAGGAATGGAATATCCGCTGCGTTGCATGCCATGAGGTAGCCATATAGAACCCTCAAGACGCTCTCATGAGCAATAATAAGAAGATCATTTTGCTCCCGCTCAAGCTCCAAGATAACGGGCTCGAGACGCACGGCCAAATCGTGGTATGACTAGGACGGTTGGTATTTAGAAATGGCAGCATTGCAAATGGCACGGGTGACTCACCTCAGCTCGAGGATACCTGTGGTGATAGGGATCAAGTTCATGTTTTGCAACCTCGTCGGGATATTCTTCGCGAATTTTCCGTTCCGACATCTTTTCACAGACACCGGGATTCAATTGACTCAGCTGCGATCTTTGTCGAACCTTGTACCCAGTCTCGTGGAGATATTGTGCAGTCTCGATTGTTCTCCGTCGGGTGGATGTCCAGACCGTCAGGGGTTTGAGTCCACAATCGATCCCGCCTTGATTAGCCATTGCCTGCATCTCATCTTCCCTATGCTTGATCAAACACTCCGTCATTTTCCTCGCATAGTCTTCCCCTTGCTCGGATAGCGAAGCGTCTGCTTTATATGAACCGGCTTCTAGCGAGACACCGGCCTGGAGATCAAAGGTTAGGAACCTGCCACATCCTGCGTCTAGGTCGACTTCAATCCACTCACGCGTGCAAAGTATGTGTGTCTTGATTTTATGTGTAGGTTGAGAAGATAGAACACAATTCTATGAGAAAGATAGCCGAAACTCCGATTGTTCACAATCAACCTTTCCCCTGCATTGATCATCTGTTTTTTTTTTTTTTTTTGTAGTTAGCTTAGGAATGCGTAGCCTCGGCTGGGTAACCTACTTTTATGTAATTGAGGTCCTTTTCCTCCATGGTCTGGAACTGGGGAATTCGAGCAGTTATCCGGGTCAAGTAGTGCTTTACCGCTTCCTCAGAAGTCCATCCGACGTACTAGTCATAGTCAGAGAGGAATGAGCAACACATTTTAGTGCGGCCCTAACTCACATCGGGCGAAGATATCTTAACCCTGCGGACATTCTCTTCGATGATGCGCTCGTCGTCACACCATGACTCAATAAACAGAGTCTTCCTCAAAAGGTATGTAAGCACCAACACGCTAACCTTAACAGGGCCTATCCATGTTCACACACCTCTATATCATGCTTTGCAAATTCTTTTGCAAGAGATCGCCGGCCGGAAGCCAGTGGATTGACCGCATCATAGATCGCTATCTGCCCGTTTTCGTCGTTCAAAAACTGGTAAATGTCTTCCCTACATCTTTTTACAATCTTTTGTCGCAGAAGGACAGAAGAGGCAGAAGCTGCAGTGTGTTAGTCAAAGCCCCTAAAAAAGGATCAAGAGAATAGCGCGACGGAAGAGGCAAAACAATGAATGAAGATGTCGGAAAAATAGGTGGCGGAATGGCACGAGTTTGACGCTATGCTGACTAGCAAGAAAGGAGAAGCTGTTATCACTTGCCATTGACGAAGAAATAATCATCTGGAATGTCTTGGCCAAAGGGAATTGTAGCACGTCTATAATCTCCGAGGTGGAAGATCCTGGTTTTGACACCTAGCCTGCACAATCAATCAGCCAAGAGGAAACATAGAGAGGGTGGGAAACAAGATAGCCAACGCACCATCTAAGATAACGCGCCAAAGCTACCGACATATGGCTAAAGTAGGATGGTTGGGTTAGCGATAGCCATGGATCAGTACGGCCAGTTCAGGTCAAACGAACGTCTTTCCCCTCGCCGGTAGGCCCACGGTGATGATAACGATCCGGCCTGAGTGAAAAAGCCTACCAGACTCCGTGCTATACAGCTGAGCCGGGGCGAGATCCGCCTTCTCAGGTAAATCATGGATTGCATCGACGAAAGTCGACGATTTCCGACGAAACCGCGGGGAATTGGCAACAATGTCCGCCGTTCTAGGAGCCAAAGTCAGTCCATCTATTCCAGTTCTCCGTGGAAAAAGTGTAGAACTGCAGTGACGGCGGTGGAAACAGTGATATCGGTCTCAGGGAGATTGCCGGGGCACAACTTCATCGGGAGGCAGGTATAGAGGCAGCAGGGCCGAAGATAACACCGCCCAACTAGGCTTACAATAAAGTATCCATGGCGGTGTGAGTAGTCGAGATGAGAAGTCCAGGAGCAACGGTCGACGGCGTACAAGGTACTCAGTACATCCAACGATGAAACTGGAAGGAAGCTAATGCGCAGCAAAGGGAGGGAACAATGATTTCTCGTCGGCAGGTAGCGGCGGAGGTAGTGGGGGAGTAGGTAGCAGTTAGGTACACTCCCTAGATAACTAATGATCATAAGAATAATGTGTAAGCATGTACTCGTGTGCAATGTTCTATAAAGGGCAAGTAACACATGGAAAAACTAACTCTGTCAATCAATGTTGAAATCAGAAGAAGTCCGCATCGCCGACTAGACAGGTTCGAACTAGATTCCTTGCTGGATAACTCACTATCGTCATCTCTGCTCGCCCGGACCCCGGGTAGACCCAAAGCGGCTTAGTGATGTTGGGCCGCCCGCAGGCACCCAAGACGCAGGCCGGGCGGAAAAGCAAAAGTGACATTTTTTCAGTCCGGACTTGCAAGTCTCTCTCAACTGCCCTGGTGTCTGTTTTGTCCCCCCAGCGTCGTCCCTTCACCAGAGCACGCCAGACACGACCCTTTGACTCGAGTTCCCTTTGGTAACGTTTAACGTTACTTTGCTTCTCTTTATACTCTTTTAATTCATTTTCAATCCTGGTCTCAAAACATCCTGTTCCTGACGCAAGGCCGCGCGCAAGCTCGTTGTGACGACGACCACTCCTATATACTCGCGTCCTCCCTAATCGACAAACAAACCCCTTCGTACAAGCCACAATGTCCGATCTCGCACCTTCGTTCTTGACGGACAATTCCGTCGCCGCTGCCCTCAAGGATGCATACAGTTCGTTTTCAGAGCGAAGGGCGGCCCTCGGCCTGCCCAACCCAGGAACCGTGGAGAACATCGCCAGAGAGGTGCAGAAGGATGTCCTATTGTCCAACTTCATGTTCACAGGTCTCCGGGCAGATCTAACCAAGGTCTTCGGCATGTCTCCTCTGTTCCGTGTCTCGCACGCTTTCTCCATGGGTTCGTCGGGGAACCTGCCTCCGTATGCTTTCTCGGCCATGTATGGAAGTCCCAAGGTGGGTAAAGCTGTCGTCCCAGACGCATTTCTTTCTCGGAATTCTGTTCCATTTCTCCTTGTTTTTCGCTATGGAAAGCTAAGATTCCACCTCCGCGGTTTTAAAAGGTTTTCATGCAAGGTAACCTCGGAAGTGACGGTGCGCTTGCCGCTGTCGGCAACTACCGTTGGTGCCCCAAGCTTGTCACCAAGACGAACACTCAGATCATGGCCGGTGCTAGCCAGGGTCTGATGCAGATTGATAACGACTACACTGGCGATGATTTCTCCGCCTCCTTGAAGGCGTTCAACCCGTCCCTCTTGGATGGAGGCCTTACCGGAATTTTCGTTGGTAGCTACCTTCAGTCGATCACTCCCAGCTTGGCCCTTGGTTTCGAGGCTATCTGGCAGCGTCAGGCTATGAACGCTCGCCCGGAATCTGCGGTCTCTTACAGTGCCCGGTACAAGACCAGCGACTGGATTGCTAGCGCTCAACTCCAGGCCCAGGGAACCTTCACGGCTTCTTACTGGAGGAAACTCTCTGAGCGTGTTGAGGCCGGTGTTGACATGAACCTTCAGTTTGCTCCCAATGCTGCAGCGATCATGATGGGTGGACCTAGCAGAGATGGCACGACTTCCATCGGTGCTAAGTACGACTTCCGGGCTTCTACCTTCCGTGCTCAGGTCGACAGTGCCGGCAAGGTCAGCTGCCTGCTCGAGAAGCGGATAGCTATGCCCATTGCTTTGACTTTTGCGGGCGAGATTGATCAAGCTAAGGTGAGTGGCCTCCCAGTGTTATACTTTTCGCACACGAGATACCGGTGAACCTATTTACTAACGGGGCTTTCTTTCTTCATAGCAAACGGCTAAGCTTGGTCTTGCCGTGTCCCTCGAGATCGCTGGCGAAGAACTGATGGAGCAGCAAGATAAGATCGAGGCGCAGGGCATGATCCCCCCGCCGTTCTAAATTCACGCAGAACATGACTGCGGCTAATCGCCCCCGCCCGCCGGCTTTATACATCTTCACCCCTTTGTTTTATTAACACTTCACTCCCCCTATGTATGTTTGGAAAATGGTGCGCTGTCCCGGTTTGTTACCATGAATGCGGTTTGCTGGTCCAGGAAGGCAGTTGTTTGGCGCCATGGAAACCACCTTTTTGTATAGATCCATCTCTGGTTTGGTCTGAATTTCTTCTTTCTCCTCTGTTCCCTTTCACTTTATTTCGCTCCTAGGGAATCATCTATTATCATCTACCTTTGACCCTCGTCATTTCGTCACCTCCAACTCTCTTGGCTGGTCTCTATGACTGCTAAACCAGCATTGGGGCATTTACAGGGAGCTGTTACTATTCGTTATGCATCATAGATGGGCAATGTAAAACATGTTTTGATTGTCGTGAACTTTCGTATAACGTAGGGATAGTAGAACAAGAGCACTTCCGAGCACAAGGGGGGAAAGAACGCAAAGAACTGTTCGCAGCTTTAACACATAGTCAGTACAGCACTGAGAATCAATGTTTTTCTTCCACAGGGCCGTGGCCCCATTTGCTAAGCTCATGTTGCTTGATTGCCTGCATTACAGAGCAAATTCGCGAGTCTTGTCTTTTTCCCTCTAATGTCACCACCTACATGTAGTATGCAGGAAGACAAGTGCGGAGGATACGACGAGTCTTTTGTACTCTGCAAATGAGAGATAATAATAATCTCTTGAACTGGGGATGGGTAGAGACTAGAGAGAGCGTGGTGACTTGCAAGAAGCAAAACACGCCTACGCAGTACGCAATACTCCGTACTACAGAGGCCCTTCAACCTAGCCCGCCACGCTAAATCTTTAGCATGGCACCTGCTAACCAAGCTAGGAATCCGGAATGCATTATTATCGAAGCGGGCGGGACCATGGGGGCTCAATTCTCGGTTTTCGGCTCTCACATTGCTGTGAAATTTGCGCTGCGAGAATGTGGGTGGCTTCGTACATACGGAGTATGGTGCACATAGGTAGTAAGTAGCCTACTAGTCTGTTAGTCGTTTCCCCAAGCTCTCGCTATTCCAACGCAAAAGCCGGCAGCCATCTCCGCGGGATTTTGGGAATGATATAAATGAACCCATCCCCATCTACTCCGTACTCCGTATTCTTTAGATGCATCGTACGAAACCGGGGCAAGTCCACCTGGGCTTCACCTCGGTAATACCCAATACATGGGAGGCTGCAGCACGCCGTTCAAGTCTCCACGCAGGCAGTGGACCCAATGGCGACCCATCGAGTACTCTGCGTGTATCATTCGTAGATACCTACGGAGGAAGGGCTGAAAGGGCAGGAACATCCAATTAAACGAGAGACATATACCAAGTATTACTACGGAGAAGTGAAGGGCACGGTTCAGAATGGGTCAGGGAGGTCTTTTGCATCCAATACTGGGTACGCAGGAGAATATTAAATATTCAGTAGCACTCCGTGCATACTCGGTACTGCGCAGGACAATTCGCACCGCTCCGCTTGCTGGCTCTCCCAACACAGCCAATTCAGCAAGAATCTCTTACTAAATCATCACGTTAACCAGTCTGCTTTGTTTTTCAATTGCAGCAGCTCTTTCTTTTGACCTTCTTTCTCTTTCTTCCTCTGCACCTGCTCTTTCCAGAGAGGAAGAACCATGGTTGAAACTGGCGTCCCACCACCGAGTACGGCGTAGTCCTGTGATCTGAGGTCCACTATGATATCATTCCATCCCCGAACGAATTTCCTTTCTAGGGCTCAGACATGTAGCATGCAGCTTTTTTTTTTTCTTTTTGTTTTCCTTTTTTTTAACCCTCTTCTTCTCCTCGAGGGTGGGGGTAATTTTAGGGGAAAAGAGGGGCTTTCCAGTTTCCCATCCTTCTGACGGGGTAATGTTGAACAGAAGGTGGAAAATAATTGGGAGATCCTTCGCATTATTTGCGGTATTAAGGCAACCACCACTGGCCCAAGTCCCGTGTACAGTACGTAACAGGCCTTTGTACCGAATGTAATCACAAAACCACCTCGTACGGTGTAGACGGGGTAGAATGCCACATTGGTTTGTTAGGGACGAGAGATGACACTCCAATGGTTTCTACGAAATTTTAGAAGATCTGGATTCCTTTTTCTCGATTTTGGCACGTTCCAGGCTGCGTATAAGTTGGCCCTGTATCAAGATTGTTTCAGAATAGGAGTAAAGGTAACAAGTCAATGGATACCTGACCTACCCGAGGTAACCTGTACCTGCCCGGTGGCACGCTTGTACTGTACACACAGAATGTTGTATGATACACAACGTGCCTGGGCCTTAGCCGCCTTAGGCACCTACTCGGTGTACTCATGACTTCTTACTCTAAAGTATCCGGAGTAAGTGAGGGGCTGGGCTCGGGATACCTGGAAACAATGGAAAAGTGTAGAGCACGATAAGGTTTCCCCTCATGTCTGAGGATTGGTTTTGTCTCCTGAAAACTGCCATCTCTGACTCCGGAATAGGGATGGGTTATGCTCTTGCTCTGTGCACGGCAAGTCGTTAGTAGGTAAATTACTCGGGTTCAACTAACTCATTTTAAGCTTTATCCTTTGGGCTTGAGCCTCTGGGGAGGAGATTTCTGTTTTTGCGTACATGCATATATTTAGCCATATACCTACATGCTGTGCCAGTAGGATTTGACTGGATTGAAAGAACGACTGGAAATGCCGCATGACGTCTACAACAACTTGCTGGGCAGTGGCGCCGAACGCTGTCCCAAAGGCAAAATCGGGTCACATGGGGGGGGAAGCGTTCGGAAGATGAGATCTGCTGATACTCCGTACTGCTCGGACCCGGGGATCCGCAGAGCCTGACACACTCAGTACGCCGAAGGTCGAAGGTGGCCATACCTTATACCTAGTTACCTACTAGGTATACGGAGGCCCTACGGTGTACACCGAGTAGACCGTCAGAGTGGATACATCTCCAGATCGAGCTGTGTCAGCTGACAGCTAACTTCGAATCAAGGGATTTTCAGGTCTAGTTGCCCAGGCACTTCCATACAACGAATGTGACTAGAGACAATGGAGGATAAGATAAATACAGTCTAGATTCCTTCATCTACCTTTAGGTATTTGTCTCAACGGGAAAATGCGGCCGGGGAGGGGGAGTATGGAAAGACCACCGAGTACAGCATATGGCTGCATAACGCTTAATTAGTTGAATCTGCTGGTCTAACATGATGCAACTACTAGGTAGTGCACGGTAGCAGATACTCCATAAGCAATGGACCTGATGACTTCGTTATAGAGTCAGTACCCTGAGAATGTCCATGGATATAGCTTAGGCATGATAAACCCATCTAACTAGTTTACTAGGTAGCTTACAGCAGCAGGTAGTACCAGGTACACTACGTAGGTGGCAGAGCAATCAGCCAATCGAAGGGCCCATGTCAAAAATCATAACTGGTCACTTGACACCCAACAGCTGGTACCTACGACCGCCGCTACCTTGGAACTGCTCCGCTCAGCGCAAACAGTTCGAGTCTCGGTCATAGGATAGGATATAGGAGATGTATTACCGAGCATTTCACCCGTAATATTACCTACCATGCCTTACCTGACATGCAGTAGCACCGGTACCTGTTACCTACAATGCAATTAATACTACAGATTTAGAACATAAATTGCTGCCAAAACACCAAGAACCATCTGATAAATTCGAAGTAGTCTGGAGACAGATTGTCCTGCCTTTTTGGAGTGGGCACTGCCACAACTGACCTTGACCGGACAGTCACTAGTCAACATTCTTAGCCCGGCCTCAGGTCACTACTGCTTTGGAACCAAGGTATCAATTCTTATTAGGTACCACTGTTCTGGAGAGGCCTGGTACTCATTTTGCACTGGTTTACTTACCAAAGTGGCAGTCATGAGTTCGGCCTTCTGGGCTTTCCCGTATTGGGGGGTGTACGGCAATGATCCCTAGTATAGAACAGAACAACAATGTATAGATAGTAACTATGTTATCATGTGCCAATGATCAAAAAGACCAATTTGCTGTTATTGTACAAAATAGATTTGAAGAGGGAGCAGGAAGCAGATTTGTATACCCTCAGGTAAAGGGCAGAAGTCACTAGTACTTTTTTCCGAAGAGGGAGGGAAACTTAGAAGAAAAAGAGGATAAAATGGACCAAAAACAATTGTAAAAGCAAAAAGGACCAGATAGAACAGTCTACAGACCAAACCTCTCTTATTTGACCGGAGCGGGCTCGTGTGTTCCTTGCCATCTTTCCTCTCCTCCCGGTGCTTTACTCCCGCGTTCCTGCAGCCCTCGCGTGTTCGGGCTTCGTCGCTCCATCAACGTCACCTGCTCTCTCATCCCTCTGGTAGTTAAGAGCATTACCACCACTCGCTCATTCAAACTACCCGCTTAACCGCCCTTCCTTGGATTTCCTCCACCCGCCCACCTCTTCCCTTTCCTTACCCCCCCTGCCACATTGGTACGGACTACGGCGTGAGCATTTCTCCATCTCTTTTTGAGTTGAAGGCCCTTGATTTTATTTTAGTATTCTCTATTCAATTTTCCCATTCCTTCCCCCCCCCCCTCCCCTCCCCTTCCTTCCTTTCCCCCATCAACACCTCTTGTCAGAGGATCTGCCTTTCACTCGTCTCGTTGCAAACTTGCGTCGGTCGGCCTGGTCTGCTCTGCTCTGTCTTTGTACTCTTGGCACCATCCGAGTCCATTGGCCCTTGATCTGAGCCCTCCCTCCTGCGATTCGCCCGTCCACAAGTCCGCTTCTCAACCTTTCCATCTCACGCGCACCTCCTCCACTCAACATTCACGATTCGGATATTCCGCCCATCTCAGAACACCCCTCCATTCTAGTGCTCCACCGACTACACTCCGCCCAAAACGGACCTCACGCTTTACATCCACTCCTCTTCCCGCCACTCACTGTTGAACTGCAGTCCCCCCTTCTCCCGATAGCGCTGCCCGACTTGACGCCTGTTTCCCTCTTCACCAGACGTCCGTGATGTCACAGAATAGGCCTGGGGTATTCTCAAGCTTGCGCATGGGTGGTAAGCAAATAATTTCTTTCGTCCGATCCTATGGTCCCGATAGTATTCCTGGGTCTCCAATACTGACTTGTTCTGCTCTTGTGGACCACACAGAGGTCGTTCGTGAAAAGGTCCAAGATGGACTGACCGGAGAGACGAAGGAGATCTCCTACTCACAATGCAAAATCGTCGGCAATGGGTCATTCGGTGTGGTTTTCCAAACCAAGATGATGCCCAGCGGCGAGGACGCTGCTATTAAACGAGTCCTCCAAGACAAGCGTTTCAAGGTATACTATCGCCCGTCGCTCTTCGTCATGTACGCGTTTGCCTAACCGACTGTCCTTCAGAACCGTGAGCTACAGATCATGCGGATTGTGCGCCATCCCAACATAGTTGAGCTGAAGGCTTTCTATTATTCCAATGGCGAGCGCGTATGCAGGACCCTCTTCCAGTCTTTCTAAACCCATGATCCTCGTCACTAACCGTACTTGACTGTCAAATCCAGAAGGACGAAGTGTACCTGAACCTTGTCCTTGAATATGTCCCGGAGACTGTCTATCGGGCCTCGCGGTATTTCAACAAACTGAAAACGACCATGCCCATGCTAGAAGTCAAACTCTACATCTACCAGCTGTTCCGTTCTCTGGCGTACATTCACTCCCAGGGCATCTGCCACCGCGACATCAAACCCCAAAACTTGTTGCTCGATCCGAACAGCGGTATTTTGAAGCTCTGCGATTTCGGTTCCGCCAAGATTCTAGTCGAAAACGAGCCAAACGTGTCATACATCTGCTCTCGCTACTACCGCGCCCCAGAGCTAATCTTTGGCGCAACTAACTATACCACGAAGATTGGTAATTGCCGGAACCCCGAAGACAGGCGATCTCAGACAACTAACCTCTGGCAGACGTATGGTCGACTGGTTGTGTGATGGCCGAGCTGATGCTTGGACAACCCCTCTTCCCGGGAGAATCGGGGATTGATCAGCTTGTGGAGATCATCAAAGTGTTGGGAACGCCGACTCGCGAGCAGATTCGCACCATGAACCCCAACTACATGGAGCACAAGTTCCCTCAGATCAAGCCACATCCTTTCAATAAGGTATGTCGCGGGGACCGCTGTCCAATCTTGTTTTTTTCTAGGGGGGGTGTACTAATTTAGCGTCCATAGGTCTTCCGACGGGCTCCCCACGAGGCCATTGACCTGATCTCCGCTCTGCTCGAATACACGCCAACCCAGCGTCTTTCTGCTATCGAGGCCATGTGTCACCCATTCTTTGACGAGCTCAGAGACCCCAACACTAAGTTGCCTGACTCCCGGCACCCCAACAGCTCGTCAAGGGATTTGCCTAATCTCTTCGATTTCTCTAAACATGGTATGTTCCGGTCCACTCAATTTTTCCCTCCCCACCTGGTTTGCTTGGAGGGTTGTTTAGGGAGGGGCTAGAGGAGGAGAGACGAACGGCGAACTATGCACTAACGAAACTATAGAACTCTCTATCGCACCGGCCATGAACGCTCGACTAGTTCCTCCCCATGCCCGCCCCGCGCTCGAAGCTCGTGGGTTAGATATCGATAACTTCACACCCCTTACGAAAGATGAAATGATAGCACGTCTCGATTGAGTCAAGTTGTGCGATATTTACGAAGTACATGCCTGGTCAGAGCGCTGCTTACATGCACGTGTGCGGCAACCGTCTGATGTCATGCCATACAAGTTCCTCTTTATGCGTCGGGCAATTTCAGAACATAGGGGAGAGGTTTGGGTTGTATACCTATTCTCTCGGCGAGAAATCCAGGGGCTGGCTTCTCTGTGGAAATATGGAATAGGGCGAAACAGAAGCGAAAGAGAAAGAAAATCAGCAACTCGAAAAGAGAGAAGGGGAGAAAAAAGAAGAAAAAAGCCAGAAAAAAAATTATGAAAGGAAAGACCCAGAAGGAAAGGGAATGTTTCCCTATCACAACTGGAAAAGTTCTTTTAAAGACTGTGGATCATGATTTTGTCGCTCAAAGAGTGTGACGAAATGACATTGTCTGGAGTTATTGAGGTGTCTGAGACAGCTCAGAGGAGAGAAAAGTGATACCCTTATTGCGTGAGTCTGCCTTTCCGGGGTGCAAGCCTGCATAGCTTCAAATTTCAATTGAAAGGAGTGGCCATGGAAATGGACAGCGCAAGTGTGATTAACATGGATGGGAAGATGAATAACCTATCAATGCGTCAGATATTACGAGGATTTCTTCTGCTTCCATTGCACATTATGGATGTGCTTATTGGCATGCTTTGAATATATGTCTGGAAGACCATACCTCCCGACTTGCAGCTCTAGAGACTCGTTTCCTGTTTTCCTCTTTGCCCATTTTCTTTCGTATGCGCATTTATCTATTTTCCCATCCATGTCTGTTCCTTGCCCATATGGTTCTTTCCCTCAGCCCTTCAATGTTATAATTCTTATTCCTGTTATGTCCAGTTCTATCCATTTTACTCTGGTGATCATATTTATCTCAGCTTTTCCCGTGATGAAGGTACATTTTTCTTAATTCCGAGAGAACCCGACTCATCTCTTTCCTTTGACTAGCTGTATGCTTGATCTCCCTCTATCCTAGAGCCTTACATGAAGTATACTGGATCACTTACCTTCTCTAGAGTGCATAATCACTGTTTTACGATTGTAGCTTATGTTGACTGCTATCGTACGAATTAGTTCCTTTCCACCCCAAGTCCCCGAATAACCATTAGTTGTTATGATTCCATTTTTGATTTCGTCTCTTGTTCTTCTCGTCCAAAGTTCCTTCGGTGCCGGCTGTGTTCCACTTTCATAGTCAGAAAACCCCTATAAGTCGTTTAGAGAGAAATGCCAACCGAAGAGTGGGGTTTTTCCTTTTTTAACCTATAGTTCTATTTTGTTGGAAGACCAAACAGAAAACCTTTTGAAGTCAATAAACCGTGAGAACTGATGTCCAACTACTCTGCTCTTATATAAGCAACGGGGCGGATGATCTCAGTTCCCGAGGTCCTGCAAAGGCGGGTGTTTTTGCTCTTACATGGACGCGGTTGGTTGATTGGCATCTCTAGCAAAAGAGCTTATAGCTCTCTACCTTGTATGTCGCATTTGCCAATTCCTTCCCAGCTCTCATTAAGGAATACAATCCGTGCACAAAATACTTTGAATAAGCAATAAGGTCCAGCCATGGCCGACTACGAACGCCGACACCACGGACCTAGGGGTGGTGGTCGCAAGAGGCGCTACAGAGGTAAGTCCGCTCTGCAGCTTAATACCGTCTAACCACGAATGCCACCCTCGTGGCATGCGCTACCAGGGCTGATGAGAATCCGCAGATGACGATGACTATGACCGCCGCCAGCAGCGGCGCAGGTACGAGGAGCCCTTGGTTGTCAAGGTTCGGAGGCAACTGCTGAGCATCGCCGAATCCGTACGAATTACTCCCCTCCCCCTTCTCTCCCGACAGAAGCCTTAGGCCGCATTTATACATGGGAATCCTCACTCATATTCTCTTTTTCAGGCAGCCAGGAGGGTGGAAGACGATGCGGTAAATATCGCGAAAAGCGTGGCAGACAATTACGAAGATGAGGAGCTAAGGAACACATTTGTTGATATCTCACTTGACCTGTATGTTTGAGCCTCCCCTTTGATAAAGGCTAAGTTTTCAAGTGCTGATGAGATCCTCCTGACAGTGTTCTCGAACAACCGTTGAAGATCCCTTTTATCGCTGCAATCACTCTCGTCGCCAATGCCTATAAATCGGAGCTTGTCTCCGACATTCTGAAGAAAGCAGGTGAACTTCTGCAAAATCACGTTGAAGCCGGCGGATGGCGTGAGACAAAGCTTCTCCTCCGATTCTTGGGCTGTCTTCAGTCCATCTTCGAAGGTGATGGTATCTTCCCTATTCTAGAGGAGCTCTTCACGCGCGCAGTTGATCTCCAGACAACTTCTTCCGAAGATGTGAGTTGCCCACTTTACCGCGTGGTTTACCCTTGCTGACCTTTATGCGACGCGCAGTTACTTGGCTTGGAGCTCGTGAAAATCATCCTCTTTACGATTCCATATGTGATGGCCTCCCCTGCAACTGGCTACGAAACCTCAGCAACCGCCCTTCTTGAAAAAACAGATATCATTGCCTCCACCCCCCATACGCTGGTCGATTTAGTGAAACCCTTCGGTCCAGAGGGTGAGCAACCAGGCGCTGTCCAAAGCGTCATTAGTTTGCTTCAGACCCAACTCCAACAAGAGGCCACCCGAGGCTGGGAACTTGTGTGCCTTCCTCGGCCCTGGAACGGCGTTCAAGGAGATGAGAATGAAAACTTTCTCGAGACAGGGACAAAGCATGCTTTTCCTCAAGTGACCGTCCCCAGCCCCGTCAAGAACGGAACGAGAGCGATCTTCCCGGAAGTCTACTTTTCGGTCTACTCAAACCAGGATATTGAGACCGTGCCCCCTACCTCAGATATATCTTCGTTATTGTTGCGAGACACCCTTGTCGACACCATCAATATTCTTGACTTCAACCGCATCGCAACAGCCAAGTTTCTCATAGATGTTGACTGCTACTTCACGCCCCATACCTTTGTGAAGCGCGCAACACCGTTTGACAGGTTACGGGAAATCCCCGGAGATCGACCAACATGGAAGCCGGAAGACGTTGCCGTGGATGCGGTTTTCTCTCAACTATTTCACCTCCCTTCTCCGGAGCATAAACTTGTTTACTACCACTCTGTTCTCACGGAATGCTGTAAAATCGCACCGGCCGCTATTGCCCCGAGCTTGGGGCGTGCTATTCGCTTTTTGTACCGCGGTCTGGAAAGCATCGACCTGGATCTCAGCCACCGATTCTTGGACTGGTTCTCACATCACCTGAGCAACTTCGGGTTCACATGGAAGTGGAGCGAATGGTATGTATTCCTCTGGATAGTTTGAATTATCCAGGAGGCTGACCCCTCGTTAGGATCGATGACCTTGAACTTCCCTTGGTTCATCCAAGAATGGCTTTCATTACTGGGGCACTTGATAAGGAGATTCGGTTGAGTTTCGCGCAGCGCATCAGAGGCACCCTTCCAGATCCTTACCAGGATTTGATACCAGAGGGAAAGGAGAAAGACACCCCCGATTTCAAGTACTCCGTCGATAGTAAGTGGGAACTCTGTCTGGCATTTGTGTCCTATGGGCTTTGTCACAAGCTAACTAATCCCTTCTCCACCCTTAGCTACGCCGTATGCTACCGAAGGAAGGGAACTCATGCAGCTCATCCGCAAGAAAGCTTCTGATGAGGACATCCAGCCCATTATCTCGTCTATCGAGGAGCAAGCCCAGTCGCTAGGCGTCGAAGTCCCAATGCTTCCTTCAACCGATGCATTTGTCACGGCTATCTGCTTTGTGGGCTCGAAATCTCTTTCGCACGTTCTATCATGTATCGAGAGGAATAAGGAACGACTCCTAGCCATCGGACCGAAGTCAAGCCTTGCACGTCGCCAGATCATCTCTTCGGTGATGGACTACTGGGCCGATCAGCCGGGTATCGGCATCAACATCATCGACAAACTGCTCAACTACACCATCCTGACGCCACTCTCGGTCATTGAATGGGCTCTGGTGGATAAACTAGACGCGGGGTCTATCCTAGCCAAGACGCACGTCTTTGAGATGATTGCAGCCACTGTCGGCAAAGTCACCAACCGCCTGCGGCAGATCGTTGCCGCACGAGTCCAAACAGGACTGTACGAGCCCCAGCTGAGCGTCCTGGATGAGACTTTGATCCGCGAGAAGGCAGACATGCAGGCCCTTTTCAAGGTGATCGAGGACTCCATCGCCCCCGTCGCAGGCGGGAGTAACGACGAGCTCATGGAACGGGGCGACGGAAGTGGCAACCTCCCGGAAGATGCTATCATCCGGCAATGGGGTTCTCGGTGGCTGAGGGCTTTCCGGCGCAAGGCTGCTGTCGAGGAATCATTCATCACCGAGGCTATGGTCTCGGCCACTCCTGTTGGAACGCAGGCGCCTGCCCTTCCTTCGGAAGATGCACCCGCTGACGGGGACATGGATGTCGCCGAGGCCGACGGAGCCGCTGATATTTCCTGAGTGTATCGATGTTGTTCCCTAGGACATCAACTGTAGATGCCAGGCAGAGCGAGCAGAGGTGAACGAACCTTTGCTTTCCGAGGCATTTGAGGCAAGCCAATACCTGGACTGAGCGGCCCGGAGGATGTGAGAACCACTGTCACAGACTTCTTTTATGTAGTTGTACAATCAATCGATTAACAAGAGACCCCTTGAATTCTCCAAGTTCACATAAATCATAAGAATATTCCATTGCGTTGTAGTAAATTCTCTTAGTCATCAAAATGGCTGCCTTCAGAAGCCACCACCCCTCAACATCATCACAAGTTCCAAAGATATTAATGTACAAAAGAATTGAAAAAAAAAGAATAAAATGAACAATAAAAGGTGGGTAGACGATCGAGCGTACGCCCTCAATCCATAGACCCAGCGCCTGAAAGCACCAGCAAAGCGAGAGCACATTGGCAGAGGATATTAAGAAAGTGAATAAGAACAAGGTATGAAGGGCCAAGACAAAAGAGTAAGGGAATATTAAACACTGTACTGAAGGGTTTGTTTGTTGTACACCGGCCGCGCAGGCAGGAAGCAGATAAGAGACTCGTAACTGGCCTTATTATCCGATGGAAGAAGACCAAGTTACGCAGGTTTCCTTTTCTTTTTTTCTTTCTTGTTTGTTTTTTAGTCCTGACTAGGACGGTTAGAGAGATTCATCGTGCTTTCGATCCATTCGCGAGCCAAAAGCAGGGAGCAACTCGACCTAACAAGTCAGGAAGGGGAGAGACAATGCCTAGATCGACTTGCGTGAAACTTCTCTCGCAAAACTCCGAGGACAAATCACAGCTCTTTCTTGGGTTCTTCCTCTGCCAGGTATTTGCGGTCGTCCTCGCCCTCGACGTCCTTGAGGATAGTCTCCATCTCTTTGGTTTGTCGCTTCCACTCTTTCTCGCCCATTTTCGTCTCGCGGCGGAAGAGTTCCTCATTAGGCTGTCGGTAGCTGCCTCCGAGACGATCCCAGAGAGTCGTGAATTGTCCGTAGTTATAGTTGAAGTAGAGATGGTGCATCGTGTGGCAGGCAGCGCCGTTAACAACCGGGCTGTTCGCAACATATTCTCCGTCGTGAATCAAGACAGTCCAAAGGTTGATGAAACCGAAAAGGAGGACGTAGGCAAATTTCTGGAGAGGAAAGATGAACGGGAAAACGTGATAAGGAACGCTTTGCGACCAGCCATCCAGCGGATGGAATGCGTGCGATGCGTAAGGGCTAGGCATAATCCACTTGTGGTGAGGCTTGTGCAGAGTCTTGTAGATCAACGGATGATGCAGGCCGCGATGGATCCAATAGATGCAAAGATCGGTAAAGGCGATAAACAATGGGAACTGCAGGATGCTATAATACGGGAACGGTTCGTCCGAGAATCCATCGTAAAGCTTAGCATATCCCCGGACCTCGGCGACCAAGAAGGGCGCGGTCAACAGGGACATGATAGGCATGGACCCCATTGTTTGAGCAATTTCCATGGAGATTTGGTTTTTGAGGAATTTGGGGTGTTTGACGGTAGTTTTGTCCCAGATGAATATGTACGAAAGGGTCGCAGAGATGAAGTACACGATGAAACCAAAGATCCTACATCCGAGGGGGGAAGGGATTAGCAGTCGAGTTCAGTGCAATATCGAGCAGATGTGACATACCAAACAATCAGAAAGAAACTCAAGAATTGGCGATAGATGTTGTTTCTAGGCCAGGCGCTCATGTATGCATACTTGGATGGTTCCAGGTATATCAATTGGGTAGCCGGTTCGTAGATGAAAGGTTGAGACGCGCCGAAGAAAGACAACGTGCTGTTGGCAGCATTGGTGAAGCCAGGAAAGGAGACTGAAGAGGACAGAGACGCTGGAAGCAGCGTGGCGTACATAGGATCACCAATGAAGGTGTCCCAGATCTCGAGGGCGATATCCATGGTGCGCTAATAAAAAGAACGTAAAGGTGGTGGGGGGAGGGAAAAGGATGGAAGAGAAGAAGGGAGGGGGGAGAGAGGAAGAAGAGGAAGAGGAAGGGAAGGAAGGGTAAGATCGATAAGAACAACGGTGCACTAGTATTCGGCAGGGAAATTAAGATGAAGAAGAGAGGCAGATGCAAAGAATTCCAGAAGGTCGGGATGAATAAGAAAGCAAACCGCCTATTGGAATCAAGCGTGGCATCACACCAGGCGGAAAGACCGTTGCCGTTTACTTGTTTGATTATAAAGAAAAAAAATAAAAATATTTTGCCCCCCTTCCTCCCTTCGCTCTCCTTTTCCCTTGAGCAGAGTCTGGCCGGTGGCTCGGGGAGTGGGGAGAACTACTCCGTAAGATCATCAGGGGAATTTATTCCACGCGAGTTCTACTGTTCGCCGTAGAACCGAAAAAAGGGTCAATTACCGAAAGAAGCTGCCTCGCCGGGAAATAATTTTATGTATCTGATTGCACATGATTTAGAGAGTACATTGATATAACTAGATATTCGGCAGTCTCTGAGGTGTTCTCCGCACTCCGTAGACAATCCGATTATTCCATTGTGTACCTGCATTTCCAGGCCGCCTTAGCGTTGCTCCGTGCTATACTTCGTGTACTCTACGGCCTACCTCTTCGTATGAGACCTGGAGCTTATCAGATGAATTATATCATCAGATAAATGTATTTCCGTACTTATTTCTATATGTAGATTGCTCTTTATACATACTGAATAGACAAGGGCATTGATCTGGATGTTCGGTACTAGGTACAGTAACTATTTTGACGGCATTCAGTCTTTGTATAAGTCCCTTCTGCACGAAGATAACCTGGGAGAGTCAGTATACTAACCAGATACTCTGTAGATACCTTAGAAGTAGTACTCTTAGAAACTGGAAAGAGAAGAAGATGCAAACGTTCTCGGGAAGCCCCGCCCAGACTAAAGCGACTAAAAAGGGGGGGCGCGGCCGGCGTCGCTTCTCGCCTATCGCCTCGCTTCTCGCGCCAAACTCTCAGCCGCCCGTCGCCCCCATCGAGTCACGCCCGACCTTTGCGCTCGAGCTCTCTCGAGACTGTCATCGTTCGTTGGTTTCGTCTATCTATCCTATCCTTCCTTACCCTCCTCTCCCACCACCACATCAATTCATCCATCGCCCACTCTCTCTAACTTCCGCCTACTGCACTCCATTTCCCTCGACTCGGTCGCAGCGGTTGTTCCTTTCGGAGCGCGCTGTGATGCGGCTGCATTGACGTTCCTGCTCAGCAGTTTCTGTCGTCTCTGGTCAGTCCGGTCGCCGAATTGAAAACCCCATCGTTCGTCTCTCGCCCTCTCGCCGCGAACAACCCAACCCCAACCTCATCACCCTTCCTCCCTGATCGCGGAAGGTGATTTTTACTGCCAATCCATTACTTCCTCCCGTGCTTCTGGTCGCCTCGAAGCAAACAACCCGGATAGGAACGTATTACGCGCAATGTACAACGCACATCGCGGGATGGTTCCCGCGCCCAACTCCCGTCTGACGGAGCTGTTGGACCAGTTGCGCCAGGAGTTCGAAAATCAGTCAAGAAGTACTGGCGAGTTTGAACACCAATGTATGTTACCTTACTCCCCCCTCCCCGCTCTCACTTGGTTTCCCGGGCCCGTCTTTTCCCCGGTTGGAGACGGACAGACCGTCACTTCTTCCGACGTTGCTCCATCTCGACTACGAAAATGACCCCGATGCGATCATTCAATCATCTGCTGACTCGATCCCCACCCCGCCGCAGTAACCGGCCAACTTCAGGAAATGGAGATGATCCGACAGAAGGTCTACCAATTGGAACAAGCACAGATCAAAATGAAACAAGAGTACGTACCCCCAATTTCTCCCTCCCCTTCTCTCTGTCCATCCCTCTCCGACATAAATGATGCTTTCTATCGAGGAAGGCTAACCCGGCGGCTTCGATAGTTATGAAGCGGAGATCCGGGTGTTGCGACATGAGCTTGAATCGCGCGGTGTGCCGACTGTTTCGTCTCATATTGCCGGTCCTGCACCGCATGCCGGCCCTTCTCAGCCCCCTCCGCCCGCACTGGGCCATGGCCCAAGCAACCTATTCGGTGGTATCATGACCAACCAAGGAGGTAGTGGTCCCGGTCTTGCCCCTCCCCCTCCCCAGGATCAGCAGCCTCCCCAGCATACCCTTCAACAGCCTGCTGCCGCGGCTCAACAAGGAGCCCCTCAACCACCGCAGAGCTCCTTTGGGGGCTACCAACCTGGCGCTGCTGTGAACGGTATGTTATGACTACGTTCTTCCTCTTCCTCTTCTTAAGGAACCTCTAACCCCGTCTTTTTCCATATTTTGTAGGCTATGGACCCCCTCCTCCGCCAACTGCCTCCCCGGGCCCGGGAAAAAGACCCCGAGCTCCTCCCGGCCCAGCGACCCCCCAGCAAACCCACCAGCTGGCCTACCCGGACCCTCGCGTGTCTCCTCAATTGGCGCGGCCTACCCCTCCTAGCCAGGCCATCGTGCGCGAACGTCCCGGGAACATGCTGGCCAACTGGAACCCCGATGACTTGCCTGCCTCGCAGAAGCGAGAGGGGGCTGACTGGTATGCCGTCTTCAACCCCGAGGTGCAACGAGTGCTGGACGTCGAGCTCGTCCACCATCTTGTCCATGATAGCGTCGTTTGCTGCGTTCGTTTCAGTCGCGACGGCAAATATCTGGCTACCGGCTGCAACCGCTCCGCCCAAATCTTCGACGTCACCACCGGTCAGAACGTCGCCACTTTGCAAGACGAGAATGTCGACAAGAACGGAGATCTTTACATTCGTAGCGTTTGCTTCAGCCCGGACGGAAAGTATCTCGCCACCGGAGCCGAAGATAAGCAAATTCGCGTAAGTCCGAAATGCCACTCCTCCCCGGGTTTCCTTCGCTGGTCCTGTGTGAGATATGGCTAACAACAGAAAACATAGGTGTGGGACATTGCCGCCCGAACCATCAAACATATCTTCACGGGTCATGAGCAGGACATCTATTCCCTTGATTTCGCCGGCAACGGCCGCTACATCGCGTCCGGCAGTGGCGACAAGACCGTGCGTCTTTGGGATATCCTAGACGGGAAGCTTGTCTACACCCTCAGCATCGAAGACGGAGTGACCACCGTCGCCATGTCTCCTGATGGTCACTACGTCGCAGCCGGATCTCTTGACAAGAGCGTTCGCGTTTGGGATACGACGACCGGATACTTGGTGGAGCGCCTTGAGAGCCCGGATGGCCACAAGGACAGCGTTTACTCGGTGGCATTTGCCCCCAACGGCCGGGATCTTGTCAGTGGCAGTCTCGACAAAACCATCAAGCTTTGGGAGCTTAACGTTGCGCGCGGAGCTTACCCCGGAACCGGTTCCAAGGGTGGTAAATGTATCCGAACCTTTGAGGGTCACAAGGTACGTCGGTCTCTAGTTGTCCCTGTTCTATTCTACTTTTTGAAGGTATACCCGGTAGATGTTTCGGTAGTTGCTAACTATACTGGATAGGACTTCGTTCTCAGTGTCTGTCTGACCCCCGACGGTCACTGGGTTATGAGTGGCTCTAAGGACCGAGGCGTTCAGTTCTGGGACCCTATCACCGGTAATGCACAGATGATGCTCCAAGGACACAAGAACTCCGGTAAGTCTGCGTCAAGCGCCCGAGCACTTGGCGACGTCTTTGCTAACAGGGCCACGCAGTTATCTCGGTTGCCCCCAGCCCCACGAACAATCTGTTCGCGACCGGTAGCGGGGACATGCGCGCAAGAATCTGGCGGTACGTTCCTGTCTCCCCTTAAGAAATTGAAGGGCCGAATGGTCTTTTCACCATCCGAAGGCGTTACTTACTTGGCTCCCAGATACTCTACGTACACTGGACGGTGATTGAATTGCGGTTTTCTGGGAATCTCGGCGCACGTGTGATTGTTGATCTTCTTCTCTCGTTCGCTTATGTTTCCCCGTGTGTTCCATGTCGCGGCTAGTTTGATTTTACCTTGATTTCCCTGCGTTAATGAAGGCGACTTCGTTTTCCCATTCACCGTTCCTCCATCTACGTGCAAATGCGATCTCTCGGAAAGGCGAGGCTGGAGGATTGAGGGATAGAATGACAAGCGGAGAAGAGTGAGGTTCTGGAAAGGAAAGCGTGTACGGATAGTCTGGCGAACTGCTCTCTACTGTTTCTATGCGTAATTTGGAACTCGATCTATCATGTATCATGGATTTGCTGGGTTATAACTTATAAGGTGGTGACGTACTTGGAGTCCCGGTAGCGCCCTGGCCTCGATCGGCGGCCGACTTACGTAAGTGGACCGACCTGCCTCAAGAATTCCTGTCAATTCAGCCGGTGGATCTATCAACTTTCTATCTATCACCTTCCACTTCCAGGCCGGTTTCTGATTGCGTCGCCCCCTCCCTCCAGCGGACGCCCTGACGATCACGAGGGCGCCGTCCATTTTTAGCCCAATCTCACTCAGCACGGCGCGACCTGCATTCCTTCTGCTCGCATGCATGCACACCAGTCAGCCGCGGTGGAATTTCCGGGGCCATTGGCGGCTACTGAGAAATGAGAGGATGAGACCGACCCCGGTATTGATGATTGACTGTAAGGACGTGGGAGACCCTCCGATACAATATCCTCCGAATCTCTCGATAGGGGTTGTAATCTTCTTTGACAATCGGAAGAGGACAAATGCTGTGTAGAAAGAAAAGACACAGAAAATAATAATTCAAAACAAAAAAATAAGAGAATTGTCCTGGTAGTCCCTCCCCTCTCGCGACCGGATCTAAATCCTGTTGCACCGGGCGAATGGTTCACTACTGTCTCCTCAAAGCGATCCATCGATCTCTCTAGCTTCCCCGGGGCTACCGCTAATCTCCCTAGGCCCGTCTCGCGATCCATCGGTGGGATGCACGGAGGACGGAGGACGGTGTACATATTTGCTTGAGTCGTTTTTTTTTTTCTTTCCTACCCAGTACTTTCCTTCGCAGTTCCACGTGTTCAGATGATACAACCAGAAAAATCTGACGTCCATTTATATCTTTACGGACTGGACTGTACGTATCATGACGGGGGGACCATCAGCTGAAGAAGGGCCGGCCCGTCACGGCAACGGAGAGAGAAACGAGCAGGCGGCCGATCTTCTCAGGTCTAAGTGAATGATACTATGATTGTTCTCGTCAAGGGCGGAAGTTGTCCTGCCCATGGATATAATTAGCGGTTCAATAATATAGCATAGTCAATTCAGCTGCATACAGTCCGGTCAGGTCAACTCGGACGGGACAGGGATTGATCTGGATCCAAAAGGGAAACTAGTGATTCAACTGGGGCCAAAGAAAATGTCAAAGTCCAATCCCAGTGCCAGAGATTTGTCGCCAGTCGCGGCTGTTACAAACCACAAAAGAGTGAGGCACATTTTGATTTTTGGCCCAGTTTTCGCCAAGGCGCCAGTCAGCGTGACTATTGATCGCCTGCGGTCCGTCTTTTAGGAGTACTTACTCTCTGTGTACTCCACCGAGTAAGTCCATGCGGTGGTGATCGAGGAGATTCCATCCTCTCATGGCTCATTATTCTCTCCAGACGACAGAGTCTGATCTATTCTCCTACTGTATGTGATGAAATAGCTTCCGACTCTCGTCTGGAGTTCTCGGGTCCTGTGCAGCGCATCTGCAGCCAGTCTGGGCATCACCATCCACTCCGGAGCTGCATGATGGCTTGGGCTTGCCTTTATCCACCACGTTACTCGCTTGACTTTCACCGTACGTACACAGGGTATGTACTTCCTCCCTTGTCTGCCAGAGTATACCGATGTCCTGTGTATGTACCTACCTACTTCCAGTAAGTCACTGCCTTGATTACCACACTAGTTAGATAGACCTGCCGTTCTGCTGGCTGCTGCAGGGTGCTTCCCTCATGCAAACAATGCGGCGATGATCGGACTCGGGACTTGTCACTTGGAATCCCAGAAGGGGTTCCCTGCTGATGCTCCAAGCCACGGTTTCAAAGAGGATCTACACAAGACGTTCATTCGGAATGAGAAATGATGATGATCCACCCGGTCATGAAAAGGGAATTAATAAAAAAAAAAAAAAAGGCGCGCTTGTGTCGTGCGGTGGAAACGACTCGAGTCGCCCCTCTCTTTTTTTGATTAACATTTTCATTATTCATTCAATTCTTTTTTCTCAAAAATACAATCACTTCGCCCAAGTCCCAACAGTCCAGGTGCCTGCGTGGATGACGAGGGTGTCCCGGTCGATGCCCTTGCTAAGCTAACGCTACTTAGCAGCGAACAATACGGGAGGGAGAAACAATCTGGTAAACTACGAGAAAGGATGACAGGCGACCAGTCCGGAATTGAATTGGAAAGCGGCCTGCTTTGCCTTGGGTTCGGCTCGGTTCTTGCTTGGTCGTCGTCCCCCACCCCTGCGCGGCGAGGTCAGATGATGATGATGATACTGATGATGATGATGGCATTTACAAGTCATGGGGGAATGGCGAGGCAGAATGGAATGAGGGAGAAGACGGAGATCCTGATCCTTGTCAGAATCGTATTTTGTGACAAATTTGCCCCCCCGAGGAGGTCAGAAATGATTTCCCACCCTGCATGCGTACCTGCTTCGCCAGAGCAAGAGCCAGAAGCCAGAGACAGAGACAGAGCCAGAGCCAGAGCAAATACTCCGTCCCGTCGACATGGAGCCCGATCGGACCGTCGCCTGGTTGTCTCGTGATTGGGTCAAGGCGAGGCTCCACGATCCTTTCACTGATAGAAGTCTTTATTCTACCTGGTAAGGAGCGTAGGACTAACTAGGACTAAGGAAGTACGAAGTACTCCGTACTGTGTCAAGTCGTTCATAACCACGATGCGCAATATTGTCGAACTAGTACATCGTACTAGTCCCCTGGACTAGTCACTGTAGTCCTTCAGACCCCTGCCAAAAGTCCCCATCCATCGCCCCATCTCATCGTGTTGGGCGGAAAGGGGGTTTGATTTCATTTGATTTATTTGATTTTGCCCTCGGGGTTTTCTGATTCCCTTTCAATTGCATCCCAGCTGCCTTTCGTCTGGTAGGTAGGTAGGTAGGCAGAGAGCAGCTTGACCTACTCTGTGTACATATACATGACTCTATACTATATACTCCGTTAGATAGAGGGCCGGCTTATCATTGGCATCGCTATGGATTAAACATTCCAACGAGTTGAATTAAGGTCGCGGATCTCACATTTCTTTTGCCTGGTCTTCTTTTCTTTTGTGGCAGTGTCTGGGCATCCGGCTCTTCAGTAACTAGAGAGGAGGAGGAGGAGGTAAGGTCAGTACTTTCGGGGGGAAGGCTATCTGCCTGTCAGCTTCGCCCTGCATCCTGGGATTTGAAGCTGAGCACGCCGTGTGAGTGGAGACCCTCACGGCCTTTCTGCCATTGGATCCTTTTTCCATTTTATTTATTAGTATTATTTTATTGGATTTGGACTTATTCTTTTTCTTTCTTTCTTGATTTTGATTTCTGCTTCTTGTTTTTGTTTTTATTCTTTTTTTTTTTCTCTCGATCGGTGTACTCCATTCCATTCCCCCTTCATCATCTAATTGATACTTGCCTCTCTGGTATTCACTGGCGAGGTAGATTCCTCCATGATGGGACAGTAGTAAGGCACCTTGTCGGTATATCCAAGGGGGAAGCCATTGTTTCAAGTGCTCATACATCACCATACACACCTGCATGGGATGGATGTACATCATGGACCAGGCAGACGTGGACATGGGAGACACTTAGCCTTTCTTAGACCCGATTCTACAAGCCTTCAGCTAATTGTCCACCCCCGCTGCTTCCACTTCCCTGGGACTTTGAGAGAAATGATAATAATCATGATGATTCATGTTATTTGTTTTTTTTTTCTTTTCCTTACCCCGTATTTTTATTTTCGTTTAATCATTGGAATTCTAATCGTCCTTCTTAGCCCTCTCCGCTTTCTCTCACACGCTCTTTTTTTTTTTTCCTTTTTTTCTAATTGTGTTTGATTCATTTATAATTTTTATTTTATTTCTTATTTCAAAAAAATAAATTCAAACAGAAATGAGATAAAATAAAATAAAATAAAATAAGATCCCTTTCATATATCGCTAACTATTCCCTTTCTTCCTCCTGCCCTCGCCTCTGCGCCGAAGAGGCTGAGGAAGAGTAGGCCATCCGGCCGGGAGTATATATCTAGCTCTAGATAGGGTGCTGGTGAGTGCATGAACAATAAAGATACCTCCCGATCCTGAAAGAATCTTACTCTGGCTTAGTTTTATATAAGTATATTCCTGGATTATCATTGGCCGACCCTCGATCGGTATTGTCATATCAATATCATTATACCTAAATACTCTCTCTCTCTCTCTCTCTTCAGCCTTTCCTGCCTACTCTTCTCGCCCCTCGCCCTCTTCTCTTCCCTGCTCCTTCGTCCTTTTCCTTATATCCCTCCGTCTCATCTCTTCTTCTTTCTTTTTTCCCTTCGTCATCGTCTCCCCCTTTTCCTTTATCTTACTCTCTTCACTTGAACACCCCCCCCCCCCCCCCCCCCACTAGTCTACTTATATATACACATCCTTAATCCTATACTTGCATCTGTGCTCCTTCGAGCTGTGGGGATTCTGAACTAGCGTGTGATTTAACTCTATATATTTGCTTTTGTTCGCTGGGTCTTAACTCGACGGCCTTCTATCGTTTCGCAAGATCTCAGTTCGTTGGCTCCACAGCAGGAAGGGAAGGCAGAGAGGAGAGAACATCGTAAGTAATCTGTTTCCCCACGCTAATCTAGCGGCCATGTCTATAGAAAGGCTAAGTCTTGATAGTGCAGGCCTCTTTTTTCTGCCTAGCAAACTACTCGGGAGAAGCAACGTGGGGAGAGAAAGAGAGGGAGGGAGAGAGATCACAAAGACTCAAGAGACTCAAGGGTACAGGAGAGTCAACTCGACAAAAGCTGCTCCTTTCTATTGCCGTGCTCGAGTCATCATACCAGTCACCGGATATTTGGACTTCGCCGAGATGGAAACCGCAGAGCCAGTCCCATACGAATTCCCCGGCCACCCAGTGGGCGCTCCTCGTCGAATGATGACCTCGACTCTAGGCCAGAACTTCTCCTTCTATCCCAATCAGACGTCCTTCCCGTTGCCCTTTCACCAGTCGTCTTCGGCGGGTTACGGCTACAACCATGTCCTCAATCACCATCCCCACCCCCATCACCATCCTGGCTACCAACAGTTTTATGTGCCAGGCCACCAGTCAGTCAATTCTCAGCCGGCGCGCCTATCGTCGGAACCGCCGCCCATGCAGCCTATCCTAGACATCCGTCCGGCAAAGAACGCCGTCAATCGAGTGGTCAGAGATCCGTTGGTCAAACCTGAAGGAAACCCTAGCCCTCCCCGGATTTCAATAGTTCAGCCACCGACCAACGGAGCAGCAGCACGAGGCAAAAGCCCCGGCGCCACCGACATCGAGTTCTCCACGGAGGTAGATGTGCTGATGAAGGCTATTCAAGCGAAGAATGGAGCGCCTTTGCCCAACGTGCAGTCATTGCCCCCACTGCAGCAACTGACACACGGCGGTATCAATGGGCTCCCTCAGCCATATGCAGTCCCCCAACCGACGAACCCACGATGCCTAACGAGGGTTGACGAGCCCACCCCTCGATCAGGAAAGAAGCGTAAATATATCTGCACGCTGCCAGATTGTGGGAAAAGCTTTGCGCAAAAGACTCACCTGGACATCCATACGAGGGCGCACACCGGAGACAAGCCTTTTGTGAGTAGACCCAATGCTGGACATGTTCCATATCACTGCCAAAGGGAAGAAACAATGTGGTTGACCGGTCGTGTTCCTCCTTAGATCTGCAAAGAGCCCTCTTGCGGACAGCGCTTCTCCCAACTAGGGAACTTGAAGGTAAGGGAGTTGCCCATGACGCCGGCCATCGTGAAGGAACATGTTATCTAACGAGTCCGGTTGTGTCCATCAGACGCATCAGCGACGGCACACGGGAGAAAAACCGTTCTCCTGCGATATCTGCCAGAAGCGGTTCGCCCAACGGGGCAATGTTCGAGCCCACAAGATCACTCATGAGCGTGCCAAGCCGTTTACTTGCCTGCTAGATGACTGTGGGAAGCAGTTCACCCAACTTGGGAATCTCAAGGTGCGAACGCCAGATGACTCTGTGGAGGCTATGCCTGCTAGCCAGTCTAACCAGATCGACAGTCCCATCAGAATAAGTTCCATGCCGCCACATTACGGGACTTGACCTTGAAGTTCTCCCAGTTAACAGGAACCGAACCGATGACCGTACAAGACCGCAAGCTCTGGGAATATTTTGCCACCCTCTACAAGAACAGCAACAAGGGCATCAAGGGTCGCGGAAAAGACCGCAGGATTTCGCCCACGTCCAAATCGGACCCCGGGTTCGAGAGTCGTAGGAGACTGGGTGACGGTCGAGACAAAACACGACGGTCCAGCTTTGAGGAGTCATCCAATTATACCGGTGGCTCTAGCAGCGATGAGGAGGATGCAGAGGCCTATTATGTCGACAAAGAAGGTCATTGACTCGCCATGAACGCGTTCCAATCCTTCTAGTTTCTTTCCTTTGTTTCGAGGCGCCTTCGTTGGAATAAAGTAGGGCGTTTATACGATACCACGTTTGATTTGTCTTAGGAATTGGGTAGACTCGGCTTGCCGCCCACAAAAAGGGGGAAAAAGGACACAAATGGATATTCCATTCTTTCGCATCGGGCGATTGATCTATTTCTTCATATCGTTCATTCTCATTTTCATTTGTTGAGTGAGTGGAGGGGCATCTACACATCACACACCACAGTTAGGGGCCCCGCAAAATGACTATCGATGTCTGCTATGGAGGACATACGTACGGCAGAGCTCGGTTGCGGGTGAAAGCTTTGCGAGTACAGAATAGATTTCAATTGCCGTTAAACAGAATGAAGTGGTGATATTAGCTGCAGAAAAGTGGGCCACACAGGACAGGAACCCGAGGTATCGAGAATGAAGCATGGCTCAAGCACCGTGTGCTTTTGGTTTAGAGAACAGCTCCGGCAGATAAGCTCTGGTGTTCTCATACACCAGAAACGTCACCCATGTGCTAGGAAGTACCCGAATGAGATTCGGTCCCAAGCCCTTGTAGAAGCCTGCAATCCCCTCCTTGGATCCAATCTGTACCGTGGCATCCCAGACTCCCCGATACACAACATGCGCATCATACGTCTGCAGTCGAGACCGCAGCACCTGGTAAGGGTAGGTCACGCATCCCGCACAGATCTTGGACAAGCTGGAGATCACGAAAAGATCTAGGTTCCCAAGCTCCCGTCGCCGGGAAGCCGTCGCGTCACCACCGGCCGTGGACCCCGTGGGAGGAGACATCGTGGCCCGATACAGCTTCAGCTGTTCATACGCCATGAACTGCAGGGCGCCATGGCTGACGCCAAACAGGGCCGGAATAAGGCCCCGGTAGAACCCCCCGATTCCCTCCGAGCGATAGATTTGTGCTGCGCCACTGGTGAACGATGCATATGCCTCGGGCATTCTGGATCCGGTCGATAACATTCGCGTCTTGATCACCCAGATCGGATTCGTTAGGATCGAGGTCAACATGCCTGTAAAAGAGAGAAAGAGAAGGTCGAGTTAGCTGCTGCCGCTCAGCTACGTCGCCAATTCAATTCGCTCTCCCGTCCCTCTCAATCCCAAGAGAAAAGAGACAAGCCGTCAAAGAAAGCACAGCAATCCTTACCTGCGGTCCCCGAGGCAAGGAAGTAATCGGAGGACGTCAGCTCCTGGTCCCGAGACTGGCGAGACGTTCGCAGCAAGTCCTTGATATTCCCATAGCACAGAAAGTATAGCGCCCAACTGGTGGAATTCCCGATCACGTTGGGTGTCAGCCCCCGGTAGAATGCTGTGATGCCGCCTTCATGGTGAAATATCCCGCGGATCACCCGGAGTGAACCGCCTAGGCGCGAGGACGAGGATCGATCGACTGCAAATGGAAAGCCACGCGTGAGTAAATAGAGGAAAATTTGAAAATTATCGGGCCGTCCCTGCACCGGGCCTGCTTACCTTGGAGTCGAGTCTTGACCAAATCCAGCGGATGCAGACAAAGAGTCGAAACGATTCCTGCCGTGAATCCTGCTATGGTCTCCACCAAGGACGAGGACAAGCCATCCTGACCAGTCATGAACCCTTTTTCGAGCTCTCCGAGGGTCTCGAATCTGCCGAGTTTGGGGGAACGGAGGAGAGAGAGGGCAAGCCAAAAGAAGCGACGTTCAGTGCAGACGGAGGATTCCAATTCGTAACTGATCTAATAGCTAATCGTTTCCCGCCGGGATCGGGAGAAACTTGATCATTTCCGCTTGGCGTCAACCCGTTCAAGCCGAAGCATCCATACGACTCATCTGTCTACTGGTTAGGACCGTGCTGCCCTCGATTAACCTGCGAGAATTCCACGGGATTGAAGGAATGTCAAACGTGCGGTTACATTTGGCTGATGGCTATTCACCTCTAGCCCTGAAAAGGTAATCAAAGACGAATCGATCTCCCCGGATCTCTCAAGAGTTTGGAAAAAGAAAACGCCGTTCGGTCCGGTTCACTGTCACCAAAACGTGGAAAAGAAACAAGAGGATAGATAGAATACGATTTAAAAATACATTAGTGGAAATTCAACTTCGCTCGAGGCTCCTCCATCCCTAAGCTCCCGACTGCATGACCGGTCCAAAGTTTCGTAACCTGGAGGGGCAACCGTTTCGATTATCCCTCACAGATACTTGGTTCTCATTAACCCAAAGCCCCACGATCCTTTTTTACGCAAGCGGCGAGAAGAGCCTAAATGAAGGTGGTAAGCCGGCCGTGTGGGAGGTAGGACTCGCGAGGGGAATACCTACTTGAACAAGGACGGACGAGGTTCACTGTAGGTGTAGCCTGCCGCTGGTGTTAGTGATGGTTCTACCACCGTATAGCTCCCGCGAGTAGGTGCGAGGTGTCTGGATTTGTAGCGCTCGTACCGAGATAGACTATCAAAGGCAGGTATCCACTGGAGAGGGATGTTGTTAGTTCGATCGACTCCGGACAGGTTTCCGATGGCGGGTATGAGGAGACTCACTAGTGGATGGCAACTCTGGAGACGTCGACGACCTTGGAGATGCGCTCCTATTCAGCGCGAAAGAGAAGATTAAGCTGTTAGCATGGCGGACGGCGGCGGCGGCGGCAGCAGCAGCGCGGGAGAGAGAGAGAGAGGAGAGACCGGACTGAAAACTCACTTTCGTTTCCTCGGAGAACTGGACCATTTTGACGGGAATTTCAAGGGAAATTTTGCGGTCGATAGGAAATTAATCGCTGAGCAAAAGGGAGGTTCGAAAGAAGGATCGAGGACGGAGGTGATGACGGAGTTGTTGAAGCGCGGCCGCAACTACTCAGAAGTTTTCCGGGGTCGGGTTGACTAAAAATCCAAAAGGAAAAAAAGAGCCGCCGATAAACGCAGAAGCTCTTTGCTCCTCCCCCGATTGTCCCATGCTTAACTTGAGCAACCCTCGCCCACCCCGTTGTTTTACTCTCTTGAGTTGTTCATGGTCTAGTTGCTGGAGACTTTTACCAACCACTTTTCAAATTTCTGTGTCATTCTAAATCTCCTAAGCTATATCCGACAGTTAAGCCGGCACCATGTCCGGCGCAAGGCATTGGTGAGTTGAAGCCCTCCTACCCCCACCCCCCGTCTATTTGCGATCAGGCGAAACTGACAGCTGGCTACTTCTTAGGGAGCAAGATAAAGAGGCTACTGTCTATATTGGTAACCTCGATGAACGGGTCACAGACAGCCTGGTATGGGAGTTGATGCTGCAGGCCGGGCGCATCGTTAACGTTCACCTACCGAAAGACCGAGTCACCCAGTTCCACCAAGGCTATGGATTCGTCGAGTTTATCAGTGAAGAGGACGCGGAATACGCGTCCCGAATCATGAATGGCATTCGTCTCAACGGGAAACCAATCCGCGTGAACAAGGCATCTGCCGATAAGCAGAAGTCGGTGGAAATTGGCGCAGAGCTGTTTGTCGGCAACCTGGACCCTATGGTGACTGAACAGGTTCTGTATGATACATTCAGCCGCTTTGGCAACTTGATTACACTACCCAAGGTACGCTGTTTGGTTCTCTGAACCCACTGGTTTCTTCTAGGCACCCGCTAACCAGCCACAGGTTGCGCGAGATGACAACAACCTATCAAAGGGTTATGGGTTCGTTTCTTTCAGTGACTTTGAGTCTTCGGATGCTGCTATCACCAATATGAGTGGTCAGTATCTCATGAACAAACAGGTCTCGGTACAGTATGCCTACAAGAAGGATGGCAAGGGAGAGCGACATGGTGATCAGGCCGAACGACTGCTGGCCGCACAAGCTCGCAAACACAACGTTCAACCACCAACGCCATCGATACCGCCGCAATTTTCGGGCCCGGGGACTCCCATGGCTCCTGCAGTCGCTACTAATGATAACCCGCGACCATTGAGCACAGGCCCGCCTGATCTAGGTATGGGCAGAGGCGTTGCTTCACCAAGCGTTGGCTTCCAGAATGCGCCACCTACACATCCCAGCCGGCCCGTCCCTGTTCCCACTCCTTTGGCCAACCCCCCGCCCGGTTTGCCAGCGCGACCTCCCCCATCCCAGGCGGGCTATGGTGGCCCACAAGCCTTCATACCACCGAGCTTTACTCACAATTCAGGCCAGCAAGCCCCGTTCCCGCCCCAAGCGGCGCCTCCGCCCGGCTTTGCTCCCCCAGGCTTCGGTCCTCCTGGGGGTGCTCCTACAGCACCCCCGCCGTTGCCTCCGGGCTTTCAGCAGGGCGGTTATGGTCGGGGCCGCTGAACGGCTTCGCATGATGCGACCCTTCCGGAAGTACCTGGTCTACAGCAGCATTACTCAGACCGTGTGTGTGTGACAGTTTCGCCTTGAGGCTCCTATCATACCGTGTATGTAACAATGTGTTGGCGTAACCCAGAAACCCAGATGTAATAGCTTAGCTAATATTTCCTATTTCAGTGCTGAATAGCTTAGGCTGGACCGGCCTGTTCTCAGGTGCTTTTGAGTCTAATCGTACCCGCAGGATAGAGAATCCGACCAGTGCAGCGATTCCTACCTGGTGTAGAATTGTACAATCATGATTTCAAGATACTTGAAGGGAGGAGTTATCTATTGCAACGATACGAGACTAATTTGATCTAAACCTGCCATTTCGGGCCCAAAGGGTAGAGACAAGGACGATGTGGGGGAAAGGATGTTGATATCAACATCAAGAATAAGTGAGCACCTCCCCGTCCAAAAAAGAAAAAGGAAAGAGAAAGAGAAAGAGAGGGACGAGGAAAAGAAAGGGACAAACGAAGGGGGAGAGGACGTCCAAAGAGCCCTAACGATGGCGGTGTTCAAGAAAAAGACACGAACTTGGGGTCTCTAGGCCGGCCATCAGGGCCTATATTGTTTTTGGCGAATCGCTGTTCCGTATAGAGTCGCCGAGCTTCATCGAAATTGACGTTTTGACGCTTCATGATATTCCTCACTTCCCGCTTCGCATTCTGATCGAGACCCGCTCGGGAATCGCCGGCGGCGACATTAGCGGAGAGATCGAACTGTGACGATGAGAGGCCAGCCTCCAGGTCGCCGGCAAAACTGGCAGGAAGGCGATGATAGATATACTCGGGCACCGGGACCAGAGGCAACCATCGAGCCCGGGTGAGGTAGAGCGCTAGAGAGAAAAAGTTAGGATGACTGTAATCATTTGCGAGTTTGTTCAGGACTCCGCATGTGCGACATACCAGTGCCGCACACCACGACGGACAAAGTTAGACAATAAAGTAGATAGTAGGCCATAGCTCCAGCCAGGGTGGGTATCTAGATGATCTAAAGGAACTGTACCGGGGCACGAACGAGGGGACGCGGCCAGATCGCTCAGGATACTGACAATCAGGGGTGTTGTAGCTGGTGAATCAGCAGGTACTTGAGCTGACAGAGCACACCGCCACAGCCCGGCGCATCCGGGACATTGATGAGAAGGGAGAGTGGATGGAAATCGAATTGTCAGGACGGAGAAGGCGGCGCAGGCAGCCATCCGTCATCACGAGATGTGGAGCTGAGCTTCGGTGCCTGGCAACCCAGGCATCAAGAACGCTAGCGGGGCTATTCCCAAAGCGGCCCTCTTAGCGAGACCGGCGGCCGCTCGTTCTTGGCGTTGGCACACACAACTCATCCATTCGAAGGAAGTCGCAGGATACTCCAGAACTCGTTCGATCTGTCTCCCAATTCCAGTCCACCCTGTTCTACAGACACATTCAAAATGGCCGCCGTCACGAACGTTTCCAGCGACCTCGTCTGGCAGATCACCCGTATGTTCACGCCGAGCCACCCGCAGAGAGGATTGAAAAAGAAAAAAAAAATTATAATGGACAACATGGGTCTATTAAATTCTCATATCGAATCCCGACTAATTCGAGATACTCTGGACAGGCAACCAGAACTCTTTCCTGGTCAAGCGCAACTCCGGCGGTGGTTCTCAGTTCTCTCGTGACCCTCTGAACCTGCAGAACAAGCACTCTTTCAAGGTACAATCTTCAATCCCACGGCGCATGGACCCAGCATTCTCGAATCCAATGTGGCAATTGATGGAAAGGTCTAACTTTGTTCTTTCGTCTCGTTTAGTACGCCGGCTATGCCAACACCAAGGTATATCTTTATGCTCCGGCCTCTGAGGCTCTGTGACATCGGAATTGGAGACTCTAACCACGACAACAGGCTATCGGTGTCCGGGCCTCTGGATCTAACGGTGTTTCCGTCATCACCAAGAAGCCCAGCAACCCCCAGCAGCCCGGCAAGAACATTGTCACCGTGAACTACGGACCCGGTGCCTCCAACCGCAAGTGAGTAAACCGCGAACACACTGTCCGGACCGGTCATATCGGAACAATGGGGACTGACGAGGTCTCGCTCCTCTGCATAGGATCTACAAGGGTGTTGCCGACAAGACCGCCAAGAACGGCTACCGCGGTGATCTCCGCGAGGACGCCGTTGCCCGTGTGAGCGCTATCCGCCGCGCGCAGAAGGCCAAGAAGGAGACTCCCGCCCGGAAGCCCCGTGGCGCCCAGGCCAAGAAGGCCGCTGAGAAGGAGTCTGAGTAAATGCCAGACTTCGAGTGAAGCTGGGATTGGGGTGGTAGAACGAAAACACGAATAAAACTTGGGAGATAAGGTCACAAGATCTGGGCACACAACAGGCCCGTGCTGGGCAAGGGCAGGAAGTGTCCATGTAATTTAGCAATATTTGCTACCGGGACTACGCCCCGTCTGGCCAACCCTGCAGAGAATCAAAAATTCAAAAAACAAAAGCGATAACGAATGATGGAAAGACCGGAAGGAATGAATGAAAGAGAGACCATAGGCGGAGCGATTTGCCCAATAATGCGCGGGAGAACTTATCCGGATTTCCCTCCTGTTCAGACCATTTTCGGGAGAAAAGATAGGAAGATTCTCTTCGTCATGATGGTATGCATTGATGCAGTAGCCGCCATGTGCTCCGATAGCCGTCCGTCGGGCCGAGAGCTGTAGAACTACCATTGCTATTTCTCCGGGGGAACCTTGAACCATCCGCCTTTTCCCGATTCAAGGACCAATTCGGGAGACTGTCTGCTAAGGTGGGCACGAAAACCGCCGGAATACCTGGATTTCTCTTGTTGGTCATCGTCATCGTCATCGTCCCGGTGGATGTCGATGCCGGATGGGAAGGCAAGCGGCAGTTTCAACTGTGTACGCCGAGGTTGAGTCACCCCATAGACATTTCTGCTTGAGCAAGATAGACGAAACGCGGGTCCTGATGGTCATGATGATGGTGATGGACATGTAGCTGCAGATGCAGATGCAGGTGCAGCTTCAACCAGTGTTGTATGTATAGAAGCATGTTCTTGACACTTCCCCGGCGAGTGGGAAACCCCACACATGTGATCTGGATCCCCGTGGTAGGTACCTGGTACTTGGCATGTACATACGGTGTACAAACGCTACCTAGGTACCAGGTACTACTGGGCAACTCCGGATACCTGGACCATGCCCCGTAACTAAGGCAGCTAAGGCACGGTTCTGTAGGTACGAGGGAACTCCATAGTCCATGCTATATAACGGTGGACCCCTTCCCCTCTCCTTCCTCTCTCCTTTTACCACGCACTGCTTCTTCTCCGTACTGAGGATTGTTATTCCATTTTCTGGTGAGTGGTGGACTTGGTTTGCTTTTCTGATCTCCTGATCTGATCCCCGTTGAGCCACTTGCCCGGACTGGTTCACCGTTGCGCCCCCCCCAATTTACCCCTCCTTCCATTCCCCCTCGTTCTCTCTCTTGCTCTCCCCCACTTCCTTTCTTCCTTCCTCCCCAATTTTCATTCCCTTTTCACCCATCCTCTTTTGACTTTAGTGTTTTTGGTATTCCATCCCTATAAATCTTCAGCTTGCCCGCTATCTTCCCGTCAACACTTTGGTCAAACTAGCTAACGCCATCAATCTACCCCACCTCAGTTCTCTTCACATCCAGATCCGACACCATGGTTAAAGCTGGTGAGCAGAGCCATGGGATTTCGTCCATCTATGCCAACTTTTGTGCTAACGTAGCTTACTAGCTGTTCTCGGTGCCTCTGGCGGAATTGGCCAGGTTCGTGCCCCTACCCCGCGGTTCCCCTAATCATTTCTCTTTCCCTGCCACGGCTGACACGTTTGTTTTAATTGATTCGCAGCCTCTCTCTCTCCTCCTGAAAGCCTCTCCCCTGGTTGATGAGCTTGCTCTTTACGATGTCGTCAACACGCCCGGAGTTGCTGCTGACCTCTCTCACATCTCCTCTGTTGCGGTAGGTGCACTCGGACGTGAAGCAGTGACGGTGCTGGTCCCATACTGATCCGAAACTCGAGTAGAAAATCTCCGGCTTCTTGCCCAAGGATGACGGCCTGAAGCAAGCTCTGACCGGAACGGATGTCGTTGTCATTCCCGCCGGAATCCCCCGTTAGTCAAGCCTCGCTCGGGACTCATGGCAATACCAACTAACTTAACACAGGGAAGCCGGGCATGACCCGTGATGACCTTTTCAAGATCAACGCAGGCATTGTCCGCGATTTGGTCAAGGGCATCGCTGAGTTCGCCCCCAAGGCTTTTATCCTGATCATCTCCAACCCCGTCAACTCTACGGTCCCGATTGCCGCTGAAGTCCTCAAGGCTGCCGGCGTTTTCGACCCTCAGCGCCTGTTCGGTGTGACTACCCTGGACGTTGTCCGCGCCGAAACTTTCACCCAAGAATTCTCGGGCCAGAAGAACCCCTCCGCCGTTAAGATCCCCGTCGTTGGCGGTCACTCTGGCGAGACCATTGTTCCTCTTTTCAGCAAGACTTCCCCTTCGTTCCAGATTCCCGCAGACAAGTACGATGCACTAGTCAACCGTGGGTACCCCGTTCACATTAATGCGACTGGCATTGGACACTTAAGCTGACGGCTCGCTCACAGGCGTCCAATTCGGTGGTGATGAGGTTGTCAAGGCAAAGGATGGCGCAGGATCCGCCACTCTTTCCATGGCATTTGCCGGTTTCAGGTTTGATTTCTGGTGGTAGAGCGAAGAATTGGTTGCGGATGCTAATGTACTGTAGGTTTGCTGAGAGTGTTATCAAGGCCTCCAAGGGCGAGAAGGGCATCGTCGAGCCTACTTTCGTTTACTTGCCCGGCGTGCCTGGCGGCGAAGCTATTGCTAAGGCAACCGGTGTTGAATTCTTCTCTACTCAAGTAGAGCTGGGGGTACGTTCATCAGCTTGACACAAGATTTGCTCATTCAATGCTCGGGTACGTTAACACTACATATAGGCCAAGGGCGCCGAGAAGGCCATCAACCTCCTCGATGGCGTGACCGAACAAGAGAAGAAGCTCCTTGCAGCTTGCACGGAGGGCCTGAAGGGCAATATTGAAAAGGGCATCGAATTCATTAAGAACCCCCCACCAAAGTAAACGCGCCCATCCCCGTCCTTTACTCAACGCGACTATCTTGATTAGTCGGTGACGAACCTCGGATCGCACCCTGTCCCTCCACCGAAAAAGACACCTTTCAGTGGTCCCCCCTTGTTGAAATCCGAGGACATGGAGAGAGCCCTGCTAATCATTATGATCCCGGAAAGATAGGCTTTAAAGGTATGCGATGAGTGAAGTCGAGTGACATCTTGTTGATGACGGTTGTCGGAGGGTCGAATGCAGGGCAGCTCAGACACATAACTGAAATAAATAATCGTTCTTCGTACCTGCAATCATTCCACGTAGGCTTAGTGGTAGGGCAGGCCTCAGTGCCATGGGCGAATGTCCGTCGAGGCCATATCATATGACGTTCGCTCCCATCCAAACACCCGAATTCATGATTTCTCTCCTTTTTCTTTGCCCCCACTCAGGTGTTTGAAGTCGGCGGACGTAGAGGTACTGAGCGTACAGGTACTCGTGTGAGGTTGAGTGTAGGGGTAGGAAAGCAAAACCTGCCTCTTTCGGTCAAGGTTTGGGTTGGAGTGTTTTGATTTGGAATGTCGCCCCTGGGAGTTCGGACGTCTCCGCTTGCACCGTGGTGTGGATGCCCAAGCTTGACAGCGCGCCGCGGATAACACCGCATGGAAACCATAGATACTAGACCGCGGTCAGAAAACGTGGGCGGACGACATTGATTCATCTCATACCGCTTGAGCCTTAGACACGGCGTCGCTCCGCACTGACATGCTCATTCTCGAAAATGGTCGGAACGAGTTATCTGTCAGAACATACACGCCCTGGGATAGAAACAGGGTCAGCTTCCTTCCTCCTTTCATTTCCTTCTCCTCCTCACGGTTGGATGCGATTCGTAGTGTAAAAGGTAGAACGAACCCGATGGTTGGTTTTCAAATTGTCGATTTGCTTCCTGAACAGTATCGTCCACAGATCCTTGCAGAGGAATTTGATCACGTCAAGGTTGTCGGTGAATCGCGGGCGGTCTCGAGCAAACCTACGCCAGGGTCCAAATGTCAGTCTGATGACTCGATAGAGAACAAGAAGGGGGAGGAGGAGGAAATGAGCGCCCCCGCTCAATGCGATGATGCCTACCGCTCCGCAAGACCTTGTCCAACACGGTAACCCAGCGATTCGAGACGGAAGAACGTCGTTTCGCGGACCTCCTCATCGTCCAGGAGCTTCTCTTCGGCAGCCAGGTCTTTGGTCAGTCGTTCGGCCATGGGCACGAGCTCTATCAGGAGGAAGTCGAGACACGACGTATTTAGAAGGCGTGCATTGGGTTCGATGACATTGGCAGCCGAGGCGGACGCGTCGAAGGACATGACGATGAGACCGGAAGGGGTTTGGAGGGGCGTGGTGAAGGCAAAAGAGGATCCGTGATGGTGAGCGTGAATGATGAATCGGACTATTCTAACGTTGGTGCTCCGTTAAAGCGGAGGGTTGATGAGTAGTGCGGAGAGGCGGATCCGATCATTGGCGCGGAATGTATGGAGGCTCCAAGGTACTGTACATATGCCCTACGGAGTACATGCTCAAGACCAGATAACGAGCTGCCTTCCTACAACAAGGACACAAGGAGAGCAAAGGGTCAGAACAAGAGTTTCAAAATTAAGTTAGCGAGTCTCGTTGGTTTCAACAAGTCAATTCATTTCAATCGCTTTCACTAGTGACTCCCGAAGCATTGTCACATCCCATGCTCCAAACCTTGACCAAAGTCACACAGGCCCTTTCCTGCTCCTTTCAGAATAGAAACCGGATTTTTTAAAAAAAAAAATTAAGGAAGAGAAAAAGATCAAGGGAAATGAGAACGAAGCACCGCAACGCCATGCAGCTATATTTGAGTGACCAGTAGTGTCATGTGTCATAACCACCATTGCGCCCGGATGATTCTGGGCTATGTTGACTTCCATACGAGTTAACCTTGCCATTGACAGCTTCCCCGTTGTACGAACCGCGAAAGCCTGGTCGCGGCAAAGAACGGCTGAACACGCTCAATGCCGGACGTTTCGTTGGCCTCACAGGTGATTCCTCCTCGTCATCACTACCGGTAAGATCAATGACCTGAGCTGCGGGGCGTTTATTCGTGGACAGACGAGCTATAGAGGATGCGGTAGAAGGTTCTCGTGACTGAACCGGCGTCCGTTGTAGGGTTAGATTGCGACTGGGGAGGGATTCCCGTTTAACAATTGGGACTCCGGGTTCTTCGATTTCTATCAAGTCATCATCCTCTTCTTCCTTCTCTTCGGCGTCGTAGTCGTCGTATGACGCGGGAGTAACGCCTCCTGCTGTCCCGTTTTCATCATCCTTGGGTCCTGACCATGTGCCATCGGGCTCGATGACAATCTGTTCGATGTCCCGCGATGTTGAGTGGAGTATATCATCAACGTACCTGCAAGGTTAGTCAGGTCACCCATCCCAGGCATTTTGTGTTTTACTCACTGGTCAATTTGTAACGATTCAAAACTCGTCGCTTTGGAGCATACAGGACACGACCAAGTTGGTGCTTGTTCTTGCAATTGCAAAAAAGAGGAAGCATCAAAGCATTGATTATGCGTGCACTTCAGAGAGCGACATGGTACCTCGATTCGAAGAGTGGACAGGGGGCATTTCAATGACATGACGCTGGATGTGGCAACAATATCTGTATCGTCCGCCCTGTTTTTCACTGTTGACCGTTAGAAACCTTTGTACGTGGTGGATTAAAAAAATTCATACTTTCTCGCAGGACCTGTTCCTTGGAGATGGTCTTTCTCAGTTTTAATTCAGCCACAAGCTCTTCCACTGGATGGCGTTGGACAAGGTTGATTCGAACATAAAATTTCTGGCTCTATAATGTTAGAACACGGCTCATCCCTTTGAACAGGAAGGATCGAAATCATAGGAGCTTAGAATGGGAGGACGCCAGGCATTCCGGAGTAGAACATGATACTTACTTTTTGTGTCAAGGCATAAGTCATGACGACGTTGTTGGCATAGCCTGGCTTCTTCCGAATATAACTGGTCACATCCGCAGGCTGCGTTGTACCGGGCTTGTTTTTCAATCCTCGCAGATTCGCCTTAACTTCATCAAGATTGGCTTTGAGCTCAACCTGGTGTGGGAAAGCAATATCTGATTTGGCAGGCTGGTTGAGACCGGCTTCCGCGGCGCAATAGACCATTATCCTTACATTAGGATCGGATTGCAATTGAGTGATAACAGATGGTGTAAGAGCAACTTTGAGTTCCACATAATCCCTGGTCTGTTCTCGAGCTTGTAGGTGTCAGTAACAATTGCACGTCATCATGGAGAAAAAGCATCAATCCCAAACCTTTGCACTCAACCGTAGGGGTAAGCGGCTCTAATATGGTGTAGAAGGGGCTTTCTTTGAAATTCAATCGCTCTAGACATATGTGAGAATCTGTTTTGAGACCCAGAAGAATAAGTCAAATTTAGGTTACCAGGAGCTAATCTATTGGTTGATATCGGAAAAGCAAGGGGAGACGGCCGATGCGACGTAGACATAGAAGGGGTAGCTGAGGGTGATTGATATTGCGGATTAGGTAGTTGCTGTGCTGTTGGGGCTGCTGGTAATGCCCGATGTGCGGTTAAATAGATGAATCTCCTCAAACTATCGTAGCGATCAGTTTGACCTCCCTGATAAAGCCTTTCGATGACTGAAATTTTTCACATTGGTCAACATTTCTTCACGTGAAGGGAATTGTAACTTCTGGGTTTTCCGCGAGGAAACCGGCCGAAGAGATGGAGACGGTGGGATGGAAGATAAAATGGGTTTAACACACATTCAATGATTCGAAGCTGCAGTGAAGCTTTAACCCCAGAGACAGCGAGTCCCTCATTTCTTAGAATATCCTTGAGCTGCGCATTTGTTAACGTTTTGACCAGGGCCACCATGCTTAGTAGCTCTGGTGGCTGGGGATAAGACGCCATGGCTATTTAGATAGAAGAAGAAAAAGATCAATGATAGCAACAAGAGGGAATGTTGGGGTGTCACAGTTTGCTAAGCAGACTTCGGTGAATAAGATCTCATGGAATGTGATTCAAAAGGGAGGTGCCATTTCCAGCAGTTGTGTTCGACATTTCAATCCTTCCCTCTGTTTAGAGCCCGTTCATACGGTGGAGGTGAGAGGGGAATTCAATCAGAACAACAATCATGAAGCCACGGTCCGAATTTGTTCTGAAATGCAATGGCGAGACTGTTCATAAGGTCCTGTTTGATTGAGCAATGAGGCAAAAGGCCTGTACTTCAGCCGGAGAAGATTGCGGAGGTGAGGTTCTCCGATTCTGATGACATAAGAAATCTTTTATCGGCATCCGCTAACGTTATCTCTCTTTCTCTTTTGGAGAAAAAAAAATTCCATTAATCGGTCCAACTGCATCGCCACAAACGTGTTCCCCTCATTCTCTGTTCCTGATCAATTTGAATTTTTTGGTCTAGCGTTGATTCTGTGATTTGACTCTATTCTATTTCATTCATTCTCACACCTCCCATTTTACCTCTTCAACAATTAGAAAACATGGCAAAGAGTGTCAGGGCCAGCGTTATGAAGCGCAACAAGGCGAAGTTGCGCGCGACTGTCTTTGGTCCTGCAGTTGATGCACGCACTGAGCGACTTTCGGCCAAACTTCAGGAGCTTGCTTCTCAGCCAAAACCAAACAACCAGGAAACCCCCAATGCGGAGAACAAGGGTGCGCTTCTAGATCCTCTCGTGCCTGTGATCATTCGCTTACAGAAAACAGAAGACAATAATGCTGCTGCGGAAGTCAAACCAAGTGAAGGTCAATATTCTCTATCTTGATACGCAATTGTGTTTATTGTTTCGTTTCGCTCAGAGTTGCTAACTTCTTGCAGACATGGATATCGATAAGGTGTCGACCAAGAGTTCCCAGAAATCAGGGCGCATTCACAAACGCCATAGCAATCGAAAGAACCGCTCATCCATTGTCTTCCGTCCGCATCAATCCAAGTCCAAGAAAGGTTCCAAGAGGAAGTGATCAACGGGTGCACATGCTATGATACAAGTTTTGGTTCACAAAAGATAAGGCGTTTGGTGCTAGTTCTGATATGAATATTGCTATAAGCACAATCCTTGCTACGTTTAATTGCTTCTGCAGTGTTTGTCCTACCAAGATACTTCAAAAGTCTTCAATATGTTTCTGTGGTTGGGGGCAAGGAACCCCACCACATAGGCAACGCAGGGCAAACAGAGTATGAGACTATCAGGCTGAAGGGTTCAAGCCTGATCAGCTCATCACCACATAAACCAAGATTCACTTGGATGGATTGCTAACATCTACGGTGTACTGGCATTGTGCACGGAATTGGGGGCGAACCTGGAGTGGATCCAGAAGGCGGTGTTAGCTAGCAGTATTTTGAATAATCCCCAGGAAGCTCCTTTTCCCACGAGTACCTCCCCCTCCATAGTCAAATGAAGGAAGACATGTCAGGCTCGAAATCTCCCATGAAGAACAGTTCGGAGTCTTTAAATTGAAACTTGGTATAAACGCGGGATGATCGCCGCCCCAAAACCTTTGGCGGTATTACTCGCCAATGTATTGATTCCCATAGCCGTTATCTTCTTCTCCGCAGGGTTCTTCCCATACAAGCCCCTCCTACCTGGACTTGCCAGCTATGAGGGGACGAGTAAAGATGGTATTCCACCAAGGATCTTCGACAAAGTCGTCTTCATGGTGGTTGATGCGCTGCGCAGGTAGGGAGGGCCCTAGGCGCGGTAGATAACGTCGGTCTCAAACTGAACCTCTTTCCTAGTGACTTTGTTTACTCAAATAGCTCTGGGTTTGCTTTTACCCAAGGGTAAGTCATTGTTCCATTGAAGTTGCGCCTTCGATGGAGCTAATTCATGTTTTCTTTAGGTTGATTCGATCTGGCGCCGCGCTGCCTTTCACTGCTTATGCTAGCTCCCCAACCGTCACAATGCCTCGCCTCAAGGCTATTACGACAGGCTCTGTACCCTCGTTCTTGGACGTGATTCTCAACATCGCTGAATCAGACACCTCTTCGACACTCGCCCACCAAGACACGTGGTTGGCACAGCTAAAGGCCAATGGCAGCAAGCTTGTCATGTACGGCGATGATACTTGGTTGAAACTGTTCCCGGGTATGTTTAGTCGAGCCGATGGGACGACAAGTTTCTTCGTGTCGGTTAGTAGCAATTGAAGATGTCTTGAACGTTGCTAGTATAGGCTTGGGCCGGTACTGATCGTTCCTACATAGGACTTTACTGAAGTAGACAACAATGTGACCCGCCACATACCCGATGAACTTCTTCGTGACGACTGGTCTGCACTTATAATGCACTATCTAGGCTTGGATCATATAGGACATAAATCTGGCCCTAAAAGGTACATTCTGCTTCACATCTGATTTACCCCCTCTGGCTGTCCTGACGCAGTTTTAGTCCATATATGATACACAAGCAACGTGAGATGGACTCAATTGTGGCCCAAGTCTACACAGCGTTAGAACGGGAAGAGCATCTTCAGTCCACTCTCTTTGTTGTCTGTGGAGACCACGGGATGACCGACGCGGGTAACCATGGTGGTTCGTCTGTAGGCGAAACCTCGCCGGCGTTGCTCTTCATCTCACCAGCGTTTAAAAACCTGGGGATTCGTAATCAAAGCCCAGCAGAATCCTCCAGCGATTTGCAATATTATCGGACTATTGAGCAGACCGATATAACACCGACTTTGGCTGGACTTCTCGGTCTACCAATCCCTATGAATAGCTTGGGCGTCTTCATTCCTGAGCTTCTGCAGATGTGGAATACAAGTAAGATTCTGTTCTTTTTTTTTCTACTCAAGACGCGCCCCAGAGTAATTCAACCGTCATTAATCAAAAAACAGAGTCGCATCAAATTCACATGCTTATGGAGAATACTAAGCAATTGCTCCGGACAGTCGAGGCGGCATATCCACGTCATACATTCAACCCTGAATTCACGTCCGGGCTGTGTGATTCTGAATTTTCAAGCGATGTCGAGGAGGTTCACTGTGCCTGGTCTCGTGAGCTCGAGCTACAAGATCAGCCTGATGGTGCGCTTAGAGATGATGCGGAGACCAGCCTTTTGTCAATTCTAAGAGGTGCCCAAAGTTTGATGAGTAGTGCTGCCAGTGATTATGACATCAAAAGCCTTTACATAGGTATTTGCATTACTGGCGTTGCTGCCTGGCTTTCCTTTGTCCCGATGCAACACCTGCTCTGCGAATACAAACGCTCCGGGGCATTCCTTCTATTCGCTGTCTTAAGCTACAGCGGTATGATGTTTGCAAGTAGCTATGTCGAAGAAGAACAGCAGTTCTGGTATTGGATATGTGTGGCATGGACAGTATTCCTATACACTAGGCCCTCCGGCTCTCGTGGGAGCTACAAATCCCAGCACAAATCAACAGGTACATTGTTCGCAAAGCTTGGTGTCTTGGGGTTGGCAGCTTCCCTCCGAATATTGCGACGGTGGAACCAAACCGGCCAAAAGTTCGCTGGCGAACCTGATGTTGCACGGGAATTCTTACCTTCCCATCCACATGTGCTGTGGTCCTTGGTGGTTTTGACATATGCGGATGTTCTTGTTCATCTTGTTTTCGGCTTTGCTCCGGCCATATCATGGATTCTCATGGTGTTGCCTATGGTGGCAGCGGCGCTTCTTTTCAAGGTTTCCTCCGTGGCGTCCGATTCTTTTGAACTGATCGGTGGCTCTTTCCTGGAGCCGGTGAGCAAGTTTGTCGGCAGTATGCCGCTCGTTTTACATGCGAGGCTTGTCGCGTGCGGGGCATTCCTACTCGTGGCTTATTCCATGTACCTCCGGAAAGCCACGGGGCCCTCGCAACTCAAGAAAGGTAAGCGCCCTGAGATGTCCCTGCTCCTAATACGCGGCGGGATAAGCTGATAAATAGTTAGGAGCATGGCCAAGCGCCGTTTTTCACGAGGCCTTGACTCTCTTGCTTTTGACACAGTCGAGGGTCACAAACGTTCCTATATTTCTAATCTTCCGGATACAGCTCAAGATTCTGGCCTCGGTGGAGTTGCCACCCATTGAGCTGGCCATCATGTCAATACTCATGCAATATACCACATATTTTGCCTTTGGGGGCTCCAATGCAATCTCTTCGGTCGATCTATCCAACGCATATAACGGCGTTGGGAGTTACAGCGTTGTGTTTGTCGGAGTTCTGACCTTCATAGGCAATTGGGCTGGCCCAATATGGTGGACGTCGGCAAGTTGGCTTCTCCGAATGGGACAAACTCGAAAAGAAAGACAGTCTCATGTAACGATCTTAACCTTTCATACGGCAGTGATGTTGCTGTCTGTCATGGTTGCTTGCACGTTTTTGAGAACGCATCTCTTTATTTGGACAGTGTTCTCACCCAAGTACCTTTACACTATGGTATGGGCCATCCTTTACCACTTTCTCGTGACTTTGCTCGGAGAGTTTGGCTTTTCCAAGATTGCAACCGGATAAGAGGCGTTGTTGAGCAGTCATAAACGAGTGGAAAGAGAAGCAAGGGATGGAAGGCGATGAGAGAACATGGAAGGAGCAGCGCTTGAGCTCATTTAGACATCTAGAACAAGAATAACCCAAGCCGAAAATCCAACCGTACTATAGCAAACCATTGAAGAGATCATCAATCGCATCCTTCTTCTTCCGCTTTTTGGATTTCTTCACCTGCGCAACACTTGCTGCGCTCGCCATCTCCGGGACACTCCCTGACTTTGCCATATCGGAACCTTTGAGACCAGGCTCCTTGGGCGGCGGGGAGTGTAGCTTCCGCGTAAGTACTTCCCCGAGGTCCTCGTTAATCTGAGGACCTATAGATGGGGCTCTACTTTTGCTGGCTCTGTCTGCCCGGAATGTGGTTTTCAATTGTTTGTCAATACCCGTTACTTTCGCAAGACGAGCCAACGTGGCCAAAAGGACTGTGCCGACTGTAGAAAATTGCACGTCTGCAACAACAGTTGAGAAGGCCCTGTTCAGAATATCGAATGACCGGGTCAGAAGACAGCGTATTCAACAATGTGATTGCACCGAATTTCACCCTTTCAAACTTACAGGTAACATCTTGGAATGGTGTCTGTTGCTAGGTATTGTCTGTACATGGAAGAGGTTTCATTTGCGCTGCTGCGAAGTGCCTCATGTCTTAAAGATCTCGCAAGGCTCAGAGTAGCCCGCTTCAGGATAGACAGCCATTTCCACCATTTGGTCTTGCCATGTTGGTTTTTATTTCGATGGAAGATCAAGTGTAAAGTTGAATAGACAGCAAATACTTGATCTGCCTCCGTCTCTGCCATGTTGGAGTCCCTGGGTGGTGGCTGTAAGAAGCAAAAGAATGGAACCCTTGGGTGGAAAATTCGGTGCGAACGAAGGAAGGCCTGTTCACCGTGTCCACCGCTGAGATGAATTACCAACGTTTCTGGGCCGACGATACTATCTCAAACATATTATGAAAAGCGCAGCATTGTTCCACCAATATGCCAACAAGCATTGTTGCCTGCATTGGTGATCCGACTCAACAGCCTTCTTTGGGGGTTTGTAGGTAGCTGCGGAACAGATCCATGCCCAGGTAGACATGCGGACTATCATGCTGAGTAATGCGGACTCTAAGCCATGCCCTAATTTCGGAAATGTGGTCTATATATCTCTACTACTATCCATGGCATTTCCGGTTTGTCTTGAAAAGTTTTGAATTTTGGTCGCCGAAGCGGATGAAAAGTCGTCTTAAATCTCACAAAGAAAGTCTTCCAAGCGGAGACTAGGCCAACACATAGACTCAAACCGAGATACTACCACATTCAAGCAGCCCAGGACTTGACCTATTTTCTCCATTGGTTTATGGTGTGTAAAAACCGTCCCAAAGAAGGCCTCCTTTGGACATGAATCTGGAGAGCAAGGTTGTCAAGTGCAGGGGAAAGCGAACTAAACCCATGACATTCGGCAACGTCGAGCAGACATTTTTGTCTAGACAGAACAGATCTTCTTACACACACTCATTCCTTTCCCCTCCTCTTCTTTCTTACTCCTGCCCTTTCCAAGAGCGGTCCTGTGATCAAGAGAATGATTTGATATCGTACAACACGTCAGGAGGTCCTTGGACCGCGTTCGGCGATAGGATCATACCATATTTTCATACCAGGGTAAGTGCAAGGGGCACTTCTTAGGCCACTGTTCAGACCAGAAGTGTACTTGGGAGCAAGAGTTCGGACGTACACAATTTCCCTTTCGGCAGCGGTAGTGCCACGGTCATATTGTGAACGACGGCGCCGCTGCTCATCGCGGTATTGCTGTCCAACCCGCGGGGCAAATAAACCTAGAGGCATCTCGGTTACACACAACTTAGCTAGGTATGAATACCTTGAGGATTGCGCACCAACATGCTCAGCATTCTCAATACTGCGGCGCATCTTTGAAGGGTTGTCGGGCCCTGGGAAACGATCCTCAGTGCCGGCGAGGGATCCAGTGCCGGTATGGAAAATCTACAGTCTCGGTGTGAACAGACCTCCGATACTGTCGAAGGGATGCATGCACTGACTTTCGGGCGAAAGGATGGATGTTCCAACATCACCGAACTATTCCGAAACTTTTGCACGAGACAATCTTTGCCTTGTATCGCTAATTTTGTGTTTAAGACCATGAAAACCGAGCCACAGGCGGTGCCACACTTACTCGCGTACGACACTTCAGCTACCTTGTCACTGTTGAAACAATTCCTAAGCCGCATCATCAATATTCTCTTGATAATCATCTCAGGGAGAAGTGAAGTATACCAGGTGCGCCCCGCTCGCATGTTAACGAACTAGGGCATAACATGGTAAGCAGCATAGCTGGGATAGTCGTAGAACATGAACACTAACATCAATGATATCGATCGGCTAATAGACAACGTCAATAATGAATGGCAAAGATTGCGATAAGACTCACGTCCTCGAAGTTTATGAAAGCATAGCCGACGCTAAGGCCACCACCATCAGCAAGATAGACGCCATAAAAGCATTCAAACCTGACATACTTGCAGTTGTTCGCAAAATCTTTCCTCGCTACTGTCAGCCTTCGACGGCTTTCAAGTCTCAAACACGAGAAGAAAAGCCGCTTCTTTTTTACCGATCCGTAGGTACATGAAATCATACTTCCCGTGACTTGTCTCATCAACAATGGTCTTCAGCATAGTCTTGGGCCATGTCAGCTTTCAGCTGATCATCAAGCTTAGCGTCCTTGAATCACCTGGTCAATCTTGTTTGGGATATTTCGGAGCATGATCTTGAAAGAGAACAATTAGTCACTTTATCAACTGCAGTAATGGCGAGTGCCTACTGTAGTTCGGACGTCCAGGCCAAGGCGGATTCGTTCTGTGTCTACAGCATTTTGATTGGCCACTCGTAGATCAGAATACTGGCTCATCTCACGCCGGGGTGAAGGCATGACGTTTTCTCCCGCCCTAGACATCCAATCCATGAGATCGGCATGCTCACCCGGGGGAACGGTAGAGCGCCCAGTTGGACTAAGCTCCATGTAGGGCAGTCGATTTGGTCGGCTTGGAGTCCAAGATGCATTTCTGTTGGAAGAAACCTCACTTCTGCTGGTGAATTCATCCTTCGCTGGTGATGGGCTTGATAGGGCAGAAAGGAAGGCATAGTCCTCCGTGTCGGGCTTGAAGTATGAAACTTCTAGAACGCAATCCTTTCGATTGTGGTAAAAATCAGGCATTGGCCTCCTTGGTTTTATTGCTTGTGGTCACGATTCAACTTACATCAACAGAAGTCCTATTAAGGGTAGTCATCACATTCTCGGCATCACGAGTATTGAAAAACTCAAGATGAAATTGTCCGATGTTTTCCTGTCCATTGGGCAGCAACTGGAAGGACTTGATATCGCCAAATGTTTCCGTGAGCGTCTCCAGAGAACGGGCCACGCTTTGTTGATTCAAACTGGGGTTTCGGCTATCATAGTAAACTGTTATGAGCAACTGGCCTTCATAGTCTGAGGTTTGAGGGAGAAGGGACGGCTCCAAGCGCTGCACGTATTCCCTGGCTGTAAGAGGAAACACACTCCATTCCGGCCGAAGGAGATATATCTTCTCTAAAGCTTTTTTCGCCTCACGACTGTCTGTGAATGCGACGTATACCTTACCCAAGGAACTGAGCTCTGTAAGAACAGGTCCTTTCAGAGTTGTGAATTCACGGCGCTTTTCGAAGTTAGTACTTGCGTCTTCAATTGATATTTCCCAATGGTCAATTCCTCATCAAGGGAAATCAACGTGCTGCGAGGTAAACGTACATTGAAAAACCCAGCAAGTGCCATGTAAGTAAGGTTTGCAGAAACGTTCTCTATGACGAGAGCTCGGCTACATCTTTCGGCATCAAATTTGTCGAGAACAACGCCAGTTGAGTTATTCTTCCTGCTATTATGAACAGGACTAAAGGCCTCGTGATCAGACACTGTCTGCTCAATGAAACTCGCGCGAGTGCTTTCAGCACCAGAGACGAATGCACTTGGCACGAATCGAGGCTGGCTGTCACGGTCCGCCGTGTCTGATAGCGCTGTCGGCGTAAAGCTTGCAGCCGTTGGGGAAAGTTGAATCCTGTTAGAGGAGCTTGTTGACACCAAAAATGGGTCAGAAGTGTTCCTGTCGGCTGTTAGGAGATAGAATGACATGTTGTCAGTGGTTAGACTTACACTGAGTAGATCTTTCGAAGCCCCGGATCGCTCAACGGGCCACTGGCGCTGGACTCGGGACGAGGTTTTGATCGTACATCGTCGGGCGAAAAGGCTGTGATTCTGGTATCTGGAGATCCGTTGGGAGAGGTTATCCCATCTGTAGAGCATGGGCTGCTCAAGCCACGAGTGTCGCTGGCTCTCATTCTGTAAAGCAATGGGGAAGAAGCTTTGTCTTTTCGTACTCAACTACAAGTATGACGGACAATGGAGAAAGAATGCTGGCTGGGAAATGACTCAAGAAGCAATTGGAAGAAGGATGAGTAGAAGGGCATCAACAAATTGTCGATAAACTTGTGATAGGAACACGGTTTGGTAAATGAGAGGATGACACTCTCGAAGGGGCGTTGCGTAGAGGGCATGAACTTGGGTTATGTGCTCTAGGGAATGTCAGGGTGTGGGGGAACGAAAGTGAGGGTTTGATTATTGTGAGAGTAGGGGGGAAGATGAGGTAGGGAAGGAAATGTTACGAACACATTTGGGGAGAGCGCCCTAAACGGTGTGGGTGGATTCGGTGGCTATGGGCAGGTCTACAACCAGCCATATCCATCTTTTGATCTATGCATAGCCAATTACTTACTCTTTAGCCTTGCCCCTCAGATCTGTCCGGACCGCAACGCGGGTTTGAATCAGCGCTATCGCCTGAGTAGAGGAGCCCCAATCACCAGCATAACCGACAGATTATCGTTCCGACCTCTGTACGAAGGAGTTGAGTCACTGGGGAATACTGGGCTGAAGCCCAGGCATATGATATTATGCATACATATACTCACTTGACCTTCCGTCCATTGCATATCCATTTGGCATGGTATGGCGTAATCCTTGATGTTGTCCCAACGGCCAACACCGACGAAAATCGAGCGGCATCCTGCTCTGCCCGGTCTGGTTGAAAGATTATTGAGACAGGACCTGTTTAAAAAGAAGATGGCAAACCTTCAAGAATTTTGAGACCGAAATACGTCTCTCAAGCTATGTCTAAGCCGTGAGATGACTCAAAAAGACCAAGAAAACGAGCGAAGATAGGAATAACCATGTGTATTCCTTTTAAGCAGCAGCTAAGGTTACCTATTGATAGACAGGTAGTTATGGAGTATGACATAGTTAATAACTGGGTAGTATGTACAGTACACAATACCTATACGTAATACCGTATGCAGCGTGGTGTTATAGATACCGTACTGTACATACGGTACCTTGTGAAGACACCCCAGTGACATCAATCCATTGTTTTAGCTGTGTAATTACCTTACTGACATAGGTACCTACGGTAGTTACGAACAGTACACTTACCTTATCATATCGCGGAGTGGCTCTCGCGAGTTCAGTCGACTATCAAAGGCGATTGCTTTCCCTGAACCAGCGAGGAAAGCGAAAAGTGTTACCCACCTTACTTTTACCTCGCATCTTGAAGCTTCCATTTCTGATTCTTCCCCTTCTCCCCTCCTCTTCTTCGCGTGGCCTTATCACCGGACGACCTGCTCGGCGGGAGCTCCAGAGCTAGGTCTATCATACTCTTCCAGTCAAGTCACCAGGATGCCTTCTATGGGTACTCGCAACGATCCGTCTTATGTTTTGAATCAGGTAAAAGTCATTAGGGGAACTATTGTCACATCTCGCTAATGCGAACGGCTTGCTAGATCATCATATCCCCGTCAGACACCGACTATCTCGACCAATTGATACCTTCCATCAGAGAATACAGCGTGGGTAACAGAACACCACAACTACTACAGTCACTGGCGAGTTTTGCTACCGAAAAGGAGGCCGAGATCGAAACTATTTGCAACACCAATCATCAAGAATTTGTTACTTCGGTCAATCAGCTTCTCCGCATTCGGGAAGGCACAGTCACTCTCACCGCTGAGATACTAGACCTCAATCAATCTATTCAAACTAGTACTGAGAAATTGGCCGAACAGAAAAAGGCCCTGGTCGAATCCCGAAAACACCGCCAGAATATTGACGAGACCTGCCGTGCCATCCAAGGCTGTCTGGAGGTATTGCGCCTCGCGAATCAGGTTCATGACCTGTTGGCGAAGAAAAATCATTATGCCGCCCTCCGTGCACTCGAAGAGCTTCAAAATGTTCATCTAAAAGGCGTGAGTCAGTACAAAATTGCGGACATGATCCAGCGTTCAGCCCCGGCTACTCAAAGGGCCATCGCTGAAGCGGTCATGTCTGATCTGAACACCTGGCTTTATAGAATCCGTGAGATGTCACAGTATCTGGGGGAGATTGCCCTATATCACACAGACTTGCGAAAAACGAGGCAGAAAGAGAGGGCGGACAGGATGTCATATCTAGGACAGTTCAAATTGAACTCCGCAATTGAACTGGTCTCCGATGAGCATGAGGAGTACGATCTTTTGCACAACGAGGAGCTTCAGGTTGATTTCACACCATTATTTGAGTGCCTACACATTCATCAGTCGCTCGGTCATATGGATAAATTCCGGATTGAGTATGCCAACACACGACGTCGTCAAAAAGAACTCCTAATACCTGCGATGATAACACTTGTTGATGAAGATGGGTCCAGCTTGCATAACCTTTTAGAGGAAATGGCAGGATTTGCAATTGTCGAGCGGTCCACAATGAAGAGGGTGCCAGAACTAAGATCGCCTGTCGATGTAATCTCCGGACCTCCCCAGTTTTCTTTCCCTCCCAGGTGAAACTGATAGGCGTCAAAAGGTAGATGAACTTTGGGATTCGATGTGCCAAACTGCCGTGAGCCTGATATCCAACGCGCTTCCCGAAGTTGACAATGCCGAAAATCTGTTGAAGATTAAAAATCTCATTGCTCTTTTTATGCAAACCATGAATGTTGGTCACACTAATCATGACACTCCCTGATCTTGACGTTGCATAGCTGATTAACCCGTACCATCATAGGCATGGGATTTTTCCGTTGGCGTTTTCGAAAAGTTTCTTCTGGTTTTGTTCAGGCAATACGCCGAGTTGCTGAAGAAGAGGTTCAGTGATGACTTTCAGGAGGTAAGTTGCATATCAAAAAAGCATCTTTTACTGATGGTGTACCCTTTTCCCTTACATTCTTTACTTTCAGATTGTATCTACGGACGACTATATGCCTATGCCAATTCAAACGGCAGAAGAATTCGATAAAGTTCTCAACGTTAGCTGGTATAGCCCGGAGAAGTCGCCGGAAGAACAAGTGTACGACCTCAAGTCAAGGCAAGATGTCGTTTCCTTCTATACAATACTAACAGCTTGAACCAGATTTCCATGCGTCTTACCATTTTCTCAGATGTACCCACTGTGTTGCATTGATATCAGAAATTTTCTGAATCAGTTTTACTTCTTCGCAAATGATGATTTTGCGCACCCAAACATCATTGACGAAACACTGAAAGAGGTAAGTCATGGTGGTCAATGGTTGGTGCGCGTTTCTGACTACCCCTAGGCTATCGACGAATTACTCTCCAATCAAGTTTGTGATACGCTTGTTGAACGCCTTGCATCCCAGTACTTGGGACAAATTGTACAAATACTCATCAACCTAGAGCATTTTGAACTTGCTTGTCATGAGCTTGAACTACTTTTGGTGGCTGCAAGGTCTCAGAGCTGCATGGGTGGCTCGGTCACCTTGAAAGCAACGGAAAAGTTCAGAAGCAACAAAAAGGCAGCGGAAAAGCGCATTTTTGAGGTCGTGAACTCCAAAATCGATGACCTCATTGAAACTGCGGAATACGACTGGATGGCACAAGCTTCGCCCGTAGAGCCAAGCAACTACATGCAGACGCTTACTCGATTCTTATCGAATATAATGAATTCGACTTTACTTGGTCTTCCGACAGAGATAAAAGAACTCATTTACTTCGATGCCTTGAGTCATGCCGCCAACATGATCCTTGTATGTTGTTATTATGACCCATTCCCGACGTTTCCCGGGGTACTGCTAACTTTTTGCTCTAGGCATTACCTCTTTCAGCAGACGTGAAAAGAATCAACCCCAATGGCGTCATGGCACTCGCGAAGGATGTCGAGTATCTATATGATTTTGTTGACAGCCTTGATGTTCCCATACTGCGAGAGAACCTCGATGAGCTACAGCAAACCGTGCAGTTGATGCAAGCCGAGAACACTGATGAATTCTACGATATCTCGACGCGGAACAAAAAATATGGCCGTGTAGACGCGATCAATGGACCAGTGCTTCTAGAAAAGTGAGTTCTATTGATTGTCCTAGGATTTTGCCCCCTAATACTAAACTTCGCCAAGGGTTACGCGTACTGTTCAAAGTCCAGTCAAAACCGACAAGTTCACCACGCTCTCATCAAGATTCGGAAAAAAGACTTGACCATTATTACATACCCTTACCATGTTTATGATGATATACCAGCAGCAGGTCTTGCGGAATAATATACGGCTGTTTGGAGGGGAAAGGGAGAGGGGATTTCCTCAGAAGAAGAAAGACTAAGAACGAGTTCACTTGGAGGTGCAGAATATTAGAATCAGAATCGGGTATGTGACTAGGTTGATATACTGGGGCAAAAGACATGTCAAATAAGTGAAATATGTTTATTAACACCAAGAATATTTCCACTAGCCTCTCAAACAAGGAAAAACACCGTTGAAACCTAAAGATCGTCAAATGTGCAATGGACACACTAGGGTATCCATGATTTTCACTGAGTTTGCCGTGGTTAGCCAACAAGATTTCCCAAAATAATGTTTAGTAAAATAGCAAAGCTATCTGAAGGGCCTGGACATACCTGCTGTGGTGGCATGTGGGGATAGGCGGCGTACATCCCTTCAAACATCTGAGACTGCGGTTGCCCATAAGCGCCAGTCGGATCTGATTGCACAGCACCCGCGTACATGGTCGGCTGCCGATATTCTTGGTCCTGAAGACCATGTTGGCCCAGACTGTACTCCGGAGGAGCCATGTGATGAGAGGGATGCTGGACTCCATGTTGAGGTGGCAGCTGGCTTGCACCTGCAGATCCAGCAGAGCCAGCGGGAGCTCCCGCTGTCTGACTGGTTCGCTTCGCATGTGACGTGGCCTCTTCCCGGGGCACAATATCAATAAGAAAATCAAACATATCGGATTTCGACAATGCTGCTGCAATGTCCGATCTCTGAAGGGTGCGTCTCTTGTTGTCCTCAGCGTGTATCCACGCGCGCATGGTCAGCTCTGTGATGAAAATGTCACAACCTTTGGCAAAAAGAATTGGCGCCTCTGCAGATATCATTTTCACTTCAGGGTCGGCTTTCATGACTTTCTTTATGCGGGCTAGCGGCAGTTGGTGGATTTTATAGTCATGGTTGTCGGATTCAAGGTGATTGATGATGTGCTGCCAATATGTCGTCAAAATATCGCGGGCCGTCCCTTGTAGGCCTTGGTTGACCTAAACAGAGTAAGCCTTGTAACCGATTGCCTGTTGAACACACATACATTTGCCCAGGTACCCGTGTAAAGCTCAGCTACAGGGGCGTAGCCTTGTGCAGAAAGCTATTCATGGCAGGTCAGCCGATCCTAGGTCACCCCAAACAAGTATTAATTGGACTCGGATAGGAATAAGCGTACTGCTGCGCTGGCACCTGGTTGTGTCAATATCAATCAAGTATCAAAACTGGGGGATGACACAACAGAATTTAGGCACGCCTACCATAGTGACCGCCATTTCTAGTATCATATACTGGCTGCTGTCTACCCTGCTGCTGTCCGGCGTTCTGTGGGGCTTGCTCCATTGTGGATCGGATCGAGGTCGATGATTATAGTTTCGCTGGGATGAACGATATTGTCATTGGCATCTACCGTACGTAGGTCGCTGTGGAGCTTAATAAGAGAAGCAATCACAAAGTCTGTCTGAAAGTAGGTACAACCGACATTGGACACTTCAGAGAATAAAGGCGACCTGTGGTTTGTTAAGCAAATAACGTGCGCTTGATGTTCTCGGAGGGGAGTGTTGATGGAAGTCAGTTACTGAGGTTGAATAGCGCGCAACGAAGCGCGCCAAGCACTTGCGTAGCTTGAACTGACGTTTGCGGAAGGAGCGTGCGGGGAACAATAATACCTACTCCATACACAGTAACTTATACCTTACTGTCTACCTAGTACGGAGTATATATGATAACCTAGATCTATACTATGCATTGTATAATACGATGCTTATCTAGGTAGAGGCTTTGGATTATAGGTACATTTAGATTTACGTAAATATCTAAGGCATCATCGATCTAGGTAGAGAGTCGACTGTTCTCGGGCTTATTGTACTGTACATAATGTTGGTTTCAGATGATACCGTGGTTAGGTAACTACCTTAGTAACTGTAAACTGTGTACCTAGGTGAGCCTGTGGTACATACAAGGTATGGTACTCCAATGTACGTACGGTGTACTCCGTAAAACGTGGATATCTGCACCGCAGCAGGAACATTGTTATTCCGCCCCACATCACAAATTTTTCTTGAGCAGCCGAGTACCTAATCAAGGTAGCTTCGCTGCGCTGCTTTGCGCGTGTTTGGACTATAAATACCTCGCAATTTGCCGGTGTGCGTCCCCCTTTCTGCTATTCTTTCCATTTCCCTTCTTCAATCTGCAGGCATGGAGCCCGCAAATCCAATCGACATTACCTCGCCCCGCGAAGCGGACTTGACAGACAACAACATCCAACGTCTCCTGCTCGAGGCCGAAAATAGACTGCGGACACAAAATCCAGTCTCGATTGCGACCAACTCCGAAGTCCCATCACCTAGGTATGTGTTCAGTGAATCTACTGTTCTACCAAGTTGGCCTGATCCTTGAACATTTGATTAACCCGGAAGTCTATACCTCATGATAGGGTCCCTCAACTATCTCATGGTTGCGTACAGCAATCATATATCCGTCAAGATGACATTGTAACGACTGATTCGGCTCGAGTAAATAATAACCTGAAGAAAAACACATCTACTTTGCCATTTTCCGTAACAGACTCACTGGCGGAGAAGACGAAACCCAAGCAGGTAAGCCAGTTTGATACCAGTTACCTTTCACATGCTATGAGGAAAACATTTCGCGTGAGCGCTTGATGCAGCTTCACCAGTCCGTCTTGGACTGCGCTGTGCCAATGAGAGTTTTATTTTTCATAGTTACTCTGAGCATAATTACCAATGCTTCTATGGATCGTCATAATGTGGTGTGGATTGAGCTAACATTTCAATCGATACTCAAGGAAAAGCAAACAGCAGGTGCCGACTGGTTCAATCTCCCAAAAACCGAGTTGACGCCAGAACTCAAGCGAGACCTCCAGATCCTTCGGATGCGCTCAGTATTAGACCCTAAGCGACATTATAAAAAGGAGAATGGGAAAGTCCGACCACCCCAATATTCTCAAGTTGGAACTATCATCGAAGGCCCCGGCGAATTTTTCAGTGGGCGCATCACTAAGAAAGACCGGAAAAAGACCTTCGTCGAAGAAGTATTAGCCTCTGAACGGGAATCTCGCCGTTTCGAGTCGAAGTACCAAGGCATTCAGGCTACTAAGCAAAGTGGCAAAGGACTATATTACAAAAACCTGCGAGCCAAACGGCATACGAAGGGCAAGTGAAGAAGTATCTTCTGCCCTCAGTGTGGCCTGAGCCATTACTTCGAAAGGGATGAACGATTTCGAATGATGCTTATCTACAGGACTTGGCTGCGCAACAAGCCCCCACGATCCTACCCTTTTGCATTCGCGCATAATCGTCTAGTTTTACTGATCTTTGAAAACATCTGAGACGAGTCGAGTGACGATTCGCTATTTGGATTCATCATCAGTATACAGACACATAGACCTGTGCGGGAGGGGAAGCGAACCTGCATATCAATGGCGGCAGAACGGCCTGCGTCAAGAACTTCTTCATGATTTGCTTTCCCTTTCTGCAGGATAGCATCTAGTTCTTGCGTATCTTTCCCCTGAATCAGGCTGTCGTCTCCACGAGGCCCAGGGGAGAGCACGGCTGTGTTTGTCACTAGACTAAATGCAAGAACCCTGAGGCCGGTGTGTCTGGCGACCACAATTTCCGGAACGGTTGACATGCCGACTACGTCCGCACCCAGCTGATGAAGAAGACGACACTCTGCCCTGGTCTCATAGCTGGAAAACTCGGTGCTCAGCAACGGGTGTGCATCTTGTAGATAAGGAGGTATTGTATAGCTGACTTACCTTGGTCCTCCTACAAAGGCATACACACCCTCGTGCAGTCTTCTCTTCTGCGGCTGCGATAGCGCCTTCCAGATCTCATGTGTATGACGGCGAAGCTCAAGATCATATGCATCCGACAGTGGAGGAAACCGAGGACCGAACTCTTCACTATTGGGTCCCCGCAGCGGGTGTATTCCTGCCAGCCCAGCTAGGAAAATATGCTATAGAAATGTCAGGATACATTCATCAAGACTTTGTTCGAACTCACATCGTTAAGCAACACAATGTCCCCCACGGCGTAGTCTGGGTTGAGACCTCCGGCGGCATTGGTCACTAGAGTTTGGCTGTTGGAGAATGAATGACATAGTTGTAGTAAAGACGAAAGGCTTACATATGACGGTGTCAACGCCCAGGAGCTTAAAGACTCGAATGGGAAACGTCACTTGATCAATGGAATGCCCTTCGTAATAACTAAAATGTGTAAGAGTCCTGGATGTGATGCACAAACTCTTTGGAGGGCTTTCTCACTGTGCACGGCCGACCATCAAGACCGCAGGAACCTGCCCATTGATAAGGCCAAAGACAAGCTTTCCGGCATGTCCAGCGACTTCAGCAAGTTAGAACTTGAATTCCCAGGAGAGCCTCAGTCCTCGTCTTACCTGTAAGGCAAGGGAAATGAGGTATAGAAGAATAATCAAACTCTGCCCTCGGTCCATGTTCTATTGTGTCGGCGAGTCCTCCGAGACCTGAACCACAAATGATTGCAACTTTTGGATTCTGCAGAGGGACTGGGAGGCGATCTTTCAGCATCGAACAAGCCTCACTGGCCCGTTCAAATGAAGACGGGTCTTTCTGCAGCTGGGCCATCTTCACAATAATGACTGGACTTCAACTCCAGGGAACCAGAAGAGAGAGAATCAATCAAAACTCTGCGAAGCTTCACGCGGGGTGGTTATAATGTCATGTGATCTTGGCAGCTATGGGCTTACGTAAGCTCCGCAAAGGCAAAGAAAATGGCTTCAACAGAGGGCTAACTGAGTACTAAACCAAAGTTTCTCCAGGGCACCCAGTGATTCAATATGTTCACCCCTAAGAATCTCCACCTTCTATTGAAGGCTGGTAAAGGAAGTCAGGTACCAGCTCATAGATTCCAATTACAGTCGTACGACAAGATGAAGCGCTAACTTTTGATTTTTTTTTTGCTTATAAAAAGCAGCCGGTCATATTTCGTCGATGCTTAGCAACCTCCAACTCCTCCAACGTTGAACTTACCTCAAACCAAGTTCAGAAGCCCACTGAAAACCCCACGATGTTAGTGGTTCCATTACCTCGATCTCAAGCTAAACCGGTTGCTAATTTCAACACCGTACCCAGCGCAGAGAAACTAGAGCAAGCACCCGGAGGGCCTGCGAAAGAGTGGTTAGTAGCAACAAAGACCTTAAGGCTGTACAATTAATCACATCCGATCCCATGCTCACCAATTATATAGGGCCGACCGCTTGGATAGCATAAGTCGAAAAGCTCGGTTACCACGAAGTGTACAGGCTGTATACCTACGACCGCTTCGAAAGCAAGCCGAATATGGTGTTCCTGTCTGCGATCTGCAATTAAGATCTTACAGCGTGCGAAATGTAGAGTTTTTCGCTGACTTTGCTTTGCGTGCCGCATACTATCTCAAACTTCCTGTCTCAGGGCCGGTACCTCTACCGCGAATCACTGAACGCTGGACGTTCCCTCGAAGCAATTTCGTGCACAAAAAGAGCCAGGAAAACTTTGAAAGAATAACTCTTCGTCGGCTGTTGCAGGTCAAAGATGGAGACCCCCATGTTGTGCAAATATGGTTGTCTTTCCTGCGCAAGCATGCATTTTATGGGGTGGGCATGAAAGCCAACGTCTGGGAACACGAGAGCCTCGGTGATTTCATCCGATTCAACCTCTTTATTAACGTTTCGGAACTAACTCTTGAATACAGATGTCGTCAAGGACATGGACAAGCATGTTCCTGCTATTGAACAATCCCTAGATTCCCACTTATCAGGGTTCGGTCACCGAGACAAGGAGGGACATCTAAAGATCTCAGATTTCCTAGGTGACCAGAAACTCACCCGAACGGGTCCTTTGACTGAGGTTCGTGGAAACTGAGTTCGGCTCCTCGTTCTCATGTATCAACAATGTTTTATATTTGATTGGATTTTTGTTAGCCTTTCTGTATTGTATGTATTATCTATGTTCCAGATAGGAAGCATTCTCGGAATTTCTGTCTCGGCATGTACAAAGAACCCACCCAGTCAAAGTAGTTTCAGCCCTCAATAGAGCAGGGGCCACATTGAAGAGCATCCAATTGCACATGAAGTGAACAAGGTGAGAAGTAAAGTACTGGGCCAAAGCAGCCAGATTCTTGTAGGTTGTGATACAGGACCTTCATTATACTTTAAAATTTGGCGGATACGTCCTATAGTGTTGCCAAGAATGATGATCCATTTTGAGCACGCCGCACTCCCATTTCACCTCGACTTCATCTCTCATACGCTGCGCCTAAAATCACTGATCACAGTGTGTCAAGTCAAACTAATCCTATGGTTCTAGAGGGTCCTTGCAGAAATTTTACATGCTGACAACCAAGCGCCAATGCCTCGACTCTCCAATGCCTTGGTTGCAAGGGCATACCAACAGCATCCTTTCCTCCCGCTTCTGCTGCGCGAATGCCGAACCATTGAGTCTGCGCGTAATGAACTTCGCTGGTTAGGAGAACGAGCCACTTCGATATCGACAAAGCTCAGAGCAGCAGATGGGCTTATTGTCCCGAGTCGGAAGAAAATACTAGGTTCAATGTGCCGCGCTCGGTCAAGAGGTGTGCCTCTGCAGTACATCCTTGGCGATCAACCATTTGGCGACCTAGAGATTCTGTGTCGAAGAGGAGTGCTGATTCCAAGGTGACTCTACAACCAGTCCCACTGCCATCGTATTTACTGGGAATCTCTTCCATCTCCGTTCTGCGATGCTTTTTCCACGGATAACGGAGCTATTTCTGACCATCTTGGAAAACCTAGGATAGAAACGGAGACATTCACCATGCGTACGGCCAAGCTGATATTGGAGAGAATGCGCGCAAATCAGCGCACCGGAGAATTTGCAGAGAATGACCATTTGCGCGTTGTGGATCTTTGTACTGGTACAGGATGTATATCATTGCTTCTCCACGCTCTTCTTTCCCCCCATTTACAGCAAGTGTCCATTGCTGGTATTGACATCAGCCCAATGGCAATTCGCCTGGCCAACATGAACCTCCTGCACAATATCCGACTGGGGTCCATATCAGAACGAGCAAGACAAGACGTCTACTTTCGACAGGGGAATGTACTTTCCCCATCTAGTGGAAGAACCCCCAGCGTCAAGGATGCACTCCGGGGGATTTCGGCATTTTCTTGCCAGGAGAGGTTGTGCTGTGACGTTATCATTGCAAACCCACCGTACATAGCGCCTGTGTCTTTTTGGGACGGTACTACGGCACGCAGTGTCCGAATGTTCGAGCCTAGTCTTGCATTGGTCCCCCCGGCAATTTCCCATGTTTCCGTGATTGACACCATCAAACAGGAAGACATTTTCTTTCATTATATCCTCAGGCTGGCACTTGATGCTCAAGCAAAGCTCACGATACTTGAATGTGGGGATCTCGTTCAGGCTCGACGGGTGGCGATGATGTGCAGAGACATGGCGAGGGCCCTCCAGCAGGACCAGACCGTCTCAGTTGAAATGTGGTCAAGTGAGGATAAGCCTTCATTTGAGGGAACGGGACCATACGCGGTCGCTCTGCTACTAAATGCTGGCTCATGGTGTCAAAGAAATATCTAAGTAGTCTTGGAGTTTATATATACTGGGATTTGCAAGCCAACTTTCTCATAAAATCATCGTCGTTAAAGCCGCCCACCGATAAGCCTAGACCCAAAAAAAGAGAAGCAGGCGCCCAAAGAAAAATAAGAAGAAAGAGGGGGGGGAGAGAGGTTCAATGAATATGAACAGCGGACAGCGGAAATCCAGCGACAGCAGCATTCAAGAACACTATAGCAGTGAACAGGTCTAGAACGCTACCAGGTATCCTATGGCAGCAGCACCGAAGGCGAGTAATGATGGGGTATCGGTTGGATCGGCGTTGACAGCCGCTCCGGTGCTGCTTGCTGATGATAGCCCGGTGAACGTGCTACCAGTTGGACCACCGATCCTCGCCCCGGAGTCATCGGCAACAACCGACGTAACTGGGTGAGAGACCTGAGTTGCCCCGGGCACTGAGTCTTCACCTGCCCCAATCTCAAGTATGTGGTCTTTGGTTGAGTTAAAGTTGGTGTTGGCCAGAGAGATCTCATTGTTGGCAAGGTCATATACGACATATGCGCTGCGGAGGAATGTATCCCCCATAACAGCGGTGTTTTCTCCTGCAGGAACAATTCCAAAAATACAAGCACGAGCACCATTCCGGAATTGAATGTCACCCGCATCGAGAACAAGTTCATCAATACCGACAGTGATAGTAGGTGCTGAAAATGTATAGGTTATATTGATGTCCTTCCGTGCCAGGCTGCACGGCACATAGCCAACGCCGCCGGATGGTTCATAGACAACATTGAGATCATCGTAAATGTCTTGCACAATGGCATCAGGGAGATAGGTCAGGGAGCTGCCAGAGTCCAGTAATACAGCGGCTGGGAGTACCTCTGACGAGTAATCATGATGGTCCGATCCGGCATCAGTCGAGACACCGGTTAGAGCGATTATAAACTCCGAGTATTCGCCATTAACAGTCTGTATGGGTAAAGTCTGGAGTTCACCACGATACTTTTCCGTGTTAACGCCTCCGAATAAGATGGAGCCAGTGTGTGCACTTAGATCGTTGAGCCAAAGGCTATAAGCGTTCGACTTGATCAAGCCGTTCTTGACCATTGCTTGAGGGAGGTTAGGGTAGGGATCTTGACCAAAACGGCCCACCTGGACTTCGTTCGAAACATATCCTATGCCTAAGACGCCCTCTGGATGCAAGTTTCTATCAGTTACTGGCCGGTCGTGCTAACGCTGGAGATTTACAAAAGGTGGCTCAAGACATGGAATCATGCGACATACCCGTAGAGCTTGAGGAATAGCCAACCCCAAACTGAAGATCCTTTATAGACGTGCTACCTATGTGTAGTATATCTGTCACATAGTCGCCAGCCGCACCAGTCCCGTCCGCATAGGTAATGTTGAAATCCGACGAGGTGTATGCATATGACTTTGACGAGCTAGGGTCGTATGACCCAGATGCAGTACAAGGCTTGTCTTTGGAAGAGCAGAGGGTAGAGTTTGCCGCATTACACCACAAGTCACTGCTTCCAGTATCAATCACTAAACGTAGGCTTTGCTCGGGTGAGCCAAGTGTCACGTTGCTAAAGTAGAGGGTTTGCTATACAAGTTATCAGCATTCGATATGTACGGGTACGCCAAGTGGCCGCAATGTATCAAGGAGACTAAATTATCAAACAAACCTCGTTATCCAGTTTCTGGCTGACTGTTTTATCTCGCTTCCGTCTTGTTTGGTCCCTAGACACAGGATCAAGAACGTCTTTGCGTTGGATATCCAATGCCACAATGGAAGGATTCTCCCTTCGATGAAGAATCAAGGCATCTGCGCCCTGGCAAAGTAGGAAAGATATAGGCAAAAGGAAAAGGACCCACAGACACATCGTGATTACCTAACGACAGCTCCGACAAGATCCCCCTCCCTACTTGTGTCGCTCCTATGAATCGACAAGCCTTATGATCCAAGATTTGTAGCAAGTTGGCACGGGGTGGTAGGAAGAGAGAATGGAAGTGAGAGAACTAGAGAAGGGGAGCATCATGCATACGCATGCTCTGGTACGGGTGACCTGGCATTGATATACACGAAATATGGGTGACTGATGTATTCCACTGGTAGGTAAGTACGTAGGTACTCGGTAAGTTAGCCGATGATTGATTTACAAATCGATCGGCCCCACTTGGAAGCTTGACTGGCGAAACTAAGGAGAAAAGAGGACGGAGCTAGCGAGACTGCTGTCGTCATCACTTGTGGGGCGTGACCACAGCATCATTAGGTCATTAATATCTCGCAACCCTACGGTGTATGTTGATATTTTATTATTCGTGATAGACGTCTGATGACCTTCTCTCTTCATCCTCTGGATACGCCGTGAAGTGACGTGGCATTTATAGCATCATCCTGAATAGAAACTTCACTCGACCGCAATGAAACCTGGAGGGGGGCAACCCTTCCCTTGAACCTCGGTTGAGTCCTACGGAGTACGGAGTAGGTAGATATTACCCACCAAAATCCCGAACACTTCCGGATTCGCAGAATTTGAATGGAAAGTTATCATGTATACGGAACCTCGATTTCAACACAAACCTCAAAATTCGGTGCTCAGTTCTCTTATAATGATCATCACCCGCACTAATAACGTTACATACGCGAAGCCTCATGACAGTAGCAAGGAGCTTTAACAAGAACCGAAGGTTAATGCGATGTGGACTTTAGCACAAGTCTATCGAACAGCGATATTTAATGAGCAAGTGGGCATAAAGGCCATGCGTGCTCGTCAGATGCTATCTAACACTGGCACTATATGTGGCGAAACTGTAAAGTGAGTGATATACTAGCAGAAAATCCTGAATAAAATCATCTGGCACCACTTACCCACTAGTTTCTTGTAGGATACGCATGACGTGATGGATCGGTCAACGTTCACATTACAGTCCCAGGGCCTTTCGAACTCGACGCATAGTTATATCGGCATTAGCAGATGCGGTTCGAGCGCCCTCCTCTGCTACGACATCCAGATAGTTCGTTTTGTCTGCGATAAGTGACAAGTACCTCTCTCGAATGGGTTCAAGGTGGAGGCTTATTTGGCTTCCAAGATGACCCTTGAGTGATTGAAGACTTGATGACTTATACTCTTCAGCTAAGTCCTCGCACGATCGCCCATCGAAGTGGCTAAGAATCTCCAAGAGATTAGAGACCCCGGGCCGATGGACTGGATCATAAGACACGCTGGCATCCGAATCTGTGAGTGCAGATTTAACCTTTTTATGAATATCCTCGGTGCTGTCGGTGAGGAGAATCCGTGAGCGCTTGTCAGTATGAGACTTGGACATCTTGAGGGTCGGTTCTTTTAGAGACATCACTCGCTTCGCAGGTGCTGGGAATGGTCAGTTTGTACCAGTGAGCGCTATAGGTCATCCGATGGATAATTTCTTACATATAATTGCTTCGGGGGGCGGAAAGATATTTCCATATAGATGATTGAAGCTATTTGCGGTATACCTGCAGAATTCAAGGTGCTGCCTCTGGTCCTCTCCAACGGGAACATGTGTGGCTCTGACTCATATCAGTACTAAGCCCAGTTTAAGCCATAAATCACAAACCTATGGACGAGAATGTCCGCCGCCTGCAAAACAGGATAAGAGAAAAGCCCAAGACGTAGTTTTGATCTTGCGGCTGAGTCTTCCAAACTTATGTCTTCTGGTAAGTCAAGTTTGCTCTGCGCCGTGTTAGGTAGACGATATTTTGATATCTTAATGGCCCTTCCAGCCACCATTCTTTTGAACTTTGGCTCCATATATTGCGGGAATTGAGCGGCTCACCTTCCACTGGGTCATGCGTGATAAGTATCCCATGGATGCTACCGTGCTTAGGATCCAGAACAATTCAGTGTGGGCAGGCACCTGGTTATGGTTAGTAATTGCCGTTTAACATCATTGATCTAGAGCATCTCGTACAGCAGATTGGTAGAATACAGTTGCCCGACTAGGATCCAATCCCACGGCAAGCAGAGTTGCAAATCCCTCTCTTCTCCAGGTTTTCAGCTGTCGGGCTTCTTGGGGCACCGTTAATGCATGTAAATCAACAATTGAAAATAACAAGCGCGTATCCTTCGGAGCAGTATCCTGTAGTCGAACCCATTCTCTCAAAGCACCCAAATAATTGCCCAGGTGTGGCACCCCTGTGGGTTGAATTCCCGAAAAAATAACCCGGGGATGTGCCAACGACGTCGCTTTCGGTGCAGGTACGCTATTCCATCTTCTCGAACAAATCGTCAATCTTTGGTAGGCCTTTATTGGTGGGGTGTTCCTGCATGACACCAGAGGCAATGGGCTTGTAAGCATGTCTAATTGGATAGCCTAGCAGCTAGAGCCTGATGTTTTTTTTGGACGTGAGTACGGAGTACGTTGCTGTTTTTGCCTGAGTGCTAGCGGGCGCTAAACCGCTTTAGAACTTATATACATACTACTCTGACTACACCGGTCAAACCTAGTAATTTCGTTAGTGTGGTCCATATGTAAGTACTAAGTTAATGTAGTGAGGGCTATATTAAGTGATAAACCGTCTTTTTAACTAAGCTACAACGCGGGTCAAGAGTCTGGCCATATTTCCTCGCGCGTGCGATACTGTAAGGGGAAGCCCAGCAAAGGATCGGTTCTCATTTAGGCACTTGATTCCTGTTGCAACCGCTTACCGGTCATCGTTCTTGCCTTGTTGCCATTTGGTGGGATATGTGACGGTCTACAAAGGAGCTTAGTAAAAGACAAGTTTATTTATAATTTGTAGTCAAGCAATTTCTTTATAGAGAAAAAAGAAATTTAATAATAAAAGATTTTAGAATTTTTATATGTTAATAAGATCTAATTAGATATTGTAAAATGATTCTAATGCATGCCCAATCATAAAGCCACATTGTTCCAAACTGTTCCTTTTCTAAAGATCTTATATATTTAGCTTAGCTGGTTTCACATCTATTTTAAAATAATTATATTATTTATTTTCTTTATTTCTATTTATTATATTGATCGTAAGTGTTACGGACCCCTGCTACACCAAAGAGCCGCGGGGCAGAAATGATAGGCCGACGGCAGCCCAGGACCCGTGACGCTACCAGGAAGTATTCAGTCACGTGATATGGTATGTCGATACCATATGGTATGTTGTATACCATCGGATATGTTGCGACCAAGTGGTATAGAAAGAACCAGATGATATGTCAGATAATATATGCATGAAGAAATATATAAAAACACTTGTTTATCTGTTTGTTAGATAGTTCTTAATTAGTTCTTCGCGTTCAATACAATCATTGTCTTTAATAGTTACTTTTCGATAACTGCTAATACAATTCGTCCATATTCTATCACAAAAAAATATACATATCGATCTGACTCTATTTCTTCTTTAACTATTAAAATCTTTTGATCATTTATTTTAATTTATTGAAACCTTTAAAAGATTCATTTGAGACATTATCAATTATTTTGGAATTTGAAACTTTTAGACAAGTATCACCCGTTTTCAAAAATAGTCGGATTATTCGCTGAAAGCCTCAAACTATAATCAATTTAACAGTCATTACAGCTTTAACGAATCTTAAGATTTGACACATTGAACGCCGATTTAGTACAAATTAATTTAAATAATTATGTCAATTACTTTAAATAATAAAATTATTTCTCAATCCTCGTCGAAAAAATCGGATCAGAATCAAAGACAAACAACAATCATGCATGATTTCGAAAGCATAATCGATCAATTATAGTAACAAATCATGATTTTGAAAAATCGCTTGACTGTCAAATCAGTCAAGATCAGACTATTCGAAACATTCGATAACATTAAATCTAAATTATAAGTTTTCACGATCCAATTGAACATATATCTTTAAATGAATTGTAAAAAAATTGACGCACAAAACAGACAAAATTCTTTTCGCATTAATCTATCTCATTGGTTCAGTGTTCGATTAATTTAAATCTTTTATTAAAGATTATCAAAAAAAAAGTGAAAATCGTCAAAATAATAATATTAAAGAAATCTTCGTCAATTATAATGAATTCAAAAATATTTTTAAATGACATTTAAAAACATCGATGCATTGCGAAATGCAAAACAAAAATTGTAGCGATTTAAACAAAACGATTTAATTGCTAAATACGCATCGAAATTTCAGCAAACCATATTTCATTTGAATTGGGATAATAACGCCTATATCGCACATTTTAAAGAAGATCTAAAAAATGAAATTCAAAAAAAATTGATTTGAATAGAAAAATCAAATACATTCAGCAAAATAATCAAACAAATAATCAAGATTAACAATAAATTTTACAATTTTAACATTTAAAAAAAAATCGATCCGAAATATGATTTCAAGAAAATCCAAAAACGAATAACTATCATATTAATGATAAATAATCAACACAACTGAAAAATCAAAAATATAATGATCTTTATAATTTACAGTCAATGGAGCTCGACATTATTGATAAATGATAATAAAATTTATTGAAAAACAAGATCGAATATTGACAAAAAAAATAATTATGTTTTAATTATAAAAAATTATAAAAAAACAAAACACATATTTCGATAATGCAAAGTTCCAAAAAAACAAAATAACAAAAACAAACGAAATGATTGAAAAAAATTTTGAATCATAAAAAAATTCAACGAATCAATTGTTAATGTCCGAAATGTATATAACTTAAACGAATTATTAATATCCACATCATGAATAATCCAGACATTACACGACAAAAAAGAAACATTCAAAAAAACGAATGAGCCCAAAAATGATCAATATGCAAGATTAACATATGATATTCACAAACTATTAAATAACATAAAAAAGATCAGAGTTTCGAATTCATCACAATTGTTTATAAAAAAAACAAAAAAATTCCTCAATGCAATATGTTATAACAATAATTGATTGAAAAAACAATTCCAAAACTCACAGGCATTGAACAATGATAATTATAATTAATTTATTGAACAAAAAATGAATGAATCTTTTAAATTTATCAACAAGAAACCAGATCCAATAGACTGCGATTTGATCATAATGTTAAAAATTTTTAATTTTTTGAACGAACAATATAGAATTTAATGGATTAACTATAATCTCAATACAAAAAGATTTCATAAAATATTTAAAACATTTGACGAAATTTTTTATAAAATTATATTCAATTAAAATAACACTGACAATGTTAATGCAAAAGATAATTAAACGATCAAAAATGTTTTTAATTATAATCAAACGAAAAACGAAATCTTTGATTTGAAAAATAACATTACAATCAATTAATATGTTATTTAATTGATACAAACAATTGAAAAAAAAACAGTGAATAGATTAATTGATTTAAAGATTGAAAAAAAATCTAATATGATTTATCAAAGAATTATGAAACATTTTTGTATAGGGTTCACACTAAAAATTAGATTGCTGAAATTCACAAACAAAAATTGAAGAATATATTATTTGAGATATATAAAACATAAAATCAAATATAAAATATATAATTACTAAAATCACAATTACAATCAAACTATCATCGCAAAAAACAATGTTATTAAATATATTAAATCATCACATGGATGTCGAAAAAACAATTGCAAATATCTATATCGGAAAATACATTTAAAATATCATTATGTTTTATGAATTGTATGTCACGACGAAAATTGTGACTATTTAACACATGAAATGTTGAAAATGATTGTTCAAAAATATCAAAGTTTAGAAAAATAACACAGTTTTTACAAAAAATCAAAATGCGCTTGTATTGAATATTTAACTTATTCAAAATACAACACACAATATTGAAAAGCTTGTTATAAAAATTATTGTTTAATACATTATAACATTAAATTGAAACAATACTTTCCATGACAGTCACGAAGATTATAAGAATCTTATTGAACAACGAATTTATTAACAAAACAATCTAGAAGAAATTACATTTGAAATTGATAGTTAAGATTTTGAATCAAAATATTCGAATTATGATGGATTTTGAAATAACAAACAACTTCATGAACCCAAGATTTCAAAAAAGACTAAAAATCTTAAAAATTACAAAAACAAGATCAGAATCTATTTCAAAACTAAACGATAAATTATTAAAAAAAAGTTTTACAGTTGAATCGAGATCAGTATTCATAATTATAAAAAATTATTTCGAATATATAAATTTCGATGTGATATTTTTAAAATAATACGATGTAATGTTGAAGATTCTATAATTTAAAAATCATAATTCAAAAATCAATTGAAAAACAAAAAGTCTTCAATTTATATAATATAAATGTTCATGATAAAGTCAGATGTTGAAAACATCTAAGACTAAACGGCGCATTTAAGGCAATAATTGCTAAGCTGACGTTAAAAGATTATGAAATAAATTTACAAACACATTGATTAATAATAACGAACACGATATTATAAACGCAATTATGATAACAATCGATTTTATTAATAAAAAATGATTGACACAATTATTTGATTGGATATCAAACACAAAAGAATAATATATTTAGACAACGATTATTATTAAATATTATACAAATTTTTATGAAAAAATCAAATTATAACAAATGATTGACATTATAGATTTAGCGATCAATAAAGAGTTAAACAAATTATTGTGTGAATACAAGAGATTTTAAAAACTTTTTAAATAGTCAAAGAAACCTAAATTATCAAAATATGATAAACACAATTATTATATTTTATTTAAGAATGAAAACAAAGTTGTATGCAAAAAAATTTATTCAATGTCAAAAAAAGAATCATAAGTTTTATAACAATATATCGACAAACAATTAACAAAAGAATGTATTCAATTATTAATATTGCTAATAAAACATGAAATCTTATTTGTGCTAAAAAAAGATAAGAATTTATAATTATGTGTGGATTATCGATCATTAAATAAATAGACAATCAAGAATTGACATTCATTATTGTTCATTTTAGAGATTTAAAACAAGATTAAGAAAATAAAATGATTTATCAAGTTCGACATCACCGACGCATATAATAGGCTGTGAATTGCAAAAAAAATGAATAAAAAATGGTTTTCAAAACAAAATACGGACATTTTGAATATATGATTATATTATTTGGATTGATTAATGCATTAATGTTATTTCAATAATTCATTAATGAAGTTTTGGGAAAATTATTTGACATGTTCATCATTGCATATTTGGACGATATCCTAATATTTTCGAACATTGAAAAAAAATATGTTTGACATGTGAAACAAATGTTACAAAAGTTATGCATTATTAAATTATGATTGAAATTTAAAAAATGTGAATTTTATATTCACGAAACAGAGTTTCTCGAACATTGAATATTCATTGAAGAAATATAAATGAAAAAAAAACAAAATTCAAACAATCAGAAATTGATTTATATCAAGAAATTTGAAAGAAATCCAATAATTTATAAGATTAATCAATTATTATTAATGATTTATTGATAATTATACGAATGTCATAACATTGATATTCAATCTGATGAAAAAAATAATAAAATTTGAATGAACATTACAAATACAACAAACTTTCAAGAAAGTTAAGAAAAAAATCACTATTGTATCGATTTTTGTGCAGCATAATTC